GCTAACTCGCTGTAGTTTGGCACCACCAACAATGGTATACCATTGTTCGGGTCCTTTTGGCTAGGGTGCTTTGCGATGGGTTCTCTGTGTAGTCTGAGTATTGTGCCTGGAAAGTTGGCCCGTGTAGGACTTGAAAGAGAGGTGATATTCGCATAAAGAACTCTGGAATAAGATAGTCGAGAGCGACTGCCGGCGGCAGCATCGCCACGAGATCATTCTTTGATGCAAGAATATATTGGGTCGTCGTGCTAGTAAACTCTTTGCTTGGACCGTTGCCTGTAGGACGTTGAAGGACTTCGCTCCATCTTGCATAAACCGGTGAGTCGCACTGATTTGTTTCCTGCCGAGTCAATCGAGGAAGATTGACATATATGGCTGTCGCACTAGCGGCGGCAATTGGCTCCTGGTATCCGATCTGGGGTTCTGGTCTTGTGTTTGCTGGATTACAAGATAAGGAAGTATCGGCACGTAGTGGAGAGGGAATGCCCTGATCAATTCTTGCAGCTACTCTAGTAGATGCAGGTTCAAGTCGGAAATGGCAAGAGGTCTCGCAAACTCGTCGTTTGCATGTCCCGCATGGATGCTGACGGTCACAGCGCAGCTTCGAAGATTTGCACGGGACACAGCTCAGTTGCTTTCGGGCACGTCTGCGCATTTTTTTTTGTTGTATGTTGAACTCCGATGGCGTCGCAGGCGTGTTGCAAACAGAAAAGCTTGCATTGATCTTTGAGCGAAAATCTCTTCCATCGGACTTAGCAAATCGGCAGACTGCCCTATGAGTGGCCGGCAATCTCCGAAAAGCCGAGGGAAAGCTAGCTATCTCCGATGAGGGCCGCAATCATCGTCCACCATAAAATGCGCCCTACCTTAGACTCAAGTGCTGAATTCACAAACAATGGCGCTTTCTCAACGTGGCCTGCAGTGGGCTATGCAGGCAGACAATCTTCTGATTTGGCGCATTACTAAAGATCTTTGGCATCCCGACCAACATGCTTCCGGAGTGGTTAGTTTGGGTATTGCGGAGAATTCGTTGATGCACGCCGAATTGACAAACTATATTAGCAACAATCTGCACATCAGTGAAGAAATGCTCACATATGGCGATGGAGCAGGCGGTCGAGAGATACTACGTCAGGCGCTGGCTCGCTTCCTGACTCGACAATTCACGCCAGCAATACCACTCACGGCCGAACATATTTGTATTACGAATGGAGTATCCAGTGCAGTTGAGCACCTCAGCAGTGTCTTGGCCGATCCAGGAGATATCTTCCTACTTGGAAAACCTTACTTTGGCGGCTTTCTCAATAGTATCGGTCTGCGTACCGGCACAGTAGTGGTGCCAGTCTCTTTTGGCGATGTCGATCCACTGTCAATGGAAGCTGTGGAGGTGTACGAGTCAGCAATCAAAAGGTGCATTTGCATGTCTAAAAAGGTGGCGGCCTTGGTGCTCTGCCACCCACACAATCCATTAGGACGATGTTACTCTCGTCAGACATTAAAAGGGTGGATGCGCCTTTGCGCGAAATACAGCATTCATTTGATCAGCGACGAAATTTACGCATTATCGGTTTTTCAAGTTGGCGAACAGGTTTTCGCACATTCCGACAATTCCAGCGAAGAGGTTTTCATTTCTTTATGTGCGATCGAGCCGACTGGAATAATAGACCCTTCCCTGGTTCATGTGGTGTATGGCCTTTCAAAAGATTTTGGCGCAAATGGCCTACGGATTGGCTGCATTATCAGTCAAAACAATGTCAACTTACACCGGGCTCTAGTGCCTCCAGCTGTCTACAGCTACGCGTCGTCTATCTCCGAGGTTGCCGCTGCAAAGCTGCTGAATGATGATTTATTCATTGACTGGTATCTTGTGGAAAATCGAAAACGGCTGAAGCAAAAATACGACAAGATTGTCACCTGGGCTGAACACCATCATATTCAGTACCAAAAGGGCGTGAATGCTGCATTTTTCCTCTGGATCAAACTCGGACCAATGTTCAAGGAGATGTCTCAACGGAAGGGAAATTTATCGACGAACCCAACAAGTGTTGAAAACCTTGATACTCTCATCCAAAATGCTTTACTTGCAAAAAGAGTCTTCCTAGTGTCAGGTGCGAATTGCGGTAACGATGCTGAAGGTTGGTTCAGGATTGTCTTTAGCCAAGCAGACCATAACATCAAAGAAGGGTTACGCAGGATAGAGAGCGTGTTAGGCCTTCTGCATAAGGACGGGGTTCCGTAGATTCCCCAATCAAACTTATCACTCTCATACCAAGTTCCCAAGCATATGAAGTAGTTTCTGGCTTCCTGATACGTACAGAATTGACGGCCGCTTCAAGTTCATATGAAAGCTTACCGGGGACAGATTGTTTGACTTGGTAGGCAAGGTTTTTTAAATAGGGTTGGGAAGCTTTGGAAACGAACTCGCTGGAGAAATGTGTGAAGCTTGTCAAATTTCTACGGCTTCCGGAGGGCGGATACATGTGGAAAATCTATCCTCACTGTACGGAATAAAATGGGGAGCATCATGGGTGAGGAATTAGATTGCTATGCGTCGGACTTCTGGCGTGGATTTGCCTTGGGAAAAGGCAGAAACTGATATCTGTGGATATTCCTTGAGAATAGAGATATCTGCGTTAATTACAACCCCCAAGTGAAATACAAAATTCCTGATGCCAGATCACCGCGGAGCTGCATGCTTTCCGAGACGAGCCATTAGACCAGAAGTGGGAATTTCTGCGCCACCATAAATCTCTCTCTCGTGTAGATAGTGACAAAGTGTAATAAATCCCAACGATGAAATCTGGCGAATCCCACACAAAAATCCCTTTATTGTAACGGCTCCTCTGTGCCAGGCAAGACCAGTACTACGTAGTAGTGGTTTCGAACAAAGGGAAGACTTCATTTCCAGGGTTCGGAGATGTGTTCGGAGTAGTGTCCAATCAACATTACGCCTTATCTCCGTAGTGGTAATCGGACCAGTAATGACCCATTGTCTCGCCGGGATCGCAACATTCCGCACTCGCCTTTTATGGTGTATCTATAAAACCGTGACTGGGGTCTGAATATTGTGAGCGTAGGCATGCAATCGCCGTCCTGAACCCCTTTGATCATCTTGAAGGCCATTCTAGCATCTTACCACTGTGGAAAAATAGAATACAATTCAGCATATCTGAGGAGACTATCTGGGCTGATCGAGAGATTGCACAGACGATAAGGAGCCAGAAGAGCACTCAATTAAAGCATATCAATCTCTCCCTCGCTAAACATCGAAGTTCGCCAGATTTGTTTGTTGGGTGAGGGAACAATGTTGGATTGCAACTCCAAAAACCAACGATCCAGAATGGACAGCAATCTGTGCGAATCCCAGGGCGAAGGCGGGACTCGTGCCAATCTTTGTGTCTTGGGTTCCTTCTGCGGCTGCATGCTGTCCCTTGGTCTGATCAACAGTCTGGCAATCTTCCAAGCTTATATCACAACAAATCAACTTGCAGGAACCCCCGAGAGCAGTGCTGGGTGGATATTTGGACTGTATACTTTCGTTTCATTTTTTTGTGGCATTCAAGTCGGTCCCATCTTCGATACGAGAGGACCTCGGTGCCTAGTTGCCACTGGGTCGCTTTTACTCCTGACAACATACCTTCTCCTTGGCTTCTGCACTACTTATTGAATAATACAAGCATTTTTGGGAGGATTGATCTGATTTGTAGATTGCGGATGCAATACTCCCAGAATTGCGGGAAAAACAAAACCAACTTTGCCATGACGCGCATCCTCTCTAAGTCTTACTAAATGATATCAAAGTCAACCTGTTGGAAACATCATATATTTTGGGTGACCCAGATGTCGCGATATTCTTACTTTTTTCGTGCGTTGGATAGTATAAGTTGAGTAATCACTGAAAGATAAGAAAACTCATTGGACATATCTCTCAAAAATCATTAGAACAATCTGTGATATAGTATTTCCGTACCTCTTTTTGTGTCTGTGATCGAAATGCCAACCAAACCACAAAGGATACCTTGGGGGCAGACGCAAAGGAGAACGGAAGAAGGAGACCCACCAGCTCCAGAAAAGAGGAAGGTGGACTAGATCAAAGTCCAGTGCCAATCACTCTAAGCTAGAATCTAGCACAGCCTTATGATCTAGAAATGGCATTGCACGGGCCGACGATTCGGCTAATGTTAAGCCCCATTATCAGAAACGCCATGTATAAGGTGGATGAACCCGGAATGCTTGACCTTGAGGTCGAGGGTTTGGCCGCCATCTGGTCGCTTACGCACAACCACGAAGTGCGAGAGCTCCTTACGTCCAAAAGATGATTCCTGATAGCGACTGATCGTTGCTGGATATCTCAGAGGTCCAACGGGCTCTCCGGCTGCAAAAAGACTGCAAAAAGCCCGAGACTTCCTTCAGTGCTCTAACGGCATAACAATTGGCGCCTGCCAGCACCTTGGTAACAAGTCCATCTAAATTACGTGTAGCCACGATTTTTCCTCTTTGACTGCATGAAGGTACAGACGCATGTCTCGAAGAAAGCCTTCTCCACACCCTCGTGGCTTTGAGAGACGCCCCATCTGGCTGGTCACGGGTGGTTAGGGCTACTGTTTTGAGGTCCCATTCCTCGTAGAAGGACCAATCCACAAAGTCTTGTTTGTGCGTGGTAGGAGCACGGGCTATTTTGGGCTCCATGCCAATCTAAGATGCTACTTTTGGCCATTTTGATGGTGGATAGTGGATGATTTTATTCTAAAAGCTTCGGCTTTTAGGATAGCGACTACTAGAACGAGTTTTTGCGTCAGCTTGGTCAGCGACAGTGTTTTTAGCCGGCTCTTTCAACACCTGACGCCTTACTAGTGTCGAGATAAGGGGTGACGAATTATCTTCGTTGTCGTCGTTAGTTTCTTCTAGTTCTCAGTGTTCTTCTACTGCCTCTACTGCCTCTGCTGCTTCTGCTTCTGCTTCTTCTACTTCGTTTTACTCTGTCTCCTCCTCCTCCTCCTCCTCCTCCTCCTCCTCCTCCTACTCCTCCTCCTCTCCTTCCACCATTTCTTCTTCCCTTCCCTCGCTTCCAACAAGTTCGTTACCCTCCCGACCACGCTTTATATTTTTACCATTCTCCTGCCTGGCCTTTCCTGCATTTCTTTCCCTATCTTTGTCCTGAGCCCCGGTGTGATCAAGATTTAGTGACGACATTTATCGGTGTCGTGCTCCCTGTGCTTCTAGGAAAGCGAGCACTGATTCAATACTCGGAGATCTGTGATCACGAGTGTCTGACCCGTGTTCAATGGCCTGCATAACAGCTTTTCGGCTGGAAATGATTGTATGTCGAGATTCTATGGCTTTCTCAAATACTTCGACCTCGCCACTCTGATAATGGAGGCTTGTGGACACCATTATTGGAGACAGTGTGTTTCAACCAATGCTTGCATTACCTAGTTCTTAGGCCTCTCGTATACTATTTGAGCTTTCATCGCCGTTAGCAGGTTCAGTAGTATCTTTGGGGAAGGGTATATGGCTTTCTAGATTATGTCCAGCCTACGGCTGCAAAAATCTCCCCTCGGGGATTGATTACGGTTGGCGCCCAGTAATCCCATATGCTGGAGTGCACTTACTGGGCGGGAGATCTCCTTGCCCGCCGCAATCGTTCTGGACGCAACTGTAGCAGAATCCACTTCGCTGTGAGGCATTGCATTCACATCCACATTGGAGCTTCTCTTGCAACCACTCGGATATTCCACATTTCGCAAAGAATGTCGGAGGTTTTACCAAAATTCCGCATCTTGTGTAATGAACACGGCAATTTGGGCAGCCAAATTGGGGTAATCTTAACATATCGTGTCACGAGATACGGCAAGACACGTGCGAGTTCTTTCAGCATCAGATTTCAAGCGCGTGAATCACGAGATGCTGAAAACCTTGGCAGGCGCAATGGTTTCTGGAAACTGGCAAGGCCATGTGCTTGTGTGAAGCAGCAATGAGGAGCTCGATGTATTGATGTACTAATTGAAAAGAGCAAAGGCTTGGTTGGCGAAGAACATTGATAGAAAAGCCCACGTAATGTTCGAAACTGCTCCAAACAAAAAGCCTTTCGCAAAAGCAGCGTGGCCAATATCATGCTTCTGGGTTACCTCATGGGGGCCTTTGGCGATAAGTTTCGTGCATTAGTCTTCACGTGATATACTAGTTGAGATGGAGAGCATATCACGTGGGTCAATAATCTCGTAACACGAAGGGAACGAGTGACGGTGGGATGGACGTGGCACGACTGCGCTTCACTATGGCTGCTACTCTATTCAGAGGTCATGTCATTACATTGTACTTGCGGACAAAGCAATTGAACGAATACAGACTAAATCCAACTCTACCCACATCATCGACTTCCTGAAACGTGCTGATGCTAGTTCATGAGTTCTTTCTCTGACCTTTTGTTGTGCTGCTTCTCAGGTCCGCCGGTTTTAATGACCAAATGTGTTACGAGCTCTATATCTAGATAGCTCCGAATCCATGACAGAGGCGAGAGCAGCCGGTGCAAGCTCCGACTGATTTTACGTTCTTCTATTCGCTGTTGAATTAACTTTTACGCTTGACCGGTCGACCTGAGGCGACTAGCCACTCCATAGCTTTCGTCGGATGAGACATCCGGTCCCTTTTGTGGCTTACATATCGCGCAGGAACCTACACAATAAGCCATATGCGCGAGTATCAAAACGATGGATTCATTTCGCAACAACCGCGTTGCAAAATAGTCAAGCAAATAGCTATTCCACTGGACTTTAGCACCTGGCGCATTCTTGTTAACTTTCAGACCCAAAGCATGATCCATATCAGTGTTTCATCATCCTGGGCCTTCGATCCTTTGCTGCCTCCAATGGTGACCCTGTTATAATCCGTGAGCAGCATACGTGCCCTCTTATTTTTCATGATTAGTGACCTCCAGTTGTATCACGGCATTCTGGAGCCAAAATGCTTCAAGACCAAGTCTGCTGGTGTAGGTATCTGTGGAACAGACCTCCACGAAAACTCCTGGCCCACTGTCATCCCAGGAAAAGACGTTCCGTCTTGGCGCACAACTATTGCCATTTCTGGAATACGCAGACTTGTAGCCATCTACCGAAATTGACTACCAACCTGTCTGCCCGTCTGAAGTAGTCTGCAGACCACAGTACACATATAGTAACCATGACAATTCCTGGAATATATGCCGGATATGAGTCACCTAAATGCACCGCTTGCCAAGGTAGTATAACCTTTGTATATAGGCTGTCCCTCCATAGTACGTGCATAGCATAAATACCAAACGATAGATCGCCGATGTACTGTGAGAAACTCCAAGTAAACGGTTTTTGTAGAATTGGGGAAGAGTCAAGAGCCAGGATGAATAGAAAGGCGCCAATACTAAGCCAGAACGTATATGCAGCTTCGCCATACCAAGGAGGGATAAGTCGTACAAGGTATTGAAAGGGAAATGGTCCATTTGCGCCTAAATCTGGTGGATCTGGCTGTCCAAGGATTAGAAGACCAATAACCATAGTGATGAAACAACCGATTGAAGACGTAATTGCTTTCGATAATCGCCACATGTGAACTTTGCTTGATGTAAACTTCTCCTCGATCGGTAGTCTTACTCGGGACAGTCGTTCTGGATATCGATAGAAGGATAACTCTGCAATAAACACCCCATAGAGAAACTCTGGAACATATACGCATCTCCAGTAATAGCAGAGTAAAACGAGAACCCAGAGATAGATCATTCGAGAACGAACTGAGAGCTTAGCAGCTGATATACAGAAGCAGAATAAAATGATACTGCCTCGAAACTCGACTGGTATAGTCCACATTGCACCGAGATATGGGGTGAATAGAACTCCGGTGTGAATCCATCCCTCGATGTTGGCAAAGGGATTACTGAATGCCATGGTTATTTTGAACCAAAGCCATAGTTGACTGAAAAAAGTCGGTCTTGCCATTTCTGGAAGCGGCAGATACCACCCGAGTGCTATACAACATGCGGCAATAAAGGTAGCGACAGCTGCTGAACCATATAACCGGAGCCACCGTCGAAAGATTGATGATGAAAAGGCATCGAGAAGTTTTGCGCTTTCCTTATTGAGAATCAACTTAAGTATTCGATAGCTCAAGACATAGCCGGAAATGACGAAGAATACCGCAACCATACCTGGACCTCCAAGGACGAAAGTACGGATAACCGGCAGCTGAAGTATCCACAGTGTTGGGGTATTCCAAGTATGGTAGAAGAAGACGATGAGAGCAGCATAACCTCTGACGGCGTCAAGATATGCTGTTGGGCGGGTATTTTTCGCATATTCTTGTCGACCTCCAGGTTGTAGATAGCGAGGGAGTAGATTCCAAAGGCATGTGAACAGGAGTGCTCGATAATTCGTTCTCCATCTCTGCTTGTTCTGCTCCAGTGTCTCCGAATCTGTGATATTATCATCGATGTCAACATTGAAGTTCGCATTTTCGGATTTACCCAGTAGAGGCGACGCTTGCTCCATTGATCTATTCGTGTCTGAGTCGATCAAGACAAGACAGTCTTGTGAATGATTAATCGGCTGGGCCCATAATGATAGAAGTGTCCTACGGGAGGCATCTTTACAATGAGTCTTAAGTATAAGGGCGTGGACTGAACCCCTTTTAATGCACCAATACGAAGGAAGGGGATATCCAATCTCTGCAACTGTCTCTCGACTTAGATAGACAAAGCCGTTATTGGTTGATCCTCCGAGGTAGAATACGAACCTCCTTCACCCAACATTTTTGATCTTGGAACAAACTATAAAGAGTATAGCGTATAGTTTGACAGCAGCCACTTGTGATTAGCATGTGGTCCAAGCTTTCCCGTCCGCCGCATGCACGGCCATGAAGTCGTTACAAACGGCTTTCAGAGATCTTGATGACAGAGTTGGCAGCATTCGGTGATCTCAAACCTAGGTGCTATGAAGTCAGTAGTGCTTCCAGCATTGCAATTTTGGAATTAACCAATCAACATTGAAAATAGGAGCCTGAATCAAGATAACCGGAGTGATTTCAATGGAAGGTAGCAAGGTACAGTTACGGATCTAATCACTTTTAATCCATAAGATAGTTCATTAAGTAACTGCATTTAGTCTTACACGATTCGTGGCAGCCGACTAATCTATAAACCTTCGACATCTGCTGTGCCATATTCATTCTCTGAATGGGGTTTAGGTGGAATCTCGGTTCAGTAGGGTCTTAAGCCACTCCATACTCCCCAGAATTTGGGGATAGCGCTCTCAGTCTTGCTGTTCGGCATTTCCAATACTGCGATAGAGGCCTCAAAATCATAACACCGTCTCACATGAGTTATGCTATACTATACTGTAAGTTCAACTCATTCCAGATATTCGTGGGTAGCAATATTCGAACCCTAGCACCAACGAAGCAGCTAAGCAACCAACATATCAAAGCCCGCGCATAAAATCGGTGTGCCTCGTTGCCGTTGATTTTCAGGTGAACATGCATTCAGCAGATAACTAATGCGGGATAAGAATAACTTGAGCACATAAACTCACAGAATAGCGAGAAAAGGTTGATTCCTAACCCATCTGATATCAAACCTTCCAGGCCATGAGTCGTTGGTGAGCCATTACAAAGAGTAAGCGTCTATTCTAGGGCTCTGAACTTTATTTCCGCTAATTTACATACCACAGGATTGTAGGGACCTGCGGCTGCCATTATGGAAAGAGTTCTTGCAACACCGTATGTGCAGGCCTGTAAATCAAGATCCGTTGTCACCACCTTGCTTTATTTTTGTATTCATCTTCGCCATGAACCGGCATGGGTAATCTCACGGACAACGATAGTCTTATCCTCCATAAACTTATATGAGTACTCTACATTAGGTAGCTAGGCCAAATTCCTTGTTTTCCAGGTGATCAAATTCCATTGTGGTCGAGCTTTTCCTGTAGTGGAATTAAATGATAGCCAGCAGAGTATTAGGGTTGGGGTTTGGGGGAGTTGTTCAAGGTACCTTAATACTTCCGATCAGCCTTCTGTAAGGGTGGTTGTTGAAGTCAAATACGTCTTGTCCTTGATCTAGGCTCGGTGTCAGTTAAAGCCTAACCATACTCTCAAAAGGTAACTGACCCATATTGTCGATATGGGAGCGGTAGCTTGTAAAGTGATATGACTCTGCTGCTTTTGGTAAAGCTCGCCACAATTCTGGAAGATTCCTCAAATGATCTTTGTTCTCGCTGTCGTAGATCATCATGCAAATAAGGAGAGAATGCTTCTTGAAGAAACGACCACCGAGGATCGGGTTAAACCCGTGTTCGCGGATCACTTTGCGACACTCGGTAAGCCATTTTAGTGTTAGAGCCCCATCACGCGGGACTACAGGCACAAAGTCCGTGTGGGCCCCACGACCCCCGCCACCGTATGGCAGAGCAAAGTTAATCATACTAGTTCTTGAGCTGCCAACCGCACCAACGGGTTCCCCTCTGGCAAACTGTGCAATGGCCGTCGCGTCCAGAGGACGACAAGGTTCACTTTCAAACAGCTTCTCCTGAAATCTTGCCTTAGGACAATGGACCAGTACAACCGACTTAGTTCTCTTCAATCTTGTAAGGATCATTTCTGGTATACCGTAGAAATCAAAAAATGCCGACCAATAACCCAAACCAACCTCCTGCTGAATGAGCGATGGTTGGATCCGGAATTGTCCCCTCCCCTTGGTAGATTTCTGCTGCCGTTTTCGTTATGGGCAGGTTTCCCAAAACGTCTCCAAAAAGAGGGTTATTCTGAAGAATATCGTCCCGATGTAACGTTGATAGAGCCTCGATTAAAGGTTCTAGTTCTTCAAATGAGTCTACATGTACAGCAACCGAAATGTAGGCTTCCGGGCGTGGTTGTAACCATACCGCAAGCTTCGTAACGATACCAAGATTGCTCTGAAGGAAGAGGCCTCCAAGTTGAGGCCCGAAGCTATTCTTACACAAATGCTGGGTAGGTGCTGGGCAGATTGGCATTTGGGAGTAGAACAGGGTGCTGAGCTAAATAATTTGAACTCTTGCACCCCTCAATTCGGGCTGAGGGGAACACTGGAGTGGTAGCGACAGTGGTTTGACTCCTGAGCCTGTGAGTATCGGGGAAGCTCGAGTCCATGGTTGAGCAACAACGACAAAACGGAAGTGTCACGAATTACCGGAAAAGGAATCTGTGGGGTAATTTCGCCTGTAGATGTTTTTAACACGAGCAAGGAGATGAATTCCATTCTCACTCTAATTTTTAGGATAAGAACGAGTGAGGACGGATGACAGGTAGCTATTGCTCTCACTATGAGTTATCTACCTCGAACGGACAGCTACGGAGTTACTCTCTCGCGCAACTCTACATTTCTAGCCCCCACCTCCACCCTACACTAAAGAGTACATTGCCGTAAAATTTACCCCGCACGACCACTGTTTGTCATTATCTCCCTAGGTAGGTAGTATATTAAGCAGAACGCAGCGAGAATCCCAGGGTTCTGTTACTACAATGATTTCTCTAAAGAGTATTCAACTTCAACTATGTTTAAATACAGCACAGAGATTGAAGAAGCGTACGCGTTATCGAACGACCCACCAGAGCGTACGGTGGCAGAAGTAACGCTGATTAAGAAAATTATCGAGCTCTACATCGCAGCGTTCAAATATGGAGACTCCGAAACGGTCAGCAAGCTCCGTCATCCACAATATAAGCAACATAATCCAGATGTTTGGGATAGACTGCAGGGATTGGTCGGATTTGCCACCATGCAGCAGTTAGCTGCCCAGAACAGTGGTCAAGCGCAGCCACCAGCTTTCAAATACAAGAGATTCCTTAGAGACGGTGACTTTCTGACTATTCACATGCACGTCGTCCGATGGCCTGGGGATTGAGGAATGAATATTGTGGATATCTTCAAGATCGAGGAGGGACTATTTGCTGAGCATTGGGACTGGATCTGCGAGATACCGGATCGGTCCAAGAATTCGAATGGCATATTTTAAAAATCCGTTGCAAACCTTGCCGCCTGTCGGATATTCATACGGCAATATCTAGTGGAGAACGAGTAAGGAACTCAACCATACTTGGAGCTGAGCTGGACGAAAGAAGCTATCGACCCTCTGCATATTCGAAATAATAAGAACTGGACGCGAAAGCCTCTTACACAACACCCGCTGCATTTCCAGTGATTGCATGGATATTTGTCGTGTTGCAATAACACTGAAATAGCGAACTGTTCTCTTCTGAACGCAGAGAATTCACGGTCAGCACCCCATCCAGGCAGTGATGATCACCACGAACCAGATAGATTGCCTGCTTGTCTCGAGTCTAGATTACCTGAGAAAATACCGCTCCTCCTTACCATTGGGATGAACACTGAAATCCACCCGAAACTCATGTGGCAGCATTTTGAACCTCTTAAGGAAGAATGGAGGGCGAGTGGAATTATGTAGAAACTTCTGTCATCTTTCAACTCTAGAGGAGGCTCCTTGCTGGCGAACGGCTACTATCAAACATAACATGACAATACTCTCTGAAGCCTTTGTTACCTTGTTGCAGAATGGCTCGTCTTTCTTCCCAATGCTTAGTGTGATGGTAGGCCTGGTGGTCTTCAATCGTGTTCCAGCCAACCCAAGCAATAAAACATCTTTTGTGCCCATGCACCGGTTCGACAATATATCCTCCTGCAACGCCCATGCAGCCTTTCACATGTGGCACAATAGTCGCCCATAACTGCCATGCGAAATCCCACGCTCTATCGGTGTCAACGTAGATCGCTGTTCCTGTAAACGGTGCTCCTTTCCCAAGTGATTCACATTTGGGTGTGTACTCGACCAAGAAGGCGTGTCGCACGACGAGTTCGGCCTGAACTATTTTCTTAAGCATGCCCTTTAAATCCGTATATACTGCTGAAGCAAGAAAGTCATAATGCTGTGAGAGCTGTTCTCTGACTACATAGCCGAATTATCAGTTGCCACTTCCGAATAATGCATCTAAGCCAGACATACCAATATGGAGGTGGACCATCTCCGAATTTTCGAGCCCAAGGCCCCAGTATACTCTGCGAACCTCCGGACATCTCCTCAAGCTTTCAAGGGCTTGGTTGAAGGTAACTGCTCCTTTGGAGGTATCCTCTATCGAAATTCCAGGTCGTAGTTGTATGACTATCATTTGTGTACAGGCGGTAGGGAACTGTGTAGATGACGAGGCAATATGCATCTCCATTTCGTCTTTCGTTGGGGACAGTATTTGGACGAGCGTACTATTTGTAGACCTGTTCAGGGGTGTCTGATTTCTCTCTCGCAGCTATTGAAGGCTGGGAAATGCTTTTGCATGAGATAAAACGTGAATTCTTCTGGTGAGATGCCAATCCATAGTACACCAATTGGTGGGGCAGCTCACCCAGCTGGCTTTGGGGCTTGGTTTTATGTCAAGGAGTTGGAGATGAAATCTTGGAGTGTGTAATCATGGGCGCCAATGAAGCCTCGGCCCTATGTGACTCAAGGCCCTTGGTCATTGCTTGCACCATTACTCCTTGTCATAGGACTAGTTAGATCTCGGCTCGACTCAGGATCTGCCAGGTTCTAGAACCATTTACCCCGCGGGGTAGGTGCTTGTTTTTGGGCACATGGCTTGGCCGAGGTCTGCAAAAGTCATTTAAAATCGTTTAGACATAAGAAGCGTATCCCGCCACCCAGGGCATGACAGAATTCGCGGATCGCGTAACACTTCATGTCCTGTCGCCCGCTAGACTCAACCATTATAGGGTATAGTATTAGCTAAAAGACACAGTTGGGTGGTCCACGACTTCTGACGTCCGCTGGGTGCCCTCGTTCCTCCACTTCTGCTCGATTCGATCTATTATCTAATGTTTATATTTTCAGAATGCCTGTGACTCCGTTCAAGTTAGCAGAAAAGTACCGATACCTCGAAGGATTTGGCAACCACCACCAGTGAGTACTATTCGTCTGAACATTCTTATAACGCAGTGCTCCTGTTTGAGCCTTTAAGTTGTACGACAACTGATCTGGACAGGTCTGAAGCTTTCACAGGTGGAAATCCAATTGCCTGTAACAATCCACAGAAGCCACCACTCGGACTATTGACAGAAAGAATATCGGGATCCGCCTTCACTGCACCTAGGTCTCATTGCCTGCAAACATGGCTCTACCGTGCAACATCATCTCGTCAGCATAGTGGCTTTAGACCGTATGGTCCTCATTCAAGTACTGCTGCAGATTCCGGATTGCATGCCACTCTCAATGCCCATAGGTGGATGTCATTTCCTGTTCAAATGGGTCAAGACTGGACGAACGCTCGCCTCCTCGCACATTCAGGGGATGCTTACATGAAAACTGGGCTTGCTGTCTATATCTTTGCAATCACTGAGGACATGAAGGATGCACGAGCGTTTTCCTCCCTCGATGGCGATATGCTGATTATCCCGCAACAGGGTGCTTTGGATATCCAAACAGAACTTGGAAATCTGCTAGTCCGACAGAATGAAATCGCCGTCATTCCCCGTGGAATCAGACACCGAGTGACATTGCCAACTGGTCAAGCACGAGGTTACATCTGCGAACTTTTCCAGGGACATTTTAGACTTCCTGAACTTGGCCCGATTGGGTCATGCTCACTAGCAAACGTTCGAGATTTTCAGATACCCGTTGCTGCATTTGATGGTACTCTCCAAAACGGAAGGGCTTGTGGGAACAATCGGCAGTGGCAAATCGTGTCCAGATTTGGAGGACGCTTGTTTAGCTGCACGCAGGGACACACTCCATTTGATGTGGCAGCATGGAATGGCACATACTATCCGTACAAATATGACCTTGCTCGCTTTTGCGTGCTCGGTAGCGCTCTGTACGATCACCCGGATCCCAGTTTATTCACCGTGTTAACAGCACCCTCTTACCGTGAGCCCGGTACTGGGGTGGTCGACTTTGCCATTATTCCTCCTCGCTGGAATGTGATGGAAAATACATATTGGTTACCATACTATCATCGAAATACAATGACAGAATTCTCGGGTCCCATCATCTCTAATCAAGACGAAAGTTGCAAGTGGAACCAGGGTCTGGAATTTCAACCATATGGGGCTTCAGTGGCCTCTGCGATGGCCTGCCATGGCGCCTCTAATGGTGAACACATAAAAGCAGGAGACCAGGCAACCGAGCCTCAGAAAGTCGGCACTGAGGGCTTTACGATATTTCTCCTCGAGACAGAGTGTCCTCTCAGTATATCGGATTGGGCGATCCAGGAGTTTCAAGTTGATGGCCAGACCAGTGGGATCTTGCACAAAACTAGACCCAGTCTCTGAATCTGAGTCGAACAGAGGCAATGAAGGAGATACCCTATGGTGAAGGATCATCTACACTATCTGAAACATGATCTTGTACATGCTAGGGAGAGATGGAGCACCTATATATCCCCTTTGACTCTTGATCCGCAAATCCGTCGATACAGATTGTTTGAACTATCACGAGTGAGTCATCGCGGTTGCCTCAACCCTTGCTTACACGGGAAAGGATGACGTGGCTCAGCTTTTTATAATAATATAGACTTTTCACAGGGTTGGGGCGCTACTTTGCTATCTATGTATACTGCATACAATATTCTCAATGAAGAAATTCTACCCACTCCTCGAAAGCCGTTGACTGTATGGCATAATACTGCTCAACATTGCGAACCTCCTCTTCGTTCATCGGAAAACTAGCCATATTCAAGTGATTTCTAAATAGTTTTCCTCCGCTACTAATCATGTATTTCGCCACGGGTAAAGGTACCCCGCGCTCTTCGACAAATGCTCTCAGTGCGTCTTCGTCGTTGGCGATTTCGATCTTGGGTGTCTTCTTAAGCTTATTTGGGAGAATCATAACGACATCTTCTTAAGGAAACATCCTATGCCCGTATAGATAGAGAATATTTTTGTTATCTAGCAGGCCTTTTGCAAGTAAAGTACCACACACCCTGCCAAAATCCTCCGGGACAATACAATGGATCTGAGTATTTGGTGAGAATATTTTTACTTTTCCAATTCGAGCCCAGATTTGTATTGGAGAGTATTTGTTGCGAAAGATCCTGGTCTGACGGCCAAAAGCCACTGGAGCCGAATGTTTCTTCAAGGTTGACCTCGACCCGCGCGTGCAAGTATGGAATGACCTCTTTGGGGTTGAATGGCTCTTGGATCATCTCGGACTATATAGCTACGCAAGAAGACCACTAAAACGATGCCTGAGGACTTAAGTGCCTCTATAGTAGAATTCATATGATCGAAGGATCCATATGCGCTGTAGATGAAAGCGTACGTGGCTCCAATTCTAGCCACTGCGGTGTGAACTGTATCCAGCATGTTGAGATTAGCATATGCCTTTTAGAGATTCAGTTAGTTTGCCTTAAGACCAAGGCCTAGAATGAGTTTTCTCCACGTCTCGCATGGCCAGGATCACTTCCACACCCAGTCTTTCGGCGGTGAGCACGGTGGCTTAGCCTACTGCATCTGTTGGACCCAAGATAATAGCGGTGCGCTCCATATTCAACAACGATCCTTGAAGACTTGTTTGATTTAAAAAAGTCATGAAGAAACGTTAATCAAATGTCTCTATTTCCGTTCTCTTGACCTTAATGACTAATTCCTGACAAGGAGAACATAAGCCACAAAGACCTAATATCATTACCCTTGAGAGGGATATCCCTTGATTGGCTTGAAACAAACGATACCTCAATGGTCTGCTGGAACGGCAATGACTCTTCATCTATTGGTGTTCACCTTCCATTCCTTAAGGACGATTATTAAAGAGACAAATCCTGCTCTATCTTCGCTGTAAATGCAAATAGGATGCTATTTATGCTGCAAGGTTGTTAAAGCTCCATGAATCCGATCCTTCTGGCGTTCCAACTATCTGTTTCGCATGATTTTGCTTTTACGTCACTGGTCCTTGAGGTCTTTGGGTGATTGGTATCGTGCTTCTCCAGCTTTTAAGATCATCTGGAACAGCTTAATGTCGTTTCTAGCGTCTTTGACGCTGGTTTTTGGTGTTTCTTTATTGACTACACATCTGTGAAAGTCTAAGAACTCGATCGTATAAGGGTCAAGATACGTTTTCCTCGTTGTACGTTCTTGGTATCCATTAATTCCTGCCTTTTCTCTGATAGTCATAGTAACAGGAAGTCCCTTGATATAAGGCGTATCAAAGTTAACTCGTACAATTTTTTCTGGCGTATAGACTTCGATGTGGGCATCAAAAAGTGGGACATTGTTGATACCGGATTCATACACCACTGGAAAATCGTCGTAGTGAAATAAAACGCTGAAAATACCAGGGAAGGTCAAACACGCGCCAACCACGCTTTGCGGCATTCCAATCATCTCGCGCATGGCAGATAGATCGTGTGTTCCAAGCCTGTGTAAGGTTATCAGTAAGCATTTTCATACGCAGGCTCCGTAAAGCTACACGTACCCTCCGAGAACACGCAGCATTCTTTTTGACACGGGTGTCACTGGGATGTCAAACTCGTATCTCAACGCCTGCTCGAGGATATCTTCTTCGCGCCGCACTCGATCCTCCATGTCAGCGGGGCTGAAATCGTTGAACTTTTCCGGAAAGGTGCCAGACTGATCAACAAAGACTGAATTGGCACCGATGATGTCCCTCACGCGCACATACTGAATCTTGCTCCTACCTCCTACCTCTTGTAAAGCATCTATAAAGGCTGGGGCAAATCGTCGCATCGTGCCTACGAAGATCTTCCCCTGCGACTTTCGCTCGCCCTCTATGAGAAGCTCGATGTCACGAAAGCACAAAGCGGCAGGCTTTTCGAGTAGACAGTACTTATCGAATCGAAGGGCTATGAGAGCCTGATCAACATGATAGGCGTCAGCACTGCAGATCAGAACAACGTCGACTTCAGTTGATGAACAAAGCTCTTCCGCACTTTTGGTGACCTTCGGTGTGCCGCCAAGGACTTTGCTTGAGCAATGCAACAAGGAGTCTCTCGAAATATCGCAAAGATATGTCGTTCGAAACTTATGCGCCAGGGAGTTGATAGTTGGAATATGGACCACCTGTGCTATCTCGCCGCAGCCGATGATCCCTATGCGCAAAATTCTGCCGTCCACCTCGCCATCGTCGCCTATTGCTGCAATTGCGTGTGCTCCGTTCGTCTGAGGTGCTATCGATCCCATGGTTGGCTTATGATGGTACAGGTTTCGCTCGATGAGAAGGAGGTTATGATTTTTGTCTCTATAGCAAGTTAAGTTTGTGCGACGGAGCAATAAGTACTCTGAGTTTCTAGAAATTCGTACTATCCGCAAAACAGTATTCGGTGGCCCGCCCCAAGAGGTTGGCAGTCGGAAGCCAGCAGGCGGCCTTTGCAAGGGTTCTGCTCCGGGCTTAGCATGGACGTGTCAGACGGGAGGTGTGGATGGGATGGAGATCTCAGATGAAGAATCTCCACAAACTGAACATCTCCCCGATCAACCCCGGCTTGGCAGAAATCCTCGAGACGAGAACAGGGCCGATGCGTCGGGGGCGATCGGCTGGTGCAACTTTGACATCTGCTGAAAGTCTGTTCCCCCTCAGAAACCCAACTTCCGATACTCTCCCACAAGGATCCTCCCCACATTCTCATCTCCGCCTGGAGAACTCGGAAGTTCTTGATGTGTTGCTAGCCAAATTTGAAAGTCCAGGCTCCTTAGAGCATTTGAACAAAGTCGTTTGGAGGTTCCGAGCCCTCGTCTAATTAGCTCTTGCCAATGCGGTTTCACGGTCACTACAATAAAGCCGTCAACTCCCCCCCCTCCGGTCTGAACTTCCTCTGACTACAATCTATCAACTGCTACCACCTTACAAAGGCTTCAATTCAGAGTCTACAATCCTTTATAACCGCACTATGGGCCGATTTGGGAGCAAGAAAGAGGCCGAGTTGGCTGTTGGCAAGGAACTAGCTGCGGTACGTTTCCAGCTTGCACAGCCTCAGTGTTGGTGGGAATAACCTTTTAATGCTAAATACACATCACCCAGGTCCTACCAAATAACCCCAAACCATGGTATCTTGTACCACATCTTCTGAAGCTTAATCTGATACTCCTCGTCCCCTTGTTCTCTTCTGCTTCTGTTGGCTATGATGGTAAGTATAATCTGCCAGGAGAACAGAAAGGGTAGCTGATCTCGCACGGCTAGGATCGATGATGAACGGTCTACAAACCCTTCCCCAGTGGCGAGTATTCTTCGACCGACCCGAAGGTGCGATGTTGGGCCTCATGAACTCGATCTACCCTGTCGGCAAAGTGGTCGCTTTGTTCTTAGTCTCTTACTTGGTCGACCGTTTTGGTCGCCGCATACCTATTCTCTTTGGCTTAATCACTTGCATAGCATTTGCCATCATGCAAGGGCTGTCACAGAACCTAGCCACTTTCGTCGTGGCGAGATTTCTACTCGGGTTTTGCACCAGTTTTCTGAGCCAACCGAGTCCAATCATCGTTACTGAGCTTGCATACCCTACGCATCGCGGCAAGATCACTGCTATGTACAACACCTTCTATGTATGCAACCTTCAGACTCTGGGTACCTTCAGAATACTAATTCCGTTTAGTACTTCGGCGCCATTTTTGCCGCTTGGACCACATACGGGACCTTCAAAATCCAATCAACTTGGAGCTGGAGAATTCCATCGATTCTACAAGGTGCAATTCCAGCCATACAACTCCTGGGTTGGTACTTCCTCCCAGAATCTCCGAGGTTGGTCACATGCGATCCTTGTCAAATATCGTTATTCTGACCTCCTAATGATTAGATGGCTCGTTGCCCATGGCCGTAATACTGAGGCTCGAAAAGTTCTTGCCGATTGGCACGCTGCTGGGGACCTCCAGTCTGCTTTGGTCGAATTTGAAATGCGTGAGATTGAAGCCGCTGTGATGGCCGAGGCCGATGCTATGTCGTCGACATCATGGTTTGACCTCGTCCGCACTCCTGCCAATCGCAAGCGAACTCTTATCGCGATCATTACCGGTTGGTTCGCCCAATGGAATGGCGTCGGGGTGGTCAGCTATTATTTGGTTCTCGTGCTCAACACCATCGGTATCACTAAGGTCAAAGATCAGACCTTAATAAACGGCCTGCTTCAGATCTTCAATTGGTTAGTGGCGACGTTCCTGGGTGCTTTCATGGTTGATCGGCTAGGTCGGCGATTCTTGTTCCTGCTATCTTGCGCAGGCATGTTGATCAGCTACATCATCTGGACAGGACTAACGTCTTACTTCGTATCCGCTCGTGGCGAGGCCACGGGTCGTGCTGTCGTGGCTTTCATCTTCATATATTATTTCTTCTACGACATCGCCTGGACTCCTCTCCTACAAGCTTACCCGGTTGAGATCTTTCCTTACACACTACGCGCACGCGGCCTGGCCACTACCTACATATCCTCTTTCATCGCTCTGATCTTGGGCAATCAAGTCAACCCAATCGCCATGAAATCATTAAGCTGGAAGTATTACATTGTCTTCTGTTGCATCCTGGCCTTTCTTTTTGGCATCATCTATTTCTTGTTCCCCGAGACCAAAGGCCATACCCTGGAAGAGATCCGTGAGATCTTCGAGGGAAAACTCAATGTCAGAACCGAGGACTTGGAGGAAAAGCAATCGGAATCGAATTCACACCATGAGACTTCGAATAAAGTCACAAGTCAAGTTCAAGTTGCACCATAGACTTGAATCCCTTGCAGAGGAGCGATGGTGGATCAGAAATATTTTTCTCGCAACAGACTGACACGTGGACTTGGCCTTAGTATGCGGTGGGGCAATGCGAATGTCTAATCTCTAGATGTGGTGGCCCCTAATTCGAGGAACAGAGGGAACTTGCCTTCCCGAACTACTCGCATGCTCGAAAGGATCGGAATTATTTCTTTCAATGTTTATATATTTTGCGACAAGCGTATTACATATTGCATATTAATCGTATAGATGCAGACTATATTGGTTCAAGCGACTGAAATTCTTCGAACTGCAGAGTGTATGGACATAAAACAGATCATCAAACAGTCTTGGTAGGCATATGGATTGGTTCAACGCATATACCCATGCCCGGCCAATATGTAATCAGAGACTAAGTCTCATTGAAAAGCAGCATGTAGTAATAGTGTAGTCATGTCGTAATTTGTTCTAACGCCATATCTTATCCATTTGCATAACCGCGCCGACGTATATTAATTTTCTCATTACATATCTTAGTTGACACAACGCTTGTCTCAAGCTCTGGAATTGAGGAATTCAACTTCATTGACGCTGAGATATCAATGCTTGATATCTTGGCCAGCTTGTTTCAGTATCTTTGTCCTGAATTTCGGTTCAGATGCCTGTCCAAGTTGAGGTTACAGCCACATCAAAAGTCCCTGCCAATGTGATTTTTTGACTAGAGCTGCCCACCAGAACATGGTATGTCCCTTTTTCAAGTACCCATGCATTTGCCAGCTCGCTCCAGTAGCTGCACGCGTATTTCAGATCAAGTTCAATTTCGAACTTCTCAGTCTCCCCACTGGCGACCAGTAGCTTCGTAAAGGCTTTCAATTCCTTGACTGGTCTAGGCACCATTGATGTTGGAAAGCACAAATAGACCTGAACAACCTCCGAGCCGCTTCGATGACCAATGTTGGCAACATTGCCAGAGACTTTCGCCGATACTGGTGCGTATGCCTCAACGGAGAGCTGAGACATCTGAAACTCTGTGTATGATAACCCATGACCGAAGGGAAACAAAATTTCGCGGTCAATTTTGTCGTACCATCGATAGCCGACGTAGATGCCCTCTCCATAAGTAACATTCCCATCTTCCAATTGAGTGTTCACAAATGCAGGGTTGTCTTGAACCCTGATTGGCCAGCTCAGCGGTAGCTTCCCCCCAGGGTTGGCATGTCCAAAAAGCACATCAGCAATAGCATTTCCTGTTTCGTTGCCTCCGTACCAAGCTTGGAGAATTGCAGGTACGTTCCGGACCCAGGGCATAGTGACAGGGGTCCCTGATTGATTTATTACTACCAGATTGGGATTGACCTCCGCAATCGCGTTTACCAGAGCATTCGAGCCAGGCGGGAGGTCCATATTTTGTCGATCCCAGCCTTCTGATTCCCATTCGGAATTTAAGCCAATGCAAACAATCACCTGATCGACTTCTTTTGCCAGATTGACTGCATCAAAGAGCAAAGACTCAGCGTCAGTAACCGGACAACCTCCAATCTGCAAACCACCCAAGCCCATCTGTGTGGCACCCGTCTTCCGCACTTTTGAAGTTGGGGCAGTAGCAAACTGGACAAGGATTTTGTATTCCTCGCCTTTATGAAGGGCCATACTGCCAATCTCTTCCGCCGTGCCCGACCCAAAGAAGGAGTCACCAGGTTGCTGTTTAGTCTCGTTGTCAACAACGAGCTTTCCATTAACATACAGCTTAGCCGTTCCATTCACGGTTAGAGAGAAAAGGTACACCGAATCTGCTTCTGGCATGAGCATACCCTCAACTTCGACATAAAATAAGTTGGTGTGAAGCGTCGGATGCGTATAGTCGTTCAAGAAGCAGCTAGAGTCCGTGATATTGAATGCTTCTACTAATCTTCGATTTTGTACAGATGGCGGATCATGATAGACTCGCATTTCCATACCTGGTGTATTATTGGGATGAATGAACGTAATGTTGGAAAGCATCGGCAGTTTTTTATAGTTCGTGGCGCCCTGAGCATATCTCACTGACTTCGCTCGAGCCCGAATGCCCTCGAATGGACTGACTGCACGATGCGGGCGTAACTGTGCTGAGCCACCTCCACTATATGCTGCCAGCATGGCGTTGGGTCCGATTACAGCAGTAGTTTTGTGTTCCGACAAAGGAAGTACTTTTCCTGAATTCTTCAGAAGAACAATGCTGGAAACTGCAATGTCGCGCAACTTCGCTTCTGTTTCAGGATTATCAATCGTGCCTTCGGAGGCGAAGTCTTTGATCCCAAGAGGTGCCACTCGATCTATGGTTCTCAGTACTGCGCGCACGCGGTCATCAATTACAGACTCTGTAATTTTACCAGAGCTGACGGACAGCTGCGCTAACGAACCACGCCAACGACTTGGGCCGGGCATTTCGATATCGAGACCAGCACTTAACGCCTCGGCGACAGAATATGTTCCATACCAATCACTCAAGACCAAACCGTCAAACTTCCATTCACCTCGAAGAATATCCCGTAACAGTTGCGTATTTTCGCTGGCGTGAACACCATTTACCTTGTTATAAGCCGTCATGTAAGCTTTCGGCTTTGCCTTTTTCTCTGCAATCTGAAAAGGCATCAGATAAACTTCCCTCAGAGCTCTGGCAGTGATGATTGAGTTCGACCTCTGTCTCTTCTCTTCTTGGTCATTGCAAACAAAATGCTTTATTGCGGCAATAACTCCCGTTGATTGAATGCCAACTACCAACGCGGCAGCTAGGTCTCCAGACAGCACAGGATCTTCGCTGTAGCTTTCGAAACCTCGGCCACCCAGTGGTGTCCTCTGAATATTGATAGTCGGCCCGAGCACGATTGAGACACACTTTGCGATCGCTTCCCTTCCCATCATTTCTCCCGCAGTACGCAGGAGTGCAGTGTCCCATGTTGCTCCAAGCGCTGTACCACAAGGGAAACAAGCAGCTGGGACACCGTTGAATAGTCGAGAACCGCGAATTCCATTAGGTCCATCTGACATGCGCAGCGCTGGAATATTCAATCGTGGAATAGCCTTGGTGTGCCAAAAATCAACACCTTGAAACAATCAAGTTAGCAATCAAAGATACGGAAAGAACTGTCCCTACCTACCAGAAAGCAGGCCTACTTTCTCCTCGAGTGTCAATTCCGAAAGAGTATGCTCGATATCCATCTGGATTGAGATGAAGATTCGATGTATGTAAATCCTGACACAGGCCTCGAAACACGTTCACAGAGACGTTGTAAGAAGAAGAGCGGAAAGTTGCTAAACGAACGGTACTATCGAACACCATGAAGCAGCGGATTTAGCATTAGAAAACAATTGCGATTCGTGGTTTGTGAGCAGTAGACGAAGCTAGACCTAGCATGGGGGTCAAGAAAGCAGTGCATAGCGAATAATTACACATTCCGGGCGTTCTGCTCTGTTCGGAACTCGTGCCGAGAAAAGTGCCGGAGCACCATTCTGCATCTCGAATAAATGTTAGACCAGAACCTTGCTTGCCGATAGAAAGGCGGAGGAGCAAGCCGGTAGCAGAGGATAATTCGCACTGATGACAACTATATTGCAAGGTGTACCTCCAGTTAATTGGATAGTGCTCAGGTGTCCCTTCTTGGCTGACTCGGACTGCAGCGCCGGAACCCTAACCTAACCTCGTGGGTACATCAAATGGGCCGTGAACGCCGATACTCCCCGACACTGGAAATCAGCATGCAGATGAAGTACGACCATAGCCTATGTGGATATTGTCCGCCCTTTGCCTCATTCGTGTTAGGTTCTCCAATTGTCGCACGAGGAAATAATCTACTTATTTCCTCTACCGAAAGCACTAGTCAGGAGCACCAGTGTCGACGAGGGCGCCATCATCCGAGAAGCGTTTATTTTGTACCTGAGTGTCAAAGAAACTTTGTAAACTGCATAACCGCCGAAGAATGTTTGAAATTCGTAATACCTCTTCACATCAAGTGATACACTTGCAACGTCTTTTCTATCTCGACTGGTTGTGTTCAACGGTCAATTTGATGTGCACCCTGAAGCCATCGACGATTCATCGAATGTCTCGTTGATAATGATCTGGACAACAGATGCAGCTTGTTTTAAATCAGGCGCTTCATCATACCACTTTTGCACAGTCATCATGCAGACTTCAACTGCATCTTTCCACCTTTCAGGTAGCTCGATTTTCCCACTGCGTGCCGCAGCAAGGAGCAGTAATGCTCTGGTCACGGACGTCCTCGCAACATACCATGTCCCGTGATGACGGCTGTGTGAAGATAGGTGAAACGCATTCTCTACACAAAGTTGTAGACATTTCTTCGCTAGCGCTGTGGCTTGCAGCCAGTGTGAATTATCTGACCCCATATGATGTATCACGTTGTAAAGAAAGGGGCGATGGATTATCTCACGACAACTCATGGCTCGTCCATGAATATAGTATGAAAGCTCGTCGGTCGAGGCTCGAGATACATCCCAGGTGATTTTGGGTGGTATATGGGCGCACCTGCAGTAACAAGTCAGTAAATTGTGTTGTTTGCCACCTCACCACTCCTTGCCGTCGGCTTTAGTGTTCCAATAGGCATGTTTGAAAAAGTCAAATCTGAATCATATCGCCTTCAGGGACAGAATTCATAGGGTACGGTAACATAAGCGAATCACTTGTACTATGGCATACTCACCAAATATCAATCTCTTCTTCAAATTGAGCACACTGTTCCATGGTGGTGTGGATATCTTCGGTCCAGCCTGATTTCCAGTTGCTGTTCATGGTTGCAACCATTCGATTGAACATTCGACGGAATGAAATCTCGGCGAGGTAGTAGAACCAACTTTTCTCTTCTTCAGGCTGAATAGCTTGATCTGAGTTCTCGAGGTTTGCCGGGAGAGCTGAAGGAGATGCCATCTCTGTAGGCGGCGAGGGGAACTGATCTGGGAAGTTGAGACGCGTGATTCCACTTGGCGGCAATGGTACTTCACACCGAAGTTCGCTGCGCAAGGTATAAGTTTGTGCCAAAGTAGACAGTCCAAATTCGTGCATACCACTCTGTTTTCATGCATGACCAGTACAATCTCTGTTCCAGTCGTCGTTCGAGATGTGACGTAATGGGTTCCTCGGCCGCGCGATTTTGAGACTTTTTCCAAAAGTGAGTTTGAAGCTGCAGAGACGCATGTTGAAAGTAGAACCAAGCTTGCTGTGGTTTAAGCATATACATTTCAAACACTCCAAACAGGAACAGGCATTGAACGTATAGTAACGATGGCTGTAAGAGGCCTAAACGCTTCTTTGCAGCCAAGCAGAAAGCTTGAGCGGAGCCTAGATTTGTCAAAGACAATTCTACCGAGCGACTTGATTCTGGAGTTTCGTAGAGAGTTGATTCTGGACAAAACGGGCCTGCCAGACAGCCAAGAGCGCAGGCGATTAGCTAAAAGAAGAAAAGAAAAAAAGGTATCAGTACCACAGCATAGTGATCACCCTCTGAGAACATGCGTACCACCAAACAGGATGGGCCATCCCAGCCAGGTCCGTTCTCGGACGCTTCCCTAACAAGAAGCTTAAACTTTGCCACGTCCAAGATTGGATTCTTCACGTGGACGTAGGTGAGGAACTTCTGAGATAGTGTAATGAAGTTTTCTTCCTGTATGATGTTGGAGTAAGCACCTCGACGAGCTTGGCCTGCGTTTTTGCTGTATGCAGCTGAGGTGTTATCTGATGATTCGTCATCACAAAATTCCAGGACAAAAGAATGAGTTTGTGGAACTATATTGCTGAAGATAGGCCAGCGCAGGATACTCTCACAATTGATGCGCGCCGCCGGAAACTCAGGGAGATCAAGGGAGTTGAGCACGTCCTCCACATCAGCGGGAAGATCCTTGCCCCTCGCGGCCGTGCTGTGACATTGAAAACCTGATGAGTTGTCGGATGCAGGGCCTTGAAATTGCGGCTGGGGGTCCTTGGATTTGGTATGGGCACCTTGGTGGGAGAGGCAAGACTTGAGTTGCAGAGACTGATGGTCGAGCAAGGTAACAACATGATTGATGCGATTAAGGATGGCTAGATTGCTTGTGTCACGATCCCAGCAGGGCTGTTAGTCGAGTCAGTCAACAGGCACAGGGGCAATGAAGCATACGAGGTATAGTTGTTTACTTCGTCTGGATAGACACAGCGAGCACCATTTTGGGCACAAAATCCACACGACGGTCGGCCATTGTCACATTTAGTCTTGCGAGCCCGACAAACCTGACACGCGGCCACGGCTCGCTTCCTTGCATAGATAGCCGTGGTCGCTTTCCTTTTCCTTGGAATGCTAGAAGGACGTGCACAAGCCTCTTCGCTGGTTGTCGGATGCTGATTATTGGAAAAGTCCATGGTCGTAGGATAGATGAGGGGCGGGACGAGTACTTAGGTCAAGGGTTTAGTTTCTTAACTAGAGATTGTGAACTTTCAACACCTGGGCGGACGCCAAGTCTCTGGAGAAACAGGCCACTACGTGCACGGGTACCCTCATAGGTAATTGGTTAACCAAATGAGCCGGTCTGTTGGGGACAGAAGGGCGCGTCGGCTACCGGCTGGTGCACTAACTAGAACCTGGAACTCCTCCATACCTATCGCTTACCAAGGTACCTCGTACCTACTAAAGTAATTAACTACCTAGGGAGTTAAACAAGAGGCGGATAGGTAGTTTACCATTTTCCACAAGATTGTTCATACCACTTCGCAAGGAAATGCCCTGTCCCCCATAAGGTGGTTGGTGAGAGGGGCGCCTCAGGGACCTAGGTCTTCCGATCACGAACCCGTCCATGTACGAGGTATGAGATTCAATTTACCAGAGACTTCGGGGGTTGCTATAATCCCCATCATCGCTTGTCCTGCGGAAACTTCGCGCCTCCCTGTCTGCGGACTTCGTCCAGGATCCCCAGCACACGTAATGTTTCATTCCATGGTATCAAGGTATGTTCTGTCTTCCCCCGCGCAATGGCCAGCGCAACTTCATCTGCTTCCCAAAAGAACCCCTTTCCGGATCTCTCGAAGTCATGCCTCGTACTAGTACCAGCTTTGTGGACGGTAAAAGAGGCTGGGGCAGACGCAACAAATCCGTCGACCGTGATAACACCTTGATTACCCTCTATCCTGCAGAATGTCTCAGACGTTTTAGCCAATGTCGATGATGTCAGAATAGCCTGGCTTTTGGGATATTGCAATATGAAAGACGACGAGATATCAATGCCGTCAACAACTTGCTGTGTTGCCGCGATCTTTGGTGGTGACTCCGTATTCTCAAGACCCATTGCCAACAATCCCCAGGTTAGGCTGTAGATGCCGATATCAAGCAAGCTGCCTGCCCCCAAAGCCGAGTTTCTGAGGCGGGACGTGGGCGGTTGTGCTGCAATATTCATGTCCATGGCAAAATCGCAAAAGACGCGCTGGACATCGCCAATGATCTTTTCTTGGTGTACCAGTTGTTGAAGTGTACGTACTAGGGGAAAGAACCGTGTCCACATGGCCTCCATGACGAAGATATTTCCCTTGACTTTGGCGGCAGTGAAAATCTCATTGGCTTCGTCAGCATTTAATGCCAATGGTTTCTCACAGAGGACATGCTTGCCTGCCTCGATAGCTTCGAGGCAGTTCTTCTTGTGCAAAGCATGTGGCGTGCCGATGTATATAATGTCAATGTTTGGGTCCTGGTACAGCTCTTTGTAGCTTCCATAGACTCGTGGTTGCCTGTCGGGTATGTTTTTGGATACGAATGCCTCGCCTTTCTCAACGGATGAAGAGCCAACGGCTTGGATAACATGATTCGCTTTGGGGTCTTTTCGTGGAATAATCAGATCTCCTACAAACCAGGATGAGATGAGTCCGGTTGCAACAATACCCCAGCGCAGCGTTGGGATTTCGTCTGAAGCCATGTTAGCCTACCTAGGAGCCATTGTCGATGTTCTACAAAATGCGGAAATCGCACTAAATGTTCTTATATTTAGCAGGTGCCATCTCGGACAGGAGCCAAGCTGACGAAGTTTAAGATCTGCCCATGTCTCAGCCATCGAACAGCCCGGACACTGGCCGATCATCCCCGAGAAATTGGCATCCTGATCGTAACTGAAGCTTCAACATCACCCCATTCTCTACCTACCCGGGTTGTTCATGATTCGTCTGTCTTGATGTGGGCGCTCAAATCCTTTTCTACTCTACCCAAAATGACTAATCAATCATCCAAGCTTTGATCATTCTTCCTACTTCCGAGAACACCAACCTCAATAAGTCACGGAGGTCATTTATGCGATCTTCGCAGTTTCTAGTGGCTTTTCGCTGCCCCGATGATAGCTTCTGATACCAGGCTTGGCCAAGTGAATTTTCCGGGGAAAATAAACCACCCGGAGCATTCCAGCATGTGCGTGGAATAAAACGTGGAGTTTTCGTGATGCCGGCCGAAGATGCAACATTAACTGGGGCGATTTGCGCAGAGTTCAGGTGACCTACTTGTTAGTGATTAATGAGAAAATAGTTTGGGTGAAATGGAGTCTCAGAAAGTCGACAGGAGTCACTCCGAGAATGCTCCTTTGTGCAAAGGCGAAACAGTCATATCACCGGACCGACAATCTCCTAGGTTGCTCATCCACGCCACCAATACACAGCCCGAGACCCCATCTTCGTTCCTTCAGAAGCAACTTCGGAGAGAAGCTCGGAATGGCGTATCTTGCAATGTCGCAGTTTATTCAAGTCTATGGGGGTATCATTAAATGAGCTCTTCGCCCGAATTTTGTACTTTCAAAGACCACGGTGCGTTTCAAATCCTAGCTCCTGCTAGGTACTCACGGTCAATGACCTCATTTCCCCCTTCTTCATCCGTGCGTCTTCTTTCAAGCAACCACCTTCCATCGGCGTCTCGCTGATAGCTAACACTGTCTGCGCCGCTGCTGGTACGACTATGATAACCCTTTCGGTGGTCGCTGGCCACAGCCGGCGATACAGGCAGGTCTTCTTGGGAAGTGTATACACCTATCTCGGCGGGTTTCTTGCGAGGCGTGTTTTGCGTCAACGTAGGCCGATTCGCATCGTCGTCGTCCTCCTCCTCCGATTCAGGTATTCCTGGCGCTGATGATGATTGGCCATGCATGCCTGAGGACATCCTCGACGAATTGAAGTCCGAGTGAGAAAACGGATGATGGGATACATGAGCCAATGGAGAACTAAGGGGGTGCTGACCCCCCGCGCTGTTGACACTCGATGAGCTACCGCCGAATGCTCTTCCTCGAAGCCTCATCAGTGCACTGAAACTCATGTCATCATCATATCCAGGGGAATCGAGTTCCAACAGTTGAGCAATTCCAGGACTTGGCATAGATTGCGCCGAACCTGGAATTCCCCCAGGCATTTGTAGACACACGACCGAGTTCCTCGTGCTCCATTCACTACGCTCCGTGATGGGTGTCAAGCTTGGTTCTTGGAAATTTGCCTTGCCGCTATGGCTTCGTTTGACTCCATTAGAGCCCCGATCCGCAAAGTAGCCACCATTGGTGAGCTCGGAATTGCCTTTAGCATACGAGTGCGCATAAAACCCGAACTCTTGTCCATAGAACCCATCCTCATCATTCTCGAGTGCCTCGGCATTAGCCTCGGCAATCATGGGATCATCTTCGAGATCATCTTCAAACGGAAAACCATCATCTTCCGCAATGCCCGAGCTATAACTAAAACCAAATCGGCTGTCATCGGATATGATGCCGCGGTGACTGTTTCCATAGGAGGGAGATGTGTCGTCAGAAGTTTGGCTGAAGCTGACTTTGCGATCAAATCGGCCATTGGCAGCTGCTTGATTAGCCGCGTACGCTAGAGCGTCATGGTAGGCAGCAAGATTGGTTTCTGTCAAGCCGGCGACAGAATCTTGTCCGAAGCTTGTCTGACTCACGTGCCGCGGCTTATTGAGATCTTGAGCCCCAGAGTCGCTCCTGTGTGCAGCTTGGGCATGGTAAAATGAATCATTGATAGTGTCGTGTTTCTGGCCAACCAATGCGACCTCGCTGTCAAGTCGTGCAGCCGCTTTGGCTGCATCAAGCTTGCGAGCGTTCTCTGCAGGAATATCACGGATCTTCCCGGTTTCATCGTCGAATATCTGCTCATCAAAGACCGCATCGGTTGGGCCGTCAGTAATGTCTCCGAACTCCCCATCGTCAAAGTAAAGATCATCGTCATCGAACACTTGGGCGTGTGGTCGGGAGACTTGTTGCGATCGGCGTCTTCCACGAACAACTTCGCCTGCAGTGATACCAAGACCACCAATCATGGAGAATTGATTCACATCTAGCTCTTCATCTTTGTAGTCGGCATTGACGTGCTCACTCTGCGACAAATCTTTGGAGTCTGCGATTCCAATGGCAAACCCTTCATGATCTCGAGGGGTCGGCTGTGAAGCATTATTGGTGCTGGTTGGACTGAAGGTCAGAGATTGTGGTGTGAAGTGGAAACCTTGTAGTGATTGGCGGTGCAATGTGGTGGTTTTGATCACTGGAATGTCTGGTAATGGTGCACTTGGGGGTGGATATTTTGGTGCGAGGGCATTGTAGCGCGCCTCGAGGACGTCTGAGTCATCAGGAACCTCTTGAACTGGGGCGTATTTGGGCATCAACGCGTTGGTTGGAGGATCGTCGTTGAAGCCAAAGTCATCATCCTGGGGCGGATATTTGGCTGTTTGGGCGTTACTTTGATACATCTCGGCACCGAAGCCGTCCTCATCATTCAGGCCATATTTTGCAACAAAGGCGTTGCTCTGAGGGGCATTGGACCCAAGACCACCAATGTCTCCATAAAGATCGGCGTTGAAACTGGGAATTTCTTCCTCGAGCCCGTCATCGGCGTCGAAATCGTAATTGGCATATTCGTCATCTTCCTCTTCAATGTCTTTACTGGCGGTCTTCTGACTCTGGGCGTGCTGCTTGTGCTTTTCTTCCAATAATTTCTCTTGAGCAGATGAGCCTGCACCGCCTATCTGAAAGCTGAATCTCGAAGACGTGCTTGTCATGTGTTTGGGAAGTGCGGCTGGAGGGGGAGCCTCAAATTTAGGGGATGGTGTACGCTTGGGAGGTGGTGTCGGAGGTGGGGGCGAGGGCTCGGCTTGCGGTATCAGAGGGATATTTTCTTTATCTGGTAGCGAACGGTTGAGGATAGAGTCTGAATGGGGCACGGCCATGGGTAGCTTCTTCGCAAACGCCGGCACATTGGTGGCATCAGAGCCGTCATGCGCAATGTTGAATGCCGAGATATTATGCAAATATCCGGTCCGATCTGGTTGTAGTGCTGGTCGATCATCCTGAAAATGCTCCCTGAACATGGGGCTATGGCCTTGATTTGAGGTGCCGCTCAATGGCGCGAGTTTCCCACTCTGAGGCTCATGGAGGCGGTTTGGATCTGGCCCATGTCCCGAACGGAGAGCTGGCGAATCAAGTAGGCCAATATCATTCTGCGAATATTGTCTGCGAGTTCGCGGGGCCGAGAAATCGTGGACTACCTTGCCACGGATACTGGGATCGAAGTTGTCCGGGAGAGCCGGGACCGAGAGGGTTTTGATGGTGAGGTTGACGTCCTCGAGTTTCTGGTTCTGCGAAAAACGCCGACGTGCGAGCAGGCTCATTGGATTTAACAGATTAAGCCTGCTCTTCTTCGCCGTGGCGTTTTTGAGGTGGGAGGGGTCCTCATTGGGACGATCCAAAAGCTGAGTGGAAAAGCTGTAGTTCCTCAGGTTTGGAGAAGGGGCAGTGTCTGTAGGCTTTACAGGAGGCTCGAAGGACCGTCTCTCCCGATAGTCGCCAAAAGATGACTGGGACGTTACAGGGGATGGTCTCGAGGGTATTTCCAGCGAGTTAGGGCCCAGTCTTGACGCGGAATATGCGTGTTTTGTGTCAATCGCGTCGCTGGTTGCAGGGCGAGTATCTTGATCCAAAAGTGCATGTCTTTGCCATCCAGGGTCTTCTGACGCTATTTGACTGGGCCTTTGTTCGACTGGAGCTGGTCGTGGGAGCGCAGAGGTAAGTGGCTGAGGGTGATGGTTGTCTGAATAAGTCGAGACCGGGTTGAAGTTGATGGTCGGGCTATCGGCATCGTCGGTCGCAGAAGCGCCCTCTACGGGGCTCAAGACATCGCTGTAGCGGTTGGGCCGGTCATGTAATCGTCTGGTATAGGAAGGAGAAGTGGGCGAGATGTGGTCGGATCTTCGTCGATGACGGTGCAGCGGGATTCTGTTGCTACTCATACTGTGGGTGGAGCGATATGCTCACGCTCGTGGAGCAACAGGCTCCAGGTCAAGATGCATAGCAAAAGGCTACATGAGGTGTATGTCTCAGCTTGACGTCTGTGGCGAGTTGAATTAGACCCTGGAGTGCTGTTGGCAAGTGCGGTGCGATGTGCATCGAGCAGATAGTGTGGTGAAGTGGTGGAGGATGCGATGCAGACGAACCACGGAACGCAGGCGGATTGTGGAGAGTCGTGGTTGTCGACACAGGAGAAGCGAAGAGTGTTGATTAGCGAAGGTTGCGAGTTGTCGGACGAGATGTGCTCTGCTTGGGATGTCTGTTGTTGATGGATTATTGATATTGAGACAAGTCGAGTGTCATGAGGTGGTCCTGTTGAGATGTCGAGATCACGGGCAACTTGAAGAGAAACCAATCATGATGGATGGCACAAAGACCAAGGCATGGCGAGAGAGGCAGCCAATAATACTGAGTGACATCTTGTTCAGGCGGCCCACACGAGGGCACAGGCTTGATCTTAGGCGACAGAGTCCTCAGCAGAGGCCACATAGGGCCTAGAGAAGCACCTAAGAGGAGAGCAGTTAGCACGTAAACGAAGAAATGCAGGGACGGATATTCTTTCAACCACCTATTACCCTTGTGGAAGCAAAAGAGATCCGAGTACCTACTTCGAGTACCTCGATACCTACTTAGGTACCTAGCTCGGGCAGTAACAAATACATTGATGATTGCTACTTCCTCGTCGCCGCGTCACTGTACCAGGCCATCGCACCCTTCCTTCCCCAGATCCATCGTCCTGTGCTGCACCATCCGATGAACACGGAATTGTAAGATATGCTTCCGGAAGAACTCGTCACCCGGACTACCCCTCATTCGTCAACCTCGACTTGAACAGCCTGAGCAAGCAAGTCTTTTTCAAGCTTACTTCGGTATGGAAAGCTTATCCGATGTCCGGGTACAGTTACAGATAATCTATTACCAGTGCTGAGGACCAAGCCTCAAACATCCATGGTTCCACGGTTCGGCACATCAGCATCAGCATGAAGCATGGGCGTCGGTACGAGTAATGTTAGGTACCAGGTAGCTAAAAACAACTTGAGCGGCGTTTGCTGACCGCTCAGGCTCTGGCGAACATAAATCTGATCACTTGCTCTTTCCATCGGCCCTCGGGGCCCCTCATGCACTCAGTCCTTTTGAGTCCTGTAAAGAGTAAAAGTTTCAAAGTTCTGACACTCAGCCCAGTCCCTTCGGGAAAACCCGTGTGACACCGACTTGTCAGGGTCACGGTTGACCCACGACTTCATCTCCCAAGGTTTCTCTCTACAATACATAGTCTTTCGGAGAGTTGCACACCTTCATTTCCCCATGCAAAATTGAACATCCGATCTAGCACTTTACAGCAGAGGCTCTTCACCAACCACCATCATGAATTGCCCATCTCGCCCCGACAACATCGAGGGTCACCCAGACTGGAATCAGAATCCCCATGACTTGAGCTCGGATCTGACCACCAGGGCCGATCTGAACGGCATTGTCAACTTGCGGGAACAACGAGAGAATGAATCAAGTCTTGCCAACGATCAACAAGAGCAAATCAGCCTCGTCCCAAATGACAACCCCGAGTCACTATCGGCGGGCATCAAGTCCCCGCCCTTTGCCAATGTTGATCCGATCAAGCAAGAGTCCGCCAGCAACGCGACCGTGACCCAGACTCCTGCCACATCGGCCTTTCAACCAAACCATGCACGACCATTTTCCAAGTCGTCGAGCAAACCATTCCTGGTGCTGGATAAGATCATCACCACCTTGCGAAAGTATCTCAAGTTCGTCGGTCCAGGTTTTCTCATTGCCGTGGCCTACATTGATCCTGGAAATTACGCCACCGATGTCGAGGCCGGCGCCGCCACTCACTTCCGTCATCTGTTCATCATCTTGATGTCCAACCTGTTCGCCATTTTCCTGCAGTCTCTGTGTATCAAACTCGGCAGTGTCACCGGCCTGAATCTGGCCGAGAACTGCAGAAAGCACCTCCCAAGATGGCTCACCATCACTCTCTATATCTTTGCCGAAGCCGCGATTATTGCCACGGATATTGCTGAAGTAAGTGGCTCTCGACACCAAGATGCTAATAATTTCACGCTGATCAGTTGCCAGGTCATTGGTTCGGCCATTGCTCTGAACCTCTTGTTCCACATCCCTCTGGTGGCGGGATGTGCCATCACGCTCGTCGACGTTCTCGTCCTACTACTCTTCTACCGCCCTGACGGCTCCATGGTTCGTTTGCGATTGTTTGAGTATTTTGTCATGAGTCTAGTCCTGGGAGTCATGGTGTGCTTCTGCATTCAACTGTCCTACATTAAGGATACTAGTGTGGGAGAAGTCTTCAGGGGCTACCTCCCTTCTTCGGCCATAGTCGAGGGCAATGGTATATACCTGTCCTGTGGCATCATCGGTGCTACAGTCATGCCCCATTCCATCTTCCTTGGTTCGGGTGTCGTCCAGCCCAGGTTGAAGCAGTTTGACCAACAGAATGGTCACATCCCCTTGCCTGAAGACTCCGACGACGAGGAAGAGAAATACGTGCCATCCATCTATGCCATCAAGGCATGCCTCAAGTACTCCATCGTGGAACTAGCCACATCCCTCTTCACTTTTGCCCTCTTCATCAATTCCGCCATCCTCATCGTCTCCGGCGCCTCTCTCTACCCAAAGACCGAGGCCACCGAGGCTGATCTGTTCGGTATTTACAACCTATTGAGCGAAAATCTCTCAAAGGTTGCTGGCACCTTATTCGCCATTGCCCTTCTGCTTTCCGGAACCTCCGCTGGAATTGTATGTACCATGGCCGGCCAGATGGTCTCGGAGGGCATGTTGCACTGGACCCTAAGACCCTGGGTGCGCAGGTTGATCACCAGAGCCATCAGCATCGTACCCAGTATCATCATTGCGGGTGCTATTGGTCGAGAAGGTCTGAATCAGGCCCTCACGGCAAGTCAGGTCTGTCTGAGTGTCATCCTGCCCTTTGTCACCGCCCCATTGATTTGGTTTACTTGTCGAACCCATGTCATGACCGTTCGAACTGTTCAAGGTGAGCAAAGTGGCCAGGACGTCAATATGCGGAACAATTGGTTGACTGCGACACTGGCTGTGCTCATTTGGCTTGTGCTTGTGGTGATGAACGTGGCACTGTTGGTTCTCGTTGGTCTTGGAAAAGCCTAATAAAGACTGGCGCTGGCCAGACGGGCAAGAGACAGACAAGGGCTGGTGGGGTACTTAGGTGGTCGCCATGGACTCGGAGTGGAGGGTCTTGTAAAATCGGAGCTCACATTCGTTTAAGTCAGACAGTCGCGAGGATCCTCGAGCAGCCCAAAGGTGATAATGGGCAGGAGTGCTGTGGATGACGGGTTCGCAAGAATTACAATGCAGCTGTGAAGTGGAGACCTGCATATTGGTTAGGTATTCACAGGAGATGCATCATCACTCGTCCCTATAGGCTTTTTCATCTTTTGCAGTGCCTCTGCAGTAAGCTTCTCCGCCTCCTGCTTAGTCGCATCTGGAAGTTGTGTAAGTGTGCCAATCTTACCAAAAAACCAGACACGAAACTATTGAAGATGGGGTCAGCTCAATCCCAAACAAGTGGCGGAATGGCCTTCCATGAGAACTCACCCCATCAAATGGTGTTCCTTCGCCGTGCGCCGGTTCGCAGATGAATATGAAATAGACCAGTGTAAATGTGATAAGGGTTTGTTGGAGAATCTTGATGCTCTTATTCCACGTCGGTCTAGCCCACTTTAAAGCCGCCCGGCGGCGGTAGGTCTTCTCAAAATGAAACTGCTTCTTGAAATCAAGGTCACGGAAGTCTGGAGGCCACTGTTTGCGGGCTCGGTATGGATTGGTGGCAATGTGTATAGGGGCAGGCTTATAAACGGCTTTGGGCTTCCAGCCAAAGAGGCTCTTGAACCATGTCGTAAAGGTCAATTTAGTACCCGGAAGCTCGGTAGGAATACTGCGTGCTCGTGGGTATGCGTATAGTGGGTTAGGGCCTGGAAGAGTATGACTTGGTGGTGGAGGCCCTCGAGAGGCAAATGACGACCCGGCGTCCTGGTAGTTTTGGGAAGGAAATTGGCGGGTGAAGTTTGACGGTGCATATGAGGAATTGGAAGCATGATGAATCCGTGTTGTTGATTTGCTCATTCGGTGCAAGAGTTGGCCACCGAGTTGCATGGAGAGTGAAGACTGGCCTGGTTTGAGCGCAGGTGCCATCTTTTGAACAGATGAGGGCCGGCCTTGGTGATCAGGCAGGTCTTTAATCGTCCAAGAGGAAGTTAGTTTGATTGTACAAGTTCACGAGGGACTGCCGTGATCGTTTCTCCAATGTCGACGGTGACTCAGCATTTAGATAATCGGGGATGATCATCACGTGCATTGCCTGGTCACATGCTGCTACCGATTACGTCATAGCCGTGTCGCACCTGCCTCAAATCGCACATGCCTCGGTTTGATGCCAGTGTTCTACCATAACACAAACACATGCGACTGCGACTACCTTCAGGTTCCTGACCAAACTCCGAGTAGTGATTACTTTCTCGATAAATAGATACTCTGGCACTTCTCTTTACCTTCCATTCCTTCAGCCCAATCCAACCTCCCACCGCCAACTCTTCAATCTTCAACCCTCCACCTCTTTTGAGCCTCCACAACCATCCCAGATTTCACTTACACACCTACCATTCCCGCTCGTGTCTTGCACTTTCATTAAGATGGCACAAGGTAAGTCCACCTCAGCCCGCCGCTTCCGCCCGTGTTCGATTTTAACATGTGCACAAGCTCCGAACAAGGCACAGGAGCGTCTCTCTCAGGTCTCCAGTCAACTTACTGGCTCCGATCCGCGAAACTCTGTTCTGGCCAAGTCTCCAGACGATGTCGTCGTCACCTGCGCCCTACGCACTCCCTTTACGAAAGGTGGCAAAGGTCTACTGAAAGATACTGCTGCTGCAGACCTGTTGGCCCTCACGCTGAAGAACCTCATCTCCAAATCCAAGATTGATCCATCCCTTGTCGAAGACATCGCGACAGGCTGCGTCCTTGCCCCTGGTGGCGGTGCCACCGAATACCGTGCTGCCGCCCTTGTCGCAGGCTTCCCCGAATCCACCGCAGTCAAGTCCCTCAATCGGCAATGCTCCTCCGGTCTACAGGCGGTCGTGGACATTGCACACGCCATAAAAGCTGGACAAATCGAGATTGGTATTGGTTCCGGCGTCGAAAGCATGTCCAGTCAATATGGCCCTGGCGCAGTGACCGAGTTCTCGGACCTACTGGAGAACCACCTTCAAGCCTCCAATTGCAAGGTTCCCATGGGCGTTCTATCTGAACAGATGGCAAAAGACAGAAAGATAACACGAGTCGACCAGGACAGCTTTGCCGCATCCTCCTATCAGAAGGCACTCAAAGCACAACAATCAGGCTTGTTTGACGAAGAAATTGTGCCCATCACCGTCAAGTACACCGATCCAAAGACTGACGAAGAGAAAACAGTCACGGTGGACAAAGATGATGGTGTAAGGCCTGGGATCACCCCTGAATCCCTGTCCAAGATCCGAGCAGCATTCGCCAAAGATGGGACTATCCATGCCGGCAATGCAAGCCAAGTCTCTGATGGTGCAGCTGCCGTACTCCTCATGAAACGCAGCACCGCCGAACGGTTGGGTCAGCCAATTCTGGGCAAATTCGTGTCCAGTTCTGTGGTGGGTGTGCCCCCTTTGCTGATGGGTATTGGTCCCTGGAAAGCCATTCCTGTGGCATTGCAAAAGGCTGGCTCAGGGCTATCACCTGACCAGGTCGATATTTTCGAGATCAACGAGGCATTTGCCAGCCAGGCGGTCTGGTGTGTCAAAGAATTAGGTATCCCGTTTGAGAAAGTCAACCCCAAGGGTGGCGCCATTGCATTTGGCCATCCCTTAGGCTGCACTGGTGCTCGTCAAGTCAGCACACTCTTCACTGAACTAAAGCGCACCGGCAAGAAAATTGGCGTGACCTCCATGTGTGTTGGGACAGGAATGTAAGTATCATCCCGTCTCATGCTAATCATCGTTGGATACTTTTATGCTGACTCACATTCTCTGTAGGGGTATGGCTGCAGTGTGGGTAGCCGAGTAACTAGATGGCGATAATCTATCTGGATAACCAGCCTGGGCAAGTATTTTAAGGGCAAGGAAGTGTCGGGCGTTGATAGACAGTTACTTGACTAAGAGCTCTGAAACCAGCGATATACACTTCGTACAAGATCCCCTGCCCTATCACATTAAGCGATGGATCAGTGAGTGTCTGTGCAGGATCTTTGTTCATTGTTTTGCTTCAGACAGTCGCACAACAATACTAGAATGTGAGGGGCAAAAATGTAACAACAATATTAAGATCATCCTTCTTTGTACGGGGCCTGACAGATCATTTCAACAATGCCAAAGATCGAGATGGCTATTGAATGCCTCGACACACCACTCAACCCTTTCTTAAGACACATCTGAACCCCTTGACAAGTGCAAGTTGAGTTACTTTTGCGAAAGCGCAAAAGCCAACCTGTTAGTAGCACAATGAGAGCCTCAGTACTCCTCGCAGTCTTCACCTGCATCACCCCAAACCTGGTGTCCTTCTCCTTAGCCGGACTGCATCCGATGGGTTATGCATTCGGGGATGTTGCCGACGGAAGTTTCTTTTACTGTGCTTCGGACGACCCTGACTATGACTGGAAAACACTGACCCCCAAAACCTACATGATCAGCGGCGATTATTGTTTCAATCACTGTACCTGGTATGTCCAACCCACCACTGCATGTGTGCTCCCCATTCTCTTCGCAAGGTCTAACGGAGCCGCAGTGACAAAGATGGAAAGGCAAACTGCGACAACAAATATCTTGGTTCCCTCAACGAGGTATATAGCGCGGGTGGTTACAAGACCCCCGAAGATATTCGCAGAATTTGCTTGGCCGGCTTGAAGGACGTCTGGTCCTGCAAGTGTTCTGCACCGAAATAGTCTTGCATACCTGCAAGCTTCAACCTGCATGAGAATTACCTAGGTATTTAGAATTTGCTAGCAGTTATTGCCATGCTTTTCGAGTTAACAGCAAAGCCGTGGCTACAAGTAATGAAGTTCTCCAACCGAAGCAACTATTTGATGTGACAAGACCTTAGTTGAATTATTGCGTATACGCTTATATCGTACCCCCTGTATACGCAAAATATGGGGCGGGTGGGCGCCTTCTTCGCCTCATTTGTCAACACTAACCTCGAATCAGCGGTTTAATGCTCTTCCCAAGCAGAGCAGCCTGCAACATGGGAGTCGCGACGCGGATACAGCGCGAAGAAGTTCAATCGCTGGGGCTGTGTCCGAAGTTCAGTATGGCTGTGTTCAGCGTGCGAAGCCATGAGAACGAGTATAAAACAGAAAACTGCTGCATAGTTTTTGGTCGACCATCAAGAATTTCTTCGCAATACCCGCAAATATCGAACCCTCCCCTGAAGAATTAGGCGACTTGCTACGACGAAACCTACACCCGACCATCCGCACCACATTAAGTAGACGATAGTCGCGGTAAGAATGAAATTCTTCAAATCTACTGGCCTAGACAAAGAATGCGACAAGGCGGCACAAATCCTCAAAAGCTTCATAGGTCAGTTTGTCCTATTCACGCTCGCTTTCGTTGCACCTTGATCGCGGAAGGAAGCTGACCTCAGTCCAGATAAAAAGAAAATCCCCAAAGAAGTCATCATCAATGCAAAAGGGTTGGCTATCTTCAGTGGCTTCCGTGCAGCAATGTACCTGGCAGGCGCGGGGGGTTCTGGGATAGTCATCGCCCGCCTTCCGGATGGTAGTTGGTCGCCACCTTCTGCATTCGCAGTCCGGTCTGGGGCCATTGGTCTGGTGTATGGAGTTGATGTTTACGACTGTGTGTGTGTGCTCAACACCACCGAGGCAGTCGAGAGTTACTCCAAGCCAGAGATGAGTCTTGGTGGTGGAGTGGCCCTTGCCGCCGGGCCTCTTGGTGGTACTGCCGATATCAAGGAGGTCAAGCCTGTCTGGACATACACGAAATCCATGGGATTGTACGGTGGAGTCACCGTGGATGGAACGCTCATCAAGGAAAAACAGACCATGAATGCAGAATTCTATGGCTCGAATGTCACTGCCGCACAGGTTCTCGCCGGTGCTATCCCAGCTCGGAAAGATGCAGACTTACTCTCTGCCGGCCGAAAACAGCTGATCGAGGTTCTCAAGCTTATCGAAGGCAAGCAGGCGGATCCGAAGATCCTACAGGAGATCAGCGTTGAGCCCACGCCTGGAGACTTGACTCACTAAAGAATATGAATCTGGACGGTTGGGTTGAGTTTGATGGCATAATGCGGATTTGTTCTGAGCGATTCTCTACGCGGGCCTTGATATATGGGGGTAGTAACGACGAGGGTGAGGCAATGGGATGTACCAACAACTACGCTGAATACCCTCATAGATGTTCCTAGATTTGTTTTTGTCATTGATACTTCCTTGATCATATGGATTTGCACCCTTAACGCAGAAGATGAATATCCCGATGACTACCCAGTCCTTTTCCAAGGTAAAGCACTATACCCTATTATTTGCGAGAAGACCTCATTCCGACAGTCCACGTGCTGCGCGCGCTGTACTGAGCCATCAAACGACTCAAAAATGATTCCTTCATATTCACCACCCTTGCTTACTTCGGTAATCTATGGAAACGAATAAGGACACGAGACAAAATGAGGTCAGGTGCAGCATACCTTCTGGATTCCGGTCAAGTTACTGAACTCGACCCGCCAAGTAGCATCTGCTGCGCGCCGCGGCGAGAATGTAACATCGGTCGCGGTGACAACAATATTTCCTCCTGTGCATGAATAGCTCCCAATCACGAGCGGTGTTTCGGTATTGTTGGTGTCAATTTGGGTTTCGTCCTTCCCTTGCTCTGCCAAATGTTGTTTAGCTTCCGCCTGGAGGCGAGCAATAGCCCATTCAGCTAATGGAGTCAGTCAAACGTGGTGGTGCGACTAATGACAAAATCAGAGATCTCACCGTGAGTTGGAATCTTCCACATCAACCATATCCATGGCGATGTCAACAAGCGATATCGTCGATGGCGAACAGCAATTGGTGTCAGGACAAAGAACGTGAATCCAACTGAGGAGAAGATCATCTGAACGAGCAGCCAGGTTGGTGCCAGTGTGATTAACACCCACCAGGCAGAGAACACAATCAAGGTCACCGCCGTACTTCGAGCATTGCGCCATTCACAGAAACTGCTCTAATGTTAATTGTGGTTGTGGGAAACGGATGTTGGAAACAGACTTGCGAGCCATTTCCAGTATATCTGCAGTGTATTCGAGCCAGTCGGAGAGCTCGGGACCTACATTTTCAATAGCACGATCGACCCAGCCACGGGTTCCATACTGAATAACAAGATCTGTCAAATTCGTTGCTGTGCCATCACTATTTTCGGCTTTGCAGATCGACTCCTTCAGCTCGTCTATACTTGTGGGATACCACTTTTGAAACATGACTTTGACCAGAATGAAGAGAATCTAGTGGATCAGCGAAAAGCCTGCAAGTGGAGCGATACATTTCTCACCATCATGCGTGTGATTTGGCTGAAGAATAAGAGTACAAAGTATAGAACCATATATCTGGCGCTCTCCGATGGATTCTCCCAACGAGCTATGCTTCGTAATTTCATGAAAACATTTTGCACAGGCGTCGAGGCAATGACGACTCGCTCAAGGCTTGAGGCAAGAGTTTTGCGGTTAGGCCGGGGTAATTCGTAATTATTGTCTACGTAATTCTCCGCGTAGGTCTCAATCTCATATTTCAATAGCTAATAATCTGTCAGTGCAGTTGCCAGTTGTGATCTCTGAAAACTCACATCTCTGGCGTATGTTTTCCAATTTTCGACGGCGTTTTTGGTGGTGGTTCCCCCGATCAGTGATGGCCGTGCTGGAGGGCCGTCAAGTAGTTGAATTCTGCCTACACGTCTCACATGGCGGTCGATTGTCCATCGAACGTATGCATCCTGCCTGAGTTGCTTCATTTGTACCAAGGTTTCGAATGCTGTTGTCCGCTCATCCTCGGTCGTCGCAGCCGACACCTTGTCACTCTGGCGTACCAGCTCGACCGTCGCTCCATGTGCGACTTCTGGGCTGGTGATGTTCTCCGCCAAGTCGCTACCACGCTGATCCTGCACGACAGATTGCACTGCAGTGAAGGGCTGATGAATGAAGTCTCTCAGGGGGGGAAATCGAGGCTTTTCGTTCAATTCATACTCTAGTCGTTCACTGTCAATCGATTGGAAAGGAGGAAGGGGTGCGAGCGTGGGTGCATCCTCATCTCCGGTGCGCTCGTTTGGCGGTTCATGCTCCTTGGCTGTGGCTTCTCGCTTTTCCTTGACTGCAGCTCGGATCTTCTTGATGCCGTACTGGGGATGTACTACCACTGAAAGCAAGTTGTCACCAATGACGTGTCTGATAGAAGGCTTTTGATACTTCAGAGCCTCTGGGGGTGGCCGAGGATCTGTGGGTACGCGGATAGGTGGGGCAACACCGAACTGTGCCCGGTCGATTCCGTCAGATACAACTCCGAAAGTATTGATGTCCGAAGCCATTAGATGGATTCTGAGAGGTTCAGATGCAAGACCAGCCCAGAGATGCCACGGTGGTAACTAAGTTGAGGTCAATTCGGAATTCCTAATAAACAAGATCATGAACCATGATTGCTACATGAACGCAATTCTAAGCAGGATGATCAGTTCGCCTTCAGAAAGCACATATGTGGCGTCACTCCTCCGGACTTTCCTTCCGAGCATGAAGAGTTACCGGGCTTGAAGCAGAAGCTTTGGCGGTCATCCAGGCAGCGACGGATGCCCTGACGTACGACGGGTTATTCTTCGAAATTGGAAATACCATGCCTTTAAAGCAGAGTTCGCAGAACTTCGTGAAACTATTCCTTGATACATGGTACACTAGAATCAACATCCTCAGGAGACTAGAACTAAAGGTATTTTACCAATGGGGAGTTTCCTTTCAAGAGGTGGGAACTCGACTACGCGCGAGAAATGACGTCGCCTTGTCATCTTCACTAACGGGATCGAGGACAGGCACGTGACAAGGCTACGAGTTGTTGGAGGCTTGGCGGTAGGGAATGCACTTCAGGAATTGTCCAATTGTCTCTGTTTTCTCTACTCATGGAGGCTGTTCTTCTCTCTATATAAATTACGCGTGGTGACGATCTAGAATGGCCTTTTCCGCATCTCCTGAGACCCTCGTTGAGCTATAATAACTGGTTATTGACCCTGTCCAGCTGAGGTTTTTGGTCCTTGTCGAGCTGATAACTGCACTAGTGGTAAATTGCGTTACGGCGAAACATTACGGCGGAGTAGAGAGGTCTTGGCAGCAACACGAGTTCCCCCCAAGCCACGTGCCAAAATTGACAAGGCTTGCGTAGAGCCTTGTTTGACAACAACCTCCCAACACAATTGTAACCTACACGATTCAGGGCAAAATTTACATTTGGGCTCAGGAAACATTTGCTTCAAAGTCACACCGACAAAATCAAAGAATCTGTCTCAGAAGGCCTTCATCCTCTATTCTCTGGGGTGTACCAACAGACAGACCAATGGGAACTATCATCTTAACTTCTTAGGAGAGTTCCAGCCTCATCGGGGATTTGGACTCAATCCAAAGGGCTGATATCATTGTGGAACGGAGAGCTTTTCCGGCCTGGGTGCCAACAAAATCTCTCCACCTCATGATCAACCTTCTCGTACCATAGCGCCAAGCCAAGACACTTAACTGGAGTGCCTACCTTATCAATTAGAATATGAGAGGTAGACGTAGCTGCTTGACTGTACTGTATTGAGAGCATTCTAGGGCTCAATTCTAGGGGCCTTGATGTTCGACCTCTGCAATCTCGCATACCAGATCCAAGCACGGCAGACAGCACCAAGGCTCGAACGTCATGGGGTATCTACTGGGATGCCATGATATGAAAGTTCCTTTGGAACGAAGTTCCGGCTCAGGACCTTCCGTGCTGGCGGCAGCATTCTCCGGTATGCTCGCCACAGGTCAGATAAATGCAGCTTTGACACTTTGAATTGCGCTGTTCGACGTCATTTTCATTACCTGAGCCTGCTAGCATACTAAGTGTGTTTTTACCAGTGACTTTAACAGTGTGGCTCGTTTATAAGTCCTTGCCGTGACTTCACGACACCTTATTTTATCTACACTAGTCAATTTTCTTTGGCTCATTCACTGTCAATGAGTCAATCACAGCAGTATGGAACCTTTTGTGACAAGAGATACTGCGGTCTCGCCGAATAATATTCGCTCTGACTGCTCTATGACACCTATAGTACCTAATTTACTCAAGTCATGACGCTTTGTCTTCCGAAAACGAGATGTTAGACGCGATGGCGCGATGGAAGGTAACCGTCCGTAGCAACACACATGAATATATATCGAGCACCCCGAGGGACGGCTCATATCTCTCTTACCGAGAAATACAACTCTAGACAAACGGAATACCAACTCGAAACAATTCACCTACATTACCTGCCCATCATGTCTGATTCTACCAATCAATCTCACGCCAAGGGCGATTCAGTCGGTGAGTTTTACTCGATTAAGTTCCCGAACGCTTTCTAACCTGTGTGTGTTCCCGGGCAATAGTTCCCCAAGCAGCACAACGAAAGCTCCCCCAAGGAGTCGAAGAGAGCGTGCCCGACTCTGTCCACGATACTAGCAATTCCGGTGCTTCCAAAAGCCATGCTACCGGAGAATCAATTGTTCCAGATGCAATTCAGAGGGCAGCTCCTGAGGGCCTTGAGAAGATCCTGCCTGAGAGTGTCCATCCCACCAAGGGATCAAACATCGATCCATGAACTGGTCGAATTAGGGATATGATCACTACGCGGAGAATCATAGGTGGAAATCAGAGAATTCGATATGTCCACCAGATAAGAATGTAGATCGTGTCCTTTTCACTATGGGATATGTAGTTAGAACAACACGTTTATACCCCCATTTTACCACGAATTATGTCTGGATTGGGACCAATCTTTACCATCGATATTTATAAAGCAGAAGGGTTGTTCAGATATGAATATGCTGCATTCGTGCCTGATGATATGTTTTGTGGAGGTTGATACAAATATATCACTAGCAATATATTCCTTAAAGTTGTAGCACAAATGATAAGCTTTGTTGGAATTGAGAACTTACAAATCATGCAAACTCATCCAAGGCCTCCTTGCGCCCGTAGTGATGCTTATTGTGTCTATCGACGAAGCCAGGGATCAGAAGGTCGGTTGTTGATAAGAAACTGACTTTAATACGTTCCAGGCGTTCGACTTTCAGGATGAACTCTTGTGCTTGAGAAGTGGAAATTCCACACTCGAGATAGTAGATGCACCCATCTTGGCCTAACATCAAGAGGCTGTTTGGGATAGTCTTGGCCCGCCGTATTTTCACAACGAACAATAGTCCCGTAAAATGCAAGCAGATATTGACAGTGTACTGAATTTCTGGAAACGGCTGCTAGGCACCAGAAAGGTGTTTTAAAGATGCACTCATCTATGGAGATTTCGCGTTGGTACACATGGACAACGAAAAAACAACGACCTTTATCAGATCAAGCGAAGATAGCTTGCAGCATCTCCTTGCGGCACTGAACTTATCAGACGAAGCTACAATACGTGTTTGTTCCCAACAGCTTGAAAGAAATGGATCTCAGGATGTACGTCTCAACGACGTCGTCTTCAGACTGTAAAGAAGAATTGCCGAAACCTTGAGAAGGAAGGCTGTACATAGTAGTAGCATCTAGTTAATGTTCAAGTACGGGGAGGCCGCCCAACGACTAGCGATGTTACTTGGGTGTTGAGGTGGTAAGGTATGTAAGATCCAAGTCAAAATTATGGAAAGACTGAAGTGCTGCTTTACTTGCATACGAAATTCTAGGTAGGTAAAGTTCCCGGCTTGGCAAATATCACGGGGCAAGTTCAATGGATGGGACGGCTTTCCTTTCTCCACAGACCAGAGGCCAGCCACACTACTCGTACAGAGCATGCATTGCAGCCGCGGCTAAGAACTTCTGTCTCACCATCCGTGTAACGTGACCGAACAAATCCCTCACCCAAAGTCGATCCAACACGTGACTTGTCCAAGTGTTGCTCTTCAGAAGCTGTGGCGTCCATGCCTGTGGCAGCCACTGGTTGAAGGCCGCTTCCTCCTACCAAACGCTTCGAGTTCCGCACCTGCCCCAGATTTGATCCAAGCCTGCTCGTACGTGCCCTGCCAGTGAGGTCAAGCTGAATTCGAAGCTCTTGTTAACTTGGAGTTCCGGACAACCACTCCCTACTTACCACTTACCACCCTCTTCCACCTTGCCACTCTCCCTCCTAAGCACCGGCACTCGTCGGCGTGCCCTACCTACGTTCCTTTCCACTTTCCTATGGATCGTTCTTTGTATCATTAGCTTGATTTGACCTTGAGTACCTCCCAAAATGTATCGTTGCGCGGCTGGCAAACTGCCCGTCAGGGCTGCCAGGTCCACCAGATGTCTCTTTACATCTTTCCACCCGCGAAACAATAACTGCACAGGTCTTGTTGCTGGAAGGAAGCCCCTGGCCCTTATGACCACTCGCTCAATACAGCGCAGAAACTATGCCATGGCAGCAGAAGAATCCAACAAAGGCGTGGTATGTAGCCCATGTCACCGACGTATCCGTCAATCTCGATTTGAGGCCGCAGCAGCTAACCAAAAGCTTAGGATCCCAATGACTCCTTCCTCCAGGGCAATACCGCCAACTATATCGACGAGATGTACCTTTCGTGGAAAAACGACCCCTCTTCCGTCCATATCTCATGGCAAGCGTATTTCCGCAACATGGAGGATGGCACCATGCCTACCTCTCGTGCCTTCCAGCCTCCCCCCGGCCTCATCTCACAAGCTGAAGGTGCCGCCGGCGTCGCCCCAGCCGCTGTGCCCTCGGGTGGTCATGATGTGACCAATCATTTAAAGGTTCAGCTCCTCGTTCGAGCCTACCAATCTACCGGTCATCACAAGGCCAAGACCGATCCCCTGGGTATCAGAGGTGAAGCAGAAGCTTTTGGGTACCGTCGGCCAAAAGAGCTGGAGCTAGAACATTATGGCTTCACGGAGAAAGACCTCGACCAAGAATTCTCCCTGGGTCCTGGTATTCTCCCAAGATTTGCGACTGATGATCGCCAGAAGATGACTCTACGAGATATTATTGCAGCCTGTGAAAAGATCTACTGTGGAAGCTATGGCGTGGAATACATTCATATTCCAGATCGCGAGCAGTGCGACTGGATCAGAAACCGTGTCGAAGTCCCAACCCCCTTCAAATATTCCACCGACGATAAGCGTCGGATTCTCGACAGATTGATCTGGAGTTCCAGCTTTGAAAGCTTTCTTGCCACAAAATATCCCAACGACAAACGTTTTGGTCTGGAGGGCTGCGAGACTCTCGTACCGGGGATGAAAGCCATGATCGATCGCAGTGTCGATTATGGTGTCAAGGATATCATCATCGGCATGCCTCATCGAGGAAGACTCAATGTCTTGAGCAACGTCGTTCGGAAACCAAACGAGTCCATCTTCAGTGAATTCTCTGGAACCACCGAGGCTGCGGATGAGGGTTCCGGTGATGTCAAATACCATCTCGGCATGAATTTCGAGCGGCCAACACCTTCAGGAAAGCGCGTCCAGCTTTCCCTCGTGGCAAATCCCTCCCACTTGGAGGCTGAAGACCCAGTCGTCTTGGGCAAAACGCGTGCAATCCAGCACTATAACAACGATGAGTCAAATCACAAGACCGCAATGGGCGTCTTGCTGCACGGAGATGCTGCATTCGCTGCTCAAGGTGTAGTGTATGAGACCATGGGATTCTATGCTCTCCCTGCCTACTCAACCGGCGGAACCATTCACATCATCGTCAACAACCAGATCGGCTTTACCACCGATCCACGATTCGCACGATCCACGCCTTATTGCTCCGATATCGCCAAAGCAATCGATGCCCCCGTCTTCCATGTCAACGGTGATGATGTTGAAGCTGTCAACTTTGTCTGTCAGCTTGCGGCGGACTGGCGAGCTGATTTCAAAAAAGATGTGGTCGTCGACATTGTCTGCTATCGAAAACAAGGCCACAACGAGACAGACCAACCGTCTTTCACTCAGCCTCTCATGTACAAACGCATCGAATCTCAAGTCCCACAAATCGATAAATACGTCCAGAAGCTACTTGACGAGGGCACCTTCACCAAAGAAGACATTGATGAACACAAGAAATGGGTATTGGGTATGCTGAACGACAGTTTTGATCGCAGCAAGGACTATCAGCCCACTGGAAAAGAGTGGCTCACATCTGCCTGGAATGGCTTCAAATCACCAAAGGAGCTCGCCACCGAGGTACTTCCCCATCCACCTACCGGTATCCCAAAAGACATCTTGACAGAGGTCGGCACGAAAATTGCCGAGGCTCCAGAAGGATTCACCATTCATCGTAATCTCAAGCGTATTCTAGCAGGCCGAAAGAAGGCGGTTGACGAGGACAAAAATATTGATTGGTCTACTGCCGAAGCTCTTGCCTTTGGATCCCTGTGTCTTGAGGGCCATCACGTTCGAGTGTCTGGTCAAGATGTGGAAAGAGGTACCTTCTCACAGCGACATGCCGTTCTCCACGACCAGGAAACCGAGAAGACTTGGACTCCCCTTAACAACTTGACCAAGGAACAAGGAGCCTTCTCCATCTCCAATTCATCATTGAGTGAGTTCGGTTGCCTAGGCTTCGAGTACGGGTACTCATTGTCGTCTCCTAATGCACTTGTGATGTGGGAAGCTCAGTTCGGTGATTTCGCAAACAACGCCCAGTGTATCATCGACCAATTTATTGCTTCTGGTGAAGTCAAGTGGCTACAGCGATCTGGTCTCGTATGCTCACTACCCCATGGTTACGATGGTCAAGGCCCAGAGCATTCCTCTGGTCGAATGGAGCGCTACCTCCAACTTTGCAATGAGGAACCTCGTATCTTCCCCTCAGCTGATAAACTCGATCGCCAGCACCAGGACTGCAACATGCAGGTCGCCTACATGACTGAGCCCTCCAACTATTTCCACATCTTGCGACGACAGATGAACAGGCAGTTCCGAAAACGTAAGTTTGCTTTGTCATCCCAATTCTCTCCTGCTGACCAGTTCAACAGCCTTGATCATCTTCTTCTCCAAGTCACTCCTTCGACATCCCCTTGCGCGATCCAATATTGAAGATTTCACTGGCGATTCACATTTCAAGTGGATCATCCCAGATCCAGAGCACGGCAAAGCTATCGTTGAGCCAGAAGAAATTGACCGTGTGGTTCTTTGCAGTGGCCAAGTATACACTGCACTCCACAAGTTCCGTGGTGAGAAGGGTCATAACAAAACAGCAATCACTCGTATCGAACAGTTGAATCCCTTCCCATGGGCCCAGTTGAAGGAGAATCTGGACACTTACAAAAACGCAAAGACAATTGTCTGGTGTCAAGAAGAGCCACTCAACGCTGGCGCTTGGAGTTTCGTCCAGCCTCGCATCGAAACTCTCCTCAACGAGACGGAACACCATAACCGACGACATGTCATGTATGCGGGCAGAGATCCTAGCGCATCGGTGGCGACCGGTTTGAAGTCCAGCCATATTAAGGAGGAAAATCAGCTGCTTGAAGATGCATTCTCTGTCACTCAGGACAAGCTGAAGGGGGAGTAAACAATCATCATGAGACCTAAATGAGAGCAACGGGTCTTGTGAGCGCCAGAGTTCATAGCGTTGCGGATGAATCTTACAGGGCATATGGTAATATGTACAGATGGAGAATGGCTGGCTCCTTGGCTAGCTGGTGCCTGCAAGGCCACTCTTCGGAGCATTATCATGGTGAATTGTAGCACTTCGTTACACTGTCAACCTCGAGCCACCTCATACTCTTGCAGGCGTCGGGTGTTGTAGTCGACCTTGCCACCCAGCGAAAATAAATCAACAATCACCGGACCAATATAAGCTACCTGTGAAATTTTGGATCGTTATTAGCCTTCTGTTTAATAATACAAATAGTTACAGGGCAAATTAAACACGGACATAGTCGTGGTGCAAGTCTAGATCTGCATACTGCTCGAATTGGAGAAAAATACATGAGTCGCTTGTCCCTGACCAATTGCACAAGGAGAGAGTATTGAGTATTCATTAAAGTAATACTCTAACTTTCAGTCAAATCATGTTGTATGTGATGTTCCACAAATCTGTTCTTTTGCCTTCATCTCAATCCAGGACTTGCCCATCCCGTAGTTGGCCTCGTATATTTTTGTGTCTTGGCAGGCACCCAGTCGACTGATCTTAATCAGGGGCCTCAGTCTCCATCTGAAGACACTCTCGCCCTCTCATTCGAAGAATTCAGCAGAAGCTGGCACTGACCCTCTACGTCTACGGTTGGTCCAATGCATGTCGCACTGGTCTGATTATCCCTGAGTAGGGGTCCATCAAACTGTAATACCGTGAACTGGTCCCGGACTTGCTTTCATAGGTCATTGCTGGTTCAACACCCGATGCAAGGAGTGAGAGAAGCCAGAGGTGTTGCTTCCTTTGACTGGGAGCGGATAGACTGATGTACCGAGTTGCGACTACTGTAGGAGTAACCCTAAGGGTGCTATGTCAAATCGAACATCCGAATCACTAATCGAACCATGGCGACCGACTGATATGATGTGCATAATCATAGCACAAAAGCCTCAAGGTCCCCCATCGTTTCTACTTTCGCTTCCTCTTTTCTCCAAAGCCTCGCAAATTCATTGCAAGACTCGAACTAAAGGGCATCCATCGTCAACGAGATTCCCGTCCTGTGGCCTGTCTGCACACGCAGTCGTCCAAATCCGCTTGGAAAGGACCAAATCCAAACAACCGACTCAGTCATGAGATCGCAACAATGGATACTTCGAGGCACGAATGGGGTCGAGAGCCTTTTCCTCGAAGAAGTCGAGATACCGGATCCTGGAGACTACGAGATTCAAATCAAGCTTCATGCTGCATCGCTCAATTTCAGGGATCTCAAAGTTGCGAGGGCAAGTAGGGGTGGACCCATCGGCTTGATGTCCTTTCCGCCTTTCCCATCATTCTTTGGATAGCATCTCCTATCTGACATGACTGCAGGGGACTTATATGCTCAAAGCCCGAGACGGCGTGGTCCAGGGGTGAGTGGAGACCGGCGTAGTTGCTGCTCATAGAAGTGCTCAACTAAGCTCCATTCCAGATCTGATGGCGCCGGCGAAGTGGTCCAAGTCGGCCCAAAAGTGACACGATTTACCATTGGACAGCGAGTCTCGCCCATCTTCCACGGAACGCATTTTTACGGAACCCTCAGTGCTAAAAATGCACCTTCTCAATTGGGAACGTTCCACGATGGCGCTCTCCGACAGTACGCCATTTTCAATGAGCAGGCTTGCGTGGCCATCCCGGACAATTTGTCTCATCGCGAAGCAGCTACTTTACCCTGTGCTGCATTGACGGCTTGGAACGCATTGTATGGAGGTTCGAGGACTCTAAAGCCCGGTGAGATAGTGTTGACTCAGGGAACGGGCGGAGTGAGTATCTTTGCGCTGCAATTTGCGAAGCTTGGTGGAGCACAAGTAATCGCAACTACCAGCAGCGCAGACAAGGCTGAACGGCTCACGCAGCTTGGAGCAGACCACGTGATCAACTACAAGGAGGACGCTGCATGGGGACAGACTGCAAGAAGTCTATCGCATGATGGCCAGGGTGTCGATTTTGTGGTTGAGATAGGCGGATCAGACACGCTCCGCCAGTCGAAGCTGGCTGCTGCAATTGGGGCGCAACTTGCCATCGTTGGTGCACGGGCGAGACATCCAGGTGGATCAGGGCCTCAGTCGAACTTCATTCACGATGAAGAAACGACGGATCGTAGGAGAATTATGGTGGGCAGCAGGCAGATGCAAGAGGAAATGAATCGGTTGATTCAAGTTTCGAAACTCAAGCCGGTCATCGATGAGAAGGTGTTCTCCTTGGCTGAAGTCAAGGAGGCATATCGGTATCTCGAGGATGCAAAGCATTTCGGGAAAGTGGTTGTGGATATCGTGTAGATTTTGGAGCACAATATCCTGGAGCTCGAGCTGATCAATCGTGGTAACATTTAAAGCTTGTCGTCAATGAAGATATTTCGGTAGCCCTCAGCTGCCATTAAACCGGCTTGCAGAGTGCCTTCTCCCGCCAGGACGTAGCCCTCAAGCTGGCCAGGTTCCAGTAAACTGTGTCCCTTGCTCTGCAACCTTCCACGATACTCAAACGCGTGAACACGATCTTGCAGAACTGTATGTCCTTGAGACATCTATCCCGTTGCCTGGGGCTTGTCCTGGTGGGAAGGTTGTCCCTTTGGCTCTTCAAATGAACAGCCAATATTCATGCCCAAATTCGCAGTTCACTGGCATTACTGAAGTTTTGGACCGACCAAGATCTAAGGCTTGTTTTAAGTTAGGTTCAGGAGTGTCGCTTGACAGGTGCTCCCTAAAGGATGGACGACCTACTCTGTGCGCTGACAGCCTAGATATGAGTATTATAGGTCTCGCCACCACCGTCAAGAATCACTCCGTGCTAGTATTCTCCAGTGCTCTTCATTGCTTGCGTGCTTTCAACACATAGTACCACACCAAGCCATTGACTGTGATGAAGAAACCAAATAGCTGAAGCGGTGTGACAACCGTGTTCCAGATCACCACAGAGCCTACCATCACTAAAACAGTGCGTACCAAGCCGAGCAACGGGATGGTCAAGGCACCAGTCCGTTTGAGCTAATGACCAGGAGAGCATTCGGTCAGTCTTTATTCTTCAAAACTCATAATGTACCATGCATCAATCATGAATCCACTTACCAGAGCCGTGATCACAATATTGAGCGAGAACGCCATGGCACCATTTGCAGCAAAAATACTGGGGTGTATCGCTTGCACATGGCTCCAGACCTCTCCAGTATGTCCCCAGATATCTCCTTGCCATTCAGTAGCCGCCGCAATGGTTCCCACAGCAAGTGTCGAGACAGGCGCAAAATAGTAGAGAAATGCAAGCGGATCCAGTCGTTCCTCCTGCGTGAAACACTTTTGCGTTAATCCGCCACGATATGCTTCGAATAGAAGTCCTAGAACTTGATATGTCGTGCCTTTTAGTGAGAATTTGATCTCGCCCAGCATACAGAACAAGAAACCGGCAATGATCAAACTGATGGCAATACATTCTCTGTATGATGGAGTGGCGAGTCTGAGAGTGTAGAGCGCGAAAACGATTGTTGCAGGGCCGAGAGACTAGAATGTAACATGGTCAGCATTAGCTCGTCACAATCGTAGAGGGATTGTGAAGAGGGGAAAGTGTCGGATATAAAGTAATCACATACCTTAATCATCTGAATGAAGGCCACATTAAGCGTAAGGTAAGGAAGATTGTTGAATATCAGGCTTCCCGTGAACATGAGACCTATCGGTACGATGACGCCGAAAAACTTTTTCGTGCTGGTGCCAAACTGTTTTCCCGTGTCGATCTTGTTTGTGCAACGCGCAATCAATTGCGTGGCTGTCATGGTACACACGCAGTGCCAGAACACCAGTGTTGTTGCTGTAAGTGAGGGAGGTGTTAGCTATCTCTGAGTCCTTCTTCGATAATCGAAGAGATTGAGTTGGAAATTGTAGCATACGGTATGCTAGGGACGACACATGCTGTTAGTCAACGTATTTCGGATTGCCAACAGTCTGGTGGGATATTATTTCAAGATGACATACCAAAGTCCAAAGAACCAATAATATACTTGTTAAACATGATCAATCCTGAGCTCAACATCACCCAGCACCTGTCGTAATGATGCGTCAGCAGGAGAACATTCGCACCCTGCCAGTCATGTTGTTATCCGGAATCGACTTGGTGCGACTCACAGTAGGAGGATGAAAGTGATGTGAACATCACCCTGTGATTGATTAGACGTGGACGCCGTCACATCAGCTTCTTCGGAATTTGTTGCAACAGCAGCGTAGTTGTGGTTTTGCTTCTCCGCCGTCGGTAGCTCCTGCATGTTGGCTGTCGTTTGTCAGGGATTGCTGGCAACGGCGAGAGCGATTCTTCAATGGAACCGCCCTGAGGGGTTATCCCATAGTACATATATCTCACAGAAGAACAATTTGAATATGCTCAGACCATGGTCGCCCCGAGTGTATGGAACTCCCGGTAACAAGGGGTGAACATGATCGGTGCCGGACTAGCTTGTCTGACTGCTGTCAATTGTGTCGTTTGAAATTATTGCTCGGTCACGGACTCCTGAGCATTGGCACAGGTATGTAGTTGTCGTAGCATTCCTGGCCCATGGCGACATCTCTGGATGGCATAGCTGAAAGGGGCTGGAAGGATAAGCTTCGGGGTGGTTAGAGTTGGAGATGTGTCGTTCACTTGAAATAGTAGTAGTAAAACATCTGACAGGCGAGAATTCATGACGGTCAGGATTAGTTAGCTACATAGTATTCGTGACCCTCTGGGCTGACTGACACCGTTGACAAGACTGTGTGCCACGAGACAGGTTCTTTCGCGCATAGGGTACGTGCCGAAGCTGCAACGCGGCCATGGCAGACAGAAGGGGATATGAAAGTACGAGGGCTAGGAAATCGATCTCTAGACCTGGCAAGCCATGACAACGACTATGAAAAGGCTTGGTTCGTCACTGGAGGCTGGTGCTATCCGGTCCAAGCTCGATCTTAAAAGAACCACTAACCGTAACCAAGGTGTCAGGAGTAGAAGCTGGGAGTTGCTCGTGGGAACCACCTGGTCGCTGAAGCCTTGGCTTTTTCTAATGTGTAGCGAACTTTCAACAAAGCCAGTCAAAGCGTTTGAGAGGTATCTTACCAAGAGATCTCTGCCAAAGCGATAAGCAGCCTCAGGCAAGATCTGCCTTGGAGCTATTATGGGAATTACTCATGGGAATTCTCAAGTCATACCCAGGTAGGTTGGCTTTACATGCTTGGCGACCAGGATTGATGTTCAAACCCATCAACCTTTTGCGTGGTCTCCGCCTCGGCCCCTCGGCCCCTCGGCCAGGCCTTGGGGGCCGCCCCGATGGGGAAGACATAAAACCAACTTGAAGGTAAGGTTCATGTTGCTGCTGCCAGGCAGAAATGAAAATGTCACTGGTTGGACTTGATGAAGTGGTGAATTGAGGACAAACGCTACACCATAATCTCTACTGAGGAACCATTGAAAGCCAAAGCAAATGAAAACGTTCTCGAACGGAGCAGAGACTCAAACTCAAGTTCGCAAATGGTTTCGCTCCAGGTGTTCCAGTCCTCATGTCAAAAAGTCTGCCACCCTTCAAAGCTTTGATGTCTTCAGATACTCTAACCTCAGGGGTTCGTACGCATCACTTTTCACGGCCGGACCCAGTGTACGTTGGCAAGACTATTTCGGTGATAAAGTCTACTGTCAGATCCCCTCCAAAATGCGTTTCCTCGACCTTTTACCACCTAGTCGGCTTCAGCTTAGTCTTACCAGATCTCGGCGGGGGGATCCTACACTTTCCATCCCCTGATATTCTCAAATTCCGCAGCCATGGACTACGAAAAACTATCCCCAGTTGTAGCTCGGATACGACCTAGAACATCGCACAAAATTGTTGGCATCGGTATCATCATTGTTGTGCTCATATACGTGGCTACCCAGCTTTCAGACTACCAGCTATCAACTTCCACATTCCTTGCTGCTACGTCGACCGCTGGCTCGAGCGTCGCCGATACGGTTGGGGACGTCATTGATAGTCAGGTCGCCAATAGCTTTGATGGTGTCTCTGATAGTGAGGTCACCGACAGCGCTGCACTTGGCACCACTGCTGTTGATGACCTTTTCCAAGCCAAGATCGAACCCATACCGAACATTGTCCACTACGTGTGGCTTTTGAACCCACTTAAAAACAACACGAATACACGTCTGGAATTTAAGCACTTCCTCTCTTTGTACGCTGTCTCAATCTACTGGAAGCCTGACAAGATCTTCATTCATACCGATATCGCGGAGGGTGATTTCTTGCCCGAACCCGGTACCGAGACTCCCGAGGACGAGTGGAATCTACTCATCACCGGGCAACCAAATGTTGAGGTCAACCATATCACGGCACCAAGCCATGTGCCCGGCACAAATAGGACCATCGACAGAATTGAACACAAGTCTGATTTTTTGAGGCTACACATGATGCGGACATATGGTGGTATCTACCTTGATTGGGATGCTCATCCTCTACGTGACATCAAGCCATTACGGTACTCGGGATTCAAAGCTGTTGTTGGAAGAGAGCCGAGCAATCGAATCCAAACCGGGACCTACATGGCACGGAGGGATTCCGACCTGATGAAAACATGGTCTGAGAAGATGGCTCTAGCATATGATGGCACATGGACGCACCACAGCAACACCCTCCTCACCTATCTTGCGCCGCGGTTGGTACCACAACCAGGTGAAGTCCTCATTATGGAGCAAGATGCATTCACTCCAGGAGACTTCACCACGCCATCCTATAATCGATTCTACGACATCCACAACGACAGTCCGCTACAAGATCTCAGCGACATCTGGGAGGGCCTCTTTGATCGATTTGACGACCCAAAGCACTGGCCCAAGTGGCATATCAATTACTCTGCAACCTACGTTCTGCACGTGTTTGGCATACAACGTGCGCAGAAGGATCTCAAGTTGAATGGATTTACGGATCTGACACCGGAATATGTCCTTGCCAGGCAGAGCAATGCCGCAAGAGCCCTTTATCCTACGGCCAGACGAATGGTTGAAGAAGGTCTGATAGCCGACCCATACGCGGAGGCATGATGATACTCCGAATGACTGTGATACAATATCTTTGTTGTTTTTTAGCGTGTTCAGAAACATCATTTGCAGCTGGGAGCTGATTTTCAGCGGTCGGACTATGCCAGATTTGGCATATGTACGGAGCATTAGAGGAGTTTCGAGCTGAATAGGATAGATTAAAAGTAGGTCAATACTTCGAATTTGGACTGTTTGATATCAGGTGTTGATCAGGTCAGGCTGTCGCCAAAAAACGTGTATGGGACAAATTGCACGATCAATGCACCTTGCTCCGGCCATTGAACCAGATGCCATTGCTTGCCAGGGCGGTCATAACATCACAGCCAGCCACAGAGATACCAGATGACAGTGGAGATTTGACAACGTCTTGGACCATCCAGGAAAAGCGAGTATGCATTGGCGATTAGGCTAGAGCCGCTTAGTAAACCGAGGGTACAATAAGACATGTGTCTAGCTGAGGGCTTCACTTGAAGATCGATCTGAGCAAGGAGTTGGAGTGGTTTGGCATTGACCATGTGGGATAGTGACTTAGGTTGCATTTTCGTTTGTAGAAGAGTTCAGAGGCAAAGCTTTGTGTAGCATGCTCTGACCTTGCTCAGGCTGAGATGATAACCCTGGCTTTATGATAATCACCCAGCGTTCAGGATGACATGGAAATCACTCCGCCGTTGCAATGGATGTGTTCGATGAGGGTTCTTCGCGACCAGCGATATTCAACAGATCTGATACGGCACCCTCGAAATGCTTGAACATGGTATAATGCGTGTCACCCTCAAAAACCCGGAGCTTGCTATGTGGTAATCGTTCCGCCAAGTATCGGATCATCCCAACAGGCGCGTTGGCGTCCTGCGCACCATGCCAGATCCAGATCGGGTCATATTGGACGTCTTCGAATTGAAAGCCCCAATCATCTGACGACAACAATCTTGCCTCATGCACTGCCGCTTCAGCGCCTTGCACAAAGGGCTCACCGATCACCAGTCGTACCAAATCCTGTCTTCTCTCGCTCGTAGGTCTTCTCAACGGAGCGGCACTTGGAGCATCATCATTTCCGGCGGAGTTGGCCTCCTCCTTCTTCCGATCCTGTTCGTGTAGCCACCGGTCGATCCACCGGGAGATCATTCTGGTTTCGAGGATCCATTTCACAAGCCCAACAGTAGCATTCAAAAACACTCGCAATCCACTAGGCCAAGTATTCGCAGCAAGCCTCGTGACTCGGTGCATGTACGACATCTGGGAAGGATCCGCAACCCAAGGCGGCCCTGAGGCAAACAAGCCCACCCCAGTGACCATACTCCGTGGTAGCAAGTGCCCACAAGCTAAGGCAAACGGTCCGCCTCCAGATAAACCAAGAACCGCAAATTCAGAGAGGTTTTGACCCTTGGCGAACTCTTGGACGTCAGTAGGCCAGTCGAGTATACGGCGGTCAGGCTGAGGCGTCGAGAGACCAAATCCCGGCCGGTCGAGCGCTAGAATCCGCACACCAAGACGCCGGCCGATCTGATCGGTTACACTGGCTTCAAGGCGGGAGGAGGGATAGCCATGGAAATACAGGAGTGGATTACCGTCCGGTTTGCCATATTCTGCAAAACCCAGGACTCTGCCATCAGAAAGGTTGAACGTTTGACTATTGCGTACTGAGGTCGCCATAGTGCGTACGATGATTTTGCCAAAATGTCCCAGTGAGGGACGTGCAGACATTTCACAACTGGTACTTGGGAGGATGCATGTCTGGTAAGTTACACGATGCAAGAGATAAGCCTACCTATATATCGTAGTCGTGGCCATAGCAGGATCAGGTCCATGTGCGCCTCCTTCGAGGCTCCTTTACGAGTACGAAGTCGTTTACCGAGCAGGTTACACTCCGCACTTGACCGTCCCTGGTGAAGTCTCCAGGTGCCAAGAGACCTCTGCCTCTGGCGAGGCACGTGATCGTATCCGAACTCGTACTCGTACACGTATCCGCAACGACACGTTACTTCTTCCCCTTCTGCCTCCATGTCAACGTCCTATTTGTTCTGCCTCTACTGTTACCGAATCTGTTCATTGAGGTGCGGCTGAAGTGTTTACACACATCATAATTGCGTTGCCGCACGAGGCTCACCCTAGCCTAGTGAGGCGACATGCCGCCCCGTCGATCACACGCGAAGTCACGCCGGGGATGCATCAATTGCAAGAGTCGACATATCAAATGCGACGAAGGGGGTCCACCGTGTGAGCGTTGTAAGCTACGTGGGACACCCTGTGAGTATACAAGCATTGGACCGGTTCCCAAGATCTCTTCACCCTCCGAAGCTCAGAAAGGGTCTGCCCTCGATGCCGTATCATCGAGGGTCACTCAAGTGCGGCTGCCGGCAGATCGTCGACTGTTAGAACTTCAATTGATGCATCGCTGGTCAACAGGAACTTACAAGAGCTGCGTGACCCCTCAAGTCAATGATGGGGAACTGTGGCAGCAGAAAGTCCCAGCTTTGGCGGTTCAGTATGACTTCTTGTTGAATGGACTTTTAGCTCTTTCGGCATACGATTGTGCCAGGGCGGCGATAGAGGCGGAGTCGGAACAATACGTCAACTCTGCAGTTGAGTATCATGCACTGGCGCTTGGGTCTTTCCGATCATACGTTCCACGGATTGATTCAGAAAGCCACGAAGCGGCTTTCGCCTGCTCGTTGATATTAATGATACTGGCGATTGCGTCTGCTCAATTTGCGTCGACGCCGGGGGTAGGGATCTCACATGACATGGTACAGAACGCGATTGTTCATTTTGAGATGCTTCGAGGGTGCGTTCCGATATTGGACATCAACGTAGATTTGCTGTTGAGCAACCCCCAGATCCAAAAGTTGGTGCCGTGGGAAGATCTACCTCGCACGATGGTCGATGGCCCAACAAGAACAGCTTTTGGACATTTAAGAGACTTCAATGACAAGAAGATAGTTGCAGCCCGAGACAAACCAGGCGAATACAATATTGGTCAAATTGCGCACTGGGAGATCTGCAAAAAGGCAATATCGATGCTCACCGAGTGTTTTGAGAAATGTGTGGATGACCTGTCGCGAGGATACGCTCTCGGCTGGCTGAATGTTGCTGGAGAGGATTACATCAAGGCTCTGAAAGATGAGGACAATGCCGCACTCCTGGTGTTGATGTTCTGGGGTGTGCTCGTTGACAAGCTCGGGCATCAGGTGTGGTGGGCGGAAAAGTTTGGCAGCCTGTTGGTGAGCGAGATATCGAATCGAGTTCTGACTGTCAATGATGACAAAGAGACACAAGACATGATCGCATGGGCACGTGGGAATGTCTCTTCGGGCCATCAAGAACAGACCTGATATCAGCATCGCTTTTCTTGTGTGTGGGTTGGTGTATGATATAAAATCGGGCTTCTGGGAGCTCGAGAGTCGAGCCCCAGCATGTGCCTCTGGGAAGGTCTTGTGCGAGGAAAGTCACTTTGATGGAGCTTGAAGCTACAGGATCTACGCTAATGAATAGTGTAGTTGGTGACAATGAGGTATTGTTATAGTGGTCTTTGATGGCCACCAGCTATGGATACCCTCTCCCCAAAAATTCCCCCACTTTTTCTAAATGCCGGAGAATGCAATACCCAAATAGTGAGTGAGAAATCAAAAAGCCTGTGCTATGCAACTCATCATGCGATACATCGTTATTTACATTTTTCAACGGCCGTCCCAGACCAGCCGAGCATATCTATGCCGTAAACTCAACATCACGCTTTCCAGCTCCTCTCAAAGCCTTGGCCGCGTTGTCGTTGGGTGTAGCATTTCCGAAGCCACATCCTCCATCTCGAGTCTGGGCAATGATCGCGCCTGCACACTTTCCAGTGTTGAAGCCACAGCATCCAGATGCACAATCGGCGTCGCTTAGACACTGACCGGTAATAAACTGTGCTGCGTTGCCTTTGCCAACATTTTGAGCTCCAGGAGCACTTTGGTTGATGTTGGTTGCGCCACCCGTGCCTCCAGTGCTACCTGTGTTGCCGGTATTGCCAGTAGCAGGAGGAGCAGAGCTGGCGGGAGTTGTAGCCTGACCGCCACGGAGAGCTTGAGCGGCACGGTCATTGGGGGTGCCATCGCCAAACCCACAACCTCCATCCCGTTCTTGAGCCACGATAGCACCAGCACACTTTCCAGTGTTGAAACCACAGCAACCAGAGGCACAATCTGCATCACTTGTGCAGACTCCCGTGATGAATTGGGTTCCTGTACCAGTGCTGCCGGAGCTGCCGGTGTTGCCGGTATTTCCTGTGTTGGCATTACCATTGTTGGCTGGAGGAGTATTGGTGGCGGGTGTGGTTGCTTGACCGTTGCGGAATGCTTGGGCAGCGCGATCATTTGGTGTACCATCGCCGAATCCACAACCGCCATCACGCTCCTGCGCGATGACAGGCCCGGCACATTTGCCGGTGTTGAAGCCACAGCAGCCCGAAGCGCAATCTGCGTCACTTGTGCATACTCCTGTAATGAATTGGGTGCCTCCTTGACCGAAAACAAAAAGAGCCACTAGAACATGAGAGTTAGAGTAGGGTCGATCATTGGCTATGCGAAGTACTCACAGTTCAGAACGAGGAGAAGAAGGAATGATTTTGAAGTCCCGTTGTAAGGCATGTTGATGGAATTGAAAGACTGAACCAGCAGTATACGAATTGAACGAAAGTGAAAAAGAGTGGAAAAGTGAAATCGAGGATTGGCAAAGGAAAGACAGGATGGGTGAAGAGAAGCATGAGTCGGGACAGTAGGAACATTGGTCAATTTGTATTGCTGAGATAGAGGCAGATAATCAATCACTTACATTCAGGATGTCCCCTATTCCTTCGTCGTATTGGGGTCCATGTTTCCCAAATGAGTGGTTTAGCAGAGTTGTGGCTGGGCAAGAAGTTTGTCAATGTTTAGTGTACATTGCAACCATAGCCCAATGGCCAGGTCAAGGTAGGAAGAACAGCAGATTCCTCAAACAAGGCGTGGCGAGGCAGGGCGAGGCTGAGACGGAATGTGGATCGACAGCCTCGCCAAAGTGTTGCAGGTTGTTCCATCGGCCAAGGGGCAAGGCGGGGGTGAACCGAGGGATTGGCCGACCAACCCCGGTTTCTGAGGCACCAATCGTGACAGATTGAAAGCGAGTTTGAGGTTGGGTTTCAGCTCGCCCACTTTCCATCTGGTAGGCTGCTAGCACTCCCACTCTTCAATGTCACTCTTGACGGGCTGCAAGACACGTATGAGCAAGTTGGTAGTAGTGGTTACTCGTACCAAAGGACCAACTGGTTTGATGTCACTTGGCTGGTGGGTATTGCACTGAGATCGAAGCACTGGTGCCGATGTTTCTGTTGATTACGGATCGTCGCAAGCAGCCTGATTTTGGAGAGTGCTGGTTCAAGCCATGCCAGCTGTCACCAGCGCCTGATCAAACACTTTCTCCTTCCGATCCCTTATGCGAGGGTGATCTGTCACGAACCGTGTGATCGCTTCAAGGGTTTCAAGGGAGAATGAGCACGACAGACTTTCGCCAATCGATCTGATAGACGACCTGCTTGTGTTTGTAGGAACTTGGAAGCGAATACTCGGTACATGGGGAAGTAAGAACCTTGAAGCCCTTTATTGATGGAATCGAGGGCTCGTAACTGGTAGTAGTTGTGAGGTCACACTGCACAATCGAGGGGACGCGACTTGACTTGCCCGTGGAAAGAACCGGGACGCGTACCCCGACGCGTTCCGGGCGTGCCGACCTTGACTAACTAAATGATTAGGCTACTTAGGCTAGGGGACTAGACCCTTACGGGGACTGTGGCACCTAAAATCCTTCGTCCCTTCTGCCCAAGGACCTTGATTAGGCGGGCTTGGTCTTCACTGGGGATCTGTACCTACTCGTAGCACCTCACTTCAGACCCATGATCTCCTCTTACCAAAGTACCAGTCACGGGCATCTCTGTTGTCATCCGCCTTGTCCCACTAGACACTCTGGTAAATACGACCAGGCAATCATAGTGATGAAAACAAAGTCTAGGAAAGTGATGCTGATCATGCAGAAATCCATCAATTGGTCCCCAGTGATGCATGACGCTGCCCACCTGGCACTGCAGTCTAGGCATTGCCAGTGCCTTATGACCTGACCTGAACTGACCTGAACTGACCAGCCACTGCACTCGGGCTCACCTGAGCAGGGTCAAAGGCCACAATCCCATCCGGCGGTGTGACAATTCAATATTCGAATCTGACAGGTGCCCTCGTGCTGTCTGTACCTGCAGGTCCCTTTCTAAATTCAGAAAACTCCCTGTTACCCGACCGCGCCTCGCCGCAGCCCTATTCCTGCTGCGACTTGAAAGGAAAAGGTGCCTGACAGTGATGAAATGTCCTCAGCCACTCACTCCAGCAACATTAAACCTCTCCAGTTCGACTCCTCACTCCCTTCAAGCGTTTGTTCTCTAGCCATTCCCTTCCTTGTCGTTCCATCGTTGTCATCTGTGTCGCCACGCCTCATTTTATATCGCCTGTCCAGAGGAACGGGCTCGAGGACTCCTCCTTCTGGAATGGATGTACAAGAACCACCCTTGGGACCAACCTGACAAGAAAGTCCAAGACTTCTACCGTCGGCCCTTGCTCTGCACACAATTGCATTCAATGGCACCCTCGGTACCATGCAGTCCTTACGAAGAAACACCCTTCCTCAGTTGGGCTGTGGCATCCAACTGAGAGGTCAAAAATCCACTTATTCAATCTGTGGTCAGTTCAGAGCCAACAACCACGATGTCTGGCCAGCCTTGTAAGTTCCTGCTGCCTCCTTGGGCATTGCATGATTGACAGAATGCAGCGACTTGAACAGAAAACCCGTGGTCATCAAACGAGCTCCCTTCAATCAATTCAGAAATGAGATCAGAACCCTTCGCCTCTGCCATGGAATTCCATACATCCGCCAGCTCATAGACACCACCGAAAATCCACCCTCGATGATTCTAGAACGCTTGGATACCAGCCTCTATGCTGCCTCCTGCCAGAAGAAGCTCGAAAGACTCGAGATCAAAAGAGCTGTAAAAGCGGCACTGAATGGGCTAGCCTTACTCCATAGCCACGGAATTATACACAATGGTAATCCACTCAAACCAGCATTCATCCATCCATTACGGCCAACTCATTTACTTGGACATAGATATCAAGCCAGACAACATCTTGGCCAACCGTGGCTCCGGCAATCGTCGTTTCACCGACATCAAGCTCGCTGACCTTGGCGATTCCAGTTTAGAAACCAATTCCATGTGGAATACTTGGCCTTTGAGTGGCACGATCGTTTACAGAGCGCCAGAAATGATTCTCCGAGCACTGTCAACATCCGCCGTGGATATATGGGCGCTTGGTGCCACAGTGAGCCGAACAACTATCACTCCACGCGTTCTTGCTAGCTGATTCAACACACAGTCTTTGTTTTTCATGGTGGGCGATCACTTCTTTGCGCCACGAGCGAGTGGACTAGACGACGTACTGGTTCACGAGCTTATCCTCAAAAGGCAAATGAGGTGTTTTGGCCCCTTTCCAGAACGGTTCATCGACATTGTCCCCGACATCTACAAGGAGTACTATCTTGACCTCGAAGGTGAGACAGTATTCTACCCAGATCGCTGGCCCGGGCCCCTCACCAGTTTTCTGAGCCCAGAAGAAGAAGAGTTCATCCGTCTGCTGCTAAAGGCTGACCCACGTGATCGGCCGTCTGCCGTCGAAGCCCTTCATCATCCGTGGCTGAGGGACGTCGATTGAGGCTCTGCGAGCTGAAAGTGCACCCGGGAAGTTAATTTACATTGGTCCATCCGCCCTTGAGCCCAACGAGCAGCCATCAATATCGACTTGCACTCAATAAGCTGGCGACGAAACCAGCAACCGTGAGTGCGATCGTGCCTTCAAATCCAGTGGTGCTCCGACCCTACCCAAAGCCATATCCTCATTGCTTGGTCTCCAAGGATCCGCATCCCCCCATCGCTCAATCACAAGACCTGCACTTCCCGGATATCGATATCCTGCTTCCATCTGCTTTCTATATGCTATCAGTCGCAACCTTTGTGCCTCTCGTGGCGTCATCTTGAGATAGATTTCCGCGCCAAATAGGTGCAGGAATATGGCGATCCAAGCTGCCATACCAAAGACCACCCTCATACTGGCCCCGATCTCATCTGGCTGGCTTCCCCAATCTGCTTTTACCAGGACAAGGTCACTCTCATCGACGCAGCCTGGGTATCTTTCCAGAAATCTTGAGGGGTTTTTCCTCCAAATATACTCGACCTCGCCACATGTCATTTCTTTCGAGTATGATCCTACGAGCGTGATCACCTTTGCGCCTATTACCATGATAACTCTCGTTGTGATGATACTCCCCAATGCTGACGCCGTCCGGAGCATCCACGCTCGATGTTGGTCGATCTGCAAACATCTTATATTCCACATCGCCAACGAAAGCCCGACCGTTGACAATACCACCAGAAGGCCAAACGCGGCTTGTATGCACACATCACCGCCAAACGTTCGACGTCCGATCATGAGAGCACCAACATTTGCAAGCATTACGAGCAGCACAACGATGTACCCATTCACGCGATGAAACAACATCGCTCGCATCCGGATCACCGGTAGGAACTGGAACACCACGAGAATCGACCCAGGAAGTATTGCTGCGAGGTGGATCGTCATACCGACGCGATATTTGCCCCGCGGATCCTGGTACCAGTAGTACTCTCCGGGTGCTGCACGCGCCTGCCACCATCGTTCCAAGTCGAGGTAGTAAAGATGTGCCAGGGAAAAGCCGACTAGCGCGCCCGCACCGATGACAACTAGTGGGAACGGACGTTAGTTATCATGCACGGATCCTTTTTACAGGCTCGACAGGATACAGGGAGTCATACAGAGCAGGAAGTTGTAATGGCGGTGGAACTCCAGAAAAGAAGCAGGTCGATGGTATAACAAGTCGATGATGGACTTCGAAGCAGTCATTTTGGTATGTCGCAGAGAAGGAGGCTCGTTAGACGAACGGTGTGAGGTGTGAGCCGACATCGTGCAAGTCGGCTGCAATTTCGAAGGTCAAGAGAGGGTAGAATGGCAAAGTGTTCGAGTTGCGGCTCCTTGCGAATGTGCGGTTCTTGATCGGATATATGAGCGGCGGATCTTGCGTGCGAGACTCCACGCTTAGTGCAGAGAGCATGTCGTCTCGTTCCAGGAATCAACGCCACGGACAATTCACCCATGTTCTTCGAAATCGGATTGAAATTGGGCCTCCAAGGATAACAAGCTGTTCATAGCGGCTGTAGGCGGCTTTAATATGATCAACCACGTTTGGAAAATCCAACCACCGCGTAGTCTTAGAAGAAGCTGTGACCGGCACCCTTGGCGAGGAGTATAACTTGGTCCAATGGAACATCAAGTGGTCAAAATGATATTCTCTTTTAAACAGCGGATGATCTAGCTAGCGGTCACCCTGCCCTTGAAAGCGTCGACTGCATCGATTTCCATCAGATATGGATTTAGGACAGAAACTCCGGCGGACTCCGATAGCCACATATTGTTGTCCTTTTTACTACGTTCAATTCACGGTCGCTATAGCTTCACATCGCCTAGAACGATTTAAAGAAAAAGGACTCGGTCGGCAGCCGACTTCAACTTGCTGAGAAGGCTTAGAGCCGCAAGGGATTGATTGTCTTGGCACCAACAAAACAATATTGGAACCGCGACGTGACTCGCTAGTCCTTGCGGAATCTGGGCCGCCGATTAATTATGGTCGATATTCGGTTTCGGCTTCCGCGCGAAATGCTTCCGGGACCTCCGTCATTCAGCTCAGGCAACGTCCTACTCACAGCCCGTTGATAGCGCTCCGTGATCTAGGATAATCAGCTCAAACGACAATTGTTGGCAACGTATAGGGAACGCTCAGGCTGAAATAGCATTTCCAGTAATGTGAAATTGCTGGAAAGAACGCTCATACAAGTCGGCGAGCTGAATGCCGCCGCCATGCGGTGTAGGCTTGGCTACAAGACCGTCAGAGTGAGACTCTCTCAGCTGAGAGCTCATGGACGACAAAATGCGCCAAGTTCAGTCCAGGTGAAATTCGATCGTGCGAATAAGTATTATCCCATCAGGGTCTCGTCATATCACGGCGTCTGAGGACACCGGCGCAGACTCTCTGCTACTCTTCAGCGTCTCAGGAGATATCTCAATCTCTTCCAGTTGGGGGTTGGAAACAGATTCGATGACGGCCTTACACAGGCTGAACGTTGGCAGGCGTAGAGTACGTTTGACTGTCTGCGGTCACATGGATCAACGATGCACAAAGAATGCAACTTCACCTCGAGCAGGGCATCACTCTAGTCTACGACTCGCGTTCAGGTTTCTGTTGAGAGCGTACCGGTCTGAACTTCCGGCTAGGGCGAACGAAATCGGACCAGTCGTGGCCACTGTCCAGTCCATCACTCTTCACGGAACACGATTTCAACCCTAGTCATGAGGCCCACAGCTTGACCCCACGACCACAACAGCTCTGATCAGCGTATCCGTCAGCAATCACCCACTCCATTAGCATGGATGAAGAGCTTGTGTTAATCCCCTCTGATGGGCTTCATCCGCCAATGACACTAGTTACTCACCTAGCTACATAGACGTCTGGAGCGCTTGAGAGAGTAGTGCGGATACACTATCGATCCGCACGAACCTGCGTATTCGCCGGCCGCCTCAGATGCTTGCAAAGAGATAGCGAGACTTGTGGATGCGGTAGCCAGCTGGCCCCAATGCACACTTCTCTAGTTGCAGGCTGCACGACTCGACAGACTCAGATGGCGGACCATACTCCCTTTCGAGGCAACGGTTCATCGAGTTGTGCACAGCGCAAGCGTACCTGCCCAAATGCTACGAGCTGTGAGTTACCCGCACACTGTGCACTGAAGTTCTGGAATTTTTCAGTCCTTTTCGGAACGAGGCAGTGCCTGGGGAACTCATACACTTAACATAAAGACGTGCAAACTGCACATTCTGCTCTCGACATGACAGATCGACAGGCTCGACTAATTAGAGGTCAGGAGCTCACTTCTCAAGTAGTCTTTCTACAGTCAACTGAGGTGTCCCATTGCCCAAAAGCCCTGTCCTGGGCCTGGACTCTTCGTGTCCCCTTTACCCCAGAGATATTGCAGCCAATCCTTGCTTAGGGCTCAATGCTGACAGACTATCAACCGGCAGACGTGATGGTGCAAGTTTACGACAAACGGCCAAGGTTGGCCTGATATCTCCCCACCCATCGACACACGTCTCCTCTCCGATCCGCGCTGCGTTTTCCGACTTAGCACCAGTGGACAAGACCATGTTCAGATCGACCAATTCGACTCGACTCATCTCACCGACATCTAGTCTATTTCCCTGGTGACTATTTCCTTGAATAACTCTTTTAGGAAGCTCGTTAGCAAGATATCAAGACGGAGTATCCCCGGTGGGTCAGGCAATTGATACACCATCAATCGTGCGGCGTCGACGAATATCGCCGGGCGTATTTCTGAGCAGCGATGTTGAGATGCAGTCTCGCACGACAGGTTCGTTCTAGCACCGATCAGACACGGAGAAAGGGATTGAAGAGATTGCAATGCGCTAAAAGTCTATTCATTGGGTATTAACTCCGTGATACAGAGAAGAAAGAGGCAACCAGAGCAGTCTATCCGACAGTCTATCCGATCATGGAGTGGGTGTGTGGTTGCGATATTTCTGCAGCTGCTGTGCTATTGAACACATGGACGTAGGCCAGTAATCCTGCTCGGATCTGGCGGGACCGATAATCTCGCTGCCGCACGAACAAGAGTACCGGTCGAGCATTGCCTTGGTCTTTCCAATGTCAAAAGTTCCCAGGTCTGCGATGTACCAGCACTCGTGCTCGATCAAGATGGCGTACGCTAGCCAGTGAGCGTAAATGTCCCATGCCAGTAACTTGATGGCGAGGCTGAGATCTCGCTCCTGCGACAGCCCCAGGCAATCGTGCTGAAATAGATCTGGATTTGGGAGGGGGCTCACGAGGAGATCGGTGTATTCTTTGGGAACGCAACTAACCCAGAGGATGACGGACCTTCGCATTGGCCAGTCTGGATGGTATTCTGGTGGACCGGCGAAGAGCTTCAGCCAGGAGGTATTCAACTCCCGCGCGGTCAGCTCTGTGGACCGCCGGAGGTGTGCCTTTTCGTCGAAGATGGCATCCGACATGCCTGAGAGCACATCGCATGCTAACTTACAGGCGACCAATGACGCTGAGTAGTCGAACATTCTCCTGGTGTCTTCGTGTGACTGGCATAGAGTCCGCTGGAGTCTGCTTGTGTGTTTTTGCAAAATGTCGATCCGGGCGTCAAGCTTTTGCTGTGCCGAAGCTCTCGTGGCAGATATGACCGGATAAAGTGGGTGTTTGGCTCCAATGATGACTGCTACAGCTCGTGGACTGGATAGGAGATTCTGTTGCGCGTGACGGGCCACAGTGCTCAAAACCTCGACAGATACGGACTTGTCTACATTGCTGTTCTGGATCAGGTACATTTCACTCTTTGTGTCATCTGCCATGCTGGTATAGTTCTGCATCGATGCTCTTCCGACGGTTGTGATGCCACGTAGGAAAACCATCCATTCTAATTTGAGAGGTGAGTCTTCTGGAATATCAAGCCCAATCATTGATGAATCCGGAGTGGATTGATGTCGCGGCCTAGTCAGCAGGCGAATAATTCTTCTTCTTGCCAGGGGATAAGGGAATATCATAATCGCTTCCAGGTGAATAACCTGGGGATTTCCATGAGTGATGTCCATTATGTCGTAGCGGAGTGCTTCGAGTGCCGCCTGATGATAGCGGTCAGCCGTCTGCATTAGCTCGACCACGGACTCCATCTCCCCGCTTGCTGGAGACGCTGGTGGTGTGAAGGAATCAGTCAGCAAGTTGAGACACCGGCAAGCTGCGCCCAGCGCCAGTAACGACGACAATAAGCCCTTGTGATAGGCAGCAAGATTGGGGATGCCGGCTGTTATAGCATACACAATATGCGGAAATAACAATGAGTCCTGGCATCCATGCATGATATACTCGTCCAGGAGATATAGATCTCTGGTCAGTGATGTGTTATCCGTGGTCACGGCCTTCCCGTAATCCGAAATTCCTGAACAGGAATATTGTACGTCTTCATCGGCTGTCGTAAAGTCCAGGGACAGATTTATTGGCGTTCCAAAGCCACTGTCTTGCAGGCCGAGCTCTAGGAAACTATCGAATAGTGGCGAATGAGAATCTCCTTGTGCATCTGTTGACTCACTTGCCGCCGACTTCACAGTAGCGGTAGCGCTTTGTGAAGGGACTGATGGAGAAGAATCATTGGATCCTCTGGAATGGTCCTCCGACTTGGAATATTCACATGGCTGGTTGCGGCTCACACATCGATTGCATTCAGGTTGAGCTTCGTCACACTAAGGGGGGGCTGTCAGAGGAGGGCAAATGTGTGTCTTTCAGTGTGGATGATTCTTACCTTGATTCTCCGACGTCGACAGTACTGGCAACCATTCCTTGACTTTGTATGTGGTTTACGAGGCTTGAAAGGCCGAGGTACTTGTGGGGATACCATGATGGGCCAAGCAAAGTAAGTGTATGTGGACAAGATGTATTGAGTTGAGATGATCGTCCAGGTCCAGGGACATGAACGTCTGCGTAAAGCGAGAATAGCTACAGAGATATAGACATGTCGTATTGCTGAACGACTGAGGACACCACGAGAAGTTCGGACATACTATATTGCCGATATACTCGAGTCGACACCAACGATCAGTCATCAGGTTGCAGAAAGTGGGCCATTGTTCGCTTGATATCGTTGGTTCCACCCTGGAGTCAGGGTAAATATTACAGATTGTGGAGACCTCCAAGCAAGAGACCGCCATGCGAGATCTGGTCTGCTTTCAAAGCGTGATATCGGGTCCGGTGTTCTACAGGGCTGAGGAAATGGTGGTGCCGGATGTGCGGCAGACAAGGCAGTGCATGCAGAAAGTGCGAGATCGGGAAACGTGCATGCGAAGGACCAGTTGGAAGGTGAATTGACCGCGATAACAGCATTTGGAATCGAGGTAGCATTTGACAGTCGTCTCCAGGCCGGTGGCTGAACCTGTCTGTCGTCATTTCCCACCGAAGAGGGCGCAGCAGAGTGATGAAACCTCAAGTCTGATACTTTTCGTCGGAAACGAGCAATATCAACAAAATTTCTACAGCCTGGGGAGAGACTCTTCGGAACGCGCCATGGAACGTGGCATCGCCTGGATCCGCCATGACTGGTATTCCAGAAGGAACTTGCCGCCTCGCCGCGCCCAGAGGCTCCTCTCCTCGTATTCGTATCTCCAGTGAAGGGGAAGGCCGAACGCTCGTCCGCTTTTTAAGCTAGGGTCCGAAGGTGCATGTAAATCGAACTTTGAGAAATGCTGGTAGGGCTTGGGGCGCCTGATGTCTTAGCGCTGACCAACCCAGGCCACAGTCCGTCCCATTCATGACTGAAACATTATCTAAAGGCCACCACACTCAAACATCGGAGACGGGAGAGCAATTGTGTTCGAACATTCCGTATGGCGTGCATGTCCGTTACTCATCTATTTGAAAGGGTGTTCTCAACCTCTGAGCAAAAGCCACAATCATTGCGGCTGCATTGAATGACGTCAGGAAAGGGTTTTATCCGATGGAGTACATTGCAAGAGCCAAAAAGAACTACGAGTTGGGCGCGCAACCAGTGGCTCCTAAACCTGAATGACTGTCCATCTAGGCCGTAATATACCCGCTCAGGAGATACGCAAGGCTACCCCCTCAGCCTCGTGCCCCGCACATGTACGCCCTTCGGTCGTCAAAGCATCCAGACATGCAGGAAAATGATAAAACCACTATATCAGACAGGAGATTCCATTCCGTCATAAAATTGGTGTTCAGATAGTGGACATTCCTACTGACACTTCGAGTTGATGTACCCCAAAACCTAGCTCATCAGATCAATGGCTTCTCCTCCGTCGAAAACCGTTCCATTAACAGTCCGCTGCCACTGCGAAAAAGTCTCTTTGAATGTCGAAATTCCACAAGAGCGATTCCCACTGGAATCCTCCATTTGCCACTGTAGATCCTGCCGTCACGCTACAGGACAGATCTTTACCACCTTCGCCAACATTCCAACTGATATACCCAGTGAGTTACTCCAGGATGACCATAACAACCTGACGACCTACCGATCCTCTTCAACACTGTTGAGGCTCTTTTGCAAAAGTTGTGGAGCTAGCATCGCAAACTTTGACTCTGCCTATCAAGATGAATGGGGGCTCGCAACGGGGTGTATCAAATTCGCGGGCGATCCACTAGGACACGAAGGCAGGCTCAACAGAATCCAAATCTGGCTTGATGATGTTAGATCTGATGGTGGCGCTGCTGTATGGATCAATGCTGGAACCTCCGTGGGGATGGACCGACATTGGCGTGGCCGAGGTTCTGGGACGGTCAGCGATAGCGATGTCCAAGATATTCTTACAGGTGATTCCAGCGCACAGGAGAGCGAGCAGGCCAGAGAGGCCCCAAGTCTTGGACGAAATAACACGCTCGATGGTCGTTGTCATTGCGGTACTATTTCCTTCACAGTCAGCCAACCCGATGAGCAGCACAACCACGGCACAGGAAAGTTCGAAGCTAGTCTTGATGCCTGTACCTCGTGCCGCTTAGTGACTGGGTTCGAGATCACTAGCTGGGCAACTGTTCCTCAAGATTTGATCAAGACCACGGCATCAAGCTTCAATGCTTACCTCGCGGACAGGTCAAAGTTGAATCATTACAAATCATCCCAGGATGTGAGTCGGTATTTCTGTACTAAATGTGGAGCAACCATATTTTACCAAAACCACGGCCTGGCCACGATTGATATTGCAATAGGAATACTCGATCCATCGAGTAACGAGCAGGCGCGGGCCGAGGACTGGCTTCTCTGGCAGAAGTATCCGAAGGCCATTTCCTACCCTGAAGATGCAGTGGATAGGAAGCTGGTCCAGGGCCTTGCGGACGGGTTGAGGCTGCACATGGGCGAGTTGAAGGGCTAGGAACAGAAAAAAGTGATGGGAAGCACCTGAGTAATATCTCGTTTTTTGATACACGTTGGTAACGCGGCCATTCCAACATCTAGCTAGAAAACCTCTTCTCGGCGGCCTTCCAATTGACCACGTCCCAGACGGCGCTGAAATATTCGGCCTTGCGGTTCTGATATTGCAAATAGTACTAAGTCTGAATGTTAGCGCAGTTCGACAGCTGAGGTTTTTCGGCACTCGTACAGCATGCTCCCAAGCATCGATTCCCAGTAACGGCTTGAATTGGCCCACAACCGGATCCTGATTTCCATAGGTCTTGATTGATATGTTGCCGGTCTGAGTGTCCTTGACCAACCAAGCCCAACCACTGCCTTGTATTCCAGCTAGCGCAGCATTGAATTTCTTCTTGAGTTCTTCCAACCCTCCGAAAGACGTGTCGATGGCTTTGGCAAGATCACCCGAGGGCGGCTCACCACCACCGCTGTTCTTGGGCGCCAAATTTTCCCAGAACAAGGTGTGGTTGAGATGACCTCCACCATGGAAATTGATCAATGGGAGGAGTGAGGCTTTGGTGGCGACATCGCCCTTTGCTTCGGCGGCGGCAAACTTGTCGGCTGCGTCGTTGTAGGAATTTACATATGTTTGGTGGTGCTTGCTGTGATGCAGCTCCATGATCTTTCCAGAGATAGCTGGTTCCAGAGCTCCATATTCATCTGATTCCTGTGTTAGTCGCTACATGCCTGTTTTCTCATCGTGTGCCAGGTCTACATACAGGCCAAGTCAGGGAGAGTGGCTTTCTGTCGGATGAAGGTCCGGTCGGCAGTGGTGATAGATCGGAGAGGGTTTGATGAGGCGGCGAGTCTGAGGGCGGAGGGGCGTGTCGCAGATTTCAGCAAAGAAGCCATGATTGCACGAGTGAGTCGTAGAAGTAATTGATTCTTCAGCTCCTGAACGTATATGTACTGAGTACAGTGGCTGACTTGAGTGGTGAAGTGCTGGTCTTTATTATGACAAGCTCCAAGTTGCTGCACCCAGCCAAACACCATCTCTCCAACTTTTACGTCATCCAGGATCGATCCTCGGCCGAAGGATGTTCCATTCCGAGCGTGTTCGGTCTGCCGCTTTAATAACATGTGGATTGGGCAGTTGCCGACATGATTCATTCACCTCCTTCAGGTTTGATTCAAGTTCGACTGCAGTGACAACTACCTGGATATTTATTTTTATACCTCTCAGGCTCCTTATTATAAGAAACAGGTAATCGGCAATAAATTCTGAGTACTCCCAGTAGGTCCTATTGACAAATAGCGTTCGATATCTGCGCAATGTCAACAAAGGCGTGTGGTTGAACCTGGAGAACCCCTCCTGTCTCCGAATAGCTACTTCGTCGCATTCGGTCCCACTTATACGGAGTACCTTGACCTTGGGTAGATAAGAACGGCCAGCACAGAGTATTGCTCCTGGCAGCTCACCCCGACATCCCACATGCCGCAGCGACACCTATTGTAGCCCCCTAAGCCGGCTTTAAATTCTTGGAATCTGGAAGGTCGGGGTCAGAACAATGTCTAATGTCGAGGCGCCCCCAGCAGGGCATGACTCCCAGGGTGAGGTACCATCTATTCGATGGCTCAAAAAGCGCCGCCTGGCAGGAGAGCAGCGGGAACGTGCGATTCGGGCGTTGGTCTTCCCTTGTATTTGGAAATCCTAGTGTCCAGTCATTCTGATTTTGCCTAGGTGCGATGAGTGCCGACGTGTCAAGGAAAAGTGTCAGGGAGGAGTTCCTTGCAATCGGTGCATCCACTTTCAGCGGACTTGCACATTTTCGCGATCAGTTGCAAGGAAATCTATTCCCAACATTCAGCAACAAAAGTTCGTCAGTCTGTAGTATCCGATCCCGACTTCACTTATTTATTCTTCATTCATCATAGGAACACAGCTAGCAGTCCTGAAATTGCTGGGCTACAGCTCCGTTCAGAGTATATGGAACGACTTTTGCGACACACTTTTCCAGAGCTCGAACTAGACATCGACAGTCTTCGTCGCAAAGCTGAATCTCTGACAATTGCCGAGGATCCCGCCCACGAGCCTGCCCGAAACTCCGGCTCGGAATCCGAGATTGAAACTGAACTCAATATCGAAGACGAGAGCTGTACAATTGAAGCGGCCACTGCTACTGATACGGTTGCACGTACGTCTCCTGTCTAATGGCTAGCTCGGGCTGATTGCTGAACATTGCTCTCAGACTATTCTGGCGAATTCTCCCACTGGAATTTCTCCATGCGAATCAAGCAACATGTAAAGGATTGGATGGTGGCATCGCAAGCTCCGGTTATTTTTGTGTCTAGACCTTATCTCTAGTTGTCCATGTTTCTAATTCTGTACAGGATCCTGTCGATCCGAGCCATGTTCCGGAATACTGGCGCGTCGAAGAGCTGCACGCCAATCCAAGCGATATTGCTGAAGCTCGTGCATGTTTTCCCCCACGCCAAATTGCTGAATTCTTGATGCATGTCTTCTTCAAGCATGCTGCCATGGATTACTTCTATGTTCAGTATTCTTGGTTGGCTGAAAAGGTCGATCGAGTGTACGAGAATCCCTCGGCACTCACCGCCAAGGATGCTGGTATTGTGGCTATCATTCTCAACGTTCTCGCGATTGGCACTCAGTATGTGCATCTAGAGTCGCCTACAGACCTCAACAACAGCTCCAGCCAGGACACCGAGTGGGAACGTGAGATCGGTACCACATTCTACCGTCAAGCAACTAGATTGTTACCAGAGATTATTCATCTCGCATCATTGGATAGCGTTCAGGCCTGTTTGCTATTCGGTTTATACGCGCTACCTATCGATCCTGCAGGCCTGGCCTATATCTACCTGAATATCGCTGTCAAGTTGGCGACACAGAACGGCATGCACCGGCACGTGCCCAGTCATACTTTGGCACCAAACTTGACCGAACTCCGTAACAGGGTCTGGTGGAGTCTTTGGTGTATTGAAAGGCAAATTCTTCACCCTCTTCACACGCAATGCTGACCTCCCTCCAGGAAGATCGGGATTTTCCATGGCCGACCAATATCGATCATGTCCTCCAATATCGACACTGATCTACCTTCCGACCAGGCCGGTTTCAGTGATGACGAACAGAACTTTCATGGTTCGTATTTGTTGATTACAATAAAATTGACGAACTACATGGCAGACTTTGTGACTGAACTGTGAGTTGATGCACTGTGTATCACAGTATCTTTGCATCGTTCTGATCGTGTGTCACAGTTTACTGCTTCGCAAGTGTCAAAGGTCCGAGCTATCAAGCATACTCTCTCGCATGGTGGATCTGACGAACGAGATGACAAAATGGTGGACGACTTTGTCGATCGGACCCCTCAACCGACGATCTCTTCACTTAAGGCTTGAGTTCTGCCTTGTTCGTATGTTCATAGGGCGCCCATTTCTTTTCAGTCGTGCAGGGGCGCCACCTGCCTCGAGCGTCTCTCCCGAGAACACCCAAGGGGCCAAAAACTCAACCATGAATTCAATTGGACGACTTGGGTCTGAAACTAACACCCGTTCTTCGCGGACGCTGATGCTGGCAGACGTATGCGTGCAGGCCGCGCTTGAAGTAATGGAAATCTTATCTTCCATGCCTGAAAATGGCATAGGGGTTGCAAAGTCGTCTTATCTTGAATATACCTCCTGCAGAATCTCTTTGTTGGCTCTTATTGCCTACTGTATCCAGAACCAGACTAATGAACATTACCATACTCTTCAGAAAGGTCTAGGTATCATTCGCGAAATGACCTCGACAGGTAACACGGCCAGATATGAGGTTCTCCTCATCGAGACACTGGAGAAATCTATTCAACGCCTACACTTTTTCCAGGGAGAAATGCGAACACGGGAGACTACCAGACAGGCATCTACAGCAGGGTATGATAGTTTCAGGCAGTGGACTTCAGGGTGGAACACTCGCGTCACATCAAACCAGCAGAATGACTCCTTAGCTCAAATATCACGCAAGATGGATCGGCGGGGAGATTCGTCTGGTACTGAGTGGCCTACGGATATTGAGCAAACGGGATGGAGTCCTGACAATACAACTCGAGGCCCTGCTTTCATCTCACTGGACAGCGAAGCTACCGATGTGATAGGACTGCAACCGTCTACCAGCGCCACATTTTTGGGCCTAGAGGGTCTAAATTCGTCCCCTGACTTCTATGGACATGTGGAACAACAGATTATGGAGGGCTTTCTCGCCGTGCCAGAATACGAGTTCAACTTTTCCAACGACTTCAATGACAACCAGCAGTCTGGGTAGGCTTTCATCGATCCAGCACCGGATATATGCTTGTATCGTCAATTTTACTTCTCTGTTCGATGACTTGACCGTTCTGGGAGAGTCGAATTTATGACTATAACTCAAGTTCTACCTCCTGAAATGAGATGCGCCTCTACCATACGCCTCGACCACGGTGCCTCCCCTAACTCACTTCGAGGTTTCCCTTCTACTCTTCGTGTCTACAGTGGTCTGCATTTGTGCATCAGCCAATTTCAGTGACATACAAAGCAATGAGGCTGTCTCTCTGATGCTCGACAGGGCATCGGATAAGCATTGCGGTTCATTGATACTGTAACATCTACTAGGTGGGAATAAGTCCAATAATTGTATACTCGGAGACATTTCAAGGGTATCAGGACCTCCTCGCCGAATGTCAGTCGCAGAAATATACCCACTTATAACCTGGTACTAGGTTGGTGCCCTGAATACTTCTACCATCCACATCTCCGATCGCCTTTTCTGACACGGGTGCGAAAGATTATTCATTCTACATCTTCACGAACTGATGGGTCCAATTTCTCTGAGGACGGAACCGCTCAGAGTTTTGAAGCCTTGACAATACCTTCTGCCATCTCCGGTAAGGTATCCGCCATAACAGCGATCTTCTCGTCAAAGAGCTCCTGGCAAGGTTCCTTTTCATACACCGTACAGTAAGCACCAGTGAATCCCACCTTCACGGCGGCCGATACATCCCACATGTGCGCAGCAGCAAACCACTTTTGATCTTCTGCCGGAAACTGCTGTAGCACCGACCGATACGCTGCTAATGCCGGCTTTGCAATGCCCTTGGTATCACAAGAGACGAAATTCTCTAGCGGCATGTCCACACCCGAACGCTGAAAGTAGCCCCTCACCCGGGTCAGGTCGCCCGTCGTGAAACACCAGACATTAAACCCTCCATCGCGAAGCGTCCGAATGGCCTCGGCACAGCCAGTACGGAGCTCCAACAGCGAGTATCCTTCAATACAGCGTTCTCGCTCATTATCAGTAGCGAAGCTTCGCGGATCAGAGACGCCAGAGAGCCAGAGTGTCCGATAGAACATGGATCGTAGAACATCCTTATACTGCTTGTATCTTTCTGAGATGGACAGAAAGGTGAATTCAATCTCCGCAACTGTCTGCCACGTGAAACCAAAGTTCTTGGGCGTGATGGTTTGCTGGCGCAGCTTGTCGCCGATCGTAGCATCAATGCGACTGTAGAAGGCATCGAAAGACACGCAGGTGCCGACCACGTCGAAAACTACATGCTTGGCAGTTGATGGCATGATTGTTTCCGGTAGTCGAGGTCAAGAGCTATACGGAATTGTTGTACTTGAAGCTTGAAACTTCTGTGTGTTGTGGTGGTTTTGCAATCGATATTCTGATCCTAATCACGGATGTGTCTGATATCTTCTCGTAACACATCAGATGATATAGGAATAATGAATCGCTATCTTTATGCCGGAGAATATTTACTGCTGATTGCAGCTTAGGTGATTAACCATGTTCAAAATTTGCGCCGGGGAGCGTAGAATGCAGAGACCTCGAGAGCCCTGCCGGCCCGACAAGGCGGTCAAATCCAGGGTTGGGTAAGTTAGTTGGTCTTTGGACTTCTCAGCGGTCGGTCCTTGGTGTTGAAGGGTGCTCGCAAAAAGAGTGTGACTCTGCGCTTACCAATCGGGGGGCATTTAACTGATTGTCCTGGTGCTCTCTGATGCTTACGCGTAATTCGTAGGCTGAAAGCTCTCAATTATTACGACTAGTTCACGACGATCATCAAAGAATACGAAGGCAGGGGGCGTTTGCAAGACCTGCTTATTTAGCACCATAGGAGCCGCAAACTCAAAGATACCCCGCCTCAAGAAGACCCTTTATCAAACCTTGGGAGTACTCCGGAGGTGATTAACTTTTGGCCCCTGGAAATTATACCGGCCCGGTCATTTGCTTCAGGCCACATCCTGTGGAGTCCACAAGCGTCCGATTACGGAAGTCCACTGACAGCAGTGCCAACTAAATTTCTCATAGATTGGAAACAATATAACAGCAGCCGACAGGATAAGGCGCCATGGGAAAATAGGACCAGAGATAAGGCAATCGCAGTTGTCACAGCAGTATGGCATCGTCAAGTCGGAACAGGTACCTCCCTGTCAAAAATGGACTGAAGTCTTTCTGGCTCAAGCAGCCTCATGAGTTGAGTGATCATCGATCTACATCAACAATCCCAGAACAAAGTGATATCATCATCATTGGAGCTGGTTATGCAGGCGTTGCAACTGCATATCATCTGCTTAAGGAGGGTACCGGTGCAGCTGCCGGTCTGAACATCACCATCTTGGAGGCTCGAGGGGCATCTTCGGGGGCAACAGGCCGCAATGGTGGGCATCTTCGACCAGATCTGTATGGACATATTCCGAAATATATTGATCGCGCGGGCGTGAGAGCGGGAGCTGAAGTGGCCGAGTTCGAGATTGAGAACATGTGGGCCATTAAAAAGGCTATCGAGGATGAAAAAATTGATTGCGATTTTACGTTGGTGAGGTGTGTCGACGTCTACTGCAATACAAAAGATGCCACAAATGCCAAAGCGTCGTATGATAAGCTAGTGGCACTCGAACTCGATTACATGAAGGATATGTTCTTCACGGCTGACCCGAAGGAAGCCGAAGCTGTGAGTCAAGCCCCTTGTCCTTCTATTTGCAGTGAAGGGGCACCCAGTAACACACTGGCTAGTACTCAGGCGTTAAGGGCGCGCTGGTAGCCGTATCTTTTACCGCTGGCACCATGTTTCCCTACAAGTTTATTCTTGGTTTGCTCAAGATTCTATTGGCGACCGGGAAAGTGAACCTGCAAACGCACACGCCAGTACTATCCGTTGAGCGGGATGAGAAGCGTGGCTACGCCGTGAGCACAGAGCGAGGAACAGTCTATGCGAAGCAAGTTGTTCACGCTTCGAATGGGTATGTCGCAGGTCTTCTTCCGGAGTACGAGCGCAATATCATCCCGTGCAAAGGAATCTGTACGCATATCGAGATGCCGGAGCAGAACCGAGGCACCGCCCCGCTATTCACCAATTCGTACTCCCTTGCAAACGATGATAACACCAGCTCTTACCTAATTCCACGGCTTGACGGTAGTATAATTGTAGGTGGGTCAAGACAAAAATTTCGCCCTTTCAAGGAGCAATGGTACCACAATGTGGACGACAGCATTTTGATTGATGCGTCCAAGGATCATTATGAAGAATACATGCAAAGGACATACCGTGGTTGGGAAAAGACCGATGCAAAAGTATCTAGCATCTGGACTGGAGTTATGGGCTATTCGTTCGACTCTAACCCACATATTGGTTCTGTGCCCTCCAAGCCAGGCCAGTTCATTCTTGCCGGCTTTAATGGGCACGGAATGCCGGTGATCTGGCTTGGAGCTAAAGGGCTGGCGAAGATGATTCTTGCTGACCAAAGAGGTGAGAAATTACCATTCAGTGAGACTGGAATTCCCAGGCTGTTTCAAACCTCGCAGCTCCGGATTGATAGAGCTCAAGCGAACAAGGAAGAGGATGGTGATATACTCGGTACCGGTCAGATATTTCTGCCGAAACTGCCCATACATGAGACGCATACCTGGAAGAGTAGACTTTGATCTGCGTTGACTTCATCGTAACTTTCATGAGGCGTAATGGACAATAGACTCCAGAACATGCTGGAATACTGTGTGTCGTATGACTTTTTACTTGAAATATAAACTATATCTGTCTTGGAAACACCTACCATTTTAGTCATCTCAGCTAATGCAATCTCAACCTCCCGACTGAACAGAGGTCAAGGTAGCGTGAGCAATACCCATACTACCATACCCATGTACTCCCGAGTCTTCAGAGCTTGGTGACACCCAAAAAGAAGATAAGAACATCTGAATAGATCTCAAGGATGGGTCAGCTATTTGGAGAGGCTGCAGGCTTATCTTGAGGCCCATATCTAAACAACCATATCATTTCGCATGCTGGTAGGTAGTCCTCCAGTAATATAGCTTCCAAATCCATTCCCATTCCGGGCCGGCGGATTTGCTAAGACAACTGTCCATGATAAAGTTTCGTATACCCCAGACTATCTGTGGGGTAAACACCAATCCATTGCAGCGTCTGCGCGGCTTGTATGAAAGGGGCAAAGTGTGATCAACGTCGCCTGACAGAACAGGCCAGATCCGAGATAGTACAGGCGGTCTGCGTGTTTTCAATTATGATCTCTACTACAACTGGGCTTAAAGCGAGAGGCCTCGTTTGGAGCCGCTCACAGATAAGACCGGCCCGGCTTTCAGCGCGGAATGTACGGCGTCAGATCGGTCTACTGAAGATAGACTAGCATGAAAGCCCTTCAGAACGGTGGTTTTTGTTCGGATTAGTTCATCTTCGTTATCGTTAAATACGCTTCTAACATACGAGACTACCGAGTACATGATTTTCTAGAGATATAACGACTGGTGCGCCGTCCAGAATGTCAGCTTGTAAGTTTAATCTCCACCCCCTCGTCCTATCTTCGATGAACAGACGTTCCCTTTAAAATTAACATTCTTCAAGAAGTCCCATCAAGTACAATGGCGGCTGCTCCAAACGATATAACTAAAGACACTATCAAGCTTGGTCAAGTCGAGACCAACACCGAATCTGTGCTCGTCCAGTGGGGTCAAGTCGTGGAGATTGACAATGCCTACTTGCAAGCGTCGTGGACAACAAGATTCTGGCGCGGCGCCTTGTTCCAGATGATATTGTTCGGCTGGTATGTGTTGACTTCTCAAGCTGGGCACTTGGACTCTAAGGCTGACACTGATATAGCCTATCCTTTGTAGGCCCTGCGATGTCAGACGCCATTTCGAATCTTGGTGGTGGTGGCCTCTCCACACCATTTTTGGCCAATCTAGCAACCTCACTGAACTATGCAGCCGGATTCGCCACAACTATGGTTGGAGGGCCTGTGGTCAACAAGCTTGGGATCAAATTGTGTTGTATTCTCGCTGCACTTGCGATGCCTCTTGCTGGTAGTGGTTATTATGTCAATGCGAGGTTCGGCGTTGACTGGTATCTCCTCTTCTCCAGAGTCAGGACCACCTCTGTCGATGAAAATCACAGTACTGACCTTAGGTAGGCTGTGGGAGGAGTTTTCAGTGGTCTTCTATACGTGTCGGAAAGTACTGCCATGCTGTCATATCCACATCCAAATGATAGAGGTTTATACCTAGGTATGTCTCCAATGGCTGTTTCTAGTGGAAGCAATATAATGTGTGCTGGTCAGGCATTTGGTCAGCCATGCGAAACAGCGGTAGTGTTATTGGTGGTGCGATCAATTTTTCCAACAACAGTGGCAGCCCCAAAGCTGGAGGCGTTACCTGGTCCACGTACCTCATTTTTATTGCTTTTGGTAAGCATCAAGCCATTTGAGATGCACAAAAGGAGTCTTCTAGCTGAAAAATATCACAGAGTCTACTGGAATAATCTATGCTTTGATGCTCTCGAAGACTAGTAAGGTTCGACGTCCTGACGGCAGCGGCGTCGCGATGGCTCAAGATATCTCGTGGGGTCAAGAATTCAAAGCTCTCTTGAAACACATGAAGCTCAAGAAGGTCGGTAATATTTCGCGCAATCTGTGGCCAAATTGCTAACATCCTCCCCTTCTAGACATGGCTCATGTTTGTTCCTGCGTTCTACTCCTTTTTCTACGGTGGCACCAATGGAACTTATCTCTCTCTGCACTTCAGTGTCCGTGCACGCGCACTATCGTCTCTGTTGAGTCGTGAGCATAACATTCACCTGCCCGAGCTGCAGATTCACTCTGATTGTTGCTAGCAACCATCACGATTCCCATGGTCATTGCATTTGGCAAGCTCTTGGACACGAAACGCTGGCCTCAACGGAAGCGTGCATGGTTGAGCTTCTTGTGCTGGATCATCCCTCAAGCTGGCTGTTTTATCTGGATTGGGATCGAATATAGCAAGTTCGGAACCAAAAAAGCGGCACTCGACTACGAATTGTAAGCTTAACACGAAACCTCAAAGGAAAACACATGACTGACTGCCCTTGCAATAGCGAGAGAAACAGATGGGCAGAAGCCTACATCCCATATCTCCTTACCTTCGGCACCGGGTACGTCTGCCAGTTGTCAATCTACTGGATCCTAGGTACATTCTCGACAGATGTGAAGTCTGCGGCACGTACTGGTGGACTCTTCCGCGCTTTCGAAACCCTAGGCCAGACCGTCTCGTATGCGATTACCTCAAACAAAAAGACCGATCCCAGGCGTGCCTTTTATGTCAACTGTGGTATCATGGCTCTCACCATTCCCTGTATGATTGGACTCATCGGTCTCGTTCCAGAAGCTCCAGCCGATTATGACATTGATGTTGAAGGTCCAGTGCCTCGTGAAGTAGTGCCAAAAGCAGCAGAAGAAAACAGACACGCTGTTTGATGGCGCAAGGCTTGCAAGCAGCAACAGATACACCCAAATTTAAGTAGTCGGTAGTAGCCAGTAGTCAGTGTGAACATGAATGTGAATTTGTATGTGATCAGATTCCGTGGAAATTGAGGGAAACCGCTAGTCTCTTAGAGTCCGTAATTACTCGAGAAGTAGAAGTCCCGCCTGAATTGAATAGAACCCCATCGTGGATGAAGATCAGATGTGAATTTGGGTTGTACTTGAGTATCTCGGAAAACCTGCCTTACCACTGAGCCCAGTCTTGGCACTTTGTCCTTGCCCCACCTTTTTTCTCCAAGTTGATGGACTTCAATTTGGAGCATGCGATTTCTTGAGGCATTCCATACGAGACATTTTTGAGACGCAGGATTTCATTCGCTCGACAAGAACCTTTCGAACTGCTGAGCATCTCAAAGTCCGAATATCGGTTCCATACACGGCAGACATCGGAGACGCTACTTTGGTTCATTATTCCGCTCAGACACGCTTCATGCGCGCAGCATTGGGGCGTCTTCCCCGCAGGCAACAGCGTCAAAAGCCGCTGAACAGCAGCCTTGACTGAGATGAGTGACTCGTCAGACGATGACCAACCTTTCAACCTGCGGGACTACGCGGACGATGGTACCGATGAAGAACGACCCAATAAACGTCGCAGGACCATGAAGACCCTCCGAACTCGTGGCACAGCATTTGTCAAATCGACGGGACAGGAAGATGAACAAGACGAGGAGGAAGATGATGAAGATGTCGACGATGAAATACCAACCATGGGGTTGGGTATGGGATCAGGCATGGCCTTCAACCCCGCCTCAGGGTTGGATGGCTTCCGCAACTCCTTCAACATAGGCGAATACAATGAGGAAGAGGCTGAAAGCCCTGTGGCACGACCAGACATGTCCCCTCAACAGCAGCCCGAAAAGGCCAGTGGTACTGGACCATCAGCATTTGGCGCAGGGGGGAAAATTCAGAAGAACTCTTTCGCTGCGCGCATGATGGCCAAAATGGGTTACACATCTGGTCAAGGTCTGGGGAAATCTGGACAAGGTATTACTGCTCCGATCCAGGCTAAAGTTCTATCCAGTCGAGCGGGTTTGGGCCAGGGAGGCGGTTCAGCGGACCCTCCGCGACGAAAGACCGACCGAAGAGAAGGACAACCGTCGTCCAAGGTTACAACGCCGGGGGCGAGCACCCCGAGAATCAAGGCACCTCCCAAAGCCAAATATGCGATCAATGCGATTGAGTCGCGGGGCCTGCACGTACCAGAGGCCATGAAACAACTCATCGTGGATGCGACTGGCGCGGAGACCAAGACGATCACATCCTTGTCAGGCTTCTCAACTCCGACGCGGGAAACTTCGCCTGCCCCAGCGGCACTCGAAGCTGCCAAAGCCACCGCGCGCATCAAACTCCAATTGCAAGCATTCGCCGACGCGTGGGATGCGACGAAAGAGCAAGAAATACACCTGGACGCGGAAGATACCCAATTAGGTGCATCTCTGGCGCTGCATGATGAGGAGATCCAACGATATAATGACTTGATCTCGGCATTCGAGAAAGTCACAGTCGACGACTCAATGGAATCTCGAGACTGGGATTCTTCCATAGCTCGGCTGCAGACCATCCAAGCCAACTACTCGAATTACATCCAAGATCTATCCCTCTCAGAATTGACCGTTTCCTGCCTTGAGACGACTTTCCGTCGGGAGATGACCGAGTGGGATCCGCTCGGTGAGCCGAACCATCTCGTCACATCCTTGCTCTCAATCTCGGAGCTCCTCGAGATACCCAAGTCTACGGCTTCAAAGCCTCGTAAACGAACCACCCCCTTCGAGACCTTGCTACTATTACACTGGTACCCACGAATCCGGACCGCCCTGTCCAAGGAGTGGGACCTCTACGACCCGGACGCGGCCTGCTCGCTCATCACAGCATGGACGCCCCTCTTATCCCCATGGCTGCTCTACAAGATTGTCCATGAAACCATTCTCCCCCGGCTCATCGAGGCCGTGAAGCGTTTCCCCAAACAAATCGAATCGACGACGCTCTCATCACGAAACAGTCGCTCCAAGAAGACCGCACCGGCAATGCACACCTGGCTGTTCGACTGGTGGACGCTGCTATCATCGCCAGACCTCGAATTAGAGCGGTTCGCGGAGCTCAAATCGCTGGTCAAGGGAAAAGTCGGCAGCGACAGCTGGACGGCATGGAAGCCACTGCTGGGAGGGTCACGACACGCCAACAAACTTAACTCCAGCAGCCGATATGCCAACTCTTACTCATCCGCGGCCTTCAAATCGCCCACATCGGCATCCACATCCCAACGTGGGGCTGCAAGCGGCGTCGACGTCGAGGAAATGTCGTTCCGCATGTTCGTCGAGGAATGGTGCATCGAGAACGACCTGGTGCTGGTGTCGAGCCACCGGTCGGACGCGGCAGGGAGGCTGTTGTTCCGGCTGCAGGACGCGGGGCAGCGGAGTCACGGTCGTGGCGTGCAAGTGTTTTTGCAGGATGACACTGTGTTTGTGCTGGATGACGCGGCGGACAAGGGCAGCGTGCCGTATGGGCTGGATGAGAGGCTGGTGGCGTTGGTGAGAGGTGCTGCTTGAGGTGAGGGAAGGAAGGGAGAGAGATCTAGCCGTGGTGATGGTGGGTACTATACAGTGTGTTAGAATGGAAGGCGTGTTCTGCCAGGAATAAAAATTCAGTTAATTAACACAATTACTTCGTGATGGACATCTAAGGGTTCGGTGCTGAAAAGAGTAGCCCAAGGTATAGAGCTACCCAATGGCCACTGTTGTGGTGATCAGCCAAGTACATATACACCTTGTGCCTGTCAATCAACACAGCGATTGTAGTAGGCATGGATGGAACTGTAGATATCAGACAGCACGAGAAGGTGGACTTCGAGACCTCCCTTCACATGAACCTGCATGAACAAGAGTTTGGTCAAGTACAGGTAGATAGGTGTCTACAAGAGAAGAGGCGGCGGAATACACGTAGAAGGGGTGAGTAGGTGAAGAATGTATTGTTTCGCTCCAAGTAATGCAACACAAACGATGACATTCCACGACGCTCGCTCGCTTTTTATCTTTCCCGCAACCAGAAAACAGACTTTACTGTAATAGAATTCCCCATTCCGGTCCAGTCCAGTCCAGTCCTGCGGCGGCGGCTGTGCTCGCACACCACCTCGACACTTTGTATCCAATCCTCATCACCAAAAAAAAGTACTTGAAATATATAGCCCGGCTCTATCATAGATTTCGCGATACCACTGTTCCGTTCATTGCGACTGGTCTCAAATTTGCAGAACAGTCTCATCGTGATGTGAATTATCTCCAATCCTGGTCGATTGCCATGCTCCGAAGAACATAGCACGCGAAAGGAATTTAATGAGGCGAGAAAACAATGCATTTACATGCAAGCAGCGCCATCGATGCCGATGACCTTGCCATTGACCCACTCGCCATCTTGAGAGGCCAAGAAGGCAGTGACACGGGCAACATCAATTGGCATGCCAACACGGTTCATGGGAGACCAGGTGGCGGCATATTCATCGACCTGCTCGTCGTTCAAGTTGGCACCATTGGGAATGTACTCTTTGCAGACAGCGTGGTACATGTCGGTCTTGATACCACCGGGGGCAACAGCGTTGACGGTGATCTTCTTGTCTCCGCAGTCGATAGCCATGCAGCGGACAAAGGTCTCGATGGCACCCTTGCTGCCGGAGTAAACCGTGTGTTTTGGAACACCCTTGGCTTGACCGGTGATGGAGCCCATCAGGATGATACGGCCACCCACTTCGAGGTTCTTGTATGCTTCTCTTGCGACAAAGAATTGTCCTCGGGTATTGATGTTGAAGACACGGTCGAACTCCTCTGGTTCGACATCCTTCAAGTGACCGAAGGAGACGACACCGGAGTTTGAGACGACAATATCGATCTTTCCAAAGTGCTTCTTGGCCTGGGCGAAGAGGTTGATGATCTGGTCAACATCGCTAACGTTGCCCTGGACAGCAATGGAGTCACGTCCGAGGGCCTTGATCTCAGCAACGAGCTCGTCGGCGGCTTTTGAGGAGTTGGCATAGTTGACAACGACATCGGCACCACGACGAGCAAGTTCGAGGGCGGTCTCACGACCCATTCCTCGTCCTGTAAGGAGAACATGGTCAGCCGACTGCAGAGGATCAAGCCCGGGTGCCGAGAAATGGTGTTTCCATTTTTCGGTCGAGGCGGTGAAGGTGAAGGTGGGGTGTGCGGGCGTTCAGGGGAGATGGCAGGACGATATTGAGGGTTTCCAGGAAGGCGTTCTCCAGGAAAATGAAATGATTGTACTGGGGAAAACATACCTGAACCAGTCACGATGGCGACCTTGCCAGTGAGGAGATAGCTGGGAGTGGCCTCAGCAGGGGCGCTTGCCAGTCTGGTGGAGTTTCTCTTTGACATGATTGCGGTTGATTTAATGGAGGGTTTATGGGAGGGAGAGATGAGATCTAATCAAACAACCGATGAAATGGAAGTGAAGCGGAAGAGAAAGTGAGACTCGACCAAAAAAAGCTGACAGATAGATGGAGGGAGGAAAAAAGATGTGCAGCAGGAGAGAATGTTTTTGTGTACGGAGGGGAAAGTTGAATATGGTGAGGACACAATTTATGGATTTCTATTATGAGAACTTATCAGCCGCAGGCTAGTGGATGGTGGACGAGTGGCAGTCTCTCCTGGAGGTGATCGGCCCCGCATTGGCGCACCTTTCTCAACTGGAAAGGGTCCAAATTCATTACTCCGAGTCCGTACGATGTCTACGAAGGACGGAGTCTGGGTTCTTAGACTACTCGGGTCCAGGAGTCAAGACATGGCATGGCATGGCAGGCCTAGAGGGGAGAGTCACCCACGGCTCAGGAGGCACCAGGCCCGAGTTGAGTTGACGTGAGACTGGAGGAAAGGGCGACTGGCAGTGGCCGTGTGCGAGACGGAAGGTGGCCTGGGGATTACGAGGTAGGTACTCATATCGGCAGGCAGGTGCCCTGAAGTTCAAGCTGGTACTCATAAACATCTGCAGGGTGTTGGGGAAAGAGCGATGGACGAATACTGACCACTAGCGGCCACTAAGTCCCTCGCAGCCAGTTAGTGTCTCGTTAACTGATAATCTAGGCATTGATGATAGGCTGCCAAGTGTGGTTTCCTCTTCACCGCCCACAACCCCACCCCTCTATCGAGCACGCCTACAGCCCCTCCCCTCAAAGTTCGAGTGGCTGACTGCACTACGGACTCCTTCGCGGACTGCTTAATTTTTTTTTTGAAGGCCGCCAGCATGTCTCTATCAACAGCCAGTCTAGCACATTGCATATAAGCTAGCGAGTCCTCTTGTAGGAGGTTGTGACCTTTCGGACTTATCTTCGAGTGGCTCGGGGCATTAACATCAACAATGTCCATCTGGTTAGGTGTAATAACAAAACCCTAGCCCCTCATACTATCACCAAACCTTTTCACATTTTAGGTAAAGTCAGGGGTAAGGCTCGTGCGGTGGCCTCGTGGCGATTCCGAGAATGGGCGGGTGTGTTCGTGCTCCCTCATCGCGTGCCGTCCCATTTACGGCCTCCGATCTGCTCCCATTAACAATGGTGGGGGTTTGAGCCTTGATAAACAATAATTATGTACGGTCACATGTTATTATTCATAGCACCAACATCCGTTGTAGGCCTTCAACGTGATTGATACACACTTCATCGAGACCAGCAACACACTAGCTGGAGCTGGAGCATTCCAGGCAGTGCAGTGAGATTGGTCCTGACTTGACCATGTCCTTTTTAGGCAGTCGATCTTGGGAACACAAAGCAAGACCTCGCGCTTTCGGTCTTTCTTATAAATAACTTCGCACGAAACACTTTTCTTCTGAACCCTGAGACTCCAATGTCGTACATCGGATACCCACAACTGCAGTGACGAGTGGCGTTTACCAAGACACTTGAAGGACAACAACTATTTCAATGGGGTCCGAAATGGTCGCACTCCATTTTTCCCACGTCCGGCGCTAGTTTAGTTTCGCTCAGCCTCGATTGGTATGACCGGATCATGTCTCAACTTCATTCTACAGTTCGCCACCATCGAGACAGAGGTGGACGACATTAATCATATTAGCAGCAACGACCTTGTATACTGACTTCCCTTTATCGTATCTATAGAGTACCATACTCAGTTCAACTCAAAGCCAACAACCTCGCGTCTTCCACAGAGACCCGGATCATTCTTTTGAGTTCTGCCTTCCAGTCATTCTCACGCCATTTGTCCCACTGTCCAAAGTCGGCATCAGCTTCCAGATTTAACGTGTCATATCCTTCTTTGATGACCTTCTGAATCGCCGTTGGTGATTGATGCGTCTTCTTCCCATGCTGCGCTTTCAAAAGTTCATGATAGTGCGACGACACACTGATCAACGCTTTGACTGACTGGTTCAAAGCGTCTGAAGGCGAGCCCATGTCACAATAAGCCTGCTTGAACTTATCTAGCGTATCATTCGCCTCGATCAATTTATAGAAGAGATCATCATAACTGGCAGGATCGGGGAGAAACCCATCTCCTTTAGACAGACAGAAAGCCGCCAGATTGGTCAAGGTCGCACAGAGACCCTCGCGAATACCACGCAGGTACTTCAGATCTGGAGCGTATTGTGTCAGGAATTTCATGAGTGACAGAAGCGACCCCCAGATATACGACCAGTGGTGCTGCAGACGAATCTTGGACCGCTCCAAGTACGTGACGACCCGTAAGATAATACTCAGTGCCAGACTGTAGAGCTGAACATCGAGTCTTTTTCGAAGATTATGACTGAGGGCATCCGTGCAAATGTCAAGGATGGCAGTCGCCGGTACCCTTGCCGCAGTGATTAGTGGGAGATAAGGAGGTCGTTGACGGCACAGTCGAACACCCATCTTATTCTCGGACGAAGAAATCCTCTTGGATAATAAAGGGTCTTCAATGATGATGCGCAGTGATAAAAGACTGAGAATGGCGTACGTGGCTTGGCGCTCACCCCTGTGGGCATGATGCGAGATATACGAGGTTGATGAAAGAAAATTGGAAAATGGTGTCACACAATGACCTTCGCCATGCGCATTCAAGAGATTGGCTGCAAATAATTTGTTGGCTTGGGTGAAAGAATAGAGGGAGAGGATGGCCGAAGCATCGCGTCTTGGCAAAGAAGCGAACAGTGTCTTTGCCTCTTCTTCGGTTGGGGGCGGTGGCTTGTTTGCATCGGTTGAAAGACTGCGAAGTCCAACCATTACCAGGGTGGAATTGATGTTCCAAGGAGGTGGTTGATCATCTTGTACGTCGATATACTGATCGCGGATATGTACCGAAACCGAGGCGAATTGCTGGACCAGAATTCGGATGGTCTCCTCGTTGACGAAATCCTCTAGTCGATTCTGATAAACGTTTTGGGATTCGAATTTGTGATAGCTTGAAAGAACCCCGACGACAACAAAAGCCTTGAGGCAGTCGCCATCATCATGATTATCATGGATGTCATGAACATACTATGTCTGAATTAGCTTGAAAGTTGGGGGACGCCATTACACTTACTTTCATGAGAGCAGAGAAAAGATCCTTGTGCATAAAGTAAGATACAAGGCTGGTATGAAATCCACCAGCAACCAACGATAAGACAGTATCAAGTGCTTTGGTTCTGAAGGATTGTTTGGCAGACTGACGAATGATGCCCTCCAAGCCATGGACCAGGTCGGACATGAGCTTATCGACGGCATCCAGGCCGGCCAGAACTTGAATCACATCAGTGTTGGGATTCGGATACTTTTTGTTGAAGACGGCACAGAGAAAGGCAGTCAAGTTCTGTGTTTGTCAGTTGAGTGGTGAGTGACAAGCTCGACGGGGACAGAATCCACCTCCAATGCATTTTCATTCCTGGGAGATATTCCCGAGCCAGCTTCTGCAATTGCACGTTTGAAGAAGACCTGCATCTGTGTCTGTTGGGTAGTTAGTGGAATCATGCCGAATTTGTGTGGTGGACTTGATCGTACATGCATGTGAAGTAGATCAAAGGGGGTCATTGGTTCGAGGATATCATAGAGTCTCTGCTTATCAGGCTTGAGCAGAAAGAACTCGCTCCAGAAGCCTTCGGATGGAATGACATCTTCAGTGTCTTCATTCGCGAGGACATTGAATAAATGGAGGTATAATTGAACAATCTTTGGCTCGAATGAATCTGGCCGCAATTGTTGAGTCAAAGGGGAGTCCATCAGGGATCAAAAAAGGATGGATGGCTGGCTGGGACAAGACTAGGCGCAATCATTCTAGATTTATTGATACCAGGATAGTCGTAAACAAGATGACAGGCTCGCTGAGTATATTTGGTCTCGTGACTTTGGTTGTGTCAAGGCTGAAGGCAGGCATCGAGAGCACTGTAGTTAAGAGTGCGGCGTGCTTGTCCAGCTGAGAAAACGGACCGGATCATTCAGTGCGAGTCCTCTTGGCGCCCGAACCATTGGGGGAGGCTGCATCACGGTCTTGAGGTACTGGTGATACCAATACAAGAACTGTGGTTGCTCATTCATCTCAACGCCACACTCACATTAGGTGCCTTTGTAGGTAGCTGAGCAGTACGAATACCCGCTGTTTGCCGTCAAGATCAGCGATCAGCAAAAGGCCATCATTGTTGATGCAGCGGTAAACTGCTAGAAATTCCCGTGGACGTTGCCTTCCACTTCGAAATGGCAGATTGAAATTGCCTCCTTCCGATTGGAGGATCTCATTCCGAGCCGAGTTCGGCTGACAAAGAGGAAGGAGCAAGACTCACTCGGACTTGCGCTTGCCTTTCTATCACTTTTACCATCACCGTTATTCCCTGCGACGACACCACCATCATACTACGACGACGTTACCACCTCCACCTCCTCTATCATTACTATACCACCATCCCATGATATAGTAGAATCCTCGGCCGCAATGTCATCCACACACCTCATCCCCATAACGACGTCATCCGCCACCTTCTTCAGAGCACTTGCAATTGCCTCAACCACGAGGTCATGTTCCCACGTCTTCAGGACCTTTTCGTCCACTAGATGTTCTCTACAATCCTCCAAAAGAGAGTTATATACAGCACCTTCCTACCAACCACACACTCTACCCGCCGACTTCCCACTACCACCACGCAACTCCAGTGTGCCCAACACTTCCATCGCAGGTACTCCGAAACGAACTCATGATGCGAACCCTGTGCAGTCGAAGCCGCAACAAGGCGACGCGAGAGAAACAGCCAGCATCATCGTGCCCGAGTTTGAGGCGCAGAAGTCCAAACCGGTGGAAGCACCCACCACATCTGCTGTCAAGGAGGTAGACCCAGGGACGGAGGCCAAGCCCAGCAAACCCCGAAGAAGCAAACTGCGGGCTCGCAAAGCAGCAATGTCTATTAGCGCGGATGCAGTAATCCATCTCAAAGAATTACTCGATCAACCCAACCCAAAGATGATCCGGGTAGGAGTGAAGAATCGAGGTTGTTCGGGACTCGCCTATCACTTGGAATATGTTGAGAAAGCGGGCGCTTTCGATGAAGTGGTAGAACAAGGAGGAGTCAAGGTCCTGATAGACAGCAAGGCATTATTCAGCATTATTGGGAGCGAGATGGACTGGATGGAGGATAAACTAAGTGCCAGATTTGTTTTCAGAAACCCCAACATCACTGAACAGTGTGGATGTGGCGAATCCTTCAGCGTCTCATAGAAGCCCTTGGACAGAAGAAGAGTGTTCTCTGTGGGTACGATGGTATCCTTTGAAAGATTGGTGACTCTATTCAGAAAGAATACCTACAAGATCAACATAATCTAATAAACACCTTTTTCATAGTCGATGACCCTCACATCGTCAAACCGCTCACCGTTCTTCTTGACGAAAGCCTGATGAGACGGATCATCATTGACATAATAATCACGATCTTGTGCAGAAGCGAATTCAACCACAAACCCGTGCGTGAACCCGCCCTAGATGTACATCGCGGTCAATCAACCATTCAATAAGATCTCTGAATGAGGCTACATACCTGCGCCCCTTCAGGACTATTATCAATCCCTCCCGACGAGGTGACGATATAAGGCTGTTGAGACGTGGGATGGATACACGTATCTTTGAGTCCTAACATGTCATCGCAGAACTGGTGGTTCGATGTGTCATTGGGGGAAAACTCAATACTGCAGAGGACAAGGATAGGATACGTGCTGGGATATATATATATACATACTGCTTTCTTCTCATCGTCGCTCAAAGAGGCTTTCAGCTTGAAGAGAACGACGTGGACTATCGCCATGGTTCGGTTGTTGTCTCAGGAAGATGAAATGGATGCCGGGATGCAATCCTCGATCTAACTAGAAGGCAGATGGCAGATTTCTTGACATCACATCACAACCTTGATGCTCGTAAGTTACCGTCGTGACTGTCTGAGTGAGTCTCAAATTGTGGACTCTCCTAGGCCATCTTAGCCAATTACTCAGGATATCATCAATCTTTAAACATGAGGCTCACAAGCTGGAATTCCCATTGGCAATGCGGGGTACTGGTTTAGATAAAGGGTGCCTCTTCTCCCTTGTACGCGTTCGAATTATTCACGGCGAGATAGGTACCCCTCACTCCTCCCGATATTTCAGAAAACATCTGTAAAACACTCTACCACAGTTTCTCTCTTCATTTCATATTGGGGAAAGCCCAAGTGCTCAATGATCATTGATTTTATATCTTACTTCCCAAAGAGACTGCTCGTCCCACCACCACAGACATATATAAGAGAATCCAGATCCGAAGGCCCGACTCGAGAATTCCGCTTCCCCGAGTCCTGAGCACAGCATATGGTTGCCCAGAGAATATAAAGAACGCCTCTCAGTAGAAACCCACACAGACCGTCACATCATATCCTAGCCCCCGACGAAACCCAACCATGGCGACACACTCCCACGACGGGGGGCCGTCCCACGCCTCGCATTCCCACGACGGGCCCAACGGCGGCCACGGCCACTCGCACGAGATCCTCACAGGGCCCGGCTCCTACCTCCACCGCGAAATGCCCATCGTGTCCGGCCGAGACTTCAACGACCGGGCGTTCACGATCGGGATTGGCGGGCCCGTCGGCTCGGGAAAGACAGCTTTGATGCTCGAGCTGTGCCTGGCGCTGCGCAAGGAATACAACATCGCGGCCGTGACCAACGACATCTTTACACGCGAGGACGCCGAGTTCTTGACCAAGCACGGCGCCTTGACGCCAGAGCGTATCGTCGCAATCGAAACAGGTGGTTGTCCGCACGCTGCCGTGCGCGAGGACATCAGTGCCAACTTGTTGGCGCTGCAGGGACTGCACGCGAAGTTTCAGACAGACCTGCTGCTCATTGAGAGTGGAGGGGACAATCTCGCGGCGAACTACAGTCGCGAACTCGCGGATTTCATCATCTATGTGATTGATGTGGCTGGCGGCGACAAGGTGCCGAGGAAAGGTGGTCCGGGGATCACGGGGAGTGACTTGCTCGTCATCAATAAGTGTGATCTGGCGGATGCGGTGGGCGCGGATGTCGATTTGATGGAGCGAGAGGCGAATAAGATGCGTGAGGGAGGCCCGGTGGTCAGAGGGGTGGTCAAACATGGCGTTGGTGTGAATCAGACGGTTGACATGATCATCTCGGCGTGGAAGAGCACCGATGGCTATATCGTGTCGAGGCAGAAATGGTCCAAAGGCGTGCCCAGGGGCAGTGGTGAGCAGCCGAAAATCAATCGCTATACGCCTGTGCCCCATACTTGAGAGGTCTGTTGCTATCTCTGTAACCACCGGGACAAGAACACAGGAGCAACAAGACAAAAGCTGGTTGGATTCCGTGGTAGTATGGTCATCTTGTTGGAAAGGTGGAGTTCGACCAATCTCTCACACCAATATTTGACTGACTTCACACCTCTATAGCACATGTTGCTTAAGCTCCCCTCCTTGCAAATCTCTCCAGTGCAGGCCCAAAGTCGGCCTTCTCCCTGATCAACTTCTGATTCTCCCTCTCCGATCGCTCCTTCTTCATCTCCTCCAGACGCATCTTCTTCTCGTCAATAATGTTCTTCCCACCCTTCTTCCTCATGTACCGCCTGAGAGCACTATTCTTGCCTCGAGCCCGGTTCTTTTCTTTCTCCTTCAACTTGGCCAGTGGATCCACAGCAGGGGCGTCCAGATCTTTCTCCCGAGCCCGTTGCTCTGCACTGCGCATGTCCAGTGTACCAATGAAGTTGGGATCCAGTGCAATCGTCTCTGGTTGGAGTTTCGTGAGCAATGACTTGACTTCGCCTTCTTGTCGTTGTTTCCTGGTTTCGTAAGGGTTGACTTCAAGGGCATCGTAGTTGGGCTCCCCAGCACCGGGAACGATGATACTACTGAATCCTTGAGCATGGGAGATGCCCAGGATATCATCAAACGGACAGAATTGGACGCGTTCAACCCGACGTCCATCATCACCCCAATTTAGATAGGGCGATTGGACCTTTGTGGGGTCCTGAGCGGTAGACGTGGTGAAAAGATCTTTCCACAGTGTAACGCCAGTCCCACTACCAATAGCTGCGAGACCCCGATCAGAAATATCAATCGAAGACGCAGGTTGTCGGGTGGTGTACGAGTGGACCTCTTTCAACGCCCGGATATCCCAGAGTTTCAGTCGCAAGTCTTGCCCACCACACAACATATAATGTCCGGACCGGTCGATTGCAATGGACCGCACGGGTCCAGCGTTGGATTGAATTTTGACCAGAGGGGTAGTCGAATTCGGCGACCACAAGGATACTGTACCATTCTGGTGTCCAACATGAAGGATGGCGTTGTAAGGGTTTTGAGCCAGCGAAGTGGGAGAGCCTTTTCTGGTCGAGTATTCCGATACAATTTGGCCTGTTGAGGTGTCTGTATACCTCAGAAACCCACTGGTCTCAATACCCGCGAGGAGGAAATGGTAGGGGAGGAATTCTAGATGGGTGGTTTCGACGTATTTCCTGAGACAGTGGATTTCAACTCCAGCGTGGTCGTAAATATATGTATACTTCTTTTGCGCCACAGCGAAGTACTGATCGTTGTGTAACCATTTGGCATCTCTTACTGTTTCATTCAGGTGTAGCTCGCATCCCGGTTTACCGTCCCGCCATTCACAAGTAGCAACATGACCCTTCCTCCCGACGAGCAAGAGGCTCCGACCGTTTCTGGTGTAGTCGGTGACATAGGGACCCAGATCGAGCTTGAACTCGATGGATTTATTGGCCTGTTGCGACCCAACGGCTTCCAGGATCTCGTCTTGTCTGACTTTGTATGTCCTTTCAAGTGCGGTTTCCGGCTGCAAGAAACCCTCCTCATTCTCGTAGAGGATTTCTGCATCTTTGGCATGCAGAACAGCGGTTCGATATTTATTCTCGATACGTTTCAAGTTCGCTCGCAGTTTCTTGTCTTTTACCTCGTTGACGCGAACCGGGCGACCTCGTCCATACTTTTTCCGGGCCTCTGCAACATTTTTCTGTTCCTCTTTCTGTTCTTTGGTCAAGGTGGTGGTTGGAGTGCGTTTGGCAGGAGGTGACAGATTTTTAATGGTGAGTTGGCCATCACCATTCTCAACCAGACTCTCCATTTCTGACAAAGCCCTTGGTAAGAAAAGTACTTGGTCAGGGAAATGGCCCAACAAAGCCCGAGTCGAAGATGTACAAATCGGCTGCAGTGGGCGCTATGCTGAACAATTTTTTGGATTTGGAGATTTCTGAGGCCGAATTTCTGCCCGCTGACGAGGCAGGAATTGGCACGTGATCGGCGCAGTTGCCTTTAACGGTACAGCCGTCCCTCCTTACGAGTTACGAGTCGCTTCAGAACAGATAGCGCCAGAAGGGATGGAGACGAAAAAGCTCCGCCAACATTGTGATCACAGGCACCGTAGACGATCCTTCGTGGCGGAAGACCTTGTATACCTAAGCTTTTAACCAGGTTCTCTGTTTCTCGATTGCGATGGGTAGACGTACGCGGCATTCTGATACGAAGTAGGAAATTCCCCTCAGCTCATGTTCGAACTAGAGACATGATGAGATTAGGCTATAGGCGGCCGTACGATCAGCCCGCTGCTTCAGGACTAAGCCAACTCCTTTGAGCTTAGAACGCCTTCTTTTGTGGGAAGTTCAAGCTTCTGCTAACTCATCGATCATTCTGACTACTTCCGTATATGATTGGTGCTGTGTCTCTGGGTTAAGATATAAGAATAGGAGAGGCTCTGCATGGTCTGTCCATGCAAAGCCAAGAGTCTCTCACATCCGTAGCCAAGAGTCTCTTCCCTCCGTACCTAGGTAGCCAAGAGTCCCTCTAAAGAATCTCCACCCGACTGCACTAACTACTCGTATGGCCCAGCCAAGACTTCTCTTCATTGAACAAGATCCGCGCAGATCCATCCGAGAGAAGGAGCTGCAGCTGTCGGCAGCTCGTTCTCATGCCGCAAGGTTAACTCATCGTCGAAGAAGCCTGAGAAATCTGGCGCTGCCCTCGGAACCGGAACTCCAGTGGCGTCCCTATTTTAACTCAATAGGTCTACTCACAAACAATGACGCCACCTATAAGGGGTGTGGAGATGCCGAAGAAGCCATGGCGATCCACTCCCAGATTTCCAGTCCATACAGCGTTACACCTCGCACAAAGCAGGCTACTCGTTATAGGTCAGACACACAGGATTCTGGGGTCAGCACTGAGGTTCCAGGATTCCAGGAACTCCTGCCACCAGACAAAAGTGTACAACGGCACACTTTGAAGGAGGTAAAAGCAGCTCCTGGTGGTTGTGCTCTACCAGTGATGGACCATACTTACTTGAGCCCTAACACCTTGATACAGCATGGCAATTCGGACCCTTTTTCAGCATCTCCGATTAGGATTACTCCTCGGTATCACTCCCTGATCTCTACCTGGCAGAGCGTCTTCACCCAGACTATAATTCCTTCGGGAAGCCAGAAAACCGCAACGACCCTCATGGCATGGGAAAACGAAGGTATTGAAATGATTAAATGCGCCGAACAATTACATTTCATCCTTGCTTGGACATCGTTATTGCAATCATTCACAATGCCAGCATCGCAACTGAAAGAGCAGCTGAGAATGCAATCCCTAGCACATAGTACTGCTGGTATAGCCTCCCTGCGGAAAAACCTGCCGACAATGGCAAAGCTTCGGACACTTCGTGCTGTGTTCCACCTCATGGGAGCCGACTTATACAGTGGTTATTTACCCGCCGCTGTATCACATTTCCATGCCCTAGTTGATATTGTTATGTCGATAGGTGGTTTTAACCACCTGCCATGGGAAACACAAAGATATATCGTTATCAGCGATTTGACCATTTCCGCCGCCATCAAGGATACGAAACCCGTTTTTGGCGTTGTGAGTGACCATTTAAGCTGTCTCGGCATTTGTATGACGATACTATAAAGTCATCTACTAATAATTTTAATGTGGCAGGATGAATGGGACCCCGGGCCAGCGGCCACTGTCATGTCTCCACTTGAGTTGGACACCCTTGCTATTGACTTATCAAAACAGCAATCTCTCCATAAAGACCTTTCACCCCGTCTTGTCACCATCTTTGATGCCCATCGAGAACTTCTCGCTGTGCACCGAATAGCGGCGAATATAACTGACCCTTCACGATTGACAAATATCCTCTCCTGGGCACAAATGCGCCAGTATGCACTAAAGATTCGTGCGAGTAACATGAAGATTACTCTGGACGACCTTTCCAATTCTCCCAGTATTTCTATCGAAAAGGCTCTCTTTGTAGCAGTTGACTACTTCTCCCAAATCCTGTGGACCCAACTCTATCCGCAGAGAACAATCCTTGCGCCGTTCCGCCATTCGGATGATGCATTCGAGATTTTCAAAAGTGTTACCGAGCTCGAATCATCATGTCTAACTCTCTGGATTTTGTTTATCGCAGCAATTGTCGAAATTATCTCGAATCGGAGTGGCCACAAAAGCAGCTTTTTCGCCGGAGCACTTAAAATCACCACGGCCAACTTAGGATTGCAATCTCTCGTACAGGTGCGGCAGTCACTGTTCAAATGCTTATATCAGGAAAGAACATTTGATCCCTGTCTACACACGCTCATGGACGCTGCGCAAGATGTAGACAAGCCAATAGCCGTCCAGTTCATTCAGCTTGGACTGTTTGAATCAAAGGCGCCAAAGGACCCTAGTTCAGCCCAAGACTTTGAGCAGATGCTGACCTTCTCGTTCGGAACAAATCAAGAACGAGCCTTAATCACGTTCCCACGGACAGAGACCCGAAGAGACGGCGGTCAAAGATGATGTGCATACAGTCTGCTGATTCAACCACGGATTCCGTCGTAGAGGCCAACGCGACGCGATAAGATCTTGAATCTTATTGTTAAGTCCATCTCGCCCTAACTCTACCACCAACTTTTTCGCGGATGGGAGGGTTCTCAAGCACCTTCTCCCCCCCTTTTGGTGAGATTAAAAGTACGCTTTGGTTACTATCCATGAGAGCTGCTTATAAACCTTGAGACGGAGCGAGCGTGCGAAAGCTAGTGTCAAAAATTCCAAAACCTCGCCGGCGACTTGCTCCACAATGGGATCCGCCCGCTCGATGACGACGATTTATTCTACGATAGATCGTTACTCCAGTGAGTAAGATAAATTAAATTAAGGCAGCCTCCCTATAGTCTTATTGAGCAACGAAGGCACAAGGACTACGAGGATCCTGCGGCCTACGTGAGTCGTCATTATGGCCAGGATTCGCAATTACATTCGCATCCTGTGACGGCGCCAAATAGTGACTAGAAGACACGGGACCTCCGGCTAAATCAAGTTTCATGGCATCGTTTGAGTCCTAGAAGTCGATGGCCGGTGTAGTATAAGAGCGCTGGAAGGTTCGGGTGGGTGTTTGTGATCTGCTTGGAAGTGATAAGTTCGCCAAGGGTGTCTGGGGAGGACTTGTGATGGGATCACTGCAACCAACAGCTCGTTCCAAATGGCCAAAGAAGCTTAAATACACATCTCGTCGAATGAAGGACGGTATTAGTTTACCCTGGCGCGACAGATTGGGGCACTTCATGTTCTCCAGGTAGATTCCATCTGATGGAACCATAGCAATTTATTATCAGCTTTTCACCGCCACCTCGATCTCACGTCCTCAATCCTTTTCATTCTGGCCCTAACCATTTTCACTTCTAATGAGCCACCAACACTTCACAAAATCATCAAAAGCTATCTGCAATTCTTCAAAGTGTACTCGAGTTTCAGCCTCATCCAGTTCGGCAATACGGATCTCGGCAGGTGTCCCATGTGCCGGATACGAATCGAGGGGGCGCTCTTCTGGCCGACAAAACCGTTGGTTAAGCGCCTTGATCTGCTTAGTGGCTTGCCACCCACCCACAAAGCCTTGGTTTCTCCATTGTCATTCGTCTATTCTGTGCCGCTTCTCAGTCCCAAATATAGTATTCTCTGTTTCAACTGGCGATGCCTCGATTTGGTAGATGAACGCTAATGTAGTCAAATGCCCAGGTCCGTTCACCTCTGGGGTTGTGGCCGACTCTCATTGGTGAAAGGCCACTATTACGTGCATGCTTGAATGTGGTCTGACAGCGAGCGGTCCTATGATTCCCAAGCAGCGGCTAGAATGGAGAAGGCGAGTTGCATTTCAAGGTAAGAGTGATTGTGGGAGACCTATATTGAGACTTTTCAACATGGTTGAGTGGAGATTTCCCCAGCAAACACCACCAGAATGACCAGACCAGACCAGGTAAAATGCTTCAACCACCCATTCAACCCGTCTTTGAAAGGTTGGCAAGCTCTCTACACACGAAGGCCACAACCAGACGGCCCAGATGGCTCGAATAACTTCTCGACATAGTCCCTTTGCTGCAGCTGTGTGCTGCATATTGAGCCTGTTCTCTATCATTCGTGCTCAATTAATCGGCTGCGAAGCTGTTGGATGTCCACAAAGCGATGGCACGACTTCATCATGTCCCATTGGCAATTTTACAGCTCAAGCGATCGGAACCGCCAACTTTACCAGTGCCATCTCTTCCGATCCTCTGACCTGGACCGTCGCCTTCAAATCAGAAATCTCGCTCACAAACACATCGGCTGACGTTTTGGAGAGGAGTTATTACCTTGGATCTCCAGCATCGCTTGATCTTGCCACCATTGATGTCAAAGGATGTGCTCTGATCTTCAAGGATGTTGTCAATCGACGTGAATTCTCTCCGACGGAAGCTGGCACTTGCCCTTCCCTTCTGGGTGCTTCATGTGTTTCCGACTTAATGTCACAAGCCAACAAAACGCTCTTGGAAATACTGGACACCGAAGACCCAACTTTCATCTGCTCAAAGTTGGCCGTCCAACTTCGCGATAACGCTCCATCCAGTTGCAGCCTCACCGATGACAATTTATGGGGTGCCATCTCAGTACAAGGTAAGAATATTACAGCTCATCTTTGGTCGAAGGGTAACGATCAGCTAACCTCGATCGCAATCTAGACATCACAGGTCCATCCCTGCTTGGCCCCATTGCGGTTGATGCCACATGCAATCCAACCTCACGTGATGGATATCACCTCATATCTATCGACTCACAGCAAAGCACCACTCTGCCTATCTCTGCTTCGGTGAATGCATTTGCGTGGGGAGTAACTCCAGTCGTGTCGGTTTTCTACTCATCAACTTTGCCCTCCACATTCGAAGCGCCTGAGATCAGTCTGAGCTGTCTGAAACCGGTTGCACAAGACTCGATTGTCGTCGTACCGCTCGAGAGTACAGCGACCAATCTCATATCTATACCATGGACATTGACTGCGATTGCTACATCACTCATATTTGCTCTCATTTCCACATGAAATAGCTTATGATGATCAGCTTGTGGGAGTGCTCAGGTTCACAGTCCCCGGCTACCCTCACCGAGGATCAACCCTTCATAGGGGACGTCACTCAACGGTCCTATGTATCGCAAACCACTACTAGCACCAACAATTGAGTGCTTCGGACGTATAATTCATGTCGCGGCACCTCATCAAGTACAGCGTGGTCTTTTGTGACCAATCTGCAGATATGGATTCTCACGGAGCCATCGGCATTCAATCCGAGGTTCTATCAAGATAACCACACATTGCAGTGAGTTCCGTTTAGATGTCTATGGTTGTAAGACCACGATGAAGAGGTCGCGGATGAAATGCTTTGGAGCTTGGAGGGTGTGCTTGATGTTTCCACATCTCGCTTCGGACACCTCACGTCCTCGGTCGTCTATATTCGACTTGCACGCGCAGCTGTCGACACACCGAGTTAGAGGACATGACACTATAGTCCCATAATATTCATCCAATATAATCGGATACATAACTCAGTATATAAATCAATAGTAAGTAATGCTGATTCTACCTGGCCTCTCCTGACCTCTCTACGTCGGAGTATTGAGTGGCAGAAAACAACTCCGGATAAGAAATGTTCCACCTTTATCGCCAGCCAAGATTTCACCGGACTAACTATTTTCGGAAGTCCATCCCACTTCGAACTCAACTTTTTTTGTTACGAGGCGAACGCCGACCATTCGCAGTGACATGTCAATCCCCTACAGATTCAAAGCTGGAGGCTCTGGAAACTCTTCAGCAATGGCTCCAATCCAAGTTTCGGCCCATCATCACCGAAGCACCACAAAAGTCGATCACAAGCCCTACAAATCCCGGTTCGCCTCCAAGGGCGCTTTGAAGGACAAGGCAAAGGGTAAGGGCGTTGGTGAACTGCTTCCAGTGGATAACGACTAATCCAGTGAATAGGAAAAGTCGAGACGCAAAGATCGGACAAAGGCAGCAGGAAAACACCTCACCAGCAAGTCATGTCTAAACTTGCACGACGAAATCAAGCCAAGCAATACCGCATGCAAAAGAAGGAAAAGCGAGAGAACGACGAAAACATATTCCTCGGAGTTGATGGTGCAGCCAAACATGTTGCCGTTGTTCCTTTGTCCAAAGACATCGATATCAACTCCGTCATAAACAGTTTGAACGAGAGCGTCGACGTGTCCAACTCCGATCCTTCCAATGGCATAGTGCCGGCCCGAATCGAACGCTTCCGCCGAAACCTGCTCTACCTTCCTGCCAAATTCGACATCTTGAACGCCTTGGACGTCTGCAAATTGGCTGACTGGGTTGTTTTTGTTCTTGACGCGGAGCAGCAATATGGCCAAGAAGAGGATACTTTTCTCAGAGCACTTGAGGGACAAGGCATTACAAATGTCACTGCAGTCGTAAAGGATGCCGAGGTCAAGATTCCTCTTGCTAAGAGATCTCGCCATCTCACGGACATGAAGATAGCTCTTGGACATTGGTTCCCAAACCTGGACAAGATATCCAGTCTCGACAGCAAATCGGACTGTTCGAATCTGATCCGGAGCATCTGCACCGCCTCCACGAAAGGAATCCGGTGGCGAGATGACAGGAGCTGGATGTTTATTGAAAACGTAAACTGGGCACAACAAGTCGAGGGAGCAAGTGTGGGCAATGTGACACTTAGCGGTACGGTGCGTGGCAAGTCCTTGAACGTCGATCGTTTGGTGCATGTTCCGGGATGGGGAGATTTCCAGATAAACAACATAAAACAGCAACCAGGCCAAGGACAGAAACGGAAAGCTGATGAGATGGATGTGAATGAACCCGTGAAAGAGTGGAAACCTACTGACGACCAGGACGATCTGGCGGAATTGGCACCGGAAGAGGCTGAAATGCGAGATGTTGCAAGCACCGTGGCCACGAATGATCACAAGGGTGTTCTGCTCGATGATCATCATTATTTCTCCGACGATAATTCACACATCCCTGCAACACCAAAGAGGTTGCCCAAAGGAACATCCGACTACCAGGCAGCATGGTATCTCGAAGATGTATCGGATTCAGACTCGGACATTCTTGATGAAGACCTTGAAGGAGACATTTCCATGGACACCGAAGTTCTAGGTCCAGAAGATGGAGTCGTCACAAGAGCTGCCGATACCATGACGGAAGTTGGTATGTCAGAGTATCCCGAGTCGGAGATGCACGTCGATGCGGACGAAGAGGAAGAAGCCCGACAATTAGAAGCATACCGCGCAAACAGAAAGAAAGAGGCCGAAGACGATCTCGAATTCCCCGACGAAATCGAGCTGCATCCAGATGTGTCGGCTCAAGAAAGACTCGCGAAATACCGAGGATTGAAGAGTTTGAGGACAAGTGAATGGAACCACACGGAAGACCTCCCATATCAACCACTCGACTACAGCCGCCTTCTCCAGATCGCCGACTACAAGAAATCCCGAAGTGCAGCCATCAAGGAATCATTCGGCGGGGGTGTTCTCGCAGGCACGAAAGTCGAGATCGAGCTGCGCAATGTACCCCTTTCTCTAGCGAGCTCACCCACTCCAGCTTCACTGTTCTCCCTCCTCCGCCATGAACACAAACACGCAGTCATCAACCTCAACCTCACCCTTAACTCCGATTTCGATGCTCCACTCAAATCCAAAGACGAAATTGTGGTTCAAATCGGCCACAGAAGGCTGATCATCAACCCGATCCTCTCGGCATCCGGACAGACACCCAACGACGTCCACAAATTCGACCGCTTCCTCCATCCAGGTTGGACCGCAATGGCGACCTTCATCGGCCCGCTGACATGGGGCTCTGTGCCCGTGCTCGTCTTCCGGAAACAACCAACATCAACCTCCGAAGACAACGCACCAACCCTCATCGACACCACCACCACCACGGCAGACTCCACTCCCTCAACATCAACCCTCTCCAACCTGCAATTCATCGGCACGGCCACGACAACAACCCCGTCGTCCAACCGCGTCATCGCCAAACGCATCGTGCTGACGGGCGCGCCATTCAAGATCCACAAGAAACTCGTGACGGTGCGATACATGTTCTTCAGCCGCGAGGACGTGCAGTGGTTCGCTGCGCTGCCCTTGTGGACGAAGCGCGGCAGACAGGGGTTCATCAAGGAGCCGCTCGGCACGCACGGGTATTTCAAGGCGACGTTTGATGGTAAGATTAATCCCATGGATGCCATCGGTGTCAGTCTTTATAAGCGGGTTTGGCCGAGGGTGTGTAGAGTTTTTGAGGGGTGAGTGTTGATAGATGGATGGATGGATGGATGGATGGGGTGAGAGGGGGATGTACGATGCCTTGGATTTCTTCTGGGGAGGTGGAGCAGGACAAGGCTACGATACGAGAGACATGATACAGATACAGCATGAATTTCACGACCCCAAGATAGAATGAAAGAATACCACCACACACCAATACCTCTTAGTAGAATCCTTTCTAAAACACCCACTGCATCAATGACCGTCAACCCTCCCTCTCCCTCTTCCTGTTCCCCTGTGCCCCTCCTGTTCCAACCGCACGATATCCGCCTTGACCCTCTCGATCTCATCCTCCACATCCCTATACCTCTCGCCCAAAGCCCTCATAACCCTTCCCCCGGGATCCACGGCCTCATATTCCTCCAACACCCCTTCTAACATCCTCACCCTCGCCTCCAACTCATCCCCCGTCTCATTCAACGCCTGCATCTTCGCTTGCATCCATTCATCCTGCTCCTGCTGCTTCTGCTTCTGCTTCTGCGAAGTCTTTTCCTCGCCCTCGCCCTCCAACATGTGCGCATGCGCTTGCTCGAGCACGAGGACCTGTGCCTTCAATGCCATTGTCGACGCGACGGTGCTGAGGAAGAGCGCGTGGGACTGCGTGTGCCGCGACGAGATGCCGTGTTTGCTGGATTCGAGGTGCGTGAGCGTCGTGGCGAGGGTGCGGGATTGGGCTTTCAGGAGGCCCTGTAGCGTGCTTGTTTGTGTGGCGAGGGAGTGTGGGAGGCTGGTGGTCCGGAGAGAGGATCGATGGATGGTTTGTGGGCGGAGAGTGGAGATGAGAGATGCTGGTTCGCGGGTTGGGTTTTGGATGTGTCGGGGCCAGTGCGGTGGTGAGGATGAGGATGATTCTGGATCTGGATCTGTTGCTAGGGATGCAAAGGTTGTGAGGGAGTGTTCGAGCGAGAGCAGGCCCGAGCATACTGCGGATGAGATGCTTGGGAGGTTGTCTTTGAACGGTTGGCCGATTTCATCGATGATAAGATCTTGGTCATCAGATGTCAAGCCCTGCTCAGTGTGCAAATTGTCACCGAGATTCAGATAGGCTGTGGTGAGAAGCAGGAGGTCTCTCAGTTCCGAAAAGACCGATTCCCCTTGAGCAGCGACTTTCGTTGATGAATCGTGCTGGGATCTCTGCTGCTCATCATCTCTCCCCTCGAACTTGGTGGCAATAGCCTGTCCTGTAGGCAACAGAGTCCGAGTCTGCCTATCTCCATCCTCGTCCACACGATACGCAACATCTCGTAGTATCTCTCTCAAAATCTGGCGCTTCATCTTTGCGACCCTCCGCGCCCGAAGTTCTGTCTCAAGCGTGATCTTGTCAGCTTTTGACTTTCTTCGATGATCATCTCCATCCGAGAGCACACTGTCTGTATCTGGCGCACTGTCTCCCGACACTGGGAACAATCGACTGCGGGCCTCGTTCTCGCTTTTCCTCGATGCGTCGGTGTCCAATACTTCCACTGTCAGGTGTTTCCATAGCTTCGCGAACAGCGGATTTGCCTCGGTAGTGGTGGCGGGCAGTGGTGGGATCATTGTTGCGAGCGTGAGATCAAGACGGACAACGACCAAGCTTGGTTGCTTTCAACCAGCGTGGCAAGTGTACAGGATTAAAACACTAATATTTGGTGTCCCAGAAAAGGATTCCACTAAATGAAAATTCCATGGTTAGGAGTACTCTCCAAATGGCAAAGTGTGTGTAGGAAGGCCGATTTGAACAAAAGTAAATAGGGGACTCGGAGGGGATGAAGTAGGGTGCATTCATGTGTTTATCTCCGAGCAAGTCACCGGATGTTGTCGTGTTTCCACTTCGTTTTTTGGATACTCGAACATATACATTTTAGAGGTCATGATCTCTTTTAGTGAATTTCATGTGATCAGAAAGACCTCTTCTGCCAGCTATCTGGTAATTCATGCTAGGGCTCCCCAGGGACGTATTGTCGTCAAGAAAAGCTGCAAAGCAATGCAGTAAGTATACTCCATACAAACAGCCCTTTGGCTTCAAGCGACTTCATCTCAATTCCATTCCAATCCAATCCTCTATTCTTCTTCGCTCTCCTCCGAGTCGCCATCATCATCACTGCTATCTCCGTCCTCAATGGACTGCATGGCATTGGGAGACATGGTTCCTCCATTGTATGCTCCTAACTTGCCCTTCAACTCCTCGATTTGTGCATCTCGTTCATACTTGTTCATGGGCTTGGACTTCTTTGGTTTGGTGACTGCTGGTGCATTGTAAACCTCGGTTCGCTCAACTTTGGGCTCATCGGGGGGTGGTCCGGCGTATTTCTTGACAAAATTGAGCAATTTCAGAAGGGCATGGTTGGGCACTTCCTCAATGTCAAGTTCAATCTCGTTCTGATCACTGTTGGCCAATGATGGAACACTGTTCTGGATGATTTTCAATGCTTCTTGCATTTGCTTCTCGGGTAGCATGGCGATTCCATTGGAGATGTATTGCTTTTCGGCGAAGGTGACATAACGATCCTTCTGGTCCTTTTTGGGAGCCTTCTTCTTGTCCTTCTTGTCTTTTCCAGTGCTGGGGGCCGCCACTGGTTTCTTGTCCTTCTTCCCACTCTTGGTCTTGTTCTTCTTGGCCTGTGGAGATTTGGATTTCTTGGGCTTCTTCTGCGTCAACTCACCCATTTGTCGTGACATGGCCTCAATCTGCTGCTGCAGTAATTTGATCTTGTCATTGCGTTCATCCTCACTTTCAGCATCTGCTTCGTCCTCACTGTCTTCCTCGTCTTCGTCATCTTCGTTCTCATCACTGTGGGGTTCCGATTGCGGCTCACGCTCCCGAAGCCATTCTTCCTTGGTGGCCCATTTCTTGTTGAAAAGCTCCTCCAATTGGTGACCAGAGGCATTGACGAGATCTCCCTCCGGGTTGAATTTGAAGCAATTCTTGAAAACCAGGCGCACATCTTCTTCGAAATCCTTTGCCTTTTCGTAGACATTGTTTGCCAGATTGGTCTTTACAGTTCCTAGATCCATTGGCTTCTTGATCATCTGGAAATATGTAGGGATATTCAAAGCCACAGGATCCACCGGGTAGAGGAAATACTGATTCATTTGCCAGTACTTGCTGCTTGAGATTTCCTTCAACACATCATCACAGAACTTGAGCTGCATTTCATACTTTTTCTTCTTTGGTCGGCCAGCACCAAGATCTTGATTGCGCTTGGTCGGGACAATTGCTCGCTTGGGACGCCCATCAATTAACAAGCTCGAGTCTCGGCGGATCAGAGGAACGCCATCAGGACCAGGAGCAAATGATGGGGTTGGAGGTGCTGCAGTCTTTGGAGATGGTGCCGTTGTTACGCCTGGGTGTGCAGTTGAGACAAATGGTCGACGGGGTGGTGCTTGTCTGGTAGGTTCTTGTTTCTTGGCTGCTTTCTTGGTTTCCTTACTTGGCTCCTCCACCGTGGCTTTGGGGAGATTTTTCATTTGACTTCGGAAAGACGATTGCATCTTTCTGGCTTGTTGAGTAACACCGTGATCTGGACCATTGAAGAGGACACAGTTGTTGACGATTTGTTCGAAATCAGTAATAAAGGCAGCAACCGAGGAATAAGTGTTCTGCTTCAGACGATGATCGATGGTCGACAGATCCATAGGATTCTTGATAATATCAGGATAGTTTGGAATCTTCAGCGCCATATAATCGACAGGTTGTCGGAAAGCGGTTGATGCATTGCTTTTCTTCAAGTTGGAAATGACTTTTCTCATATGCGCAAGGCGTGCTGGGGTGACAGTATCATCAGCGTCAGCAGCCTCACGGGTGGGACTTCCACTTCCATTGGCCAGGGGTGGTGACTGAGAAGTAGTAGATGGGACTTCTGGCACCTTGAAAGCAGGCTCGTCAGTCTTTGAAGTAGGCTCATCATCGGTCTTGACACGCTTGGTAGCACGCTCGTGCTCCTCGTCATCATCCTCTCTCTCTCGAACTTGCTTCACTGGTTCAGGCGCTGCATCAATCATGATCTGGTCTTCCAGTTCAATCTGTCTGGAGGGTACAGGGGTGGGTGCCGGTGCTGCAGGCTCTTCGATTGGGAGAGTAGCTGGCAAGGTAACAGGAGCAGTCTCAGGCTGTGTCACGGCAGCAGGCTCAGGCACAGAAGGAGCAACCGGTGCAACTTCGATGGGCTCGGATGTCGGTATTATTGTAGACTCAACCACAGTGGGTTCAACAGGCTTCACAGCGGGTAATTCTGCATGAGATGGCTGAGGAGCGGGAGGCGGAGATTGGGTGGGAGATGGTAGACCGATATCTGTCAGAGTGGGTTGCTCGTTCGCGGGCTCTGTTGGTGGTTGCGCGGCTTCTGTTGAGGACGCTTTTTCCAGAGTGACCGGTTGGGCAGGAGCGCCTGAGGCATCAACTGAATTGTCTAGCTCATGCTTGCGGGATTCAATGGCAGCAACAGCTTCGGTCGACAGAGCATCTGAATGCGGTTCAGTGCGTAGATCGGAAACCGGCGGCTCTACAACGGCGGCAGCCGGTTGAGAGACGTCCATGACTGATTGGCTTGTCTCGATTGGAGTGGCGGATGATGGAATCTCGGTGGGAATTGAGGATGGCACGAAGGAGTCGGTGAGGTTGGTTTCTGAGACGGATGATGCGACTGCCGTGGTTGGAACAGCAGGAAGATGGTCGGAAGAGAAAGAAGGTTGAGAGTCTTGAACCGTAGATATAGGCATCTCGGCTGGTTGGGCAGTCAAAGCGGCAGTGCCATTGACGTTAGGCAGTGGATCTTCGGGAGGCAGCGCGGGGACAGTGACTGTTGATGCATTAGTCGCTGCCTGTGGTTGCTCATCTTGTGGTGAAGCTTGGGTGACGGGCAGTTTGGTGGGGAGTGAATTGACGGTTGCCTCGGCATTTGAGATTGAGGCAGCTAAATTTTCTGCGACATGAGGCTCTTGGGGTTGTTGATCTGTGGTTGAGCTGAATTGTAAGGGAAGGCTGTTGAAAGTCAGATGATGATGTAATGGGAGATGATTGGATTTGGTACGTACCCGTTGGCTTCTAGCTGCATTTCAACGTCCATGATGCCAAGAAGTTGACCTTGACACGGAGTGAGTTGAGGCGGCGGTAGATCGGGCCAGCCGAGAGTGGTGGTTGGAGCAAGAATTAATTATTAAAAGGATAATGTTTTACAAAGCGCACTTGACCGCAAAGGAGCAGTGTGGCGCGTCAAGGGACCAAAAAAGCAGGGTGCTGATCAAGGAGTGAAAGAATGGGTGAAAGCGCGACGAATAAATAGTCGAGGCGTGGATGGGTGTAAAGTTTGAGTGATGCTGACACAGTCAAGTGGCAACAACGAGAGTAAATTGTTTCTCCGGCTCTTGAGAGGGTGGCAAGAGGGAAAGAAACCGACTCTGGTAGAGGGACTGACAGAGAGCTGATCAAATCGGTGATGTCATGTGACTTGAGGTTGTGAGTGCCAAGAGATGAAACTCGGAAGTTGAGAGGTGATGATGTCCAGACGCAACAACCAAGAGACCACAGTCAATTGATGCAGAAACCAGTTGCGCTAGCTGTCGCACCACGGAAAAAGAGGTGCAATGATAACAGGCCGCCGTGAATCAACGGTCCAGCAGAAAAGCGCAATTGTCTGGATGGATTGGCGACGACGAGGATGCGATGGAATGGTGATGGTGATGGTGATGGACGAGGGTTGGAGTGTGGAATTATTTGTTTGGGGTCAAGAGCGTGAGCGTGAGCGTGAAAAGAGAAACGCGTCTTGCAGACGAATAACACGACCTCGAATCACACGGGGTCTTGGCGGGCAAGTGAGGGAGAGGGAGAGGGAAGCGAAGTCAAGCTCAAGCTGCACAACCGCAACAACTCACACTTTTAGGGAGCAGGAGCAGGCAAAAAAACATCGAGGGGCGCGAATTGACTTATATTTCCTCGGTTCTGTGGACAGCGCTTCCCGACTCCTGCGTGGATCAGTGCCTAGCCAGAAAAAGCCTGCAGCCAATTACTCGTTGCTTGGGGTGCTTTTAGCTTCCCTCATCCCTGTCAGCCCGATCCATTTTCATTTTCCGTGCACCGTCAACACCGGCCCCTATAGGATAGAAGGCCTTTAATCTAGTCTCACTCCGGTAAAGCCCCGCCAAGATTGTACAGAATCCATGCTAGCTGCTCTCCCAGACTCCCTCTCAGACTCCCAGTGGCACCCGCCACTCAATCCACCTTCAACCTTCAACTTGTTCCTCCTCCCCTCCCTCTCAGCCCTCAGGATTGAAGCTCTTTTGGCTGCCTATCCTCACTATTGCGAAAAACTCAACTGCTCCATTTGTCGTAGTTATAACCTTGCATCAACCACCAATTTTCATGTCCAGGGTCACTATCGCCTCAGGTCGATATTCCCGCAGAGAAACTGATCCCTTCCCTTCTTGCCTCCCCACTTCAATGATGCTGTCGTGCTCTTTGCGATATGAGATCCCGTCATCATGACCTATCTGGTTTGTCAAGTCACGTGCACTTCTTGCATGACTCATCCCGTAACCATACTGACTGACACCGACATCAACATCAACAAGCCATTCCCATAGACAATTGCATGTTGCTTCCCTCCAGTCAATTCATATCGACATCAAAACTGCTGTCCGCCGTTGCGTCTTACCGTGTCCAGTAATCTCCGCCCGCTTTCCGGCTTGACCGGTCAAACCGAACGCGGTCCAAGAGGCTCAAATGTCTGCCTGTTGAGTTTCAATTTTCATAGTACAGCCTAATGGTTTTCCTGCATAACTTGAGACTTTGTGGATTTCCACACAAAACCACACTGTTGCTGCTGAACTCACTGATCCTTATCAGTGGTCAATGGTGCCTAACTGGCATAGTCATTTCGTTAGGGAGCGGCCGCTCAGAGTGGCTGTTCCGGGCCTCCCGCATCTCAAGAACCCCTGGAGTTGGGTGCACAGGAGGCTGCTTGTGACTATCTGTTAATTTTCAATCATTGAGGCGCCAGTGTTATTCGTGATGCTATGAGGACAACTTTGGTGGTCACAAGGCCACCAAGAGCACCTGCAATAAATAAAGACAAGACTTGAAGGGTGCAGGAACAGAAACAAGGAAACACTCCCAATTGTGCTTGCCCGTCCTACTGATACTAGACAAGCAAGTTTGCCGAACACTTAACACGCTAATCCAAACCGGGCAAAGCGTGACATTTTCTAAACTCCGATGGAAACTGTAACTTTTTTTCTTTGCAAGTGGGTTTGCAATAATCGTAATGGTCGCTGCTTGACTTCTCAATGTCAACGTCCCAAACTCGACTCGACACGTACAAGACAATGCCCTAGTCGCAGGCCAATGTGTGCAAATTTCCACACTTTGTTCTCCCGTCTTGACCACAAAGACCCCCTGCAATGGGTCGAACATCTTCCTCTGCGGCGGTCTCAAACCGTCCCTCTTCCTCGGCCGCACCAGCGTCGTCATTGACCGCCTCGACTCAAAATTCCTCTGTCTTGAAGTCGGCTTTTGCGCCCTCTCATTTCCAATTGCACTTGTTCGCCTCTGTCGTTCAAAGCTTTGACTCAAATCAACTACGCATCCATGACACAACCACAGGTCGCCTGAGGTGCCAGCATGAATCAAGGCCTGGCACCAGGATCACCTGCCTTGACTGGGGCCATTATGGTCTTGCCAACCACGAACAGAGACAGACTCCTTCAAAGAAAAAGCGCAAGCGCGATCAAGATCCAATTCAGGGTGCAGTGGTGGCATATGGTACCACCTCTTCAGAAATATGTCTGTTCTCACCCGCAGAGGGCAAGGTGGTCACCACCTTAAAAGGTGTTCACGAAAGAGGAGTTCGAGATTTCAAGTTCAGTCCTGCAGAAAAGGCGGAAGCGTGGAGTATTGGTGAAGATGGAAAATTGGTCTTGTGGAATCTTGCCAACTGCCAACCAACCAGGTTCGTTTTTTGTGTGTCTTGCAACATTAACTACTAACCACCCTCACAATAGGACAATATCCATTCCAGATCCTGCTGTGTCAATACTTGCCAGACCTTCTATCAGCCCCCCTCAAATCCTGTGTGCCTCGTCTACTCCTTTCGCCATCACCCTCGAGTCCCCCGATGATTTCCATCTCGACAAATACGACTCGTTCAAAAATCCCATACATTCTCTACTCCTGCCAAAGAACGAACCATCAGCAGCTATCCAATACTTCCTAGCTGCAGACTCGGATCGATATATGAATGTGTACAATATTCCTGAAAAGAAATTGTCCCGAACACTGGTCGCTGGGAGTGGAATACTTTCCGTTGATGTATCTTATGTCTCAAAGGATACCTCCCCTACGTGGACCAAACAGATCCTATCAGCAGTCACCAAAGATGGCACCGTCGAGTTATTCGTTGAACCGTTTGATTTGATCAAGCAGCTCAATGGTGACTTGAAATCCAGCAGGAAGAACCTCACCAAAAAAGCAACCGCCCACGTGCGACTGGTCAACTCCCTCAAAGGGAAGCAAGTATCCATATTCGCAGCATCTTTACAAGGACCAGACCTGGTCATCGTTTCCTCAGAAGGTGGAGTCGATCTTAGCTTTCAAAAGATCAGATGGGAGGATGAAGGCAACGGGGAACTTTTATTCCATGGTGTTAAGGAGGTGGTCAAGATCAACAGTGCTTCAACACTTAATTCTGCAACTCTAAATGGAGTCAAAGATATGGGCAAGTCAAGTGTTGACGAATCGAGAACTGTAGTGGTCAACGGAGCTGCTGGTGGACCTTATTCTGATGCCATAGAAATACTCAGCAGTGATGATGACGAAGACGATTCTGCCGATGAAGCCAATGAGGAAGACGAGACATCTGTGAAGGACGAAGGCGAATCTAATGTCGACTCGGACGAAGGTATGGCAGACGCCGACCACGGCAACGCGGTCGAGGATCAAGACATGGACGACGGTACAGCATCGGAACACGAGTCAACAGCTGGCGAACCATCTTTTGGCGAGATACTTGCTTCAAGACATCCCAACGAAATCTCCATTGCCGACAATCTCGCACCAGCAGATACACGGGGTTCGCTTGGTGGACGAGAGGGTCTACCATCCATCCCCTCTGGAATGTCTCTCGGCACGGTTTTGACCCAATCTCTCCGGACCAATGATCAGAACCTTCTCGAAGCCTGTCTTCACACCTTGGACATCCACATTGTCAAGAATACCATACAACGGCTCGATAGTTCTCTTGCCGGAATTCTTCTGTCCAAACTTGCTGAACGGCTTGCCACTCGTCCCGGGAGATACGGACACCTCATTACCTGGGTACAGTGGACATGTATTGCCCATGGTGGGGCCATCGCCGCCCAGCCTGACGTGGCTGCAAAAGTAAGGACGCTATATCGAGTCTTGACACAACGGTCCAAAACCCTTGACAATCTTCTTCTGTTGAAAGGAAAGCTTGACATGCTTGATGCGCAATTGACTTTCCGCAAACAGCTCGCTGCTCAACGCCCGCCCAGACGTGATGATCAGGATGAACCAGGCATGATCTACATCGAGGGTGAGGACAATTGGGAGAGCTCTGATGAAGATCTTGACGAAGACATCTCACGTCCAGTCAAGAAGCTCGCCAGGGGTCGTGGTCAAGCAAAGACCACCAAACGCGCACTCGAAGACCTCATCGGGGATGACGAATCTAGCGACGATGACGAACTTCTCGCCCTGGAGAACGGTGGTGTAGACTCCGACGATGACGAAGAAGAAGATTCAGACGACGACAATGAAGGAGGCATAGTCCTTAATGGACGAAAGCACCTTCTTGTCGATGATGAGGCCGAAGAATCAGACCCCGACGATGAAGGCAACGAGGGTTTCGGTGCCGCCGAGTCATCCTCCGACTCCGACTCCTCTAACGACGACGACGAGGAAATCGAAGAGGACGATGATGAGGAAGACTCGGAAATGGATGACTTCATCAACGATGACGCCATTTCCTTTGCAGAAGACGAAGACGACATCCATATTCCAGGCGATGAAGACGAAGATGTGGAAGACGCAGCTCCATCTCCATCTCCAGAACCCGTGGCGAAACCAGCCAAGTCAAAGAAATCATCAACTTCGAAGTCAAAGAAGGATAGCATGAAGACCAAATCTTCCAAGAAGGCCACTAGTTAGAAACTGAAGCCGGCGTAGGAGAAGGAGGAAACTCGAGGTGTGAGGACGCAGTCTCAGCTTCCGGCCCCGACTTTGCCCCCGGCCACGACGCCACAGCCACACCAGGCAAGCCAGAAGAAGAAGAAACAAAATCAACGGCCCAGCCGCTCCGACAAGCATCGCGAACCTCTAGGCCAGACGACAACTGTTGGATCGCAGAAACCTGAACAAGCACCCCGAAATGCTCGGCGGCCCACCGATACTGCAAAGGCGATGAAGCAGAGAAAGAGACTTCGCAGTCACCAGGTCTAACTCAGAGCCACACTTTCCAGGCTGGCACGCCATCTTCAGTCCTGGCCCGATTCTGAAAGTTCGTTGGTGGTGGGGAGAGGGGGGGCATGAGCATCATATGATGTCCAAAGCAATTCGAGTTGTGGACCACAGACAGGCGTGCATTGGTGTCCTCTGAGTGCGATTCGAGTGGACTTCGGTTTTTGCTAAATGTGTTGCATGCATACACGCATGGATATCTGGGCCGTTGTATGGGTTTTCCTGGCACAGCATTGCACGGCGTGTGTTGTGATAAAAAGGCCCGAGGGAAAAGTTTCATTATTATTGGCACATCGGTCGGATTACGCCATCCCATCAACGAGGTTTGATGGCTCATAGTTGAGGTACGAACGGGTGGTGAGATGAGCAAGTCCCGGTCTTGATTGAGTTGCTGGGTTTTGCTTCGTTCAAGCACAGCTAGGATAGATGACTGGAGCTGCGCTTGAATCGAGTTGCGTTATGGTACTTGACCTTTCGGACGCCTTCACGGGACGCCGGAGGAAAGAAAATATGGAGTAAGTGGTAAACAATTAATGATTGGACATAATCGGACCTGCTCAATATCCCGTGCTCGGTAACTCCTGCTCCCCAGCGAAGTCTGGTAGCGGTGAGGAATGATAAACGTTTCTGCCAATTTTCAGCTCCACTAAGGATAGGTCTTGTTGAAGGATACCCATTATTGTAGCATCTCTACCGGATAACCTCTTCTCCAAATCCAATCTCATCCACACCAACGGATTCACACCATCCTTCAAGAACACGACTTCCACCAAGCACTCCTGGCCGGTTGCCCAGACCCCTCCCTTTGCCTCGACTCTTGCCTGCCCAAATTTCAAAGAACTTGACAGTCTGATCACAGCAAGCGATGATCAAACTGCCTTCATCTTCAGTTCGACTGGCCCACCGCTCCCCTTCTCCTCTCAAGTCTGATCGCCGTCTGTCTCTTGGTCGAGACCAAGAACGCGTCGTAAAATTCCCGTGAAGCAAACTTCGGCCTCTTCCCATTTCAGGGCTTCGCCGCTCGATCGTGCGAATTCGTTCTCCTGGGTTCCGGATCCGATCTGCTTCTCTAATCCGAACTGCTTCCCATGCCGCAAATTCATCCGGCTCACTCTGTCTCCTGGTCGGAACAGCATCATTCGGGCCACCAGGGTACGGAATAGCCCATAAAGCTCGGCCAATCTCCCCATTTTGCTTCCTTTCCTAAGGAATGCTGACTACACATTCACAACTTGGCCAACTAAAGACCGCAATTCGAATCTCATGCTCCGGTTGCGAGTATCCAAATGTAGCCACGATCTCACGCCGAGTGGTACTCCAGACCAAACTGGTCACCTGTGAGAAGACATTGATCAAAGCCAAAGTAGCTCCAGAGCCAGCATGGAAAAAGTGAATCTGACGATCATTACTTCCACCTCCAGTCGCAAGCAAAGTTGGCTGCCAAGGAGCAAATGCAATGGCTTTGACGGCCGCCGCATGATAGAAGGAATATACATGGACGTCAGCCAAGCTAAGAAGAACCCCTGGGATTGCAAAGTCATCTCGTTGAGAATGAACGTTTGGATTCCACGAAGGCACATGCAGCTGATGGTACCCTCCAGAAACATGTGGGGTTCGATCGAGACGTCGACCTCTGGATGGTGTCGGAGGGGGAGTCGGCAATGGCTCTAATTGCGTATGGGCGACATCTGTTGTATGTTGCATGCGTTCTTGATTTCCAGGCCGGCGGCCACGGTCAGGGGAGGCTTCTGGAGTGGGCAAACCGGGTGGACCAAGGGGGTGGTTTGAACCCACTGGGCCAGCAGGATTGTTTGCGAAGAACTCCATAGTAGCCTGGGCTTGGAGCACAACCCCAGCATCGAAAAGGAGAGCCCGGTTATCATTTCCTCCAGAAACAAATGTGAGGCCATCCGGCGACCAGGCCAAGCCACAGACGTTCTGGCTATGGGCGTCAAGCTTCGCTAGCAGTGTCATCAAGCCTTGTCCATTCTCGAGCCATTCAATAGAATAATAGTAGATTTTTCCAATGTCGTCTCCGACAAGCAAGTCTTCGCAGGCGACCAGGGAGTCGGAAAATGTCGACTCACGCCAAGTCACAGTGGGCTTGAACGATACGCAAGATGCTGGACATGGATGATGGGGTTCAAATCGCGGTTGAGATTCCAGCAGGCTCCAAAGTGTGACTGCACCATTATTCCTTGCGACTGCAAGGATCGCTTTACCCCCTTCTTCGGACGAGAAAGCCAGTGACGTGACGAAATTGGAGCTACGGGCAGGAGGTAATGGCGGATAGCGGACACCATATTGCTCTGTCCATAGATAAACCTTTTGGGTCAGCGCGACAGCCAGCGTGTGGCAAGTAGGGTTGTATGCAAGAATGGAACAATAATAGTCATCCTTGAGATTTGGGGCGTCCAACACACGAAAAGGAACTGTTGGTACTGCTTTTTCGCGCCTGGTTTTGCTCTCGGGTGTTGTCAAAGAAACTATGCCTGAAGTCAGTGGGTGAAATCAAATAGCAATCTTGACTTACATTGAACCAAGGATTCCCTCATCCAAGTACTGTCTTTCCATACGTATTTATTGCGGTCAGGAGGAAACTTGGTCGAATTTGTGTCTTCAATGGAAGGCGGGTGAAGTATCCTGTTGGCTCGGTCTATCTCGAGGGCCAGGGCGATTCGTCGCCCGTGGTCGATGACGCAGTCCCCGGGTGTTGGCGGACGCATAAAATTGGCTGAATGGAGAGGAGCGGTTGCTCCACTGACAAGCAGACTTCCTGACGCCGAAAGAACGCCTGGCAATTGACCTGTTTGAACGGATGCTCTGCCACCAACAGTCCAGAAACCACTGCTTATGTTTCGGAGAGTACCGGTGCTCAGCTGGGGACCCAGATGTGCTGGTGTTGCGTCTGTCCCGTGAACGAACGAGGGGATATAGTGCGGAGGTCGAAGATTGTAGGCATTGCGATATTCTCTTCGTCGTATCAGCTCGGCCGACCACATCTCACTGTTGGATCGGAAGGGGCTTAAAGTGTCGTCACGGCGGCGTTGGTATCTTTCACGTCCTCGAAGCCCAAAGGCCAAGCTGTTTACATGATAGGACGCACTCTTATCCACGAGAAGAGGCCTTGGAGGGATGAAACGCTCGGGAGACTTGAAATGTCCCTTTGCCAGAAGAGGACGACCTATGCTGATAATTTTTCTTTCCTAAAGTCGAGTCCTGCTTGTGCCTGTTCGTGAGGGTGATTGATCCTCCAACCACTGCCGCAACGCTGAAGAACTCTGAGGCAATTCGATCATTGTCGAAGGCTCCTCTGTTACTGCTTCCGCCCCGCTGCCGAGGGTACCCGAGACCTTGACTTCCTCGTCATTTTGATTGTCTCCGCCATCAGTACAATTGGAGGAGAAAGAGTAGACGGTATTGGAAGATCGAAAAGACATGTAGACGACCTTTGTGAGACACAATTCGTAGCTTTGGGCAGTTATTGTTTCCGGCGAGGCAGAGTGCCAACAACGAGATCTGGCAAACTTGAAGAACACGGAAGAGTTTAGTCGAGCTCACCCCACATATCGCTTGTATGCATGCTAAGTGCTCATGGTACCGAAAGGACCCACGAACTGTAGTTGGGGGCTGGCAGCATGCGGAAGAACACAGTTGGGGAATTCGAACGGAATGAGATGCCCTATGTATGTTAGTGACAAGCCATCACTTGTCGAAAGTGAATGGTTGGGATAAAGTGGTATGAATGTTTGATATGAAAAAGGAAGATGGAAGTGGTGCCTGGCCGGAGCATCGGAGAATAAATATGGTGAATGACACTCCACTCGCTCTTGCCTCAGCCACACCAACATCAATATTGCTCTTTCAACGTTGCCACACAGACGCCCATTCTACAGAAAGCAGGGCTATCCAACCTGAATCAATGGCAAGTGTAAGACAGGAAAAAGTACGCGTCCATTTGAGGTCTCTGCTGATAATCGTTCTTAGCATGATGTGCGGCGAAGCGCTGTCCCGACGGAGAGGACGCCGGAGGCACTCCAAAAGGAACTCAAGGAAATCCGAGTGTATCAGCAACTCGTCGAGGAAGTGAACCAGAAGGTTTGTTGCACTAGGTTCCGCTTGATTGATTCGGTACGACTGACTCGTGACAAAAGATTGAAGCCCGAGATTTCACACCAGAACTACTTCAGAAAACGGCAGCATTACTCAAGAAGAATCCAGAATATTATACTATATGGAATCATCGACGGCGAATATACGTGCAAGAGTTCTCCGATTTGAGTCAAGCCGTGGCGGTGGGCGAAAAGACTGAGGAGAATCGCCAAAGTGAGATTTTGGACATCATTCAGCTCGACCTACAGTTTCTCTTCCCACTCCTGCTCAAATATCCGAAATGCTACTGGATCTGGAACCACCGACTCTGGCTTCTAGAACAGTCAACGATTCTCCTACCGATTTCCACATCCCGCGATTTATGGCAGGAGGAACTTGGCCTGGTGGGAAAGATGTTGAGCAGAGACAATCGCAATTTTCATGGCTGGGGATACCGTCGGACGGTAGTGCAAAGCCTCGAGAGTTCAGCCTTGCATGGGGAGAGTATGGCTCGTGGAGAACTTGGGTACACCAAGAAGATGATTGGGACCAACCTGTCCAACTTCTCGGCATGGCATAACAGAATCAAACTGATCTTGAAAATTCTGGAAGAGGAGAAGGCAAACGATGAAGAGAGACGGAAAATGCTTGATGAAGGTCTGTACGCCATCAAAGTGGGCGGGTAGAGGTTGCTTGCACTGACGAAAGAACAGAGCTCAAGCTTATTCATCAAGCATTATTCGACCCATACGATCAATCATTATGGTTTTATCATCAGAATTTAATGTGCACGTTTGATCCGGGCCAGGCGGCGAGGGGCATGGCGCCGCATTTGTCGGATGAAGAACGGTTGAGATATGTCGCGGCAGAACAAGAGTACATCGAGGAAGTACTGGAAGATGCCGAGGATTGTAAATGGGCATACCTGGCATTGATCGAGAGTACTTTGATCGAGTCCAGACTGAAAGGTGGATTGACTACGAAGGAGGAAAGCAAGATGTCGGAGTGGGTCAAGCAATTGCACAAGCTTGACCCGCTACGCAGAGGACGTTGGCAGGACCTGGAGCAGAGGCTGAAGAATAATACTGTGTGACGTTGATCGTTGATCGTGATGGCCAAATGGAAATTAACAGAGGTGTTATGAGAGATGAGATGACGACTGGGACTAGCAAGTCAGCTATGAAATGGGTTTAGGGGCCCATTAAAGGAGATGAATTGATGTTGATGTGAAGTTCTAGGCGGTGCCTCCAGGGGGCAGGCTGTTAGTAACGGAACCTCTGGGGTCCATCCAAGGTCAGAAATGAGCTCTGATTCTCTGGGTCTGACTGGGAGTGGACACCATTTGAAGCTGGCGTAGATTTGACAGCGCCAATCCGAGTTGTACGAGAAGAGCAGATGCGTGTGGTGGCACAAGTAATACAAGAAGACACAATTGCCTTTTTTGTTCTCGTGGAGGACTCTAGCTGAGCACGAGAACTTCCAGGGGCACTGGATAGAGGTACTCGTAGGTACTTGTAAGTTTGAAAAAAACACGAATAGCACGCGCAACCTTAAGTGGCGTTTACTTCCGAGTCGCGTGCTGTAGTCAGTTGTTTACCTACCGAGCAGCTCCTGCCAGGCTTGGGGCTGGCGCCTTACGTCGACAGCCAGAGACTAAGGCCACGGAACACAAAGCCTATGGTGCCTGAGAGGCCCCTTCAGCCCCTAAGTCGCGCCTAATCCACTAAAACGGGCCACTAACACCACTAACTCCTTCACCAAGTGCCTCTAACGTCAAACTTTCAGATGTCGGAAAAAAGTGACTGCGCCCGTTGCATCCTCAACACCAACATTTGAATTCGGGGTCCTTTACCAGTTGCCCAGCTGCCCAGTTCCAATTCATTGCTTTCTATATCGCAATCACTGTCTTCAACAATCACCTACACACTCAGCATATCACCTCTGTCACTTATCCTCATTCCTGAGTGACTCACAAACTCTTCCTCACCACCTCCATCCATCGCCCACCTCTGCCTGCGGCTTCCCATCCCATTCCCCCGTACTCTCAACCATACCATCCTCTCCCATTTCCGGCCATCAATCCATCAACTCTCTGCATACTCCCACGCCTTCCACCAGTCTTTCATGCTGTCGTCGTAGATCTTGCCTCCTAGGCAACCAATGACCACAATGGAGACCGTTCAATCGAGTGCGGACAATACGGATAGAGAAGACGTACACTCTCCTCCAACGTCCCCATTGACCGATCCATCTGACCCTGGCCAGAAGTTCGAGGATGCCAACGAAGGCGATGATCAATCCAAAGGAGAATCCTCTCATGATGCTCAACCATCCCCCAGCTCCGAAGCAGCTGCCACAACTGTGACCAAGGATAATCCACCCAGCCCCAACGAAAATGCCCGTCCCGATGTCAGGAACAGCAATGCCAGTTCCACTCATCCAAAATCGGAGCCTTCTTCAGACTCTGCAGTGGTTGAGAATCCCACTGCCAGTCGCCCTACCAGCGACCAACCCATACCTCCAGTCGTTGCAACTCAACCCGCCTCTGATGAGCAGCCTCCAGACCCTCCAGCCAAGCCTCCTCGTCCTTCAAGATTCCAAGGTTTCTCAGCTTCCTTGCCCTCTGTTCCTTGGGGCCCTCCTCCGCCTCCTAAGAAAGCCCCAGAGCCTAGGGCTCCATCTCCACAACCTCCTCAACCTGCCCAATCCAGTCAAACTTCCTCCTCCTTTGGCCGCAAGGTCACCACTCCATTTGGCTGGCTGAGCAGAGCCACAACTTCCACCCCGAAAGAGCTGAAGTCACCTTCTTTACCCTCAAGAAATGCCCTGGACGCTCGTCGCAACACGGCCGCTTCTTTGGGAAGCAACCCCGATCTAACCCTAAAAGCGCTGGAAGAAGGTCAAGATGGTTCCACTGGCCAGAGACACCATTCCCGTGCCTCACTCCGCGAACAATTCAAAATGCTGCGGCTACGGGAAGAAGCTGGTCTCACTAGCCTGGAAGGTCCCGAGAAAGGCGAGGGAGGCGCACTGGCTGGTTTGATTGGCCGCTCTGCCACCCTGGGTGTCGGAATTGCGACCCCCGGAAGTGTTGGTCAGGATGAAAATGTGGTCTCTACGCCGATCATGTCCCCAACTTCACCCATCACCGAAATCGTCCCTGTAAATCCAAATCTCGCACCCGGCACAGTTTCCGGAGTTGCTGCCGCCCCAGCCGACACAACAACCCCAATAGATTGGGACTTTTGGCAGAATGTTGTAAATGAAGGGCCTCAAGCAGTCGCTCGAACCAGCCCGGAAGAGTTTACCCAAGCCATTAGTGGTGGCATTCCTCAGACCATTCGCCATGTCATCTGGCAAGTTCTTGCAGGAAGTAAGAACGAGGATCTCGAGGCAGTATACTGGGATCTGCGCTCGCGAGATGTCAACCAAGAAATAAAAGAGCCCCTTCCAAAATCTCCCCTGTTGAATGGCAATGCAAATACCAATGCCAATGGTACCGCAAAGGAGAAAGAGAAAGAGTCCGTCGGGTCTTCCAGATCCTCAGTTCGTTCGGACCACTCTACTCCCGCCACCAGCACCAACATTGGGGTAGCATCTCCTTCGCCTTCCCAAGACACTACGGACCCTCTCAGTAGTGCCAAACTCCAGGCCGAGTTGGCTACTGAGAGAGCAAAGAAGGCCAAAGAGGATTCTGCCACTTTGGCTAAGCTGGAAAAAGTCATCAAGCGAGACATGGGCTCAAGGACCAGTTACTCGAAATATGCCGCCGCTTCAGGTCTTCAGGATGGACTTTTCCATGTTTGCCGTGCCTACGCACTTTTTGATGATGCGGTTGGATATCCACAAGGCATGAACTTCATCATCATGCCACTTCTATTCACCATGCCAGAAGAGGAAGCGTTCTGCCTCTTAGTGCGGTTGATGAACAAGTATCAAGTACGTGACCTTTTTATTCAGGACATGCCTGGGCTGCACCTTCATCTCTACCAGTTCGAACGACTTCTAGAGGACCTAGAACCTGCTCTTTATTGCCATCTCAATCGTCGGAGTGTCACCCCAAAGCTATATGCGACACAATGGTTCCTCACACTTTTTGCCTATCGATTTCCTCTGCAGCTCGTTATGCGCGTGTTCGACTTGGTTCTTTGCGAGGGTCTTGAAGGCGCTATCTTGAAATTCGGCATGGCTGTCGTTCAACGCAATGTGCAAACACTTCTGGGTATGAATGATATGCAGGCTCTGACAAATTTCTTGAAAGAGAAGATATTTGATGTCTATATTGATGCAGCCCCTTCTTCAAAATCAATACTCGAGTCTGGCTTCTTTGGAAATTCCGGTGGAACGGATACTGAAATCTACCGAGCAGACTTGCTTGTGCAAGATGCATGCGCCGTGAAACTCACACCTGAAATGCTGAGCCGGTACCGTGAGGAGTACGAAACAACTACCAAGGCTGAGAAGGCTCGAGAGACAGAGCTGGAGAATCTAAGGACCGACTGCGCTACTAAAGCTGCACAGATACGATCTTTAGAAACGCGGGCTGAAAAATCTGACGCTGAACATATCGAACTAGCGAATGAACTTGTCCGACTAAAAGTTGAGAACACGGAATTTCAAGATCGGAACGAGAGCCTTACAGGTCAAGTCGAAGAACTCCGAAAAGTTGCTGAAAGTGAAGCTGCCAATGTTGAGGAACGGATGAGAGCCACTACAGAGCAGGTCATGCAGCGGAATATCGAAGTGCAGAACGAGAATCGTCACATGGAAGAGCAAATGGCTGAAATGGAGCGCGAGCTTGTGGAGATCAAGCTAAAGTATGCTGAGGTAAATGTGATTTGAAATATGCCGATGATCAACTGCTAACTTCAACCCTAGCTCAACGTTGAACACGAGACGCTCAAGCAGAAATGGAACGACCTCAAGCGAGCGCTCGACTAGATGCTTCGAAGGCCATTCCTCGGGCCCATTTTTTCACCTACCACTCTCCAGATACCCGTCTTCTTTTATGATCATGTCTTAGACTTCAAATCCACCTCGTTCTCGTTCGAGGTGGAACTTTACTATATTGAAATGTATGAATGTACGGCAACCGAATCCACGGTTTCTACCTAGGGTGCCAAAAGTGTTAAACAATCGGATTAGCATAGCGGTGGAGGCGATCTTGACATTTGCCTGGATTGTTGCTCGGTGATCGTCGATTGTTGGAGTTCGCCAGGACAAAGACGTCTCCCATGGGACGTCACAAGGTGTTGGGCAGTAAGCCCTATGAACTGCTGAGATGGATAAGGGGAGCCTCGTCAGCCATCCCTTCGTCAGCGTTGTGTGTATCGGAGTTATCTCCAAACCCTCACCCGTCTTGGAGAATACATTCGGCTATGGGGCCTGCTCCGTTCCACATCACCCATATGACTAGCAGAGAAGTATGTGGTTTGGATGAGGCAGTAGATGACCTATATGACTTCCACATGGGGAGGACAACTCATGAATTGATACAAATCCATTACCTAGAAACTACTCCATTGTGCGTTTAGTGACAAGTTTCTTCATCTTTTTCTTCATCTCTTTCTACGCGAGTCTTCATCATCATGCCGCAAGCCGAAGTGATGCATTTCCTGTATTCCCGTTTGATATGATTTATGACTTTAATCCTGACTAGGGAGCCTGCGCTTGGGGCTTCAGTAATCGAAGGAGCCAAACATCCACAGGGCCCCCAGATGCTGGCCCATTTCCCGCTCTTTCTGGACACTGCCACGCTCACAGCTTCACCCGTCCAGCCTTGACATCCTCCCACTCCTCCGGCCCGTAGGGAACGTATTTCTTGGCGCCAGGCGGGAGCCAAAACACACGGTCTTCGGGACTCGAGTCCTTGATCTTGGCGACATCGATGCCCTCGCTCCGCAGCCGACCTTTCTGCATCTTCATGGTGCCCGTGTACTCGAGCGCGGGCACGACACGGATGAAGATGGGCACCGCATATCTGGGCAGGGTCGAGATGGCATGTTCGGCCAGACCAGCCAGATCGAGCGTCTCGGCCGTGACGCCGGGGACAGGCACGACGGCGGCACAGCCGGCGCGCCCGTCGGCATGGGGCACCTGCACACCGTAGACGTTTGCCTCGGCGATCTGGGCGAAGTCGCCGACGACGTCCGAGACCTCGTTGGTCGAGACGTTCTCGCTGCGCCACCGGAACGTGTCGCCCAGGCGGTCCACGAAATACACGCGGCCGTCGCCGTCCTGCCGCATCATGTCGCCCGACCGGAACCACATGTCGTCCTTGGCGAAGACGGAGCGGATGAACCGCTTCGACCCGGCCTCCTTGTTGTTGTAGTACCCGCGGAACATCATCTCGGCGTTCTCCGGCTCCGGGATGCAGTGCAGCACCTCGCCGGGCTCGTCGGTGGCGCACTCGATGGCGAAGCCGTTGGCGTCGCGTAGGATTTCCTGCGTGTCCGTGTCCATGCGCACGCGCTTTTCGATCTTGTTGTTGAAGAGCCGCCAGAGCAGGCCGCGCACCGCGATGGCGTTGCGTCCGAAGTCGCCGCGGTTGGCGTTGAAGCTCGACCCGAGCCCGTCCGTCGCCGCGTAGAGCTCGTTAATGGTCTCAATGCCGAACCGGCTGCGGAAGACTTCCCAGACGTCCGGCCGCATCCCGTTGCCCCATGCGACTTTGACGTTGTGGTTCTTGTCGTCCGGGGACGGTGGTGCATTGACGAGATATCGACACAGCTCTCCGACGTATTGCAGGATGTCTGCGCGAGAGCTGCGCACTTCAGGCCAGAAGGTCTTGTGGCTGAATTTGCGGGACAGGACGACTGCTGAACCGGCCCAGATGGACGGTGTCACGCATAGGCCGTGGCCTGCTCCGTGGTATAATGGGAGGGCGGAGTACATTCTGTTGCCTGGCTTCAATCCCAGATAGGTTGATACGCCCCACGCTGTGGTGAGTTCTCTGCCTCGTACCATGATGACTCCCTTGGGCATTCCAGTCGTGCCGGAGGTGTAGATCAGACCTCCGAGTTCATCGGGACGTACACCTTGAATGCGAGCTGGAGGTATCGGAGTGGTGTCTGAGAGTGCCGCGATGAAATGTTCATCGTAGTAGATTGTCTTCACATTTGCAGCTTCGAGGTCTGCCTCACATGGTGACACCAGATCTTGAATGCTTCGGTCTGCAAGGATGTACCGTGCATTGCTAAGCTTGACACTATGTGTGAGGGGACCGGCAGTCAAATTACAATTGATGAATGCTGGAGCAGACCTGATCGACTCGAGACCGAACCAGAGGAGGAGATACTCTGGGCTGTTGCCACCGTCGATTGCAACAATCTCCTCCGGTTTGACGCCGAGATCATTCATCAGCCAATTGCCCACTCGATGAATGCCGTCAAAGAATTGTTTGTAGGTGAATGATCGATCTTCAAAGATCAAGAACAAACTATCCGCATTGGGACCCTCGGCATGTTCCTTGAAGACATGGTACAAGAGTGTCTTACCGCTGGTCCATCTCTCCGTGAGAAAGGCAATTGCATCCTTTGGTTTTGGCAGCGATGCAGCCTTGAGATCATGGCGAATTAAATACTTGCCATCAAGATAGGCGGCGGCAGCGAGCCCCGCTGCTGCAGTAGCTACAGCTGTTGTGACTATGGACACATAGAATGTATCAGCAGTTGCAACCGGGCGAAGTACTTTGTGGTGTTCTTCTACTTACGTGACATGGCTTAGGATTTGGGAGATGATTCTGGAGAAATCAATAATCGCCAACCCATCGTATAAATGAACTTTCAAGTCTTTTTAGAGGACAGCCAGACCGTGTCAGGCAAGCACTTTGAGGCCTCACAATAGCGGTAGTCGGCATCAGGGTCGTTGAAGCCGAGGTCCATTTGCCGCCAACGCCTCCACATCTTGCCTTCGTATCCGGGGGGTGGGGATGCGGAGCCTGGGGAGCGAGCTTACGTTAGACTGCTGAACGGTGCCAACCCCAGATCTTTAATTTGCAGTTTAAGATTCTAATTCTCGTGTGACGCGTGTTCGTTCGATAAAGCACTGAAGATTTCATCGTGATGGTCCTTTCGAGCTGAGGCTATCTCGCTGAGGGAACTGAACAGGAAAGAATTGAATGGACTTTTGCCAGTGTTTCACTAGTATATGCCAAGACGCTACCGATGAGTTAGTCTGTGTTTGTCAAATTCGGGCAACTCGGGCGAGTATGTCAAAAGTGACGTCCAGTCCATTCTTGCCTTGGTCAAGTTGTCTCGCGTCACTTTCGACGCGTAATTTCTTTTGTTTACAGCCTCAGGATGAGCTCTCTCACTCGACATTATTCATTATTCATCCTCCCTCACTGAAGCTCAAGTCGCTGTCTACCTGCAGCATGTGCTTGAGTTGAAAAACTCGCTCGATACTCAAAAGCCTCGACAACTCGAGGGTGTGGGTAATCATACAAGTCTCGCTATCCAAGCAAGTTGTGTCGTCACTCATAACAGCCCTTCTGCACCATCTCAAATCAGCTGTACTCTGTCAGAGACCCATTTGGGTCACGATTCTATTGCCGTTGGCTGTCACTCCCACTGCACTGACATCTCCAGAATCCTACAACCGTCTCCATCACCAGTCGCTCGTGCTCAGCCTCGATCGGAATTGCCAGCAACTCAATACCAATGGCTTCCATGGCCGAGTTGCGGTCCTTGACCGTTTGGACCATACCAAATCCCTTCATGCTCGTTCTCCCTCGCATAGAAAGCCCCCTGTGATTGATCCTGCCTTGCATATCCATGCGGTCCAGACACATCCAAGGGTTGTTCGGGGGCAGACTCTGATTCACTGTCTTGGTAAAAATACCCGTGCTGAATCCCTGCCTCTTCTGGCACTGTTTGCAGATTTGCATATCGCCTCTCCAGTGTGGTTGGCTCAGTACGTTGGCCGATCTCACCGATCAATGCGGATCCAAGCAAAGAAGCACCCCTGGATGCGAACTCCGGGTCATTGTCCATGAGCGAGTTGTAGAATCTGATCTCATCCTGATTTGGTCCAGTCCTGTCGAGTGGCCATGGCTTGATGAATGCTTCCTCCTCCAAGGTTGTGCCTGGGAGCTTTGGTGGTGGCAGAGGGTTCTTCTGGTTTGCTGGTCCATTCTTTCGGCCATCGACATACAACTGCGCTTCGCGTTTGCTTGGCCAATTGGCCCCAAGATTGACATTGGCGGGGTCGAAATTGTTGGAGTTCCAGATGGTTGGCAGTGCCAGCACTGAGCTGAGATCATCACTGAATACCTTTCCCCCAAAAGGCTTCATGAGTTTTTGACCCTTGGGATCCTTCTCTTTGATGGCTATCAGTTCTTTCATGTGTGCGATATCTTCTCGCAGACCAGCTTCGTTCATGGCTGCCAATCCTCTCTTATGCTCCATCCATTCGGAGGTATCCTGGGGGAAAAGCTCTTTCCTTCTGCCTTTGAACACTGCGGGTGAAAAATGACGGACTCGATGTCGAATTCTCTCATATTCTTCTTTTTCTTTCACCCAAGGACTTTTCCACGTGATGGATGAACTATGCGAAGGCTCCGCTGCAATTTGCAGTTCTGGGAGTTCTTGGAGTTGTTGCAGCTGATTGTCGAAGAAGATCTCGTTGCTTTGCATCGCACTGTTGTTCGTGACGTCGGAGAATGCGTTGGACTCCTTGGAGACTTGTCTCTTCTTGTGGCGATTGCGAGGTGCCATTGCTAAGGCTTGTCAGGGGCTCAGGAGATTTTTGTTATGGAGAAAGAGGGTCGATGTTGATGAACCCAAGGTCCGGAGAGGTTGGTAAGGCTGTGTTCCGAGTAGCGTTGTCTGATAAGACGGACTCTGTTCGTTCTGCCTGGTAAGATATCTGATTGGGGTGGGGATGGGATTATGTGTTTGCGGGGTGATGTGGTGAGAAAGTGGTAAGTTCAAAAGAAATAAAACGATGTGGGCTGCTGCGCATATCGGAGCAGTATGTTGAGGCAAGGCAGCGCGATGTACTGTTGCTGTCGCGACCAAAATTGTCACTATCGCAGTGCACAACCAGGACTGCCTCACAAGTCGCGTCGCAGCCTGGCAACCACTGACTCCGTTTGCAGGCTGCCGACGCGAAAAGAGAGATCTTTGACTTTGCTGTGTTTCTGGATTCGTTCGATGCATTCTTGTTTGGGGTTAGGTGTGATGGGGGATATCCGAGATATGGTTATATAGAAAGCAGGTAAGTTTCGGGTGAAGTCGACGGAGGTCAGGTACCAAACGAAACCTAGTCAGTGACGACAATTTCTCACACTCGAATGTTGGCTTATATGCTTCAAGGCCCTGACTCAATTAACGTGAAGAAAGCCCTTGACTACTGTCTCTCAAGTCCTCCTGCTGTTTCACTACCACGTGCTACCGACGTTAACCCGGGATCAGCAGGCACTGGACTGACGTTGATTCAAGGTTCTTCTCACATTTCCTTCAGTCGGGACGAGATGCGGACTCTGCCGAGATGGAATGCTCGACGAAAGTCCACCAGTGTATAATTCAACCAATCTGATTTGGCTGGCGTTCAATTATCGTCTTGAGGCCGCAAAGATTGAGAATCATATCAATCTGATTGGCTCGAGCAAGTGAGCAACCAATTCACCTTGAACTCCGGCTTTCGTTGGGAAAGCCTTCTGAGAGCGCCATTAATGGCTGGTTGACCCTGACTGATAGCGTCTACCGTTTGTCCTGCAGCGCAATGTCACCTTAACCCCTCTAAAATGTGGTGGTAATGAGAACATGGTGACCGACAGTCTTGGTGTGAAAAATCCTTCTTGGGACCCTAGAGTGCTTCAAGGAAGACACAACTTCACCACTTCAGGGACGTTCTGCTGTTATGATGATCAACACTCAATGCTGTCCCTCGATTGTGCCTTCTTCAATGGCACCTTCACTTGAGAACAGCCCCACTGGGTAAAGAAAATGGTTTCGCGCTGGGCAAGGTTTAACAGGCCTCAGGGATCATATGTCTGATCTGCCAGAATGTGAATGCAGTTGCGGCTCCGCGTCTCCCACGTAGCTCGAGTCAGAGCAGTCCTGTGAAGATTCGATTTGGCAGGTGTGTTGTTGACCATACCCGAAGTTTTGCCTTACGGGATCAAATCTCTTTCAAGTCGAACATGAAGGTATCAGGGGCGATGAGCCAGCTTGTGTCATTGGAGAAGAAAGATGAAGGAGCGGGTAAGTCAAACAATGAAGCTGGCGAGAAAATTCTCTCCCCACCAGCAAACTGTCAGTACTTTGGGTGTATGACTACAAACCATCATCTGTCAAACAAACTAACCTTCACCATTCCTTGGTTCTCTTCTCGGTGACTATGCGCCGCTAACGGTCGCATGAGAGCCGCACCTCTACCCTCATGGTAAGACGTCACCTCATCAGCTCATCACAAAAATCCCCTAGATGGTCCCTCTGTTCAATAACCACTTCATGCCATTCATTGTATTAGGACCCAACTGCCCACTCGACCCAACCGAGTAAATCGTCCAAGCAGCATGACCCAGATCCGGATAAACATCAATCTTGGTCTTCACACCATTCTCCCTGAGCGCCTTCTCAAAGATAATCCCGTCATCTCGCAAAACATCCAACCCACCCACATGGATATAGGTCGGCGGCAGCCCATAATGTGGCGTCCGACTATTGAATGGCGAAAATAACGGCGACTTGACATCCGGCGCGAGCGTGCGAATGATATTCTTGATCGTATCTCGGCTCAGCGTCGGATTATTCTTATTCTCATCCATCGACCTCCACATCTTCTTATACTGCGCCGGCACAATATCCTTGACCAACAACAGAGGAATCGACACAAACGACCCCGTCAACGGCGGCTGCAGGTTGCGATCGCGCGCAAGCTGCGTCACCACCGCCGCCATGGTCCCGCCTGCAGAAACGCCGCCGACGATGAACCCGGCCGTGGGTTCCGCACCAAATTGCGCTGCATTCCCCGCGAGGTACACCAGGGTGTCCCACGCGTCTTGCATCGGGACAGGGAATTTATGTTCGGGCGCCAGCCGATACGTGGCGCTGACGACCACGGCGCCGAACTCGATTGCGAATTCCCGGCCTGGCCGTGTCATGTACTCGACGTTTCCGGCGCTGAAGCCGCCGCCATGGAATAGCACGATGAGTGGGCGTGCTGCAGATGGAGGAGAGGTTTCCTTGGGTCGGATGACTTTGATTTCTGCATTGTGTCCGTCGGGGAGCGGGATGGCGCTGTAGTATTCTTCGAGATTCGCGTGGAGAGGGCCTAGTCTGCTGATGAGTTGTAGGTCGTTTTGGCGGCGGGCGAGGCGCATCTGTTGGAGGGCTTGGTGTTGCGACATGCTGGGAGACTTTCTGCTGCGTAGGAATGGTGTGGACTACCTCTGAAGAGGAGATTTTTTTGACCCTTGCGTATGTCAATTGGTTGAGAATGTGTATTCAGGACATCAAGGATTATATTTGAATTGTTCCCGCTTCACGAGACAATATCCATGACGGCTGGCTGAGGTTAGGTGATACATCTGGAATCATAGCTGACATTAACATGGGAATGAGGGCATATCAAATACCGCATGGGGTTTGGAGAAGACCCATCTCGAGGAATATATCCTGTTTGGGAACATTGATTGGAGTAAATGCAGTTGGCCCTTTCGCTTATCGACCATCCCTGTCGATCCTATCTGTTCAGAGATATCACCGATGTCTTGACGTGGTATCTGATGGAAATAATGATGCAGGAATGCGTTCGAATCATGATTGCTTACCAGAGCCTTGGGGTCATTTCTGCTGGAATAGGCCGAGTCGAGTTTACCCCTGAAATCACAGCCTGCTTGGCTTCGGGGGCCATCTTACAAGTCTCCGCTCTTAACCCTACACTGGAGGCTTTCGACATTGCGGTGGCTGTCGTACGGCGATATTGCAAGACTCCTTTTCTCGTGGCATGTCTGGTATATAGCAGGAAGCGCAGGAAAGAAAGTGAACATTATTGTGTAGTGTATTAGCTCATAATATGTGATGTGGATGTCGGCTCCAGAGCTCTGCATGGCACGGAGAGGGTAACTACCTATCGACGTCAATAGTCGTACAATGAGCAGGCAAAGCCTGATGAACCTGCCCCAGCACCAATTTCCCCCAGCGCCCAGGTTAACCTCCATCAGCTCCAAGATGAACTAACAGACGAGAACGACTTTCCGATCAAACACTGCCGTCGAGAATGACTAACCCACGGTATCTGCCATCAACAATCCAAGTGCGATCTTATGTTCTTCACATAAGAGACAGCTCGGACACCGGAAGCTTCCAGTGCAGACCCGATGCGTCTCGCAGACGATGGTAGGTGAACAAGTACACACCTTTCGTACTGTAAAGGTCAAGTTTACTTGACTCGTTGCCCTTCACGGATGCTGTAGCCATATTCTCCAGCCGTTTCATGTCAACAACACCAGTCATACGGTCCCTGTCAAGACCTTGCGTGATTGGCGCCCGCCTCACAATGTTGGTTAGAATCAGTTCGAAGTGTCTCAACTTGAAGTGTCCTGTCGTTGGAGGATCTAATTCGAGCTTTAGTCCTAGTGGTCTATGAGGCGCAGTTCGGGTGTAATCCGTTCCGTGGCCTTTGCCGTTTATAGGATCACCTCTCAAGTGGAGCAAGAATGAGATATCGGGGTCGATCCTGTCGTTTGTTCGGGTAGACATTGGAGAATGATTGATTTTTTAGTATAATAGATTGTTGTTGCGTTTGGATTTGAATTTGGGAGGAAGTGTATTGAAACTTGTTGAGGATCTGTAGATAACCGAATCGAAAGGGAAATCCAGGACGCTCAATTTATACTGAATCTCAAAGGGTGAATCAGATATGACAACACTGCTAACAGAAGGGACTTCGGGTTGTAGATATGCCCAGTCATGGAGTACCTTGACATAACGAAGCCCGATTGCCGTTGATCTCGCGCAGGATTGACAGAAATCGTATAACTCGACTCGCGAGAAGTCAAACATTCGAGATCCGCGGCAAGGCGGGACAGCAGAGACTCACGAAGTCGGAATAACTGAGGTGCACCACACTGCAGTAGAGGAATGACCAGAAGCTAGCTGTGAAAGTTCGAATGGGTGACAAGCCCGAGGTGACTGCGATGGAAGCCATCATTGGATATGAGGAGTCAGAGCGCCGTCTGAAATTCGTTCCGAGGCTTGTCTGCCGATGGTGAATTGAACAACAAGCACGATAAAGATTCGGTCGATGATTCAATGCTTTTATTCTTGATTGCTCTCTACAAACTTTTCGATCTGGCCAAAGTAGCTTTCCCCGCCCTCGAGTCATTAGGACGACCAAGTTCCGCTGTGATCCACTTGCCGATTTCAGCCATCTTGGGCATGTCGATGCCCGTCTCGCATCCAAGACTGTGGAATAAATGAACTAGATCTTCGGTTGCCACATTGCCGGTCGCCCCAGGGCTGTAAGGGCAACCACCTAAGCCTCCCACAGAACTATCAAAGACGCGAACGCCGTGCTCAAGACCAACGACGGTGTTGACGAGAGCCATGCCGTAAGTGTCATGAAAATGTAGTGCAAGATCTTCCTCAAGAATTCCAGCCTCTTTTAGAGTCTGAAGGAGCTTTCGAGTTCGAGGTGCTGTGCCCATTCCTGTTGTGTCTGCGACCGAGACTTCATCACAACCCATTTCTAGTAGCGTGGCGGTGATTTCTGCGACCTTGTGTGGATCTGTATCTGGTCCTTCGTATGGGCAACCTAGTGCTACAGAGACATAGCCACGGACGCGAATATTGTGTTTCTTGGCCAGTTCCATTATAGGTTTGGAACGTTCCAAGGACTCTGCAATGCTGCAGTTTGTGTTCTTTTGAGAGAATGCCTCGGTTGCCGCAGCAAATAGTGATATCTCGGTGGAGTTGGCTGCTGAAGAGATTTGATCAGCATTGGTGGCCGAGGAGTCACCTGGGCCAGGGGAAGGAGGAGGAGTTGGCTCAGAGGTCGGGTTCTGGGCATGGTTTGCCTGGAATATCTTAACGAGGTTGTCTAGACCTCTGATGTTTGGGACCAGATAATTATATGCGATTCCGTGTGGCGCAGAAGGCGGTTTTGTGATTAAAGTCTCCAGAATTTCTGATGTAGACGCCATCTGCACACATCAGTCCAGGTGCTTGACCATGTTGGGGGATTCAATCCTCACCTGGGGAACCCATTTCGCCGGGACAAAGGACCCAGCCTCCAGGTGAGTGATACCTGTACCTGCGAGTCTGCGAATGAGCTCAAGCTTGGTTTCTAGTGGAATCGCTTTCTTTTCATTCTGTAGCCCATCTCTTGGTCCAACCTCGACTATTCTTACGTGATCGGCGGCGCATTGCCTTGTTGAACTGAAACTGCGAACGAACCTCCGTAGGCAAGGTGCGAGGCGCGTCGTGGCTTTGTGCATTGTTGACTAGATCTGATTTTGGGGTGCCTGATCAGTTTATGCTGCTGCAGATTGCATGCTGATAGAAGTAGATGGCGCAGACTGCCGTGGAGGATTGATCTGCCAGTGGGTAGAGATTGAAGGGTGAACTTGAAGTTGAATGAACCTCCGATTTCGGTTAATCACGGCACGGCCAACATGGACGGAGCCAGCTTCAAAGTGGCGTGCGGGGAAGGGGGAAAGCATGACCATCTCCAGGTTGGCAAGGCTGAGCAAGGCTGAAGACATTGAGGAATTGAGTGAAGAGGAATTGGTATTACATCTATCTACCTGACAGTACAGTTCTAAACCTACGGAGAATCATGCTTTGAGCTTGAATTGACCTTTGTCGACGGCGTCCAATCCGCGAACCCCAATGACACAGATACTGGACAGCATCAATAGTGCAAAATCGTACCAGATCAGCGTGATATATGCCTGTGGCCCAGTACCATCCGTGACCAGCACACCGCCGACCGGTGAACCCCAAAGGGCTCCAAGACCTCGTATGAAGTAGATGAATCCACTCACAGATGCATATGCTTGGGGCCCAAACACCTCAATCACAGTAGTGGGAAATAAAGAATTATAACCTAGGTCAGTGAGTGTCAGTGGCAGGAATTGATTAGGGAGCGAGGATACTCACCTCCTGCAAATACGCCATACGTTATCACAAACGTAATCCATAGAGCCATGTCATCTGCATGAGCACTAGACAACCAGAATGCGACTACCGTGATCGCACTTCCAAGAACACTGAGGACCAGGGTATTCTGCCTACCAAAACTATCGGCAACAAAACCCATACCGATACGACTTACCGTGTTGACAGCATTGTTGAGAGCAAGAAGTGCTGCGCCACTATTGAGTCACCCCAAGTCAGCATAAAATTTCTTATATGTGGGGATAGAACTTACAATGCAGCGGTGTATCCCAGTCTCGTACTAAACTCGGGCAAAAAGGTCAATGGCACAAAGTTACCCGCAGCCTGCGCCATCGCCGCAACAGCTTGCAGGATAAAAGTGCCTCGTTTGGCCAACTTGGCGTCCACGAGGGTTGGTCTCTTTGTCAGACTTCGAGACGGTGGTGTAGACAATGCTACTGGGATCGAAATTCCGAAATTGACCAGTCCGAAGATTCGAAGTGTCCAGGCCGCTCCAAACTTTGACAGCAGTGCGCGTGCTGCAGGTGCATATGCAAGTCCACCGAGACCAGCCGCTGACAGAATGATGCCCATTGCTGAGCCCCGATGTGCATCGAAGTATTCTGGGGCGACAGATACGACTGGGAAATACAGCAAAGACGTCCCGACTCCATAGATGAAGCCTTGTGTCAAGAGCAATTGCCAGATCTGTGGTCTTGAGTCAGCCTGCCGGCGATGGTAATCAAATAGTCCGCACATACACGATTGCAAAAGCTAGCAAGAACATAGCCCAGTCCCACCAAGATAGCTCCCGCTCCAGTGATATACCTCGGATCTTTAGTCCGCGCCATGATGGGGTTGACGAAGATGCTGCCACCCCAGGTCAGACCAGCGGCCAGGGTCCCGACAAAGGCGACCATGGCTTTATTCGTGACCTCGCTTTTGGGCAGGAATGGGTCTTTATCGCTACTAGCCATGGAAAGATAGTGGTTCAGAAACACACCATACGCCTGGTTGAGGCCGATAGTGACGAAGACATCGAAAAAGGCGCACAGCAGAATACTGGTTTGCTTCTTCCTCGAAACCGGCCTCATTGCTACCTGAGCATCGGAGGGAGTGATTATACGCTCGAGAGCGCTCAAATCGTCACCATCGTCGTTGCTGCCTCCGACTAGTTCCATGGACTGTCCTGGTCTGGTCGTCTCGATGGTCGTCTCTGAGCCATTCGAATGCGCAGCCCTGATGTGGGCAGATCTCGGTTGCCTCACAGACATGTTGGTGTGCTGTAGATTTCAAAAGAAAGGACCGAAGAAACGCGAGCTTTGACGGTGACTCAAATGTAACCTACCTGGTGTACCAAGGCGTCAAAACGGAGAATATCGGCGTTTCCTTTATACCCCATGATGATCGTTTACGGAACCAGACGACTGACGCGGAATGAGGTAATTTGTTACTCTTAAGATTTGAGGCTTTTGAATTGTGACTGGCCGACTCCTGCCGCAGATTTACTACTCGGCGACTCTTTTGGCCGATTTCGCAATTAAATAAGTGCCCGACTGTTGCTTTGTCCAAAACTCTCACAACTTTGAAAGATGTTATTTATTTTCAAGACCCGGAGCTCGTTGTCTACAAGTGTGGAAGACAAGCAGTGAGATTCGCTGACCTTGCATCAGCACGGTTAAGACAGCGAGATTAACAGCAAGGTAGAAAGGAAGGCTGGGCAGATCAGCTTTGTTGTTAACTGGATGAGACGAAGAAGGTGAAAGCAAGGTGCACTTGATGCTGACTAATGCTCAATCTTCTCATTCGCTTCAAAAGAAGTAGCCCTCTTCTTTATCCTCCTTTCCCTCATACTCCTCCTCGTCTTCTCCAGCTATTTCCTCATCAAATTCATCTTCACCTTCTCCATCAAGTGCCTCATCAATCTCTCCACCTAACTCCGCACCCGATCCTTCCTGGTCGTGCACGAGATCAGCCTGAGCACCTCGGTTGTCCGTCCAGTCGTAGTCCGGGTGAGTTCGTAGTGTATGAGCTGCATGCAAATCAACCCAACGATCGCGGAGTTCTCTTGCCTCTTTCGCGAGGTGCTCCAGCTCCCAGTACTCCTCACGAACCAGGTGCCAGCGCATCTCCCAGAACTTGCCGACGCCTTGTGACTCGGTACCATGACGAAGGAACATTTCAGCGTCAACTTCTTCATAAGCCTTCTCCAATGAGGTGTTGATGATGATCTTCTCCTTGTGTTGATGATGATCTTCTCCTTGTGGTGAAGATAGCGTCTTAATGCCACGTACCAGGTTGCGATCACCATGTTGTCCTCATTGCCTCCTGTAAGGCGATTGACTTCGTGAGTTATAGCAGACCAGCCCCTATCGCTGTTCTCCCACCGGTCGAACATGACTCTGTCAGCTAAGGACATTTCGGCAAAAGATTCGGGGATCGGGCGACCAATGCCAGGTTGCAAATGCGGTGGAGTGGGTGATCTGGACGTTCCCGATGTCTTTGGGCGCTTGACCCCTTGCTGGCCCCTACGATGGAAAGTTATTGCGCAAGATTAGAGAAAAAGAGCATTGGATTGCTTACTCATCTTGACTATCCTCCTCTTCTTCGTAGTCGCGACTCATGAGGTACTCGAATTCCCTCCTTCTCTTCCTGCGCTGCCTGCCAGCTTGAACTATGGCGTCTCGATCATTGCCACCATCATCAGAGAGGTCCTCGTCGCCGTAAATGACGACGTCCTCGTACGTGATAACACCTTCGTCTGAGTCCCCATCTGGGTCATACTCAGAGAGCTCCTCGTTAACATCCCCCGAGCTGTGCTGAGCGGTTGCTCCCTGGACGTCACCGGCGTCCTCATCTTCCCTGACGGCAACTGTCGCAGCTCGATGGAGAGGGGGCTGTTCACCACCATAAAGATCCTCATCGTCCTCCAAGGCGGCTGGTTGGAACTGACCACCAGATGGTCCTTGACTCGGGATGGAGGGCTCCTCAATGTCATTGTCTTGTTCTTGATTGTCGACATTGGGCTCTCGTGATGATTCAGAATTGGATGTCGGAGGTCGAGTCTCCACAGTGGCTGGCTCGATTTCGCCAGTAAACAGGGAATCATCGTCTGACCCAGAGGGCTGGTGGAAGGAAGGAGAGGTAGATCGGTTGGGAGCAGGTGCTTGTCTTTCAGCACGCTGATTGGAGTTGGAGAGGAGACCTGTGACCTGGTCGCTGGTGAGGTTGGCGAGCTGTTGAGCTCGAAGATCGGCAAGTGAGATCCCTCGCTGTCGAGGATCAACAGCAGGGGCGCGAGCCGGCGGGTAAGTGTTCTGGCCAGGAACTTCAGGGGCCGGGCGTATGGGGTTGGTGAGGTTTAGTGTTGAGGGCCTCCTCGCGTTGCCAAATCTTGCCGGGTCGAACAAGGTTGGCCGCTTGCGTGGAGGCTGTCCACCGCTGCCGCTTGGGCTTGCCATTGCCGAGAGCTTGATTGAAAAGGGGGATTGCAATGTTGTCTTGGTTCTCGGTAGTTTGTCTCAGAATCTTCTGCTGTAAGCACGGAGAAAGAGGGAGAGAGACAAAGAAGGAGAAGTTGGATGGAGCTGGGAATATAAAGTGCCATCATCTTTTACAGTCACAGGAAGTGACAGACTTCTTCACTTCTGGCCGTCACCAGGCGCCCTTCACACACAACAATAGTGAATCTGCTTCCCCCCGTTGACAATGGCAAGCCAAGGCATGTATGATATATACATTTTTTGGGCTTTGGACAACTTTTCTCATTCGAACCTACCAGCAGAAGAGCTTCGATATATATGCGAAAGACTGCCTGAGTCACTGTTTGTCAATATTTTCGGACTTTGAGTACGTTTGATATGATGTGGACTCTACAACAACTTTTCAAGCTTGTGGCCAAACAGCAGGAGAGGATGTTGCTGAATCTTGCCTTATTATGGATATTGTTCAATCAAGACACTGCTCATCAAGATTACCTGTTGTTCGTCACAAAGGGATAGTTACATCCATGCACTGCTTTCCTATCGGCCTTAATCGCTTACTGAAGTCCACGGATTTTGTAGAAGCTGAAAATGAGGAGTGTGGACATAGCTCGCTTCCTCACTGTATGCAATACCCATGACAATCAATCCACCCCGTTGTATCCTCCTCTTGTTTGGATGCAACCTATGTGGATAGAGGGCAGCGCAAGGCGACGGCATGATCGTATGTCAAACAGCACGTGAGGTGGAGAATAGTGCAAACTAGAGCAGCAAGTGAAAGCACACCATGTCGCCGCAACCAGTTGGGTAATGACAGTGGCCAGTGGCCAGGCTACCACATTCATTCGACTGTCTAGATCAAGTGGCAACCACATGGTTTGCTCATGAGGTTGAAGATCCAGATATGCGATGTCGATGCCAAGGCGCTTGCTGAGATCGGGTGACGCTAGCGACGCTAGTCACACTAGCCGTCTGCACGTGATGTCCAATCATGTGAACGGTGCCTGGAAGGCAAGAGCGGGCAGTGCTGGGCCAAAACCCGCGCCGTTTCTCTGCTTCTCCTGTTGCTTCGCCCGACATTCGTGACTACGCCCTGTTTTTGTACGAACATCTTGGGAGTCAGCCTGACTTCCCCCATGTTCATGTCCATAAGTCGTCTCACTATCTTGCTACCGTGTCAGTAATTGTATTCTGTTTCTTCGCACACTCACCGACAGTCGCTCAACCTGTCAAACCACGCTGTCGGCCACTACACTAGCTAGACAGAAACGGGAGAGGACAAGGAGCCCGAGTGCCTAGACGAGTCTCTAACTAGTGCGATTCCCTCCGCATAGCCACAACGGCTCCTCAGATTCAGGCCATTCCGACCAGACTCATCTCATGTGTGAGGTTAATCAATCCATTTAACCTTAAGACTACCTCACAGCCTTCTCGGAGTCATCTTCGTGTGACTCCATCTTTGGTCACCACCCACGACCATGCTTTTATACATCAATCTATGCTCCAAAGAAAGGGAATTCAAATCATGATATTCGACAAACTTTTCCCTAAGCCGGCAAACACAATGCGTCCGCAGACGACCTTACTGGAAACCATTCATCGTGGTTATTTCTTCAGCACCGATGAGGGCATTCTCCTGGCCCAAATCAAGACATTTTTCGCTCCGGAACTGGCACGCCTGAGAAATGCGGTCGCTGTCGAGGGCAACGAAGAACAACGTAAATCAAACGGCACCGTAGATTCCCCCAGTCCATCTCAAATGCTCTATGGCAGCAACTATGATGAGATCAATCGAACTCTTCTCGGCATTCTTGCTCTGCGGTGGATCCACAACAACGACTATGCACGATTTACAACGGGTCAGATAGCAGAATACCGATTAACCGAGGATTCTTTCCAAGCCCTGCGTAAGCTCTTCACGGATAACATACGGACGCCAGATGATCTTTTCACTTTGGTTCTCTCCATGATAATAAACGACCTGGGCAAGGATCCTAACCTCAAGCACGACTATACCAATCTTACCCACAAAGAAATCTCAGACCAGAACCACGATTCCATATTACTTGAAGCTGCAAATGCAGATATGATTCCTTGTCTACGATACCTTGATGAGGAACATCGAGCCGAAGTCATGAAAGGCCTGGAGTTGGGATCGGAACTGAATGCAGGTCAGCTAGCTCAAGCCGAGAGTGTACCTTTCAATCTGGAAGGGTTGTACAATATGCGTGGTCATCAACATGCATTTGAACTCAAATTTCTGGAACAAGTCTTGGATGTTGCTGGGGCTTCTGGACATCTATACTCCAAGGGTTCCAAGAATTTTATTGAACCTGTCTATCAAGCTTTCAAAACAGTTCATGAAGTGTCTCTTGACATTATCGAAGGTAAATCGACACTGCGACAGGGCTATGACAAAGTGCTCACAAAGCGCGGGAATATGCTTTACGGAAAGGGTTTCCGTAGATTGAGTGTTAGTAACGATGAAGAAAGAGCCTTACTGCGGTTACTGACAATGGGGCGCACGGCGGATATCGAACAGGCAAAACTGTTTTCCAATGCGTTTCATGCTTTGGACAAGTCAGACAAAGATAAATTAATTGCCGGACTAAATGTCGATGGCAATGTCAACGAAACTGCAGTGCTACCATACTATATGCCTGCAATATTGTCCAAAACCTTGGAGACGACAAAAGATTCTGGTGAAGAAGGTCGGCGGAAAGCTCTAACCAGCTTAATGCGGTATCTTGCGAAGGTTCTGGAAAAGGGCGCCAGTCATGGTTTGCAAGTGGTGCCTGAAGATGTTGGCTTTAATCTTGGTGGAGAAGTTCCTGGTATCATTATCGAGAGGAACATGTCCAAAGCCCAAGAAGTCATAAGCAGTCCAGCATTCAAGCTGAATCCAGATTTGCTTGATCAGTTGGACATTCCAGATGGACAGGTGTTGGTGCGTCGCCGGACAAGTCAGTCTATGTGAAAGGCGTCTTAGCCACCGCATCAATTCGCCCCAGCAAGGAGAAAGAAATCCTCTATTGGAGCTTGTGATATTACTCAACGATTGGAGTAGTGCTATAACGTCCTTACACCATCCAGCAGCCTGTGATGTGCAGGCGTAGTCCATTGTGTGGGTGGATTCGGGAGGTCCTCCTAACAAGGTTTGGCAGCCTTGCAGAAGTGGATGGCCTTCATGGTCTTTCACAATAGCAGCACGCGCCGAGGACGCCGAGCCCCTATGAGGACATCAAATATACTTTGAGGTTGCCTTTTCTATTCAAAGAGTTTTCATAAGACGCTCAGGCTTGATGTGAAATGAATAGATTTAAGAAATCCTACAATCCTCCAATCTTTCCAGCAAGTCAAGCACCACTCAACCCGAATCACACTCCTCTCCCCAACACCCTCCCAGGCTTGAGTTCGCCGAATCGAGTTCGTACTGCAAACAAGCATCCTTGCGACCTCAAAATGCCGCTCGTCGTTCGTTTCATGGGTAGGGGAAACCTGACCACCCAAAACACGACCATGACACTTCAGAACCCCCAGCTAGACATGACGAGCAAACCACTTCTCTCCCTCCCGAAAACCTGGCGCCCCATTTCTATCCAACACATACACCGCGTCCGCGACATGGTCTCCTCTCTGACCGGGAACTCCACTCTTCCGATACGCAAAAACACGGGGCCCAAACCGTTGGCCAGCAGCAACAGCACCATGCCCAGTGACAACAACCCTGGTACCATGCAACACATCAGCGACCTTGCCATCCCCTTCTTCACGGTCCTCCTGATGCTGCTCTTTATCACCGCGCTCGTGGGCCTCGCTCTCAAAGCTCCCGACTGGACCAACATCCACAACCACACGCGCAATGCAATGCCCGTCCTCACGATCCGCGACTGTCCCCGCCGTCGCAGCAGCCACCGCCCCAACAGCACGCGCAGCTCCTCCATGGTGAGCACCAGCCGGGGATCCACAGGCCGACACCACCGCTTCGGCCACGACGTTGACATCGAGGCCGCCCGTGCAATGGCGAGAGTGAGGGAACTGACACACGACGACAACGGGAGCTATGCCAGCGATGATCATGATGCCGATGCCGATGTCCCAATGGCCAGGGATTCGTTGGTGCCGGTGCCGAATTACGGGGGGATGGATCGTCCTGGTCAGGAATTCTGGAGACATGTCGGATGGGATGGCATGGCGTACTAATTGACCAAGTACGGGATCAGGCTGGATGAGACTGGCACTTGAGATGCTATCGTCGAATGACTATGCAGATGGCGACTCTCCACACCGCACCTCGTTGAAATTGTTGGTCCACGGGGCGTTACAGCGGTTGATCCGAAGAAAAACGTGTCCGGGAGCGACGGGGTTTGACTCTGTCGATGATATGTTAGCGACTCGGGGTACAGTCAAATATGTGCTAAAGAGCTGGGATGAAGGGCCTTAACTATGGAAATTTACAATTCTGTGCTTGTTTTACTTGCCTACCCTGGGCTTAGCTAGCTATCTGCCATGGCAGACAATTAAAATATCATTTACTGAGTGAGACCTTCGGAATATTTTTCAAGAGTTTGTCTATTTCCATTTTGTCTATGTATATATTAGTTTAACATGTTTGTTTTGTCATTTCGTCATTTGCTGGGGCATTCTTATATACACTGTCTACCTCCATTCACGTGGCATGTGTTTACTCTACCCTTGAGAGACTGGGATATATTACAATATTGAAGTGCTGGTGTTACAACCTCTGCTCAATGGTCCGACACGCACAACACAACACAACCCCGAGAGAGGCAGAACCATCTACACGACCTCATTGTTCTTCGCTTTTGTCTTGGCCTTCCCACTCCCGGAGAACAGGTCCCGCCAAAAATCCTTGAAGCCGTAGCCTTTCCCCTGACCCTCGTCGCGTATGACGCCCTCATGACCACGATATTTCTCATTCCCAAAACGGTCGAGAATCCCGCCCTCCTTGTGCGGCGCAATGGCGATCTTGACGACCGGTTTGCGACTGCGCTCGGTGATGGCGTCGGGCAGCGAGGGGGCCACTTCGGCGAAGCAGCGGTTCAGTTCTCTCGTCAGCGAGTAGTACGGTTTCTGAGCGATCTTGGGCGCCATGAGGTTGTAGGACCGCGCGAGGTTGTTGATCTCACTGATGGCGAGCGTGTGGTATGCGTGTTCTATCGCTTCCCATGAAGGGTCGCGGAAGGGGTAGGGCATCGGGAGGACGGTGGCTGGAGCGGGAGGAGATGATGCCGGAGTCGAATCTGTGGTCCTAGTAGGGGCTTGAGCAACGTTGTCAGTTGCAGCGGTCTCTGCGAGGTCTTCGGTCACTGTAATTTGAATTTGTTCATTGGGTGCCGATGGTGGCTGCTCTGCTGGTGACGGTGACTCCGAAGCCACACCGACGGCAATCCTCTCTTCGACCGTGACGGTCATCAGACTCCCATCGGTCGAAATCGAGCTCAGAGCCTCTGATTTCTTGGCTCTTGGGTTGACTTGTTCTTCTGCTAGAGCATATCCCTGTGCCCTGCGTACCTGCTCCGCAACACTCCCACCGGTACTTGCAATTGACCTGGCAGCATGCCGGCGCCAATCATTTCTTAAACGCCCGCGAAAGGTAGCCACCATCTTGACCAATTCCTGCTGTTTCTCGATCCATGGTGGTACGATATCCTGCTTCTGAATGATCTTATTCATGAAATACTCGGTCGTGTCGAGAAACGGACTGTTGGCATTATAGTCTCTTTCCACATTCTTGCCCTTGCCCCGAGGGATGTTCTTGAATTGACCTCTTGCAATGGCATCCTCGATCCTCTCGTTAGCAAGACTGGTGAGGCCCTGTAAAGTCGTCGGCATCGGGCGTGCACCGGGTGTGAAACGTTCCTTCAATTCCTTCCGCCACTTCTCTCGCTCTTTCTCGGCCATATCATTCTGTTGACTGAATGCATATATGCTGGTCTTGTCCCGTGCGCTGGCTAGGCGATTGGCAGGTGAGAGGGTTTTCTTGGGTGCAGGCCGAAGGTTCTTCTGAGGAATAACGGGCGGGTTGTAGGGAGATCGCAGTTTCTTGTGGCTATCGTCCAGCATACGGAGGGCGGAATCGTGAAGAGTCTCGGTACCACTCCATGCCTGAGCACTTGCAATGTCTCGAGTGCCCTTGCCTGCAGAGCTCTAGATTATCGTCGCATTAGTAAGGTGAACAGAGGGTATATCGATGAAGTAACGTACCGGCATGGAGACCTGACTGGCAGCCTGTTGGTTCTGGGCTGCAAAGGCTGTCTGCGCTATCCTTTCCTCGAGTTGTTTCTTCAACTCGTCCGAGAAGCCCACGTCTTGCATCAGCTTGCGGTCACTCTTACTCCCAGTATCCATGGTCTCTTCCACCATCTCGGCCAGTCGGCGCGACATGGCTCCCTCTTGCTCCGTCTGCCGTGTGACATTTTCTATTTTGCTAGGTTCGGCCGGTGTAGGTGACTTGTCGTTGTCTTGTCTGTTGGCAGGGACAACACTGAACGCGCGTGATCCCCTAGTCCTGCCGAGTCTCGAATGCCCATGGGCGGTGGCAAGTGAACCCCGCACGCTGTGAGCCCGGTTGGCATTGCGCTCAATGGCTTGGAGACAGCGGGTGCAAGTCCAGAGCTTCGACGAGATCTGGCTCATCGTCTAGCGATCTCACCAGGAGGGAGGAAGAACAGATGGCAGACATGAAGATTGGAAATGCACAAAGCCTGAAAAAGATGTTCACTTTCGATGTATCTGGCCCGCCGAATCCTGGTCTGCTGTCTGCGGGTCAAGGTGGCGATTGCGGCGAGATCTGACTCCGTCCAATGATGCTGCTCGCTTCATATCGACATTACATTGGCCGTTGAGTGTTGGAGACAGGAGCCAAGTTAGAGGATAGGAGGAATTTGAATAGATTATATATATGCAACCTCCTTCTAAGTACATTTCGATACGGCCATGACGACTTGCTGATGGTCGTCAATTCGTCCAGGAGTTCCCCATAATGTCAATATCGTAGCTCGGACCAAATTCACCCTGTTGTTGGATCGAGGTCGGAGGATTCCCACCCAGCAGGGACTGATTGACAAAACCATTACCACCCTTTGCTCCCTGTCCAAAAGGACCCATATATGCATCAGACAGCATGAGCCGATCTGGATCATTGCAGAATGCTTCAAATGTCGTGTCGTCTGAAAATCCAAAGTCTTTTAATGCTTGAGTTCGATCGAGTGACCACTGGGTAGTATCGAGTTCAGCCATTTCATGAAACAATGCATCGATCTCATCTCCATTAAAGCTAGGAGACGTGGCCATTCCGCCCGTCGAGCTAGCTCTCTGACTCAAAGCGGGTCCAAGCAAAGGTCGATTACTTGGTTCAGATATATCCATGTTTATCGAACTGAAGTCCATTGGCACCTGATTGAATGGCGGGCGGGCTCCAAATGAATCTGCCAGAGGGACATGATGATCCACTCGATTTGCATACCTGCCCACTGTGTTTGGGTTCACACCAGGGGTGCTGATATCATTATCAAACAAGGATGCCTGGGAGGGCCATACCTCTGCTTGGCCTGGTTGCGACACATAGTTGGTACCACTTCGAGGATCATACCGCAGGACGGATTGGTTGTCCGGATGCGGTAGTGACCTCGGATCAGACATGATTGATAGACTGAACATGTAAGAGTTGCTAGCGTTCTTGAAATCAGGCCATGTCTTGGATAATTTCAGCATCACATGGTAGAGTCTGCCGCAGAGAGCTCCTTTAGTGTGAGCCGTGGGATCTTCTGTGGAATCTTGAATTTTTGAGCCCACCAGATAACAGAGAGTGGAAAGAAGAGACGGAATGCCACATTGTTCAGGTTGACCCCACGTGTTGTCAAAATGTTCCAGCGTTTCCAGAAATCGCCAGCGGGGAATCGTCTGCGACTCATGGGTAGCATGACAGATTTTGACGAGTATAGCAAAGTAGGTTGCCTGCAAGAGCATTTGATGAGGAGGCCTCTGCTCCACCGTCATGATCGGAAAAGTGAACTGCTGGGCCACATGGTGGGCTTCCATCACTGCCTGATCTGTCACTGGCTGGGGTTGCTGTTGTAGACAGGCGAAGTTGACAATCATACAAAGATCTGTCAGTCTATTGAAACAACTGATTGTAAAGGCGGGTTCACGAGACTGGGTGGCTTCATTTCCTCCTGGTTGCCATGGTTCCCATTCTTCGTGTCCGTCTGCATCAAGAAAGTTGGCACGCTTCAGATGACCACTTTGCAGATGAGGGGGTCTCTCCAATCGAACTGCAATCAAGGTATCTAGGACGAAACAGCCTTGCAACGTTGCAAGCCAGACTTTTCCTGGACTCTCCAATGACTCAATCCTGTCTAACACCATTCGAACTGCGAGACCAATCAACAACCAAGCAGAAGTCCAACTCCCTGTGCCCATATCAAGAAGTACTATGAGAAGAATGGCTTGAATGTGTCCAGACTCGAGGTTTTCTGTCTCTGTCGGTATCAGCGATCGGGCTGTTCGGCGCATTTGCTGGATGGTGGCATCCATATCCTGATTGAGCACCTCACTGGCACTAGAACGTGATACTTGCTGCTGCGAATAAGCACAAATTGCCCACAGAAGTGCCAGATCGGCCGATTTCGGTTGCGTTGACCGGGATGACCTCCTGTATTCGTAAAGTTTCCTCAGTGTGTTTGGTCGGTTCAGAATGGGGAACCAACAGTGAGTATATTTGAAATAGTGATTGAGTAAATTTGGTGCAGATTCTGGAAGATCTACCTCAAGAGCGGCCGATGGTTCTTCCGCTTGAGAGACCGTCGATTGATGTGATGGACTCGGTCTGAGACTGGTCACTTGATATTGTGCTGAGAGTTGATCAGGTTCAGCACGAGGTTCGGTCTGGGAATGTTGGGTATGGCCATTGTCAGCGGCATCCCGTTTCCTTTTGAGGTCACTTGAAGATGTTTGATCCAGTTGGGATAGGACTTTTTCAAGCGCAGCCAGTATCTTAGACTCCTTCCATCCCAGGTGCAAGTCATCACCATGGCGTTGATGGTTCCAGAGGTGTAACAGCTCTTCTTGGTTGTCATTCATGATCCTTTCCACGGTGTCATCCAAGCCCTGGATTTTCTGGATCATGACGGCCCATAGCTTTTCCATTCCTCGGACATAGCCTTCTGGAAGGCCCCTCTTTTTGCTTGCTGGCAGATAAAGGCAAGTTTGCCCTGCTCCTGCGCAGTTGTGGCATTGTGGTTGCTGGCCATCGCATTTGTCTTTCTAGACAGAGGATCAGTACTGGCATGGGACAGGAGAACAATGTCTCACTCACCCTACTGCGACACCTAGCGCATGCTCGCGAGACGCGGGCTCTGGTTCGTCTTGCGGGATCCTCCTCATTGTCGCTTGCTCCAGTGGCTGTATGCTCGAGGTCATTTCTAGCTGTAGCCATTACAGTAAGAACGAGCAGTTGTGCCCATCTTCGTTGGTCTGGTGGCTCGTCGATCTCGAGCACATGTGACTTGAGTTGCTAGCAACGACGTACATTATTGTTTTTGAGGAAGGTTGAGACAGATCTGGGTCAAGCTTGAACCTTCAGAACGACGTGGTTGGCAGGTGGTGGGCGGAAACCTTCGGATGATGCACCTCCAGCTGCAGGGAAGCTCACCTGGGCGCGGCGCCTAGCACAATGACCAGGGGGGCCCATCGGGCTTCAATTGCCCTAAGAACGTTGGACCTGGGCACCTCGAGCAATGCATGTGTCCCCCACGGTTCGCCTAAAATCCAGGGACATCCCGCCCCGACCTTACCCCAGGTTTGTCCAGGAGCCAGTTGGACTTTGCAGGCGTCCATCCACGTCCGAGTAATTCCACGATTCGACACCAAGACGACTCATCCGTTGTGGCTCTTTCGTTCTCGTGGCGATGGTAATTGAATTCGATCTCATTATCCAAAGGGTCCCCGTCGCACATAGTCCTCACTTGGTATCAGCAGCTCGTCAAATGGCGATTGTGGGACTTTCAGAGCCTTAGAAAGCTGTAGGAGACCACACATCATGAATCGACCGAATGGAAATGGTCTGGGTTCCAGACAGCTGACCCCGTTTGCCTCCGCCACTGCTTCTCCTCGTCTGATGAACAATTCGGCCCTTGAGCATCTCATTGCCTCTGACAGCCAGAATGGCATTGGGTCACCTTTAGCACAGGATTCTTCGGCGGTTGCGATAACGGCACTTCCGACCAGCACTGGCCGTGTCTTTCATCCAGAGGCGTCTTTGGTTTTGATAGGAATTCGAGCATCCGGGAAACGATCTCTAGGCTTCATCGCTGCTACTGCACTGAACAGGAGGTTCGTGACTGAGGATCACTATTTTCAGAGCATCAATGGCTTGTCCAGACAAGACTACCTGAAGACCCACGGCAGCGAGCAGTTCCACAAGCAAGACATTGAATCTTCCCGACAGATGTTAGAAGACAACAGGTATGGCTGTGTGATCGATTGTGGCCTGGGAAGTTTGACCAGCAGCCTACAAGAATATCTCAAGCAGTATTGCGAGACAAATCCGGTGGTCTTTGTCGTTAGAGACATCTTGAGAGTCAAGTCCCTTCTGAATTTGTCTGACCGATCTGCCAAACTTCTTGATCATGGGAATGCCACTCATAGAAAATGCTCAAATTTCGAATTCTTCAATCTAGAGGACGATTCGACAACAGGTTCCACTGACTCTGACAACGCTGATCGGGCTTCACCAAATTATTCTTTCAGACTCAGAAATGTCCAGGCAGACTTTTCTCGCTTCGTTCGATTCGTCACTGGGAGCGTCGCTGCTCAGCCAGTCCTTCAGTCGCCCTTTTCACTCGATGTTCCAATTGAACACAGATCTTATACCCACTTACTCCGTGTGCGGCTCTCGGATTTCGCTAACAAACAAGTTGATTTCACCCAACTCGAATCTGCTGGAGATGTTGTCGGCATCTATGTCGATCAGTGGCACTCGACCACCATCAGAGCACTGGGTGAAATCGTGGCTCAAGCACGCAGGACACTCCAGGTTCCAATCTTGATATCGGTCAGTTTGGAGATATCTTCATCCGCAAACGTCGAGACCTACCTGGGAGTTTTGACACATGGCTTGAGACTGGGTGTTGAGTATATGATTGTCGATCTCAACCTTGATGACGAGCAACTTGAGCGTATCAAGGCAATAAAAGGGCACACGAAGCTTATCGGGAGTTATGCCAACACAATCCCAAACAAGGCAAGTTGGAAGGACACCAAATGGAAAACCATGTACCACAGAGCAACCAACCTTGGATTTGATCTTGTCCGGCTTTTGAACACTCCAGCCTCGCGAGCTGATAACGATGCTCTAACATGGTTCATGCAAGAATTGAAAGACCTACCCATCTACTCACGAGCCCCGATAGCATACAATGCAGGCTTGATGGGACGAACCTCCCAAATAATGAATCCTATCTTGACACTTGTGACCCACCCTTCACTGCCCACTATTGAAACAAAACATCCCAACGACTTCCAACCGCTTTTGAGCTCTCAACAGATCATCAAAGCATTGTTCGATAGCTTCACATTCGATCCCCTCAAATTCTACATTGTCGGAGGGAACGTTTCAGGCTCATTATCTCCCGCCATGCATAACTCTGCCTACAAACTACTCGGACTGCAGCACAACTACAGCACGAAGAACATTACCTCCTGGGTAGACATTGTCGAGCTTGCTTCTGACAATTTTACGGGGGGCTTGAGTATAGTCCAGCCATATAAAGTGAAGGTTGTCCCTCAACTTGAAGCACTTAGTGGCCATGCGAATGCCATTGGCGCGGTCAATACACTGGTCCCTATTAGATCCGATTCCACGGGTACTGTTCAACCACTGGATGTACAAGCCCAAAATCGGAACCGTTCCGGACACATTGTTGGCTGGTTCGGAGACAATACAGACTTCATCGGCATTATGAGTTGCATTAACCGAAGCCTGGCCCCTCGCAATGCCATCCAGGCCAAGACAACAGGTCTCGTCATTGGGGCAGGTGGCATGGCTAGAGCAGCAGTGTACGCCATGCTACAGATGGGATGCAGGAACATCTTCGTCTACAACAGAACAGTCTCGAACACGAAGAAGGTTGTCTCACACTTCAATGATTTTGCCGGTCGATATCACACCGGAGCCACCCTTGCATTGCCCGTCAAAGTCCTTGAATCAATGTCAGATCCCTGGCCCTCGGGTTATGCTCCACCAACCATTGTGGTATCTTGTGTTACCCATGAGGTCCTTGATGGTAATCCTGGCGCAGACTTTACAATGCCTGAGACGTGGCTAGAGTCGCCCACTGGAGGGGTGGTCATTGAAATGGCTTACATGACCAAAGAGACTCCATTGATCAAACAAATGACCAGTTTCCGTGCGGAAACTCAAAGACCTTGGGTTTTGGTCGATGGGATCGAAACCTTGATTGAGCAAGCTCTCGCCCAATTTGAATCCATGACAGGTAGGAAGGCACCCAAAAGCTGCATGGCAACTGCTGTTTATGATGCAATTCATGCGAACAAATCGTATCTCGTGGATGGCGAAGAGTTTTTCACATGATCAATATTTCGCTAAGCTGTTTTCACACGGTCGTGGTTACCATCTGGCTGCCATCAAGCTGGTCCATGCCTACAACTAAAAGACTTTTCCCGAACACCCCAACGCCGGGCCTAATCCACCTACAGCCACCTCTCATTGTGGCGGTTTCTGTGAGCCCCCTACTGCCTCGCGGGCTGAGTTCTTCAGTTGGTCGTTGATTTCAATGCCGGTCCACAATACTGCTTGGGCAAATCCCTGCCCTATCATTGCCTCAATACCGCCAATTACTTGCCAACCTGCTTGATTCGCCAGTGCTGATATCTCTGTCTCGGGAGAGGGGTGGTAGCACATTTCCAAGAGTGCACCCCTGTCTCCTCTGTTTAAAAAGCTCGATAGGATGGCCCTGGCGGTCTTCTCGTTCTCGGTCCTTGGAGGAAAGTCTGGCACAGCACTCACCACAGCACCTGGAGGTTGCAATTTTTCTGCCTGTGCTGTTGAAGAGACATGAATCAAATCATCTGCCACCCCTTGTGCACGACATTCTTTCAGTACAGCTTCCACTTCCTCGGCATCTCGGTTTACAATGTAAATTGGAGAACAGCCCATAAACTTTTGTAAAGCATATATGGCAGCTCTGCAAGTTCCACCTCCACCTACAACAAGCCCTGGCTTCCCTTGATATGGCGAGCCAGAAACATTATTTATAAAAGCATCGCGGATTCCAATACAATCAGTATTTGTCCCGCAATATATTCTGGAGCCATCAGGGGCCGTTTTGAAGAAGATTGTGTTGATGGCCCCGATCACTTTTCCTTCTTCGGTAAGCTCGTCGAGATAAGGAATGACAGCAACTTTGAATGGCATGGTAACACCACTCCCCATACATTTTGGATCCTTCTTGAGATATTTTATAAACCCTTCAAGGTCCTTGGTCTCAAATAATAGCTGGGCCCAATCCTTTCCGTACGAGGAGTATATGGAGTGATGTAGAGAAGGCGATCTTGAATGGGCTATTGGGTAGCCACAGAGGTAAGCTACTCGCTCTAGCGAAGATGTGTCTGGTGCTTGGAAGTCTGACATTGTCGCGGAACAGGCGATCTCCACGATAAGCCTTTCGGTTCACTGCGTATGATTCTAACACTTTGAGGTGATGAATTTTCGTTTTTGCTATACCAATTATCACAATTATGGCTTATTGTTGAAGGTCTTTGGTATGTAAGTAGGTCGAGGCAGTAATTGCCCTTATGTTGAATAGAGTGGTATCTCCGTCTTAGACACCTGAGCTTCCAGAACGATTTGCCTCGTGGGGCTCTCCCAACTGGACGAAACACGCAATCAATTCTTGCAATCTGTTATTGCTCAGCTCATTTCCGATGCAAGAGTCAGTCAAACTTATCCGAGACTTCTCCTCAATCCCCGCCAGGTGACCTCCACAACCTTCAACCGACACCCACCTCTCGCGAAACTCAGCGGCAAAGATCTTTCCCGCCCAAACACGAAAGAGGCAAACGTCAATGAGCGAAACCTTACAGGTTCTCGGACCTGGCCATATCTCCACTGACAGAAAAAAGATGATAGCCGATCACTGCACCTTCCATTGGTCTAGAGCTCTCCATGATGGTCATTGACCTCTTGTGGGGGAAAGGGCTTTTCCTGCGGAGCTCCATCTTTGCATTCCACACACAAACCCAGTTTCCTTTTCATCCTTCTAGATCACCTTGCGATTGAGCCCCCCTCTCTTCATTACTACATATATCGGGGCCAGTCACCCCCTTCCCCAGAGATCTTCACCTCATCACAACAGAAGACTTCCAATTTCCTTACATCTTACATTCATCAATCAATTCAAGATGGGTCTCCTTAGCTTGGTCGAAGATCGCCCGACTCCCAAGTCGGTTTATAACTGGCGAGTCTACTATACCGCGGCAGTCGCCGGGTCTGCGGCTATCATGATTGGTTACGACAGTGCCTTCATCGGTGGCACGCTTGCCCTTCCAGCTTTTAGAGACGAATTCGGTTTCAACAAGCTCTCAAAAACACAAGTCAACTTCTTGACCGCCAACATTGTATCTTGCTACCAAGCCGGCGCATTCTTTGGAGCCTTCTTCGCATATGCTGCTGGACACTACTTAGGCCGACGACTTGGATTGATGGTTATGGCCGCAGTTTTCACTCTTGGAGCTGGCATGATGTTGGGTGCCAATGCTGACCGAGGACTCACTTTGTTGTACGTCGGCCGGACACTAGCCGGCATTGGTGTTGGAGGAGCATCGAACCTGAGCCCAATTTTCTGTGCCGAGATCGCACCTCCTGCAATTCGTGGACGTCTAGTTGGACTTTATGAGGTAAGCCAGAGACATACAAACTATTTCCCTGAAAGACACGATCAGAATCTAACCTGGACCGCAGATGGCGTGGCAAATCGGTGGTCTCGTCGGTTTCTGGATCAATTATGGCCTTGCTGAGACAATGGCTCCTTCTCATGAGCAATGGATCATTCCCTTCGCCGTACAACTCGTCCCTGCCGGTATGCTCTTCGCTGGAATCTTTTTCACCAAAGAATCGCCTCGATGGCTCTTTTCCAAGGGGCGTCGTGAAGAAGGAATCAAGAACCTCACTTGGTTGCGCCAACTTGACGCCAACCATGTTTATATGCAAGAAGAAATCTTCGCCATCGACAATGCAGTTGAAGATCAACGCGCAACAGTCGGCCTCGGATTCTGGCAACCATTCCGAACAGTGGTCAACGACCGTAAGACTACCTATCGCTTCCTCCTTGGTGGTTCTCTCTTCCTTTGGCAAAATGCCACAGGTATCAATGCCATCAACTACTACAGCCCTACCGTCTTCAAATCTATTGGAATTACTGGTACCAACACCTCACTCTTGACCACCGGTATCTTTGGTGTCATTAAGACCATTATCACTCTCTTCTGGCTCTTCTTCCTCATTGACAAGCTTGGCCGTCGCTTCCTCCTCATCTGGGGTGCTGTTGCAGGTTCTCTGTGCATGTGGTATATCGGTGGATATATTGCCGTTGCAAAGCCCGCGAACAACCCTACCGGTAGCCTTACTTCAGGTGGTACTTCCGCCATGGTTTTCTTCTATTTATGGACGGCTACGTACACACCCTCGTGGAACGGCACTCCTTGGGTTTTAAACTCTGAGATGTTCAACCAAAACGTAAGAGTTCTGGCGCAAGCTTTCGCTGCAGCCAACAACTGGTTCTGGAACTTCATCATCGCGAGATTCACCCCTCAGATGTTCGCAACTATGGGCTATGGTGTCTACTTTTTCTTCGCGTCTCTCATGCTTTGCGCCTCTGTGTACGTCTTCTTCCTCGTCCCAGAGACAAAAGGTGTCCCTCTCGAGGCCATGGATCGACTGTTCAGCAAGGAATATCCCGCTCGTCACGCTCACAAGCAAGTCCTCGCCAGCCTGCGCCTTGAAGATCAGGATTTCCGCCGCCACAGCGTCGCTTCTGAGAAGGGTGATATCACTGTTCAAGATGATCATGTGGAGAAGGTATAAAGGAGAAGAATAATGGATGTGGAAGCTGGGGTCGAGGAGTGGAACTGCTCATTGTGACGAGTCTTTTTGTTTTATATTAGCATGACATGCAAGTCTGAGCGTTGCAATAGTCTGTACTAGTTGATTGGTGGTGTGGTGTCACAAAATGCACATTAGACAATAAATCTAAGGATTATTCACTTCAACAACTCATTTCCACATACTCCTCCATGCGATCAGAAAGAGAGTAGTATTTGACAAACAATCACTCGCGAACGGAGGGAATGGTGTCAATGCCACGTCCGAAACGCCCCATGAACGGCAGATTGAGTTCAGATATCATTGTCCAGAGACCAACACGCAGTCCACGAGAGCGATATGGTATAGATGAAATGGATGTTCATAGGACAGTCAAGTGACCGCCAACGACGCGGACGTATTCTCAGGAGGGTGAACTGACACGGAACGAGTACTCGCACCACCGTCCCGGGGATTTCGGCCAACTTAGATTACTTAGTATCTCGGCCCCTCGATGATCTTACGCTCTCTGGCAGCACGGAATATGGAGTATTCCTCGTAAGCACGTAACCGCAAAATTCTACTGACAAGCTAGAATCTGCTCTGAACTACGTCGTAAGAGGGCTAACCCTCAGACATGGTCAGTCAGCCTTCGACCGCTGAGATCCTCGCCACGAGGCCACGCACACTAATTCTTCGGTAAGAACTCGTCCAATACCACCTTACCCCATGCTCCATACCCACGCAGTAATCAAAGTAGAATCTTGCACAATCCTGGCATCCATGTGGCCCCAACGGCACTTTCATTCCTGAATTAACGGTCCAGTAATCATAGCGCCAGCAGCCCATTGGCCATTCCGCCGCACCCTCCTTTGAGGCACAGCACTCTGGCGGGAAACACTTTACCCACCACTTCCATTCCATTTTATTTCTGTTCACATCTATCTCGTCGTCACCAAACAATTAACCCCCATTCTTTACGTCGCAGAATCAGCACTAGCATCCTCATCCTTCCACCGCCCAGCCCAGAATTCCAGCGCCGCCGTATAACCGTAGATACCCAGGCCCATGACGACGCCGACAGCCTTATCGCTGAGAAAGCTCTTATGGCGAAACGCCTCCCGCGCGTGCACGTTGCTGATGTGCACCTCGACGAACGGGATGGATGTCGCGAGCAGGGCGTCGCGGATCGCGACGCTCGTGTGCGTGTAGGCGGCGGGGTTGATGATTGCTGCTGTTCTGGCCTTCTTCGGGGTGGAAGAGGACGAGGAAGATGAGGTGCTGGTGGCGGGAGGCGTGAAATGTGAGTGCAGGAAGTCGACGATGGCCCCCTCGTGGTTGGATTGGAATGGGACGACTTCAATATTGAGACGGGAGCCGTGCGACACGAGCGACGAGGTTAATTGGGGGAGTGTCGTGCTGCCGTAGATGGAGGGCTCGCGTGTCCCGAGGAGGTTTAGATTGGGCCCGTTAATGAGTAGGATTTTGCCGATGGGTTCCGTCGAGGTTGCGGCTGGTTCTGCTCCTGTGGAGGTTGTTGGTTGTGTGCTTGACATCTTGATAAATGTCGTGGCTGATCTGGTGGTGTCGAATAACTAGTATTTCAAGTATCACACTCGGAGGGATGTCACGCGGGTGACTGATAGTTTTGTTCCGGATTCCTCAGGCATCAATTGATTTATGGATATCACTTTTTGCAGAGGACATTGATTGAAATGTTCTCAAACATAGGATATTGATATGTATGGAGAAATACCCAATCCTTCCTTGCAGAGCAGAGGCGAAAAGTGGATGGCTTTTCCCGCTTCCGATGTAGCTTCGGAAGAGGACAAATAGTGTCGAGCAGAGTGTAATCAGATCGTGGGGATATGTTCGCGCCTCCGCGTTATATTACTTCTTACTTGGGAGTCTGCTATTCTCCTCAGGTTGGCTGGAAAGATGTGAACGCCGCAATGTGCGAGAAAGATTAGTGGGAAATGATTATGCCTTCATCGCAGCCTTGCAGCACCCAAAAAACTCTCTTCGAGGAGGACATGTACTTCCCGCCAGTTAAATTCACGATATTATACTACTTTGATATCCACGGTATCGATGAATTACCAGGGCAGACCGTAGTATCACTGTCATAAATCATAATGCAGGGTGGCATATTGAGTTCAAGATCGTCTAGTTAGAACAGACAATGATGCATTCCCCCGCATCCACGTCAAGCTCGATAGATAATGACGTCCAGATAGAACAACGCCAATACCGGACACTAAAGATGGAACCGTCAATGCTTGGGCATTCGAGAATCTCCAAAGAATGATTAGGGAACAACATTAGGTACATACTACTAATTAGCAGCCGGCACATGCCAGAGGGAGGACTTGGTATCGGGAGAGTACTTCTCCGAAATTGAGTTGATCTGCAAAGGTGTGGACGGCGACTAATCCGTGAATAGCCGATGGCCGTAGCTGGTGGCCACACATCGTCTTTCGGGAGTCAACAACAACAGATTGACTTTGGAGTCGGTAACAATTCTTTGGCACAAGAGTAGATTCCTCGAACGGTATTGTGACCATGTCAGCCGCCAGACACGATGAGATCCCGGAATCGGAACTAAGCGAGATATACGCCTTTGCTATTCAGCTTGGCAAAGATGCTGGAACGATATTACTCGAGAGTCTACATGAGCGACGTCGAGATGATGTGGATGGAGAGAAGCAAGAAATTGTCGAGGAGTTGGTGATGGAAGAGAAGATGAATGCCGTTGATATTGTGACCAAAACTGATAATGGTATGTCTGGCTCTGAAGTCGTGCAACCAGCTTGTGGAGGCTGATTTGTGTCCTTGAACAGAAGTCGAGGAATTCATACACGCCTCCATCCAGAAGCGATATCCTTCACATGCATTCATCGGAGAAGAGACTTACTCCAAGGGAGCATCGAAGGATTATCTTGTCAAGAACGAACCGACCTGGATTGTTGATCCACTCGACGGGACCGTCAATTTCACGCATTCTTTCGTCATGTTCTGTGTCAGTATTGCGTTGGTAGTCAACCAGAAGCCAGTCGTTGGAGTGGTATATGCGCCGTTACTCAACCAACTATTCTCTGCCTGCAAGGGCAAAGGAGCATGGTTGAATGAAGCGACGAAACTGCCACTCCTTGGGAGTGTCGGGGTTGGACCGATCCCCAAAAATGCACCCTCGAAATGTGTCTTTTCATGTGAATGGGGCAAGGACCGTAGAGATAGACCGGATGGCAATCTCCATCGGAAAGTGGACAGTTTTCTGAACATGGCTGCTGAAGTGGGGGGCCGTGATGGGAAAGGAGGGATGGTTCATGGAGTGAGAAGTCTTGGAAGTGCCACTCTAGACCTAGCATATGTGGCCATGGGGGCATTTGATATCTGGTGGGAAGGTGGTTGTTGGGAATGGGATGTAGCTGCAGGGATTTGTTTGTTGCAAGAAGCTGGAGGCTTAATCACCACTGCCAATCCGCCAGAGGATATTCAAACGTCCAAGATTGAAGATGCCAATCTGGGCGGTCGGCTTTATCTCGCTATCAGACCTGCAAGTGGTACTCTGGAGGAGACCGGAAGACAAGGCCAGGAACGACTAGTCAGAGAAGTCTGGCGAAGGGTTCGCACATTGGATTATACCAGACCGGGGGTTAAGGCTTAGAACTGTCATTAATATATAAATATGAACGATCTATCTGGGTATATTTGTATGCAGAGTTAAATACAATTCAAGCATTTATAATCGTGCCGCTGCAAAGTCTGCTCCAGCATTTGCCTCATGAAATCCGGAATCAGGCCGACGAATGTCTGTGCCCGTAGCTTTCGATCGCCATCCCATATGATCGGCCAGTCTTGCCCAGGCGATCTGTGCGCGTCTAGCATGCTGTTCTGGCACTGCAGGATCAGGTTGATTTGCTGTCCGTGAAAACAGTTCAAACGAGATGTGACCAGTATATCCGATCTCACAAACTGCTTCCAGGATCTCCAAGGCCGGTAGATAACCCGACTTCTCGAAGGGAAACAATCTTGCATTTCGTGACCAGGACATACGAGTCGGCTGTTGAGGGTGGTAGAATTCGTGATCAGCCAGTAGAGGGGTATCAAGTCGTTCACCATCGCAGACCTCGACGTAGAAGACTTTTTCTAGAGCGATAGGAAGATCTGATCGTAGTTTTGATATCGACCTTTGCATATCGGCTTCAGCGTTTACATTCCGGCCGGTTAGCGAGGCTGGGTCTGCGAAGACTCTCCCGGCCAGGTTGAATGTGTCGATACATGTACCAAAGTTCGGTCTGTCAACCTCGAGAACGATTGACCAAGCGTCGTCCCAGGTATCCACATGCGTTCCCCAGCACAATGCTTCGTATGCGAACCTCGTTGGGGGATTTGTCTGGAGACCGATATCTGCAACCTGTTGTAGGTCGGCCACGATCTTAGCGCGATCTCCGGTACATTGACTGGCAGGAAGGAAAGACGAGGGTATCTGAATGAGATCCGTGTCTAGACGTCTCGCCAACTTGATCCAGAAGTGCAATTTGGAGATTGCGGCATCGTGTGACTTTTCGTCGAGGCGACCTTCATAGTGCATGAAGGGTTGTAGGCATAGCACATCCAGGCTGTGTCGTAGGCAAAGCTCATGAATATAACCTGCCGCGGCTAGCTGCCGTTCTTGTACGTCTGTCGAGTTCTGGAACGATGTGCCAGGGGCAGATGCTGGGTGGGAAGATGGCAGAGATTTAGCTACCGCTTCAAGATCCTCGTGGAATAGTTCTATCGATTCGAATCCATACTGTGCACACAACTCGAGCTTGTGCTCTAAACTGTGGTGCCACGCACGACCTAGAGATTGAGAGGCGATCGTTGGAATAAATCGTGAAGGCATTTTGCGTATGCTAATCGACTAATAGGGGAAGCGAGAAGGGAATGGGTAGAAATCCGGTAAGTAGGTATGGTAGCACGGAGAGAAGAAAGAAAGAAGATCTGATATAATATCAGGACTTCAGACTTACGTGTATATCGAATCGCCCTAAGAAAAGCGAATCTTGAAGGATATAAAGCATACTCAAAGGGGAAACCCATGTTCAAAAGCCGATTCTAGCCCTCGACATATTTGCTGGATTCACCCTGAACCTATCTTGGGCCCGAATCGTCCTTGAGTATGACCCTGGGGATCCAAAACACAAAACTTCATCCGGGCCCATGGTTTAGCCGCCTCTGCTGTAAGTCTGAAGTCATGGAGTGGGAGAATGGAGATGAGCAATGTGATGGAAGACGCTGATCACCAAGAACAAGGTTTGTGGTTCTTGACGTCAAGTTACAATTGCCGACCGGCAAAGATCTTATCCCCAAGATGAATGTGCCGGAGGAAGACTGGATTTGGTGCTTCGGCCGTGAGTCGTGACTTGGCCAGGTAGAAGTCGGATGAATCCCCGATGTCAGATCAAAAGAAGGGAGCTCAACCGACCAGAACGATCTAACTAAAATAGCTCTCTCAGTGCTGATGGTCTCCTCACGTGGCCTCCCCAGAGCCCTACCTCACCCTTCGTACTTCGTACCTGAGTAGAAAGTCTCCGGGGGTGCGGGGTGCCAAATTGAGGCATGATGCACCTGGAGCCTGGATGGCCTCAGGGGCCCCCGCGCCCATCTCGTCCCCCAAGATTCTGCGGAGTATTGGCACAACCCACGGTGAAGCTCTAACTAACTACCTAGGTACGTACTAGGTAGGTGCCACAGGTACTTTGTATGGTGAGAGAGGTATTCCGAGCCGCGGGCGCAGCATGTTTCCTCTCTGATACTCCGGTCTGATCACAATCATTCGCCGCAACCATTGGATTTCGACACCCGCCTCGTTCTCGAACATCGTGCTAATGACTTGACGCCAATCTAAACCTGTTGATCTGATCTGTCGCTTTGACGCTTATGACTAGCGACCCGCTCGGTACCTCTAATCTAGTCCACACAACATGTCTGATGATACTGCCAAGCAGGCAGCGTGCGATCGTTGCCACAGACGCAAGGCAAAGTGCGATAAAGCGTGTCCGCAATGTTCATCATGCGCCAAAGCGGAGGTCCAGTGTATATACAGTCCCAAAGACCCACTTACCCGACGCCAGGATGTAGAGAAGTTGGAACGGAGACTCAGGCAAATGCAGGCAAAGAACGACGCTTTATCGAATCAGCTGCGTGATGCCCATCGCCGAATTAGTGATGCAGCCACGTCGAGTGTTGCAAATTCAAATCCAGGTCTACAGCAAGCCGCATCAATCAACAACGAAGTTGCAAGCCAGGTCACTCATCTCAGTCTGGGAGCTGGGGGTGAACGACAGTATTTGGGATCAACGAGCGGCTTACTACTCGCCAACCTCCTCCAGACAGAGGGCCAACCCAGAAATCGGGGCGATCCAGAAGATGAAAGTTACAACGCTGCTCGCACCTTTGGATCTGCAGGCCATCAGGGTGATGCAAGTCCTCATGCCGGAACCTTGCCACCTGAGAAACTTGCTCGAAGCTTGGTCTCTGCGTATCTGGCCCACGACCATCTCTGCTATCCCTTCCTGAATGCGAGGAAAGTGTTGAGCAGCCTCGATTCCATATACCAGGACAATTCATTCTACCGCAAGCACCATATTGAAGCTTTTACGTTGGACATGATTCTCGCCATCGCAACGGCTCAGGTCTCCAAGTTTGATTGGCAAGTGATGCCAGACGCCGAAACCCATCACGACAAGGCGATGGGAAGACTTGGCCTCGTCCTGGCAACTGGTGGAAGCGCTGCTCTCCAGGCTCTCCTGTTGCTATGTCAGTACAGAATTGGCAGCGGTCAATACGATGCCTCGGCAAGTCTCTGGCACCTTGTTGGTACCGCTGCTAGAATGTGCTTTGAGCTCGGCCTCCACCGAGAGTCGATTTATTATGCTTCTGGCCAGGTTGACGCCGATGTGGACGAGGCCGCTTTGGAAGTTTCAGAGGTCAACAGACGGTGTTTTTGGTGCGTCCTTGCAATGGACAGAATTACGAGCATCACCCTTGGGCGGCCATTGGCTATTCACTGGGATGATTTCGACACTGAGTTGCCATGTACTGAAGCGACTATAGCCGTCAGCCCAGAAAACAGGCTTTCTCCTGCTGAACCAGTGGGAAGTGCTCCATATCAATTACGCACCGCCATCTTCGTACTGATAGTACGATACCGATTGATTTGTGGCAGAATCCTCACTTCACTACACAACGTCATCCGTGCCAAAGCAGAGACTCCGTTTAACTACGAAACCAGGAGGAATCTCATCATTGAAGAACTCGAAGCATGGAGAGCCGACACTTTTACATTGCCACTCGGAGACTCTCTCAGCGAGTCCGATCGATCCAGTTATCGAAACCGTGAGTGGTATGAACTTCTGTACCAGAATGCTATCTTGATGCTATATAGGCCCTCGCCATCCTTCCATGACGCGGTCCCAGGTGGCGATACACTTCAACGTATCTATGATGCATCACAAAGATCCATTAGCATCTATGCTTTCCTACATAAGTCGCGCCGAATTAATTATTCTTCAATCACGCTTCATGCAGTTTTCATTGCTGGCCTGTCCTACATTTATGCGGTTCGATCTCATCTTCAAATCCGTCGTCGCGGAATGACAGCTGCCACAAATTTGTCCTCCATGGGTAATTTGTCAGCAGATCCGACCATAAATCAAATTGTCAACACCACACGCGATTGTTCTAATGTCCTTGTGGCGGTCTCAGAGCGATGGAGCACCGCTCGTGATGCATATCAAGTATATGGAAGGCTGAGTGATGCCCTGTTGAGTGACCTGGTAGATTTCCAAAGTCAGGCTCGCGATGGGTTCAGCAGTAACCTCACACAGTATGCTGTTCCGAATCATGGGCAAGCCCAAAATATTTCGACTTCAGAAACCAACCCCGTCTTACGATACCAAATAGGCCAGTCTTTCTCGCCCGCGGCTATGGTCGGCATTGACTTTAGCTACCTCGACTCTTTCCAAGATCTACAGAACTTCTATCCAACTTATGATCTTGCCAATGCTTCAGTCATGCAGGCTTCTCATGATTGGCTGTATGAGATCCAATCGTTGGACCAGTCTAACAATGCGTTCGCTTCTGCGAGTGGCATCAACTGAGAAACATGCGGTGCAAGGCTTTTCTGATATCTGCATTCCCCATAATCAGGTTGCAAAACTTTCTAGAGATTTAATGATTTGTGCCTGAAGCTCGAGGCTTGACATTATTGGGTCAAGCTGAGAACCTTTGGAGAAACGGTATGACTACACCGTACGATGGTATCATGATTGAGGACGAACATATTCTTACAAAACCTCGCTATCTTATCCTATGCATGGAAGTTTGAGTTTATCGAATTTCTTGATACATATAAGAGTACACAACGGGGCCTTCGGCATAACTAGCATGCCGTCCTCTTTTGTCACAGCTTGAGGATCACCTTTCTTGCCAGCTGCTTTTCAAATATTTCATAGCCGTACGCGGCTCTTGACAAGGGCAATGTATGGGTTATCATACCAGCGAGCTTTTCCTTGTTGGCAACCACAATCTCCAATGCCTCACTAAAGACAGCTTGGACTGGTGCACGTCCAAGGTTAATACTATCAAATCAGTCAATCACTCGCCGATATCAATGTTATCGGGCTACTCACTTCAAGTTTTTCTGGTAGCATTCAAGGGCGGTGAAGGGAAGATCACCTTGATGGAAGCCAATTGACGAAAGGACTCCACAAGGCCTCAATAAATCGAATGCTGAGCGAAGGGCTGCTTTGTTCCCAACAACCTCAATAACAGCATCAGCACCACGATGCTGGGTGGCTGTCATCACTATCTCCTGAATATCATCTTGACCGAGCTTAAGCGGAATGCCTCCCAGCTTTGTGGCTTGGTCAAGCCTATCATCAACACTGTCAACACAATATATCGTCCTTACGCCCTTAGTCCGTGCGGTTAAGATGGCGCAAAGGCCCACGGGTCCGCAACCGAGACAGACAAAGACGGCGTCTGCTAAAGACTGAGCGCTAGACGTCTGGTCTTTCAGTTGGTGATCAGTCTCTCCATATGACGAATTTGGTGGTGAGAAACGTTCGATGGCTCTCATTGCACCATAATATCCGGTCGGGAAGATATCGCACATCATTATCAGGAGGTCATCATCCACATAGTCGGGTGCTGCCTGGAGCGTGCCATCTGCAAATGGCACCCGGACATACTCCGCTTGTCCACCTGCCAACCCTTGAGTTCCAAAAGGTGCTTGCCCTTGCGGACACCGATTGCTGTGGCCGTGCTTACAAAACCAGCAGACCATGCTGATAAAATGGAAAACAAATCCGTCAGACATACGACGTCTCGACACGGGTGCTAGATGGAGAAAGCAATGGCTTACCAGACAGGGCTGAAAGTGCAGACCACTTTCTGGCCGGTCTTGAAGTTACGCACTTCTGACCCTACATTCTCAACGTAACCAACGAATTCATGTCCCTGGGATATATAATCAACATATGGGTAGCTGTTGTGCCGTTGATCCATACCATTATGTGCCCACTTGCTGTCTTCTGATGCCCCCGGTACATATGTAGCTCTGAACCACATAGACCTGCCGTTTTCACCTTTACGATCGCATCTGTAGGGTCCCTGAGTATGGGCTTGGGACGTCTTTCCACATCTATTGTCCATGGTCCGTTGAAGACCACGGCATCCATCGTATCAACCGCGATCATTGTGGACGAGGCTTGATCTTGAAACCGAGTTGACTCTGGATTTTTCGAAGTGATGCTTCGTTGTTCACAAGTTGGAGATATCGTATCATTGTTCTATACCTTCAGCCGTACTTGCAGTCGCCCATGACTTGGACTCGAGCCTTGGCTAAAGCAAATTCAAGATATTGCACTGCATCATCCATACCCCAAAGACCTCGGCTAGGACGGCAATTTCGGGCTTACCACCCTTCCCGCGGAAACGACGAACACCGTCAGTGCTCCTGACATTGGCGGCCTTGCGCGACTTGCCCAACCAACTCTACTCTTTCCATGCTTTAGCGTCATGATGGCGGCGCGGCGACCGATGCCGTCAGTTCGGCATGTTGACCGTGAAAATTGAGGGATCTCGAACTCCGGCACAAGCGAAAGTCTGATTGCACATCTTTTCGGTTGCTTAGCCCGAAGCTTTGACCCTCACGGTAGTTCGTCGTTGATTCCAGAACCTGTCGTGGCTTTTGACCATCTGTCATGCGTGCTCCTTGAGAAGATGCCTCGAAAGCTTAACCTGCCTCGGAGAAGAGAATATCGTGGCCAAACACCCTCACATGTTTTTGATGTGGTATGATCTGACTTGATTAAGGAACGACTATTACTCTCAGACATCTTGTGAGTCGCAACGTGCCGTAGCAAGTATTGATAGCCACTTTGACTGAATATTGAAAATGGTGGCAGCACACTCTCTAGCCCTGAATTCGAGGGATTTGACAAAGTTCTACATCAATGGCTCCTACGTCGAGCCTATATCGAAGGATACATATATACTTCGAAATCCCAAGGACAACAGCGTCGTCGCAGACGCGGTACCGGTCGGGGGCTCTGAAGATGTAGATCTTGCGGTGTCAGCAGCACAAGCAGCATTCAAAGGACCATGGAGCACATTTACAGCGGCGCAACGCTCAGAATGTCTACGCCGCCTTGCCGATATCCTGGAAGAGAAGATGGTTGATATTTTGACTCTGGATTCGCTAACTACTGGAAATCCTGTGTCTCTGATCCCGTCACGGGAGAAGAACTACATAAAAGCTAATTTACTTTACTATGGTAAGCTGTACGGACAATGCCTGGACCTAATATACTGAACACTACCAGCTGGTTGGACCGACAAGCAGAAAGGTGATTATTACCCTGCAGACGATGGATTCGTTAAGCTAGTTCGTCATGAACCTCTCGGGTGAGTAGCTACGTCTTTTGAGTACCATGTTGCCATGAGACTTATACGACCGATAGTGTCTGCGTAGGCATCAATCCCTACAATTCACCTGTGGCTTCATTCATCATCAAAGCGGCACCATGCCTAGCTACTGGCAACGTGTTGATCATAAAACCATCAGAGAAGAGTCCTTTCGGATCATTAGCATTAGCGCCACTTTTCGAGGAAGCTGGATTCCCCAAAGGTGTTGTACAAGTCGTTTGTGGCGATGGTAGGACAGGGGCAATATTTGCAAAGCACATGCATGTGAGAAAAGTAAGTGCTTACAGCATGGAAGGAATGTTCGGTATTTGCTAACAGTAATTAACCCCTTAGATCAGTTTTACAGGCAGTATAGCTACAGGCAAGAAGATCCAGATCGCAGCAGCTGAGAGTAATCTGAAGAGGGTGACTCTGGAACTTGGTAAACAGCATTCCGCACACACTTAACAAATATCAATACTGACACCCCCTATTTAGGTGGTAAAAGCCCCGCGGTCATATTCGAAGATGCAAATCTCGACAATGCCCTTACCTGGTAATTTGCCCTTCTTCAGGGATACAAGGCCCCTGGTGCTGACAAGTTTAGGACTATCAATGGTATCCTAGCCCGTTCAGGGCAGGTTTGCGTTGCAGCATCTCGGGTATATGTTCACCGATCTATCGCAGATAAATTTATCGAGGCATATACGCAGAGAATGAAAGACGCTGCATCAAGTCTCGGTGACCCACAAGACCCTGACACGGTGTTGGGGCCATTGGCAGATGCCACAAGCTTCGAAAGAGTCCAGAGAATGATTGAAAAGGGCAAGACAGAAGCAGAGCTCGTTGTCGGAGGCGTCCAGCATGGTCCCAGTGGTTGCTTTATGGAACCGGCAGTATTTCTAAATCCACATCCCAATGCCGAAATCTACAAGAACGAAGTGTTCGGTCCTGTGGCAGTCATAAAAACATTTGACACCGAGGAAGAAGTGTTGGATCTTGCTAATGACACCGAGTTCGGACTCATGGCAGGTGTGTTTACAAGAGATATCAATCGAGCTTTGAGGGTCTCAAGCAAGATTGAAGCCGGCGTCTGTGGCATTAATTGTATATCTTACATGAACATTCAAGTTCCGTTTGGTGGAAGAAAAGCTTCTGGCATTGGACGAGAGTTCGGCGAATATGTGAGTGCATTTCTTGTTCGAAGTCTCATTCAATAGTTGATACTGATGTTGCCAGGCTCTCCGCTCCTTTACCGAACCAAAAACGATTTTGATCAAGTAAGCAGACCATAAGCCGCTTGGAAGCAAGGATGATGCACTGACTCTACATAGCATGAATGCTTGAGCCATAATCAGTAGAACGGCCTTTTGAAGATGTAGTACATCTGGCTATGCCGGTTAAAAGACAACGAATGTTTACTGTATTTTCAGCCTTGCACATGATAATAGATAAATCACATCTCCGAAATGCTCCTCATTTGGCTCAGACTGACACCTCTGTACCTAGAATTGTCGATAGGCATAATTCCATCCTATGTGTTCTTATTTAACGCTAGTTGGATGTTGTGAGAACGGCCGCTTGCGGACAAGGCATGCAGCAGGCTTCCGATGCGAATCGATCAGTCTGCGCCGATAAGCGATATGAACAGAGGCCACAGTGCGGCAATGCCCGGGGAGCGTCTTAGTTAAGCCCTACAGGTCTACAGGTTATGGTTGTCATTTCGCAACCCAAAATCAATTGCCTCAGGACCCAAGCCAAAGTACATTTTTGGCCCCTATCTGCAGAGACGAAATTTGTGTGCAGAGAAAGACTTTGATAAGCAAAATAGCACTAATCTTTGCCAGTTTTTCTGCCACAATGTCACCAACGGAAAATGACGATCTAGACATACCCAGCTTCGACGATTTGCCCTTAGAGCCGTCTCATCCTCCACATTCTGCGTGGTTTCTCTGGGGCGAAGATGATCAGCTAGGATGTCTCAACCACCTTACTCCCAAGAGGGTAGCTCAGGCTGCGACATCACAGATCAGAACTGGTGTTTCTGTCGGCTTGAATTGGGGGCTTGACCAGATGAAGGTGCCACCGTTCTACAGAACAAAACTGAGACATGAAATCTTCAGTATCGGTGAATTCATCAATGTAGTAGCAGTTGATACCGCGCACTTGTGCAGAGGCCGAGGCATTCACTGACAGACGTTTCGAAAATCAGGATGATAAGGTCGAATTCAATACTCAGACAAGCAGTCAATGGGACGGTTTCAGGCACTGGAGCTTTTCGAATGGACTGTTCTACAATGGAGTGTCACAAGAAGAGGTTAGAAAGGAGGCATCTACACGCAATGGAATTCACGGTCAGTGCAAAATTCCGGTCAACATTGTTCAGTTCTGACATCAGGTCATTGCTAGAGTGGACGAAGCGAGGCATCATTGGTCGCGGTGTTCTTATCGATCATTACTCTTGGATGACCGAACAAGGGAGTGAGAGCTACGACCCGTGGGAGTATCACAAGATCCCAGTATCTGAGGTCAAAACCATTGCAGAGGCCAGAGGAATTACATTTCAGACAGGTGACATTCTGTTTCTAAGGACAGGTAAATGCGAAGATTGACTCTTTCTCCACGATTCCAATGACGACTTTTCAGGCTTCGTTCACAGATACCAAACCATGCCGCTGCACGAGCTTACTGACAAGATGTCTCAGTCTGAGTATTTCTACCCAGGTCTCGAGGGCTCTGAGGAGTCACTTCGCTGGCTCTGGGACACGCATTTCGCAGCCGTGGCAGCCGACAGTCCAGGGTTCGAAGCATGGAGTGCTGGCCTGGGAGACACAAACGAACAATACCGCATGCATGAGACGTTACTGTCAGGTTTCGGCTTACCCATAGGAGAGTTGTTCGATCTGGAGGAATTGTCCGTCGAGTGCAAGAAACAAAAGCGATGGACGTTCTTTGTCACCAGTATGCCACTAAATATCCCTGGAGGGGTAGGAAGCCCCCCCAATGCGGTGGCGATATTCTAGTTCGGCCTCTGAATCCTTCGACACAGGATGCTCATTTGTCCAAAGGGCACTCTTCCCGCGTACCTGAGCCTACAGGGTGTGTTTGAGGTGGATCCATACGATCGCTGCGGACTCTGGAACTTGTCAGGCCTGGACTCATATCCATTTCCAAGACATCTGTGCCGCTGAGACGGGAACAAGAGACTACTGATTGAGCTTGAATGTTGACACTTAGTACTATAAGAATTAGCTTCCGAGCTAACCATCCAACTACTTCGTGCCTCAGTTAGTTCATTACGAGTTCATCCTTCTCAGCTCCCCCTCCTTTCTCCCGAAAATTTGGTGTTTGAGTGGAGAACAATTCGGTGTAAACATCCGCCTCCGACCTGCAGATTTCCCCAGCGAGGAATATTGACTCTTTCTCCCAGGCACCAATGGGCCGATCCAATTCTATTGGGTACCAAACTAGCGATCCTGGTCGATGCACCTCTCAACATGCCACACCTGCTCCAAGAATTGGAGAGAACTGTTTTGGAGTGGGTTTGCTTTGCGATTCAAATTTGAAAATATCGCACCTAGCCTATCGCCGCTAGAGTCCGTCATAGGCTATCAAAACCTCCACATAGTACCAGGTGCGTAGTGTCCTCCCTTGGGTCCGGTTTCTAGTCTTTTTGTTGGCTCATCAGGCGACCACTTGAGAGGAGCCCACCTGTTGAGCCGAAAGACGACGGGTGTTCTTGCTAGAGCCGAGGCTGTGGGACGTGCAACTTGAACCTTTCGGTGGGCGTTCCGATTGCGAATTGCGTGTAACCCTTCGTTCGAAGATCGCACTTTTATTCAGAAATATCCTTTCGGCCTCGTCCCCGATGAGATCTTTTCTGCCTTTATAGATTCCCCAGATTCCCCATACTCCTCGTTCGCGATTCGATCTCGAGCAGAACTCTGGGGCAGGATCTAAACTTCAGATTTCAGGTTTCAATTGAACACAACCGAACGTCAGGTTTCACTATCTGATCATATCGCCAAAAGCGAGATGGCGATGACACCATCACTTCTCCGACTAGTTGTAAGTGGTTTTTCTTCCACCTGTTCAGGGTCACGTACAGGCTACAGCCCGTCCAACCGGCTAATGAACTCTGATAGATTGTCCTCTTCGTCGCCTTGGGCTCGTTGACCTATGGTTACTGTGCGAGTATTATTGCTACGACTTTGGGCCAGCCTTCATTCATCAGCTATTTTGACCTTGACACCCGTTCCAATGCTGCCGACCTTATTGGTGCCATCAATGGGTAAGTAAATATGGCGAACATATGAAAATTTTCAATGCTAACAAGTAGCATAGACTCTTCCAAGCGGGCGGTCTCTTTGGAGCGCTCTCCTGCACAAAATCTGCAGATTGGCTTGGTCGCCGAAAGTCTATCCTGGTAACTTCGATAATCACCGTCATTGGAGGAGCCCTTCAAGCTGGCAGCGTCGATATTGGAATGTACATCGCCATGAGATTTATTACAGGCTTCGGAATAGGTAAGGCGATAGACTTTAGGATTATGCATCTGCATTTGAAGCTAAACAAGCCCTCAAGGTGCCCTTGTCACCCTCGTTCCCCTTTATCAGTCCGAGATTTCACCGGTAAGGCTCCTACCCCTTTCCAACGTATTATGGATCTCCTGTGCAAAATGAAGTTATGCCAACAAAGATTCTAATACATTTGCAGCCGCGCATCCGTGGATGGCTAGTTGGGATGCACGGGGTCCTCATCTGCGTTGGGTACGCCATGGCGTCTTGGGTCGGTTTAGGGTTCTATTTTGTCAACGCAAGTGGTGCTCAGTGGCGACTCCCCCTGGCTATCCAGTGCTTACCACCGCTGTTGCTCTCTGCGGGTGTACTCTTCCTCCCTGAATCACCCCGGTGGCTTCTCGACCATGACCGCGTCGAAGATGCTTACAAGTCATTCAAAGCGGTCCGAGCAGAGGCTACTGACACATCTGATCTCGATAATGAAGCCTCAATAAAAGCCGACTTCAATCTACTCCAAGGCCAGATCATGCACGAGAGATTGGAAGTAATATCCCTGATGGACCTGTGGAGGAAGCCGTCCATGCGGAAACGATGCGCTATTGGCTGGCTGACCATGTTTGGTGCTCAGGGGACGGCCACGCTTGTTATCAATAGTATGTTTTGTGCTTCAGATTCCTCTGGTTTATGCTGACATTGTAATGCACTAGACTATGGACCTTCTTTGTACGCATCGTTGGGTTTCGACACTGTGCAAACTCTTTTGATCCAGTGTGGCTGGATCACTGTCTGTCCCTTTGGGAATCTGATCAACGCCTGGGTTGTCGATCGAGTTGGCCGCACTCGTCTATTGAGTAAGTCTACCCCACTTGATTCTTTCAAACAAAAGTGGCTTCCCAGCTAACGGAGTACCCCAGTGTTTGGCTTTGCTGGCTGTGTTATCGCGCTCATCGGAGAATGCATCACCGTCGATGTATTCCAGCGCACTGGTCAACGGGGCGCAGCGAGCGCGGCTGTTTTCTTTCTGTTCTTGCACATTGCATTCTTCTCGGTCTCGTGCGACGCCACTTCTTACATATATGCTGCTGAAATTTTCCCAACGCCGGTAAGTACCTCGGTCACCACACCGAAATTGTGGCTGGCAACTTTGACCCAGGACTAACGTCTAGCACAGGTCCGAGCCAAAGGATTGGCTGTGTCAGTCTCGGGCCTCTTTATTGCCACCATTATTTTCCTTCAGTGTGCACCGAAAGCATTCGCGACTATTGGGTGGAAATACTATATTGTCTTCATCGTCATCACCACAGTTATATTCGCCGTTATCTGGTTCTGGTTTCCGGAAACAAAGGGCCGCTCACTCGAGGATATCGGGGAACTCTTCGGTGACTCAGTTGAACCTGTACAATTGGATGACGAGGCTCGTGATAAAAAGATGCTCGCCGATACTGTGGAAGATCTAAATATTCATGAAGACATGCAGAAGCATTGAGTTGTCCAGGAGATGATGACTGAGGAAGAATATCAACATGTTTCTCGTACCTTCTGATTTGATGGAAAAGTCGCTCCATGTATATAATTCATCTGGCTAACACGAAGACTCATATCTGTCTTAAGATTCGTTTGTTGTTTCCCAGGCCACTTGATTCGAGAACATACCTGCGATTTGCGTGGCACGTCTTGGGTAGTCATCATCGAACATGAGCCGAGTTGCCTTCATCTAGCGAGGCTGTGACTTGTCCCCTCTGTTCTGCTATTACGTGGGTATTCATCAGAACTCTCCAGATTGGAAGCTTAGGGAGTGTATCGAAGAAAATCCCAACAGAAGTTGTCAGCCGCAGGGCTGAAAGATGGGGATATTGTCGAGATCAAAATTGAGGGTATTGGCAAGATAAGAAATAGAATGGTTTTCGAAAAGTAGAGTGATCGGTCTAAGTACTCTCATCATACATGGAATGCCTCAGTAGCATTCGTCGCAGGCTCGGTCCCGCATACTTCGTTATATGTTCATGGTAAATAGACATTAAAGGCCGAACGATATTCTGTGATGCTCAACTTATCGAAAGCGACCAAAGCCACTTCCTCCTACGCAGGCTTTCGAGCACTATCAAGTATCGCTGCGAGACTTGAGCACTCAGAAGTTGCAATGATGTCGATATACGAAGAGCTCCGCTCTCATGATGGTAAGACTGCGGTCGCCTGCGAAAGGAGACGTGCGACTTGTCCCCACTCTATCCACGCTGATGAGCTTCAAAGGAGTGACAAAGACATTATCGGACACCCGTTCAGCCCAGCCATCGACTGATTTGGAATAAAATGCCAAACCTCGTCCTCATATTTTCCCCAATAGCCACTTGGAAATCTTCCCAGCTAAGATTCATGCCGCCGGGCAACCCATTTACCCCGAACCCCGTGGGCGCCTCCCCACAGATCGGGGAAAAACACGTCCACGACTAGTCGCATGCCTATAATCGTGTCTCCCGTTAATTATCTTGCTCGACACTGGTTTTTACCGCCGAACTTGTCATAATGTTTCCCTTCTTGCTAAGTATTGAGATTACGATCGGCTGCGCCAACGCTTTCCGTTCGCAAGTCAACACACTGCAGGGGTTATTGTTATCAAAGCTGTATGAAATATCGACAAACTCCGGAACTTCGTACTCAAAAGTAGTCTTAGTCGGCTTATAGATAAATGAAATATCCGTGGACAATCTGATTCATTCGCCGGGCGTCGGTTGGCGAAGTATGTCACATTGGTCGATCCCTCGGATAGCTTAAATGTGGGTAACATGCCATTGCATGCTCGGATATAGAACAGCCTCGGGGATTCTTCCAAACAGGTTTTATCGTACTTGATCTAGTCTTGCAGAACAACACTGCAACTCGCCTGGTCGTCAGAACTTTGAGCATTCCAAGGCCTAGGCCTCATAAAGGCAAACAATATGGGGAAGAATACTGCAGATACAGAGTGGCTATTGCATATGCCGCTCTCTGAACAGAAAGCCATTCTGGATTTTTATTTTAGCCTGTTCGATATCCAACCAACATGACAGCCGTTGGAATGTACAGTAGAGGTTCAATGCCTCTCAACTGAGACGTGGAGCAAATACTGGCTTGGTACTAAGCAGCACGCCGGTGCTAGTAACATTAATTATTCTCAATCGCTGATCGCTGAGGCTGGAGCAATCTGGATTTCGGTGTATGGACCCTTTACGCGAGAGCAAACTGGGGATCTCCACAATTGGTAGTGAATGGTCCGGGGACAGTCAGGTGGCCGGGGACAACACTAGGGAACAGGGCTCTCCGATGATAACCTATTTCGCTTGCATGAGGCAACCATCTTGCCGAGTATCTTGGTCTCATCGCTTTATGGTCAGGGACCGGAAGCTGAAAACCAATCGGGCAAATTCCATGGGGCTATTTCTTCTCCACAAGTTGATGATGTTCGGCCCCGGCCTCGCTTCAGGCGGCCAATTTGGCCGTGAAGAGTTCACTGTATACTTCACGGTGTAAGTGCATGCATATAACGAAGCCATAAAACCCTTCAGAAGAGCGATATGCCCTTGAAATAGTTTGTATTAGTTGCATTGTTTGGTCCTCCACCCTTTGCGATCACCATTTTTTGAAACACCTGAGAAGCGGTTCAAAACCACTTTTGGATCTTCAGACCACTGAAAAGATGTCGGATGATAAGCATCAGGATGTGGAAGAACACAGCATAGCTCCACCAGTGGAGCAGGAACTTCTTGAACCTCAGATACATGCCAAAACTTACCTTGTCATATTTGTAAGAAGCCTGCTCCTCTGGCCAGGTGTAGTGTGTTGTTCTCTCATCGCTAACATTTCTTAGGCCATGTTTATGATAAACTTCACATCAGTTATATGTTTAGTCACAGCTGGAGCTGTGAGTCTTGAACCCTATTCTTCACTGTCAGAAGTTTGATCGGGCAGAACCTTCACTGACTTATCACCAAGTTTAGTACCGTGCTCACAGCTGTGGTGGGGGGCGCCGACAAGAGAAACTGGATTGTCGGTGCTATAGCTCTACCCATGGCAGTTCTCAGTGCTCCGGTTGCTCAAGCAGCTGACTACTGGGGAAGACGTTGGTTGCTCATCGGCCTAACTTCAATGGGATTCGTCGGTAGCTTGATCACATCTCGATGCGAGTCGGTAAGTCCTTGACTAAAGATCCAATCGGTGATGATATCCAGGCTGACTGTTTGTCTCTCTAGATTGGCGTGGCTATCGTGGGACAATCATTTATTGGACTGTCCTTTAGCTGCATTGTTAGTGATTCAGCCTAAACCAATACGTCCGGTTCATCTAACACTCTATAGTCTCTTACTTTTGCCATCGTCTCAGAAGTATTACCTCATCGTCAACGAATGACTGGTCAGGCTGTGGTGAACTCAGTATGTTCCGCTTAGCTCACTAGCTATACACTGCTATAACGATCATCGCGAATCTGATATTTGCATCCACTAGGCCAATGCGTTAGGAGGAATTGCGGGAATTTATGCAGCCGCCGCTCTAGTTACTGATCGTGGTCCAACCGGCTTCAGGATTGTAAGTATTCCTTCTCGGGAACAGTCTGCACTACAACTATACTATGAATCCCCTCTAGCTAACATACTTCCTAGCTTTGGTATCTCGACGTACGTAACGATATCGCACCTAGTATCTTGTGAAATTGGGAGGAGTGGCAACTAACAAAAGTGTAATAGGCTACATTCTTCGCCATTGCGGTTTTCATCACACTCTTCTGCTATAAGCCGCCGCCTCGCGAGTTACAGAACGCACTCACATTCAAGCAGAAGCTTAGCAAAGTAAGTAGAGGCGTCGAACAATTCCCTAGTAGCTCGGAACACTAACGCGATATGCTTTGATGACAGTTGGATTGGATCGGAGGATTTCTTCTGACTGTTGGCTTGATTCTTTTCTGTCTTGGTGTATCCCAGGCACGAAATCCTTGTAAGTCCTATATCATCACCACTGAAAGTTAGTATAGGAAGCTGACAAACGGCGATTATTCGGTGATTAGATCCTTGGAATAGTGCCCAAGTGCTCACTCCAATATGTGTCTCGCTACCATTACTAGGCGCTTTCGCGTTATATGAGTGGAAGTGGACAAGCGAGGGTATCGCCAATCATCGACTCTTCTCGTCAGTTCGGCGCATATACTGTTGAATACAGATGATTAGATACTGACAGTGGACAGAAGCGGCCATAATTTCGGTCTTGCACTTGTATGCATCTTCTTGGAAGGATTCAGTGAGTATAAGATCTAGTATAGACCCACATCTCGTTCCGATGCTAATGTCAGTAGTCTTTACTGTAAATCTCCTTGATATCAAACCATACTTTCGAAAAAGCTAAGATTTTTCTCCTCTGCACAGCCAACCAATATCTATCTGCCGTTTATGGTCGAGTCCATTTATGGAAGAACTCCACTGCTTATGGCGACTAAGTAAGTCATTCTATTCACTTATATCTACCACTAATTGACCTTCTGGTTAGTGTTACAGTCCTGCAAATCGTCTACGGGTTATCCTCGTTTGCCGCTGCTACATATTGCTACCGATATAAACGATTACGTTTAGTTGTTATGGTGGCGTATTTTCTCTTCACCGCATATAATGCGTCTATGGCAGCTTTAGATGAGGACAACTCTAACGCAGCTTGGGGCGTCCCTGTCCTAGCTGGCGTACCACTCGCGTTCGCACTCTGTGCACTTGTTGCTGTGGCCCAATTCAGCACTCCTCCTGAGCTCATGTAAGTCCTCTTCAGTCGGGAAGCTGCAACCTCAAGGACTTCCTGCGTTTAGCAATTCTCTACTGACGGTATGATGTGCTAGCTCGGTCACGAGTGGTTTGCTAGTGGCTGCTCGTGCCTTGGGGGTCACCATTGGGACGGCCGCTTGTAAGTTAAAATCTTGGTTTCTGGTCATTAAAACGGAGTACTTGCTGACTCTTTTGTGGTTTAGTCGGCGCCGTCTTTAGCTCAAAACTACAATCCAATCTTGCTCCCAAGGTTGCAAGTGCCACTCTTCCTCTAGGACTACCCTCATCATCGTTGCCGCTCTTACTAAAAGCCTTGGTAGCCCACAACGAGAAAGCATTGATGGAGGTCCCTGGAATAACGCCTGCAATATTAGCTGCAGGCATCAAAGGAATGAAACAAGGTTATGTTGTCGCCTTTCGGAACGTCTGGATTATCGCGGCAGCTGTTGCCGCTGGAGGTCTCATCCGTATGTGCTAATGCTCGAAATCAGTCTTGGTTTTCGAAAGGTCTGCAAACTAACTCTGTCTTTTCACAACACCATAGTATCGTTCTTTTTCCAAGATAGGGAAGAGGATTTTGATAACAAAATCGATGCACCAGCTGAAAGTATTGAGGCTCTGTATGGCGAGACTCTCCATACACAGGCTAAGCCATGAGAGGGGAGAAAGCGTGCATGCTAAGGTCAAGATTTATGGTAGTTTGTATTTGGAGGATGATGCCTACGGCCCAAGTTTTCAAGGCAATGCTGAGCTTGGAGTACTGTACAAGGCCTGTACAACTAGATCCATAGCCTAGCCATAAGACTCCGAGTTGCTAACGATTCTCACATAACCTATGGTGCCCCGCCTAAAGAAGCTGCCCAACTCCCAGGTCAGCACATCTCGTCAGACTTGAAAGCCGGACAGCGGGTTTCGGTATTTTGGGGAATCAATTTACCATTATTCGGACCGGTTTGATACCCTTCACTCCGGTTTAGTGGGCATATCGACATTTTTATCTCCATGAACAGTTCCGATGGATGCTGAGGTTCGACTATTTCCGGCAACAATCGCCTGAGAATTTGCTCCCTTTTGAAGCCCCGAACCGTTCACGGTTGATATTGTCTTGTTGCCATGGATCTTTTTCTTCTCCTTTGTGGTAATAGAATTCTTCTCGTTGGTATACCGCTTTTCAAGTTGTAAGCAACATGGACAAATTACCAGCGTTCGGTCGTGATGTAGTTGGTTCGGCATCAGTGACCTTTCAGGCATTTGGTGATCTCTTGCGACGACCGGAACGTTTGACATTGCTGAATAGCATCCCAAGAGAGGTGCACTGCTATGGTGCTCATGAGCGTCAAACCCTCGATTTCTATCGCTCTTCTTCGAGCCCGGGTCAAGCCGGCCCAATTTTTGTTTTTCTCCATGGTGGCGCAAATATCAGTGGTGGAAGTATTGCGCCCGAGATCCCCGGCGAAGTAGTGTACAAAGGTCTGGCATACTTCCTGACACAAGACATGGGCTACGACGCCGTCATCATGAACTATCGCCTCCTACAGCACGGTGCCGTGTTCAACAGCGGTGGACAAGATCTCGACCTCGTGATCAGATGGATTGAGGAAAATCTCTCCACCAAAAGTGACAAACAGCGGGAATTGATCATCATGGGCAACTCGGCTGGTGGCTCGCATTTAGCTTCGTGGCTCTTTGACGAGCTATTCACAAGCTCAACGCAGAGAGTCACTGAGCCTTCGGCAAAGCTCTATCTCAAAAAGGCGATTGTTCTGAGTGCTACAATGCTCGCGGATCCGGACAACACGTTCGTGGCGCCCATGGTGCCCAATTTATTGAGATATTACACGACTCGCGAAAACATCGTCCACAACGCACCGTTGAATTTGATGCGCAGGAAGTATGGTAACCACTCCCAAGATGGTGGCGAAACAACCTTACGCCGTCCAAAGCTACTACTCATCGCCACTGAATATGATCCTGTCTTGCTCATAGAGACGGAGAAGCAATTGACGACGGAATGGAAGGAGCTTGGTGGTCAAGCGGAATACTGGGAGCTTCCAGGCCATAATCATCTCAGTCCACCACTCGCCCTAGGCACAGGTGACAAGGCTGCGGAAGCCTGGGGATTTGAGCTTGCCAAAAGACTCTCTGAGGATCAATCATAACGCAGAACCAATAGATCATGTATTTTTTAAGCTGTTTCCCTTTATCACTATATGAGATCATTCCCAGTGCACATGCTCTTATCGAATGATGCCGACGCTGGCAGAAACTCCATTCACAGGTCATAGTGTTTTGTCAGATCTGCCGTCAATACATCCTGCGCCTGCGATTTTTGGTTAGCACGTAAACAGTCTCTAGACCGAGTCGACCTGGAACTTACGCGGATAAGGTGGGCCAGCTTGGCCGGATCTTGAGAAGCCGTGTGCATAAATTGTAGAGCAGGGTCTTTCTCTAAAGCTGTTGATCCATCAATCCATATCCGCTCTAGGTTGGCTGAGGAGACAGGATCGATGAACTTGTGGAATATTTCTCTCCTGGTCTGATCGTAGATCTCGAGGATTTTTAAACTGGCCCTTCCTTCGTGGATTCCTTGTAGAGCATCGACGAGGCTCCCAACGTCCGAAATGCCTCCAGTCAGACCAAGGCCGCCCCTTGTCAATGTGGGTCAATTCTAATGCGTGTTAAAAGAAAAAGCGCCATCAACTTACATTGGATTGCACAGATGGGCCGCATCTCCAGCAAGAAGAACGCGCCCAACATGCATCTTGCCCACGCATCGATTGTTCATCACGAAGGGACTCCACCTGAGCACTTCATACTCTCCTTCTTCTGGTGCACCCGGCAAGAGGACCTTAAGTTTCGCAGCGATGCCCGCTTTGAGGTCCTTCTCATCGAGTGCAACACGCTCGCCATAGCCAAATCGCCATAACCCCGTATCGTCAATCTTGCAAGCCATACCCCAGTGCTCGGTATCAACGATCCATTGTGTATCTGACCATCCAGCCTTGTCGAAACCATCGTAACGGATCTATTTTCGATGTTAGTAGTTTCCAAAGCTAAGGGAGAGTCAACCTAGATTCATGGCCACAATCTGCACATCCCAAGTCTTGCCTGGGAATGAGTCGTTGAATAATGCTCTCCGGACGCTGCTGCGGCCACCGTCACATCCAACCATGAAGTCCACGTCAAACTTCTCCGTCTTGCCATTGCGTTCAGCTTCTACCAGTACATGACTATCATCTTGAGTGTGGCCAACGTATTTGCAGCCCCAGTGGACTTTGGCGTTGTCCAGTTTGGTGAGCTCTTCATACAACAAACCGGCCAGAAGATGGACAGGCAAGATGATTGACCGGTCAACGAACGTTGGGTCACTAGTAAAATCGATTTCGGTGATCTGCCACAATATCTGTGGTGAGAACTGTCCACTTATGTGTTGGTGAAGAGGACACTCGCACCTTCTTTCCATTCAACTCCCTCCAGATCAATCTCTTGCCTTCAGCTCCTCTCTCAAGAGCTCTATCCAAAACTCCAGCACGCCGTAACACTCTAAGGTCCCAATTTCAGCACAATGGCTCTCCACCACCCGGGATAGGGGACTAAGCCAAGTGGCATACCTGACTGCGGGAGGTCCATAAGCAATACCTCGAGGACGTGGGTCGATCTCCGTGGCGGAATCTATAACATCGACATCGATTCCGCCTTGGGCGAGCATCAGAGCTGTCAGTAGGCCTACGGGACCCGCGCCTACAACGAGCACTGTCGTGGATTTTGCTTCTCCCATTGACCCCATTGTAGTGGCAGCAACAATTACCGGAAGCTGGTATTGAATCGTAGATGGTGGAATTTTTACAATTTCATGGCCAGTTTGAACGAGCGAGCGGAATGACCGAAGCTATACGCTGAATTTGAAGAGGATAATGACAAGTACTGAATCAATGGAGGCACCCAGGAGGTGCCGAACCTGTGCCAACCCGACAGGCTCTAACAGATTTCGCAAATGCCCGAGACATGCCTCCCTAAATCCTGAGTATTGTAACTCGGCCGCCCGTGAGGGTCTACGACCAGTGTCATCCTAGCTACACAAAAGTTCCATGATAATGCACCTCTTGGATCCGGAATTTCCAATTTCCCCGAATGCCGAAAAGGCGGAGCAAATGGGGACCCCGCTCGCCTTGGGTTACAGTGGATTTGAGCCTGGGGTTCATTTGTGGTGTCAACAGCTACGGCCTTGGCAAGGACCTCTGCTTTCGTAACACGTCGATGCGCACAGCACTGAGACGTCTCTTCAAGCAGTGGCAACACGTTCTCCTCTGTCAAATCTTGTCTGTCTTGACTATGATGGCCTTACAGTGCGCCATCCATAACATCAGAGCCGAATGACTGACGCATCGCACTATTTTACTCTGGAGTCCCCAAGAAGATGGAGGTTGAACTCGTGGATGTTCCAATACCAAAGGGGCATGTCGAAACAACGAAATATTCCAAAGCCTGCAGCTTTTGTCGCACAAAGAAAGTCAGGTGTAAGCATAGATCGTACTTTCCTAGCACAATTCGTCCTGCTGAATTGGTCCAGGTGAAGGAGGGCGTCCGTGCAAGCATTGTATCAATCACAATACAGAATGTTTTTTCCCTGCTCGAACCCGTCAAAAGGCGAACCGACCTCGTGGTGAGAAGATGTCTACCCGGCTCATTCGATTGGAAGCCTTGATTGATTCGTCATCATCGACTCATCAGGTTCGTACCTATGGTGGGCAGGGGAGGAGAACCACAACAGACGGTACCGCGATCCACAGGACCAACTTCCATGCTGCAGAAGTCCCCAAGGATGGCAGATCAGCGATTGCAATGCACGAGGTTGATAGTGTCACCATGCCCGATTCAATCTTGGGCCGATCCGATTTTGACTCAGTCCTCGAGCACCCTGGACCCAGATCTGTGGCAGCAACAAACTTTGAAAGCGAGGGAAGTCGCTTTGAACCAAGCCACGATCAAATTCCAAGCGTTATCATCGATGCAGCGTACTTCCAGAGCGAATCTACAACTACTACCACAACAACTCTCAATCCGCCGAGCGTAACAATGACTGGAAGCACCCCAGCTCTGGAAGAGAGCTCAAATCTGTTCTCAAACGAGATGGTAAGCTATGGCCGATGATTTGCTAAGAAAATGGGACTGACTTCCGTGTCAAAGTCCAATAGGGCATATTTCGGTAAGAATGTGTATCATACTCGGTTCTGCTCCGCTGACGTGGAAACAAACGGAAGGGCCGAGATCTTTCTTGTCTATTGCATCTCAGCCTGGTATTGAATGGCTTGAGAGCAAGGTGCAGTATCCTGCCATGAGAGAATCTCTACACCGGTTCGCGAGGACTGTCAACATGCTCTTCAAGGAAAATGCGGGATCTGTCCTCGCGGCAAAATGCCCGACTGCCGAGCCAGCGGAAGCCGTTGCTTGGTCATATGTCAGGGGCGAGTGCGGCCCTGGCAATGTCTCTAGATGGTATGGCTAACTCGATCTGCTTGCAGCATTCTTTGAAGTATCACTCGAAGCCGCCATTGGCATCATCGACCACTACTGGTTTTACACTACCCTGACCGAACATTTTCGAAGACCGAGGCCAGATGATGAAGATCCATCGTGGTTTGCCCTCCGCTATACCGTCTATGCATTCGGATGTCGAATTTCCAAGAGTAAGAATGAGCCATATTCACATGCGGCTGAAAAGTCCGTGGCTCTGTTTGAGAACGCTTTATCGGTGCAACTAGACATAATGCATCGTCGCTCTACTATCATTAGCGTCAGAGCCTTGTCGCTAATGGTGAGTTTCTATGTCAGGTAACCTAAACCAATAATTGCTAACAAGGTCCTAGGCATACTTTAGCGAGGGCATCGGTAGCCCTCACACGACATATACACTGATCTCGAATGCAATGCGCCTAGCAATCGCGAAAGGTCTCCACTGCCAGGCGCCACCCACCTGGAGACTTTCACATCGAGAAATATTGCAACGCAACCAGCTGTTTTGGAATATATACGTACTGGACAGGCAGATTTCTTCCCGCTCAGGGCTTCCACCAGTAGGGATCGTCAGTCTGGACGAGAGGAACGATGAGTATTGCTGACTATCATCGCAGGCTATTGACGACGACGAAATCAGCTGCGATGCTCCTAAACTATCAACCAGCATTAGTGATATAAGCACCCCATTCACCACAATAAGCGTCCTGCTCAGTCAAATTCAATCGCAAGCCTACAGACGGTTATCAAGTGCCCGAGCCCGGCGACAACCTACAGAAAAATTGGTACGCGCGGTGTCCGAGCTAAATACCGATGTAGATTCGTTCAAACGATCCGTCAAACACATCATACCGTTCGACGATGCCATCGAGGATGTCCAGCTGCCACCAAACATGACCAGATGTCAGCTCATGGTGGTATACTTTCTGTACTACAGCGTATTGACCGACATTCATAGCTCTTTGCTTGTACCTTGGTTCTCTTTCACCGACTCGGGCCAATTCGACGCTTTTCGAGCCCAGGTGGAAAGCTCATGTCGTATCGTTGCCGAGACCGCGCGCAATGTCATCTTGTGCAGTCGCTTGATCCGTCTGAAGCCGAATACACCCGTACTGTAAGATTCACTGTCTCCCCCAGTTGCTGTAGCAACGTTCCCTCCAGTCTACAACACTTGATGCTGAGCTGATCGAGGCAGGCTTGCATTATATGCTCCATTCCGGGCGTCCATCATGCTTCTCATCCATATCCTGTCGAATCCAGGTGCGCCAACCGCCCAGTCAGACTTGGTCCTGATGAGTATCGGGTCGGGATTCGCTCATCGCCTCAACTTTGAGACAGGTGGTGCTTTCAATTGGCCATTCATTGAAGAATGGGCTGCATCTGCTTCTGCGGCTGTTCACCGAGCCAGACCCTCAGACGCAATTCTTACAGCTCAAATTCGCGAGCCCAGCACTACAGCAGTAGACTCATCAGGTGCTGACGTCGGTGCTGAAGGTGAATCCAACACTGTCAACCTGGATGAAAATCAATACTTCCAAGAGGTATGTCCCATCCGAAATTCATACAATTTCCAACTTTTGCAACCTATGCGTATGTGCTTGATCGGGCAGGGGTAATGATGAAGATCATTGGACGGCTGATTTTGGCTCTTACCGATAGCTGTTCGACCCGTCATTCGAAGGTGATATAGACTTATGGAGCACTTTGGTACCAGTCATGTCTTCAGACGAAGTGGACATGGGTTTTTTCACAACTTGACAGGATGTTCCCCAGAAGCAAACTTCCCAGCATTATTGGCTACTCTTCAGGTGAGAACAAATCGCTTACGCCATATTGCGGCTTTGGCACAGTTGGTGCCGGCTAAACGTGGAGAATGCGGAACACGTTGTGACGAGATTGTCCAACTGGGAGTAGTGGTGTTGCGAGGATCGAGAATCCGGAGCCAGAAGCACATTTTTCCAACTTATTGTTTCCGGGGTCCAGTAGCATCTGGATGTTTGACAAGACTGAGAGTTGGACCTGTCGTCGTGTCTTCAGCAATGATTGATACATGTAATCGGTGTGATTGGGTTTCAGGATTTCTCTAGTATTTACCTCCACTTGCCACACACCAGCGCTGGAAGAACGGGCTTACTTAGACGAGGATAATATATCTCAAGCCACCCTGAATACGCCAAAAGCAAAAATAACATATCTCCAACGATCTCGCGTCACCTTAGGACCGTAACCGTGCCTTTTTACTAAGACCAGGACAGGGTGTTTGGAAGACAATGAGACATGGGTGGGAAGGGGCAAGGGCAGCAAAGACCGATGCGAGGCTCATTGAGCATGCTGGTCCCTACATCTGTGTGTTCATTCGCGTCATCGTGATCAGGGAACTGAAGTGACCCAAAGGGAGCTGACTCATAATGGTGATCAGTGGATGCCTGCTACACTACTTGACAAAAGATACGATACACTCAGCACAAGTATTGTCGTGACGTTGCCCGACTCACTGAAAGACGCACTCTTGCTCTTACTGTGGCACTGACTTGGGAGTTTCTTCTGGCTCCTTTAGGAAGTATGACAGAGCTAGTTCTGTTCTATCAGTGAGGCTCCTCAATCTAGAAAACCGCGGGCGTAGTAAAGCGCTCCCCAATTTCTTTCCGCGTCTTCAGGCGTCGAACCTCGTCGGCGGTCAGGCCTTCTTTGCCATCTGGACGGACCTTAGCCAAGATCTCCTTGGCCCATGACTCGGCATCAATGTCTGTCCCCATTGGATTCATGGCAAACTTGGGTCCTCTCACAAATTCATCGGCCTCTTCAGTGGTGTCGAGGTTGTCCACCTGCAGTTCCACCTTATTGCCGTCCGGGTCGCGGTAGTAGAAACTGGTGGTGGGACCATGGTTGACGGTCCAGATTGGCAGCATGTCCTTGGCTTTCAAGGACGTGTAGACCTGAGCCAGTTCCGTAAGTGTGGAATATGTATATGCCAGATGGTCAACTTCAGCGATGCGTTGGTCTTTGGGCTTGGGAACGTGCTCGGGCTTAGCGGCGATGGCAATGCGGTGATGCTCTTCATCATAGCGCAGTAACATGAAATACGGGACTTCGAAGGCGATCGTTGCATTCAACAAATTAAGGTACCAACGTGTCATGGCCGCGTAATTGTCCGTGGTGGTCCGAAGAACAGCGTGTGCGAAGGCACTGGGACTTGGATGGTCGTTTTTAACGTTGTGATGCTCGTCCTTTGCGATCATTGTCGCAGTTGTATTTTCGCTATAAAGATATGCTGGGCTCCAGATGCTCTATGTTCCTGCCTCCTATTCGCGGGTGTTGAGTTCAAGATTTTACCTTTTCAACAGAGAATCTGTCCGGAGCGAGACACTCTCTAAGTTTTTAAACATCAGCTCAATGAGTAGGTCCTTATTCAAAGGTCTTGCGTTGCTGATCGAATGTCTGCTGGAACAATTTCCCCGGGCCCGACTCATAACATGTCACTAGCGTTCAATCAACTCTTTCGGCATTCGGGGATATATCCAAACATATTTGCCGGTGCCGGCGACGTACGAATGTAAAGTAATTGGTAGCCTCTCGATAGTGGGTCGACTTCGTCTCCTCGATTAACCGGAGTGCATCGAGATATCGACTAGACCTGTTGGTATGCCATCATCGCGATGATCAAGACACACTAGCCAAGACCAGATTTGTTCGAAACCACAGCATCTGCGGAAGCATACAGCATGTAAGCCGGAGATATGCAAAATTGGTACCTTTTATGCTTTAGGTGTATTTTCCCCATTACTTTTGCCTGTCGACGCTGGCTAATTTCGTAGACAGTACCTTCAAGCAGCCTTGTAGGCAACTCATTATTACAACCACTTATAGGCCGACCTTATCATCAGCCCAATTTTATACTCGTACATCCTCAGAATGTGGCGGACCAACCACCAGGAATCATCCGTATCCAGTTTCCCACCCCAAGCCATTCTCTTACTAATCTCAATATCTCTCCATCACTCTATGCCTGCCATCCATAGGGGCATCCACAAGGGTGTCCATCATAGGCATAATGACCTCTCTTCCTTGTGCATCGAAAAATCGCTTCTCCGGCTCCACCGCGCGATATCTCGGCTGTTCTATGGGAAGATATTCCTGGTGAACCCGGGGCCTATCATCAACAAACACGCTACCTTCACGAGCTGCGGGACGCACGCTTTGACCACGAGTCAACATTTCCACGGGTCGTGATTCCTCGTATCTGCTTGCAACGGGTCTCACACTTGACATACGTATCGGCTCTCGAAACTCGGCCCGATCATCCGCATAAACGGGTTGACGAGAGGCCCGGTCCACAACTTGAACGCTGGAGGGTCTAGCTAGTTGTGAAGGATCATGATATTCTCGTGTGGCGGACACAGGAACAGCTGAGCTCCGACCCGGTTCCCCCAGACGGCGGTAGGTGATCTGCGGCGGTGGCATTTCTGCTGCATAAGATCGTTCTGGACCAGAATCGACAAAGACTGAACTTGCTCGTGGTGATTGATAACTTTCGTAAAGTGGTTCAGGCTCACCTCGTCGAACCGACATTGCTCTGGGGGCCACAGAAGGACGCTCAGGCGCAATGATCTCTCGAAATTTTCGGCCATATTGATCAACCACTATTCTCTCCATAGGAGGTGGTGGTGGTGGCATCGGTTCCGCGGCATATCGGTAGCCACCCTCACCATCATCGTACACTTCGCGGTAGACTGGGGCTGGTGTTCGCATCACTCTCACCTCCTGTGGAGGTTGGTCGTACTCGATCGGGATATCACGGGGTTGTCGAGGTGATTCCATGAGTGCAGGACTTCCAGTTCTCGCGTAAGATGCTGCTCGGGCACGAAGAGGAGACTCGTAGTATGGCTCTACATAGTCTCGAGTTGCCTCGGATCGCATGTTGTGCAGACTGGCCACACGACGCAAGTCTTGATCGTCTCTAACAGGTCTCATACTGGCTCTGGACGATACGCGAGGCTCACTCAAGGGCATCAATTGCTCAACTTGTCGTGGGAGTGGTCGTAAGGGAGATTCCACATACCGTGTTGGGGGTGGTGGCATATAACGAATTTGTTGAACTGGTTCGTCATCTTCGACAATGATCGGTCGCTCGGAAGCAGCAGGGCGCGGTCTTCCAGACCCAAGAGGCTGGACGTCATGAAATGGTGGAGGCGAGACATTTTCTTCCTTAATGAAAGCATCTGGCGAGAGACCACCATTTCGACGAGTCCTCCTTGGCCTTTCGACTTTTCGTTTCTTCCGGGCTGGCAACGACTGAGAATCATCTGGGCTAGGTGGAGAACCTTGCTGTTGTGCTCGACGGGTCCGCATTTGACGACCATTCTGTGAAAAAGGTTGATCCTTAGCTACAGCAAGAGGAGACACACGTGATGGTTGAGGGGCAATGGGAGATGTGATATGGTTTCTTACAATGCGCATATTGGCTTCAGCAGGAGAAGCGGCTCTCCTCCCGTTGTCACCTGCTTCTGAGTATCTGCGCAAAGGGCGACCTCGTGGATCTCGACTATCTTGCATAGCTCCAGGAAGGGTATTGCTGTTCGTGGGATACTGCTCTGTTGCCTCTGGTGGTGAATATTCTCCTTCCTCCTCTTCATCATCCAAATCCATGATGGCATGGTCAACGGGGACATTGTGCTTAATTGGATCTGGGATCCGGGGTGGTGAATGTCGGATGTAAGCTAGGGCATCGGCGTCGTCGTCCATTTGAAGGGGTTCTCCCATAACGGCACTCACACGAGGACCTGATGTTTGGTCAGCTTCACCGTCTTCTTCTCCTCCTGAAGAGCTGGGCCCGTCCTGAACAGAATCGGGTGCTCTACTAGAGTAGAAGGAATTCTCATCCAGGGAGTCTGAGGCGTCGGCGTCATCCTTGGCTGAGGAGGGTTTGACAATATCAGAGGCTTTTGTGAGCATGGCCTGCAAATCAAAATCGGGTTTTGCCTCTGCAGGGGCCGGCTTCTTGCGAGCATCCAATCTCTTCTGCTCGAACTGGTCTTTCAAGGCCTTTTCTAGGCGCTGTCTTTTCAATTGAGTTTCAGCCCGGACTAGATCATCTGATTTGGTCAAAAGAACAGGGTCAAATTCAGAAACATTACTGGCAGGTTGAGTGGAAGTGGTGAATCCTCCATTGAGTTGTTTCTGAGATCTTGTGGCTTCCTCTTCACGCTTGGACTGGAGATTCGCAGAATGGGTCTGCGAGGCACTGGGAGGGTATGTGGGAGGAATGTTCAAGTAAGACTGGGACGAGGACTGAGACTGAGACTGAGCAGAAGGATGCTGAACAGCATGCGCAGGTACTGTCAGTCGAGGATGATTACCCGCGAATACCTCATCGCGTAGTTTCAAGATCTTCTCGTACTCGAGCGCCTCATTCAAGTGACGCACTACTGGCATATTGCCGTTGAGCAAGGGACCAACGGTAGCCGCCATGGTTGTTGGCGCGTGGAATCTCGCGCGACTTTCAGGAGAACAGTTCAATTACCTGCCAGGCAACATGGCGAAAGCAAAATCATGTACTTGGAAGAAATCGAAGGCTATCTCCGATTAGAGAGCCAAAAAGAATTGGGGAAAGAAGGAGATTGTTGATAATAAGTAGAAGAATGAAAGAGTGGACGACGAAGTGAAAGTAATTGAAATATGTTGCTGGAAAAGTGAAAGTCACACTGGCAAGTGCAGGAAACAGGAAAAAGGCAGCTGCACGGAAGGAGCCACCAGCCACCAGCCACAGTTCACAGCACGTGATTATCCGCTGCTTTTAATAGCACTGCCAAAACAATTTTCGCCGCTCAATTTGATTTCGATGATGCGACGAGTCTCAACCACAGAATACTACGAGACGGGACGCTGAGACTACTGAGTCACAACATGTCCAACTTTTAACAATGTGATTTCAAAGCATCAACCACATTCCTTGCATTACAAAGAGGGCTGTAGACCTACTCCTTTGTCAAGAGGAATACTTCACTCGTTAATTAATCACCCGGCTTGAAAGTCTCCCTGGCCAATTTAGAGATTAAATTCTTGCCGACCACAACCATGGCCATCACCGAAGCAAAGGTGGACCACCGGCCAGTGTTCTTCTTTGACATAGACAACTGCCTGTATCCCAAGAGCAACAATGTGCATGACCACATGGCCATTCTGATCAACAAATACTTCATCAAACACCTCGCTGTCTCGACCGAAGAAGCGACGCGATTACATCAGCAGTACTACAAGGACTACGGTCTTGCGATCGAGGGACTATCGCGTTTCCACAAGATCGATCCTTTAGATTTCAACCGGGAAGTGGATGACGCTCTCCCCTTGGACGACTTGCTTAAACCCGATCCCGAGATATTCAAGATCCTGGAGTCTTTCGACAAATCCAAAGTCAAGTTATGGCTCTTCACCAACGCGCACATCACGCACGGCCGCCGTGTGGTGAAGCTGCTGGGCATTGAACATTTCTTCGAAGGAATTACTTACTGCGACTATACGGAGAAGCGACTTGTGCCGAAGCCGCTGCCTCAAATGTTCGCGAAAGCCGAGCGTGAAGCAAGTGTCCCTGCTGGCACCCAGGTCTACTTCGTCGACGATTCGCACTTGAACTGCGAAGCAGCATACGCTAGAGGATGGAGAAATACGGTCCATCTGGTAGAACCATCGGTGCCCAGCCCAGCAAAGAAAGCAAGTGAATTTCAAATCAGTCATCTCAGAGAATTACTGGGGCTGTTCCCAGAATTATTGAAGAATTAGGGTGTTTGCTCATCATCAGTATTGTATGAGTCGATCCATCAGGGATACTATGGTACAAGAGAAATATTGGATATATGTTTAAAAGAACGATACCCCCGAAAGAACAAGAACATTTTGAAGCCGCTCACAAAAATCATTCTCGCTAAGAAAAGTGCGGAGATTTGTGCTTGAACGCTCGACACACGACACAGAAATTAGACCACACAAGATAATAGAACAAAGGAATATCCATATCCTCCACAAGAATCATTAATCGTCATAGGTAGTCATCAAGAAAAAGAAGAAGAAAAACCCGGCCATCGTCAGGTCAAGACTATTTGTCGTCGCAGGCCATGAAGGTCACTTGGGCAGAACCTCCAAGCTCCTGCGTGCCGTCTGGCATGCCAATTTCGCACCACGGCGTCCAGAATCCAACGGGAACTGGAAGCTGTGCATTTCGCACCATCAATGGTGAAAGATTTGTCCTGACACCCCAGTCTCCAGGGGATGTCGGAGTACAGATCGGTGGCTTTGGAAGCCATCTGCTCGGTGTGTTTCCAGATCTTCATCAGCTCATTCGAGTCGAGCACATGGAGACTCATTAGGCTGGAAATCTCGTCGTGTAAATGTTGGATCAATTCGGGGGCGAACGACTCGATGATGTGTCGGAACGTCATGCCATTGAACTCATCCGGTCGTGTGACGAAAATATATTTTTGGAAGATTGCGAGGCCCTCTGCGAAAGATTGATGGCCTTTGACGTTCTCCTCCATGGCCCCGGGCCGACCGAGTAATTTCTCTACGGCCGGGAACATGAAATCATCCTCCACCTTGTGGTGGTGATCGAGACTGGTAAAGAGTTGTTGGTTGAAAAGAAGGAAATCAGCCGCTGCCTGAGTGGAGGGCTTCACCGTTGGAGCATAGTTCCACGATGAGTTCAGTGCGCGAATTATCATGTTGTGGATCTGAGCCATCTGCCGGGCACAGCTAAATACCGAGTGATGCCTCGACACGGTCGATGGAACATTCTCGGGATGGATGGTGTTAATGAGCGGGTAGTGATCATCTGCCCAACGGGGCGCCTGCATGCTTATTCTTGAGGTGTTGTGTGTCGAGGCTGACACTTGCGACTGTGCCGAGGACCTGGCTGATCGGTTTGAGCGAACGGAACGTGAAGATGATGACGAGGATCTTTGCATGTTGGCTGTGTAGACCTCTCGCTCTGCTTCTGACAGATATAGTAGATGTGAGTAACGAGGCTGAGTAGGCGACTTTGCTCCTGATGCAGCCTCTGGAGACGAGTTTCTAGGAACAGGTTCCCGGATGATGGGTACCTCCAACATGATGGCTGCAGGCTGTCAATGGAGCGGTGTGTGTGTTTGTCTGAAGCACGTGGTGAGAGTAAACAGTCTTAATAGAGAATGATAGACTGGAATATAAAAACGGCTGTCGCTTGTAAGAAAGGAAGGTTTGTTGATCTGGAGTTTGAAGGGAGACAAAACAATATGCATGCGAGACTCGGACAGGATCCACGCGTTTATGTATCTGAGAATGAATGCATGGCAAAGTTCTACCAGTGGTATAGACGCTATGTGTCAGGGCCACCCTGGTCCTTGGAAAGTACCGGGGACTTGCCTGTGAGCATTTTTGGGTTTTTCTCTCCATCTGACAACTCACATGGTTACACCTGGATCAGGGAAAACGTCAAAAAAAGATGACCAGTCTAGCGAAAGCCGAAGAACGTAGCAACTAAAGAGACTAGGGAATGCGGTGGCAAGCTTGAAACCCGATCAGGTGGTGCCACCCTTCCAAGTTAGTATCAACGCCTTGACGATTGGAATAATTATCAAGCCACCAGGATCCTTTGATGTCGCAAAAGGACGAAGGGAGGGGGGAAGGTGGATGGTCGGAGCTGAGATACGAGGACCATCGCACCTACGAGCAGGTTAGTCAGGCACACCTTTGCTCTCAGTTCTCACTGGCACCTGGGCAGGTCTGACTCGGGCCCCTTGCATATTGCTGGCAGCCTCAAGTCAATTAGCGTCAGGTACCGTCGCAAGGGCCAACACGAACACAAAGCTCCCGCACCCAAGTGAAAGGTTTCTATTCCCGAATGTCACACCCTTGAACGCTAATTACGCTGAGACTGGCAGGGGTGGATCAGCTGGCAAAGCACTGACACCCTGGATACACCCTGCGAGTCCACGTGGAATGCTCAAGATTGCTGGGGTTGGATGCCTGCAGATGTCTAGTGCCAGAGGCACTGTCCGCATTTCATTCTTCCGCGGTGATGGGTTAATCAAAAGGCACAGGGAAGAAGCCTGCTTTTGCCATCAATGCCCACCGTTTATTGGAAATTGTTGTATTACGTCAAGATTTCCCGCTGTCCACTTTTCAAATTCTTGAGAACAAAGTTATTATCTACCGAACTTGATGGGCAGCTACCGAATACTGGGTAACTCCTACCCTGGACCAGGCTGGCAATTTGCACTGAGCAACAGAGTCACTGCTCGATTCCTCATACTCATCTGGGATCTGCAGGGGACTGGAAAATCATTCCTGGACACAGTTCGACTAATTCTTCCGAATTGGCTCAAGTGTGAAAAAGGCTCGACTGTCAAGGCTCAAGGGTATGCTGTCATGTTGTTCGCTAAGCTCCACCTGACCTGCGTGTTTCCGAAAGTTGCATCAAGACTCAAGAGATCTGAAAGGAGAAGCGAGCGACGTCCGTCAGACCTCAGGACTGCTTTAGGCAGCTCCTGCAGAAATGACTTCCACTGGCAAAAGCGTGATAACCTTGTGCTGGATTGGCCTTCGGAAAGCGCGGTGATGGCTTCTGTGGCAGAATTGACGGTTTGGAATTTAGGAGGGAGTGGTGGCCGGTGTGGTCACTCGTCAGTGTTCACCGGGTTGGCCGAACCCTCTAAGCGGTCAGTGCCGGGTAAGGCTGGTTTAGGGAACAACTATGCAAAATGGCTGGCTGTTGGTGTTGCACCATCATGTTGAAGAAGCGAATGAAGCGAACGGATCTCGATCTAGACGTGTCCTCATCTTGCAATTCCTTACCGTCTTTACGGATAATGCATGTGTACCAGGCTATGCTTGATTACCTCGTCCTGGATTTAACGAGAAGAATTCTCCCCATGAGCAAGGTTCCAGTTATGCTCAATCGTACTAAATAAACAACACAAACAACAATATTAGCCTTGGACAGGGATAGGGGTGGTGACGAAGGCACGTAGTTACCCGTGGCGAAAGATATCATGACCTACGGAAGAATCGACCAGGCAAGACAACTGGCTGTCCGATAACCCATGGAGGCCAGCCATGTCATGACTCTTTCCATGGGCCATGGCATGATGGAGACCAATTCAAAGTTCGGCGAGCTCGCGTACCTGCATGCATGCGTGACTTGTCAAAGAGGGGGTGGCCAGTCTCTAAATGCCACTAACGCCAGGTAAGGAATAGGCCAGGTACACCCGAACTGAAAACCCAACAGGTGAGGCTCCTTAGGCTCTTTAGGCTCTCTAGGCTCTCTAGGCCACGGTAACAACCGTCCGTTGGCACGGATAGTTCCCCCCCAGATCTGCAAACCGACTGCCCAAGTTGAACACCTGCACACCACAACCAAAGAACTATCACCCTCCAAATCTGATAGCTTCACGCCTATCTTCAAATGTGGTGGTCACACACGACAAACCGACACAGATTACCCCGCAAACGCTCCTCGATGGCTTCAACCCCCATCCCGATTCATCGATTCATGCCTTCCTCTAGTCCCCTTTAAACACGGTTGCGAACTTGCCAGCTGAAGGCCATGCAAATCGGCATGAGGCAGAGAGGGGTTCCTGACTAGCGACGCCAGAATGAACGATCGATCTCAAAATGGTTGACACCACTTCGAAAATCGTAGATCTCATGACATGTTGCACTTTAGCTCTTGGGTCCCATGGTGGCTTGCAATCTTCTCTCTAGTGTCTGGGCAGTGCCTCGCAGGGCGAGAAGACTCTTCTCAAAATAGGGAAATGTCTTTCTCGTGATGACTCGGCAACCAGCAGGTGTGAGGGGCTAAGACTGAAACCTGTCATGGATTGCTTTCAATCGTGACCGCATGACCTTTGAAACGCTTTCGATGCGAGTCTATCCTGCATTCTGCTTGTATGCTTTGTTTAGAATGAGACTGGGACTTAGCCAGCTACCTAGTATGGATATTGCTCACTGAGTATGGCTGGCCTGTGTACCTGGCTAGCCCTTGCACTCAATTTTCCTCATCATGAGTGCTCGCTCACTGAGAAACAACAGAGCCTGCGTACAATCATCCCCACAGTCTGTGACGGATGGTATCCTTCTGTTGGCCGACAACACAGAGGGGCAGCCACAGTGTTCCAGTTGCCCCAGGTCCTCAGTCTGGAGAAGCCAAGGTCATGCAGGATTCGATTCGCTACCGCCACCGTGAGGGGTGGGTGGTACTCGTATGCATAGAGGTGAGGCACACGCACGAGATGGTGTGTTGCTAAACCCCGCGGAGGCGCTGGGCTCCTGAGGTGCTCTTTCAAGCGCAACCTCTTCAGCACAGGGGTTGTCCCTGATCTGTTCTTCAAATATCACCCTTTGGCAATCCGCCTCTTCCTAGTGGATGTTCCAGAGCAGGGTCATAGTCCGACCCGAAGTAGTCGGACGACAAGACCGGCTTTGCGCGGTCAAGGAATACCTTAGGTATGCTCAGGCTCAAGGTACGTCCTGACCACCTGCATGTTTACCTAGGTACCGTACCTGAGATAGGTCCGCCTAACTCCTACTTTTGCAGGTGGGTAGTCAGTAAGTGTGGGGTAGGTAGGCCCCCCTCTCTCCAACCCTGCAGCACTGGCATGAATCCTTTCCTTTTTCTCAACGTTGCTTTGACCAGACTTTCGTGTTCAAAGGCATCTGGACACAGCCTCGTGTTTTTGTCACTCCAGCCCTGCTGAGATACATTTCCTTGAAACGCCCAGACAGGCATTGGCATTCCCCTCGAAGGTTCCAAACGTGGCCTCCATATGATTGACAGCCATGCTCCTTTCTGTCAATCAGTGCTATTGTACGAGGTAACTGGCATCTATGCTTCAATGTCGCCAACCCCTTCGGTTTCTAGAAGTTGGTGCTTGGACGTGTGTGATCGTGCACCGTGGTTGCGTCGGTAAGGCTGGATGCCTTCTGGGCTGAGCCGAACGAGGGAAATGCCTCGCGCCAGACCATAGGTGGCCAAACATGTTGCTCCTGCCATAATTAATGGAAGTAATGGAAGCCTTTTGAGGTAGGCATTCTCAGCAGTGAAGTGCTCCCAATTAGTACGCTCTAAAAGTCCGATTTTGGTCTTGATTAGCCAATTCCATGTCTTCGATTAACGTGCAGATGCTATCAGAGATTCTCACGGGCGGTTACGGATCTCCCTTCAGCCTTTATCTGATAGCATATATTTCTTGGTATGCACTTAGTTATCTGGTGGAGAGTTACAGATTCCTTTAGTCCAAGTCAGGGATACTCTCCTCTCCCCTATCAGATATCTTTTAACGATCACAGTCCGAGTATTGCTATCGACGGTGGAGAGAATATATCCCTTTATGGTAGGACAACATATGGGTCCACACTTCGCTTGGGTCCTTTATGCTATACGACTCGTTGCAGCTTTCAACCTCCTTTACATAGGAAACTATCGAAGAGTCAGGCCATGGCTTCACAGATCTCTTCGCAAGGAGCGTGCTTCAAGCCACTGACTGAGTCAACGTTCATTGAAATACCACCAGGTCAAGATTCTGTCTCGAAGATTTGTTTCTTCTGCGATGGATACGGGTAGATGGTATTTGGTAACTCCCCATCTAGCTCCAGGATATTGAGCACCCTTAGAGTCCTGCAACAAGCAGTCTGAACTCTGACCATCTTTACCACAATTGCACGTAAGTTCCAAATCGCCTCCACTTGGGCATGGCATAGTAATCATCGAGATACTTGATCTCTTGCGCGGTCAAGATTCTTCTCCCAGTAATGAGATCTGCCGTCTTTGGATCGCGCCACTCGGTTCGCATGATCAATTTGTACGCGAGTGTGAAACCCACAATAATCAACAGTCCAATGATGTACTGGAAGAACGTGTACGCGGTGAAGCCTCCGCCACCCAAGGGCTTAGCTCCAGCGAAGATGCAGCAGACAACAAGCAGGATGGAGATCAGCATCATCCAGATGGGCATCAGCGGCCATGAAATGGACTTCCAAGCGTAGACTTGTCGGAAGAGAGGATCGTTCTGGGCTTGCAGGGCTTGGTGGAAGCGCCAGGATGTGAATGAGATGATCATCCAGTTAATGAAGTAGGCAGAACTGGATATGTTGACGAGCCAGACAAAGAGTTCATAGCCGCCAGCTAGGTAGGTGTTAGTTAGCACAATGAAGACAAGGAGACTGAGAAATTTCCTTACAGCTCAGACTGAGATAGCTCAGGAAGACCGCGACAGCACAAGTTATTGCGAGTGCCCAGCGTGGTCGGCCCCGACTGTCCACCTTTGCAATAAATTGAGGAACTAATCGCTTGTGTGCCATTTCTCGCACAATCCTGGAGGACAAGTAGATTGATTCGGCTGCGATTGCCAGTATACCAGTGATCATGGCTGCGTTGATGAGATCTGGAACGCCTGCGATATTCGCGTCTGCAATCGCGATGACGAACGCAGACGCGGTAACGTCGGAGCCCCCAAGAAGACGCTCATCATCGGACCTTACTAGAAGTGTAATGAAAACAACACTCAACATGTAGACGAAGTTGACTCGGAAAGGCACGAGTTTAGTCGCGTGTGCCATGCTGAAACGAGGAGATGAAGCCTCGCCACCCATAATGCCAATCTTTAGCAATTGTCAGAAGTGTCTAGAGAGAATGGAGATTGAATGCTTACGAAGACTTGATCCCCGACGCCTGCAACAGCCAGCAATGCACAATTGGCGAAACCCTGAAGATGTTAGCTGGTTGAATTGCGAGACAATCTGCTCCAAGAAAACCTACAGTAAACCCATTCTTGAACGGTGGTAAATCTCTCCAGTAAGCTCCATCATGTACATAGCCTCCTGGACCTGCGCCGCAGACGATTGCCAGAGACAGGACGATGATCAACAGGAATAAGAAAATTTTGATCACTGATGTGACGTACTCAAACCAAGCGAAGGCCTTGTTAGGAAGGAGGAATATCGCAAGGACAATGACAAGGAAAATTGTGACTTTGAGGTCAGTTTCTCGATCTCTGGGAAATGTAGTTCCACTCACTGGATGCTGGTAGTGGTAAGGCACCTTCAGCCCAGTACTGCACGAAGATATTAAAGAATATGGCTTCGAGTGCAACAACAGCAACCCAGCCTAGAATGTAATCAGTATTTGTTCCTTGTTTCTCTTGGGTAGCAAGCAACCATACCGAGCCATTCAGCGAAACCAGCACCGAAAGCCAGCGCAGGGTCAACCCATCGATCGGCATAGTCGATGTAATTGCCACTGGTCGGGAAGGCAATGGTCATCTCTCCAAGGGTCTGTAACACGGCCCAGATGCATGAACAGACCAAGAAGTAAGCAATGATCATGAAGCCAGGGCCTCCATTTGCCAATGCCTTGCCTGTGCCGAGGAACACGCCGCTGCCGATATTGGATCCAAGAGAGATAATCTGGAAGGTCAGGAGTCAGATCGAGTGCCTTGTGATATGGCAGAGACGACCCTCTGTGGTCATGAAACTCACATGGATCTGACGAGGGGAGAAGGAGCGGTGGAATTGACCATTCCTGCTGTCGGCCAACTCAGCCAGCGACGCCTGTTCGATACTTGAACTGGGATTGAGCCCATCTCCGATAGCAAATTCAGCTTCTTTGTCTGCTGCTTCTACAGCTCCTTTGTTGTCGATAATCGGAGACATCGTGCTGTCCGGAGTCTTTGGAGGCCTCTCGACGAACAAGATGAACTGTGGTCATACTTTCCTCCTTGAGCATTGTACATGGCAGGCATTCGACTCTTATGGTGGGAAATCGGGCCATGATACCCGTTAGAAACTAGAAGTCTGGTAACTGGTATGATTATCATCGACTAATTAAGACATGGACTCCACATGAATTTGCTATCTAGAATATCTGGAAGCACTCGGGATAAGCTATCGAGGAGCATTCTTACCCCGACTTGTGGATTTTGGAGTAAACTTGGGGGTTCAGCTGAGCGGTGTGCCAGCCTTACCTTGTCATCTTCCTAGTATTTGACAGGTGAGGAAAGTTCCGAGGTACTTTGGTTCGAGGCTGACCGGGAGACTCTCCAGAAGTGAGCAGAGATCGCATACTAGGTACCGTGGTGTGCATAGTTGACATCGCCTTGAAAGAACACGAAATCTATACAAGTGGTGGATCGTGTCCACTCTAGTCCGCGCTGAAAAGACCGATAAAGTGCAGAGAGAAGCTAAATGCAGGTCCTGTGTGCTGTAAATGGTAACTGTGCCGAGCACGTGCCAGTTCCTGTCTCGTTAGCGCTTTGCTAATTCTGGTATTAGCTTTGCTTACGTTCGTTATCAGTCTAATGTTATTTGTTTACGAATTACTGTGCGAGGCGTGTATCTTACTCGTAACTCCAGCACAGGTACACGCTCGCTGAACCTCGTCGGAGGGCTGAAAAGAGCCATTATCAAAGATGAATAGCGACAGCACACGGACAGCTGCTCGAGAAAGGTCTAGGAAGAGGGCCACATCGTCATGGCCAAGTTCAGATCCATCCTCCAATAATATCGACATTTTCGCGCTCCAGTACACCTATCACACTTGTGGCTGTGCGCTTCATGATTAGCCTTTAGCCTGATCGTAGCAGCCAGCGGGCATGTCTGCTGGCTGCTCCATGTCCGCAGTGTCTATGTCCTCTTGTGATCGAGCGCCCCCTAGTTTGGTATCAGCCTTCGCTTCGTACATTTTGCCTTGTCGCGCGCACCATTAATCGATATACATACATCAGAATTGCAAGTTACCTAGGTACTACCTAAAGAAGAGAACAAATGCATGTCTCCTAATGGCGGACAGAAACGTGTTACCCCGAGAGATATGAGCGCACTAATAGAACAATATGGGCTCTTTTAGTCTTGTGAAGTGTACAGGGGGTGTTCAAAAGACATCAATTCGTACTAACTTCAGAAATCCGGACCAGCTGGCATCCGTTGATCACTGACGGTCACTTATCAGCATAGATACTCTATCCTTCACAGCCACTCACACCCTCGCAACCACCAACCTCTTGGGTATCATATTCAACCTCCTCATAGACTTCCCCTGTATACGCCTCGGCATACATCACCTCCTCACCAGCAACCCCTTCCTCGTACGTCGTGTACTCCGTATACATTCCCATTTGTTGAGCGTCCATGCTGTCTTGTTGCACGTACAACTCGTACTCATTACTGGTCATCCCTTGCTGTTGGATCACTAATACGTCATTATTGACAACCTGCTGCTGCTGGATAATAGTCTGGTTCTGCTCGATAATAATGTTCTGCTCTTGTGGCTGTGCTGCCAACATCTGAGGTTGCATCGAATATCCTGCTGGCTGTTGATCTTGGTATACTACCGTTGATTGTTGTGGCTGAATGAAGTTGTACGTCTCATAACCGACCGTACCACCGCCAGACGCAGAAGCTAGAAAAGCACCTTGCTCTTGTGATGGCACGACATATTGTACACTGGGTTGCTGTTGGGAATACCCCGGCTGGGATGGTTGGTGGCTTGCGGATGGTGCTGGTCGTCGTCGAGGAGGAGGGCGTTGGACGGCTTGGCTGGACGTTGGAAGACCGGAGGTTTGTGCCTGTTGAGTATATGGTGGTGGAGCGGGGTTGTCAGCAGGGGCCTGGATGATGACACTTGCTTGTGCTTGGAGTGAGTATGAATTTGCTATGTGCGGCTGCGCAACGACGGTCTGTGGGTTGGAAAGTCTGAGTGGGTGGGGTCGCAGATCACTGTTCGATGCTGGAAGAAAAGCAGCAGTCGGCTCAGTGATAGGTGCAGAATGAACCGGTAATGGGTTCGGTGCAATGATTTGGGAAGACAGGTTTACTGATGTAGAAGTCTGTGTGGCTTGCTGTACTGACCCTGGTGGTTTCACGGTTGCTGAGTTGGATGCATTATGATTGAGTTGACCCTCAATGCCAACCTGAAATACCGTGTTCTCTCCACCAGGTTGTTCGGCTTGTTGCACATTGAGAGCGCAAGGTTGCGCTATCTCAGTTGCTGGAAATTGATTATCGGTAGCAGCAACCGTTCCCTGGTACGACTGCGCCAAAGACATTGTGCCATTGATGATAACTGATTGCGGGCGAACTGGGCGGCGTGCAGGAACTCCAGTTATCGTTGTTTGAGATGCTGCAGGATGCGGCCTTGGTACAATTGAGGCTTCTTGCTGCTGCTGCTGCTGCTGTTGCTGAAACTCGTCCTCATGGGTCTTCATTGGAACTTGTGCTGGATGTTGAACAGGGACTTTCATCTGGTACTCAACCTGACCATCATAGGGGATGAAATGGCGATCCTTTGGCTGATATTTCCCCTTTTTGTCTGCTGCCTCAACCATCTCACCCATCATAGATTTCAACGCTCGACCAGTTTTGACACCCATTGCTCCCGTCTTGATGACCATCTTTTTGGACATTTTTTGCATCTTCTTGGGATCTACCATAATTTGTCCAGCAACTTTGGCCTGTCGAGTTGCTAAACTGGCTCCACTGATAGTCGCATCTTTCATGGCATGAGTCGTGACCGCTAAGTCTGCAGCGAATTTCTTGGTGAGAACCGTACTATTATTGCGTTCCGAAAGCTGGTGCACTGCTAAAGCTTCATTAAAACCTGGCACAGCTTTCCTTGCCATTGTCGTATTGACGCTTACGGTCACGGACAACGGGTCTTGAAGGGCTTGAACAGGAGCAGTCTGTCTTCGGTGCAGTACAGGAGCACCAATGGTGGCATTCTTGCCAGGCGCCGTTGGATACCTTGTGATCTGAGGCATCTGAGTATTCAAAGGCCGAATCTGTGGCTGTATCTTGGCTTGTGGCTGGGATACTGATGCCTGAGGTTGTGACGGGAATTCATATGAGCATCTTTGCGTCTCTGCATGAATATAGATTGTCTTGCCATCAGGGGTTTGTGACTTCATCCAGCCAAGTGGTAGTTGAGGAACACTGGGTCGTTCCCAAGAAGTTGTCCCTGTTGTTGGGTTACAGTACAATGTTCTGCCAGAAGGGTCTGCCATCTCGAGCCATCCTGGAGGTAGTGGCAACAGCTGAGGCTGAGGCTGGGCCTGAATTGGTACAACTGACAGGAGCGGCTGTTTGAGGTCGTAGCCTGACTGCAGATTGGAATCGATCGACGAAGCCTCGAGTGGACCTACATATTCTGCCATAACTTTGGTCACTACTGAAGTGGCTGCGAGGCTCAAAAGCTGCTTAAGCTTGAAAATTGAGAATTACTTGGTAGTTTTTGTGGTGGGAAGTGTAGGTAGAAAATCGGATATGCGATCTCTCATATGGCGGGATCGCTGCCTTGATCTGATCAAGCTCGTGTATGCAGGTTTTTCCAAGGCTTCTGGACAGGTCTCCTGCGACCTAGTCGTAAGTACCACGGTCAAGCACCAAGACAAGAACACGAGCTGGCCTGCCACCTCGGCCGCTTTCCCATCTTTAGAGTACTCCCCATGCTTCGAGATCGAATCAGGTGCCGAATAGGTGATGTCGCAAGCATGTCGAGTCCTGCAGAGCAGGGCTCTAGCTAAGCTAAGTCTTCGCTTGATTTCACTAGACCAGCTTAAAGCCCTCCAAGAAATAAAGAGACTTGTCATTCCCCCACCAAAGCTTCAACTTTTGTGCACCAGCATAAGAAGATGTCCAGTATCCTTACAAGCAATTCTGGAACAGATTCAGTAGGAAAATTATTGTTGATCGCGCACGACATTCGGCAGGACAGGAACCTCAATGTTGCAGACTTTCCTAGCCTTTTAAGTGATGGAGACTTGACCACCTCGCCTAACCAGCTTAGGTAGTCAGGGGGGGTCAAGGGGTGGTCCGAGGCTTGAGCGCCTCGCCCCGTTGGGCACCTCCAGCTTAGGCGATATCCCACCTCCCAGCCGAGATTCATATGTGAACACCTGATAGCAAAACAACTCATGATAATCAATCAAGTGGTCGGTACCGATACCTAACTTGTCCGTTGTGACCCGTCAAAAGTGAATATCCTGGATCGAAAGTGCCATGTGAAGTATTGTATAGTGCCTTCATACTTGAATATATCGACCAGACTATGCCACGACTCAATTCTCCATCAGATTTGCGGAGGCCACCTAGCAAGCCGACTTTAGCCTGCAACCAACCCCCCTTATTTCTCAACCAGAGCTTTGTTGATAACGCATGTGTCGGCGCCCTATCACTCTCTCCCCTCTACGGATAAAGCGTTGGTACTGTAATCTCTGTGCCCACTGGAGCAGAAAGGTAGGTAATATTAAGTGTCTAACTAAATCCTCATGTCGTAATACTTATTTCTGACCAGCTCCGAATTTGCCCATCAATGCCACAGCCTTGCCATCATTGACTTAGGCCCCTTGGTCTGTATGCTAATGTCACACCTCAATGGTTCTGTAAAAACTTGTTGATGTCGGCATACGTTTGCTTATGGCTATACTCCATGTTCAAGCCATGGCCACTGCCAGGAACAACAATGGTTTCGAGTTGAGCGTCGGGTGCTAATATGGTGGACAAGTTGAGAATGCTGGGGACTGCAGGGTTGCCAATCTGGTAGCAATCACCACCACAAAAGACGAGATCTCGCTCTCCCGTAATGATGAGAAGCGGACCAGTGAAGTTGTTTCTTACTGGACTGCCGACTTGCACAATCTCACCAATAGATGTCGGTTTGGTGTTGTTTACCGACCAGGGTAAGGCTTCGGGGTCGAAATTTCCTGGTGCGAGGAAAGCTGTTTGTATCCCTGAAGGATATTCCCATGCAATATAGCCTGCTGGATAGTCTTTCTGATATCTTGGAATCTCTGTGGTCGAAAGCCAGCTGGAGCCAAACATAAACTGGTCGGCCCAGGTCCCATTGGCACTGAAACCCGTAAGGACCGCGGCATCAGATATAGTGGGATAGTCGCGGATGAGGCTTAATGTCAATCCGGATCCAATGGAGTGGCCAACGTGTTGCACCTTTTCAAATTCATGCTCCACACCGGGGAAGGTACCATTGTGAATTTGTTCCGTAAGATATCTCAGAGCCTGTTCTGAAAGTGCCGCTTGCACATCCTGGATTGGATCAGGATGGTCGGACTCGCCCACCCCAATGCGATCCCAGGTCAGAGTGCTGAAGCCATATTCATCCACAGCAACGTTCACATAAGAGTAGTTGAAGTTGTTGAAAGATAAATCCCAATAGCTTAAATGAGATGTTAGGAGCGATCTCGGATCTATTCTAGTGATGGTTCCTTACTTTCGGTCGAATCCGCCTCCGTGTGTGAGGATCTGAATCACCTTGGAATGGCCATGATCCGGTGCGCAATAGGTTGTTCCGATATTATACGTCCCACTAACGATGGCATACTGGTATAGTGAGCGTCAGTAATTCGGCCTTAGAACATATGGGCCGAGATTCGCACCCTTTGAAAGCATCTGCGATGTATGAATGTCCTTGCCTATTGACATCGAGAATGAAATTGGTCACTTCAACATTGTTGGATGGAGCAGTAATGTTCCACACAGCGTTTTGTGCAGAAATTGTGACGGGTATGGTGAGATTTTGGCAATGTTTAGCAGACACAAGCCGAGCGGCCAATGCCAGAGCAATAGCAAAAATTGAGCGAAGCATATTTGAGGCTGGTCTATACAGTTCTCAAACCATCCAATGACCTACATTAGTACTTTATAAACTTTGCATAATGGCGTATTCAAATTCATCAGGAGGCAATGACATTAAATTTGTCATTAGGCGTCGCATGGCCTGGCGTGATTCAAGCCTTGCCGCAAATTTCGAATATCTGTCAGCATACGTCGATTCCTCCCGAGTACGCACCAAGGCTGTGCCCTGAAGTAGCACACTTATGCCTCGTAATGATCCCATTGTCCCTTTCAGACTCATAGTGGGCAAATGTGACTGTGTTCGGAGATTAAAATCATGTGCAATGCTGATTGACATTCCGCTTCAAGCTTTTGGCATTTTTTCGAAGACATCTAGCCTTGTCGAGGAATGATTTTCCCAAGCTGCGAAGTTGTATAGGATTTCAACACTCGCTGACATAGATGAACAAACCAATCGGCGGTCTTCTAGTAAAGATCAATACCATAGATCTGCAGTTGGCCTTCGCATCTTTCTCCGGGGTCATTCTTGGCACGGAATGAGGCATCGGACGACGGTACGCCAGTGTTATTCAAGACACTAGCAGAGGCGTATTCGAGCACCACGGCTGATAAGTGGTACTTCGTAGTATCTAGCCTTTCCTAGATAAAAAGGCAGTGATATTCGTGCTGACTCCTCTGCAATATGATGGGCTTTCGAGCAGAGAGGGAGAAGTGTTGAAGTTTTCCATGTGGTGTTGGCTCCCTGGCTGTTTGCCAGAGTCTATTTAAGACTTCTGCAGGCTGGATAATAGATCAGTCATCCTTTGTACTGACCTCCTCAAGGTCTAAGATGAAAATGTCCAAGCGTTTGCTGTCGATGTTTGATAAACGCATATTCGTTTTTGATGGAATTACTCACCAGGCTCAAGACACCTATTTAGTAATGTCAGATTCAGCGCAAGACATTATCGATGATCTGTAGAGTGGGGAGATTGGTTCTTTGAGCCTGACCTTGGCTGTTCAAGAGAGGTGCGGCAGAAGTGTCAAGGAATTTGCTTTGCAGCCTGGCCAGTCAATGACAACCCCGCAGCGTTGAATATTACTTTGTACGTGCTATCCCCGTGAGTTTATCAGGGCCAGCCCAGCAGAGTCAAAATGTTGGAGTCAAGTGGCGTGGACAGCGTAAACCATGCCTGAATGGGATCGCGTAAGCGGGTCATCTTAGAGTGCCCAGTTGTTATTTTGACGTTGATCTACATAGCTCTCCAGCGTCAAGAGTCAGGCCCGAGCGACATGCCAGATTATTAGGTGAGGTCCACTATTATTCATGATTCACGGATTTGCAAGCAAGCAGAGAGATGCACAGTCCTCGGACTACTGCTTAGACTGCAGAGCTCCTACAGTCGACAGTGCTGCACCTTCTGGCCTTCGTGCGCCGTGAGATCGAAACAAAGTCCAGCGAAAAGAACCAAGTCGTTTGGGAGCTTGGCCCTTTGAATCTCGTACCACAAAAAGCTTCAACATGGCTGTTCACTTCCGCAGAGTCAACTTATCGAAGTCAACCTTGCCGTTGACAGTTGTCCTCTCGTTGAGCTCGCTTAATGACCAATTGAACCAGAGCGATCTCCATTCAGAGTCTCTGAAAATCGGTAACCCCGCGAGTCGAGGCTGACTTCATGGAGAAGCTGGGGAAGGCTGACCGAAGACCCCTGCTCACCGAGGCACCGAGCATTTATCCTCGGGTCCTCAAACGAGACACTGCGGGCAGTCGATACTATGTATTTACCCTGCTATCCAATCTTGAACTTTCAAATCAATCAGATATTTCGCCAAGTTTGCAATAATGGAGGAGAACAAGTCAGTCCATACGAAATCTGAAGCTCCGGCTGCAGAACAGATTGAAACTAGCGAGAAGCAAGTCTCCAACCTCCATGTTGATGCGGAAGAACATGGCCACGCCGTGAAAGGGGACGATTCCGATGGAGTAATCCAATGGACTGCGAAGCATGCTATTGCCTCCCTATCACTCGCTGGACTTTATGTTGGTAGGTGTTTGCTTTCACCTGGCGATGTACAGAAGAAAATTCAGGCTGACAGCGTGGACACAGGCGCTCAAATTCCCCTCTACTTCGTTGGAGGGTCTCTGACATTCATTGTCCATGATATTGGGTCTCCGGAGAAGTCCTCCTGGCTGCCGGTAGCCAACACTCTAGCAATCGCTTCTATCGCTCCATTCGTTGGATATCTGCAAGATATCTTTGGACGTCGAAACATGTCCCTTTTAGGGGGCGTCGCCATTATGGTCGGGATTGTCCTTATTGGTACGGCTCATGGATTCGGTCAGGCTGTTACTGGGATGTCCATAGCTGGTGCTGGTGGAGCTGTTGGCGAGCTCACCGCACTTGCCGGGTATGATGTCTCTCATGCCCTGAACTTCCCTCTGCTGACAAGTGGTGTCCCAGAACCGCCGAACTTGTTCCTGTCAAGCAGCGTGGCCTCTACCTAGCAATGGTGACATTCTTTGTGGTGCCATTCGTACCTTATGTGATGTACAGTCAGCTTCTAAGTACTTACCACACCTGGAGATGGGGCATGTGGATCTCTCTGTTGGTAACAATCATACCGAGGAACCTATACGAAACTGACAGCCTGTCTAGGATCTACAATGGCATTTGCTTCCTTGGAATTGCTTTCACTTACTTTCCAGTTGCTACTAGGAGAGGAGACGGAGCCACGAAAATGGAAATCGTGAAAAGCATTGATTACGTGGGAGGTTTCTTGTCAATCACTGGTTTAACCCTCTTGTGAGTCATCCCTTATCAATATCGTCTTAGTGACTAACAAGATCGACAGCCTTGTGGCTCTCCAAGCCGGTGGGTATTCCCATCCCTGGACCTCAGCCTATGTCCTCTGTACCCTACTTATCGGTCTCGCACTTATCTTGGTTTTCATCTTGTGGGAGTACAAGTTTGCCAAAAATCCAATGGTACCGCGCCAGCTATTTCGAGGCCAAAGAACTGTGGCTGTCTCATACATGGTGGCTTTCGTTGGTGGTATGAACTTCTTTTCATCGCTCAACTTCTTTCCACTCGAAGCGTCTACTGTGTTTTCGCCAGATCCAGTACAAGTCGGATTGAAAGGCTTGGCTGGGGGCTTAGGGGTTACAATGGGAGCCACCCTCGTCAATGCCGCCTTGTCATGGTTTAAGGGATGGAGTCGAGAGTTGCTGGTCGGCTCATGTATCTTGATGACCGCATTCGGAGGAGCTATGGGAGCTGTGACTCCTGATACACCCGACAGACTCTACATTTTCGCCATCCTTTCTGGGTTTGGCATTGGCGGTGTCCTTGTGCCGGCAGCCACGATCGCTATCACTGTTGCGTAAGTCAGCCCTGAAGTTCATGCATATCATGTGTAAGATCTGATGCTAATATTCTCCAGGCCTGATGAGGTGATTGCCACTGCTGTTGCTCTGTCACTTTCTATCAGGGTTGTGGGTGGATCAATCGGCTACAGCATTTACTACAACATCTTCTACCACAAACTCGAGACTCAGCTTCCCATAGAAATTGCTCAGGCAGCAATTAAAGCTGGATTGCCACTCACATCAGCCGAATCCTTTGTCGGAGCATTCCTCTTGGATCCCGCTGCCCTTGCAACCATTCCAGGAGTCACCCCCGCGGTAGTAGAGGCCGCTACCATTGGCACTCGTTCGGCATATGCCTACGCCCTTAAGTATGTTTGGTTCACCAGTATTGGGTTTGGTGTTTGTGCGATTATCGCCTGCCTTTTCCTCGGGAATGTCAAGAAGTATATGACAAACCGTATTGCAGCTCAAATCGTGCACTGAGAGCCGAGATAAGATGGGAGGATGATGCCTAAGCATGATGGTGATGACTAGACATCTGGTCGGAGGTGTGGAGGAAGTATTAAACCTTGCTAACGATTCAATCGGACGCGAGCTCGGAGGACTTGCTGGTTATTCCATGGGCCTGTCCAAAATCATCGAACCTATACTTGGTAGCTAATTCCCGTTCAAGCAAAGCTCGAAGCTTCCTAGGTACTTAGCTATTGACACCAATGATCACTACTATGCCTTCTCATGTAATCAATTATAGAATGAGTGCTTTCTTATCACTAAATTTTCACTTTTCAAATAGGCCAATGGAAGGCAAGGTTCATAAATTCTTACTGCCGAGACGCCGAATCTTAGCGCCCATGGAATCCGAATAGTCCCACAAGATAGTCTACGATATAGATTAATTTTCTCGAAATGTCCTCAACAATTCGTCGTCTTAGCTCAGGTGAGTTGAGGTCAACCTCAATTATCATTTCTACATCTAACACGTCATTCAGTTGGGAGAGCGTCGTAAGTGATCTTTATCCACAAACTTGTTCCATCATTTCTAACAATCATCCCAGAGACTGAAGTTTCAATCAGTCCCAAAATCTGAAGGTCGTGTGTTCAATCCACACAGACGACAATCTTTTTTGCCTTTTTTCGAACTTTATTTAAGTTAGTCGAAAATATTAGGGTGAACTAAGGCCGTGTACTCATTCTATATAGATGGTGATGTTTTTACTCTCTTCGAGAGTTCGCAGTTTGTAAATCTTACGTTACGATTTACTTAGTACGACAGCAAGACTCTACCCTAAATTAGGTAAAGCGTGGGTGTCTACCAAGAACCTAAATATTCAGACTTCATCTTCCACATTGGCACATCTTGGCTTGATCAATGATGGAACAACAGCTACGTTAGCTGTTAATGCCTTGCCTTTAGGAACGATTCGATATTTCTCTGCTTCAACAATACTCTTTGCGAGGGTAGGCCCATGATGCTCGAACTAATGATCTCGTCTGGAAGGTGATGCACAGACTTGAAGCCTGAGCAGTCGTGGGACACAATCTTTGCATTCCACCTCGGATACCCAAGATGCCAAGGTGATCATCCTCGTTGCCTATGCTTTGCTATCTCTCAGGTTTCATCGGCCAAGTATTTACTGTAGCATCCTTCGTCATAAATTCTGGTTCCAAGCCTCATTGCCTCCACCCAGTCATCGGAAGCGAGCGCATAGCAATGGCAGTTATGTCCTACTTCCGAAGATACAAAGTGCTTGTAAAGTGGACGAGCACCGTGCATATATGAGGCCTTCTTCCCAGAAGAAGTTTCCTTGAAATCACGCTCGGATCTTTTGAGAAGAGAGAGTAGACACCACAGGCCGACATTGCTTGAGCGTTACGAACTGTCAGCCATGGTTTGCATCAGCTCCATTGCTGCACTCTGCTCTGCCTTTATTGGCATGAGTAGAGCTGCTGCATTAGGTACCGCCGAGCAGTATGCCTCTGGAGAAGTTCACGCTCACATCATGGGCATCAAGATGGTCCGTACGGTCGATATATTTCATTTCGACTTGACACTGGGCTAAGACATTCTTTAGGCGCAATGGGATGCCGAGCTTGCAGCAGGTCAGATGGAGAGCTCCCAGTATCCAGAACTTGGTTACACCCCTTGCGAGAATGGGTTTGCTGCCGCCATTCCTGGAGATGCAAACAATACATTCAGATGCAACAATGTGAGTCTGGTCCACATACTCTTGAGTGACATGAGTCAAAGCTGACATACTCAGATTGACCTGTACCATTTCCTGTCTCACGCGGAATTGGGAAGTTCAGCGGGTCGAGGGTCATCCTCTTGGGGATGGACATCCGATGACGGTAGAGAGTTTGTGGCCATCGGACAGTACGACGGCACAGCGTTCGCCGAGATAAGCAGTGAAGGTAAACTTTTGTATCTCGGTCGACTTCCTCAATTTGACCCCATAGGATCGAATTGGAGAGAAATCCGAGTTCTCAGAGGTTATGCTGTCATTGGCTCTGAAGCCATCAACCACGGGGTCCAGATCTTTGATATGCGCAAACTGCTTAATCTCGATCCGGCAAGCCCCACCAATTTTACCCAGGAAGACTTGACTGGCCATTGGAACGAGCTCCCTGTTGGACGTACTCACAACATTGTCATCAACGAGGAACTCAATTATGCCATCGCTTCCGGCTCAGTTGGTGGCAATGAGACCATCAGAGTCAGAGGCGACCTCCCTTGTAGGGGTGGGTTGATCTTCATAAACATGACGGATCCCTCAAATCCAACGAGCCCTGGTTGTGCTGCTGGTGACGGCTATGTTCATGATGCTCAATGCCTTGTCTATCGCGGACCAGACACAAGATACGAAGGTCGTGATATTTGTTATGGATATAACGAGGACACCTTGACCATCTACGATGTTACAGACAAGGTCGGAAACACGACTAACATCATCTCCATCACTACCTTCCCAGGTGCCGAGTATGTCCACCAAGGCGTTGTAAACGATGAGCAAAACCAAGAGTATATCATCCTTGATGACGAATTTGATGAGCGCGACGCAGAAGTCGGTCCGATGACCCAGGGTCTACCTACTACTCACATCTTCGACATTCGCGACCTCGAGAATCCTCATTACACTGGATACTACGCTGGCAGAACCCGGTCAATCGACCACAACCAATATGTCATCGACGGCTACAGCTACCAATCCAACTACGGCAACGGACTAAACGTCCTGGACATCCGCTCATTGCCTGACGACCCCAGCGGCGGGGGTATCTGCGAAGCCGGATTCTTCGACATCTACCCCGAAGACGACGAGTTGGAGGGCGGCGGTACCGTCGCATTTCTGGGCTCATGGTCTTCATACGCGTACTTCAAGTCCGGCTTCATCATGGTGCACACGATCGAGCGCGGCACTTTCGTCGTCAAGATGACCAGCAAGGAATGTCCCGGCCACAAGACCTGTGATCCAAGTCCATGTTTGACGTCTCTACGCGCCAGCAGCATTGAAGGCCGCCTCGAAGAGGGTCAAGACTTCTGCCATGGATTCCTAGCTCGCCAGAACGACGATGAGCGCGACATTCCTGACTATGCCGCGGAGGCGTGCGCCGGTGGTGGTGGAGAGGGAGAGCTTGTCGCTCAGGTGAGCAGTGCCTGCGCTTGCGTCCCAACCATCGCGGTTCCTGAACTTTCGAGGACAACAAGTCGTCCGCCTGTGCCGACTGTGTTACCGCCTTGAGAAAATGATGGGATAAAAGTCAAAACAGTAGGACATCGAGTAGGGAGTTCTGACGACAGTAAGCAAGCATACATGAGTACACCTCCAGATCCCAAGATATCGCACTGGTAGCAACGGAAACAAGTGTCCGAAATGAAATGATATAACTGAATAATTACTGCAATAAAATTACACTAGAATTCACGCTGATTCTGAGCTGAAGCTTCACATATAACATCTCAGCACGATCACGGATAGCAACATTCGCTAGCTCTCTGATTCTCGTATAAACAGTGTTGGCATTCAAAAGCTAGAACCCTCAGGTCGCACAGTCCCAGCACTACTCGTATTTTTATCTACTGATCTGCATGCTACAACATCACACGCTCACAGCGAGTATCTGAACTCCTGGTTCTGAATGTCTGTCAAGTCCTGAAATTCATGATTCTTCTCCACCGTATGTTCGGCACCGAGCGCTTCCCTTGCTGCATCGCGCTTCTTATTCCGATGCGTGTACACAAGTCGGATGAGGTACAAGTCCACGGTGATGAGGAAGTACAAGATACAAATGGAGATCTTTGCTGGTAGGTATCGAGGTGCGTCCTTAGCTTGGAAGGTCTGAGGGGAAATGATATTGCCAATGGTATACGCGATGGTGCCGATACAGGTGACGGTGATTTTCTTGGTGGAGCCTGCCACGTTACTGGCTTGGAGGCCGAGAATGGTGGTCCAGCCGATGGGAATGCCACCGCTGAGGTAGTAGCCGATGAGAGCAGGGGTTTTCTCGGTGGTAGCCATCAAGATTGCGCCGACGATAGATGGGATATGTGTTGCGATACAGCACCATAGTCTCTGCTCGGTGCGCATGGCGATGTAGGTAACTCCGATAAGGACGACAACTTCATATGCTCCAAGAGGGGTGACAAGGAGGAGAGAGTTGAGCTTGCTGTATCCCATTCCGGTGACCAAGATATTGCCAAAACTGGTGGCGATGGAGTTGGGGATGTTGGCCGCAAAGACCCAGAAAGCATACAGCCAGGTGTTGATATCTTTCACGGCTTCCCAAAACTGATCCCACTTGAAGACCTTACTGCCGATGCCTTGCTCGTTTCCTCGAAGTCGCTCAATATGAAGAAGCTTCTCTTCCTCCGACAAAAAACCTGCAGTTGCAGGTGAATCAGGGAGGACAAACCAAAAAATCACTCCAACCACGGCAGTAAGGAGACCGAGGAAAAGGAAGATGACTTGCCACCCTTCCAAAGCAGCGTTCACATCTCCGCCGACATGTTTTGCCACTCCATATGCAAAATACCCCCCAAGCATCTGGGCAAGACCACATACGGCAAACCATATGCCTACTCGAAACGCTTGCTCTTCTTTACGATACCATTGAGAAGTGAATAGTACCCAAGCAGGGACCACAGTGGCCTCAGCAGCCCCCAGAAGAAATCGGCAGGCCAACAAGCTACTGTAAGTTTTGCAGCTGGCTAGCGCAGCAAGCACCCCTCCCCAGATAGTGACATTGACAGCCACATACTTGGCCAATGGGAACATCTGCAGAAGACGGATGGTGGGAAACTCGAATGCCAGTTGTCCAAAGAAGAATATCGATGCAACCCAGTTAAATTGATTGCCGTGAAGATGGGCTGACTCTCTCAGTCCGGTGACACTTGCGTAGGATATAGAAACCTTGTCGATATACTGTAGGAAATAAACAATGCATATCAGGGGCATGATATGGAGATCGATTTTCCGAACAAGGCGGCGATTTCGCGCTGGGTCAAGAGGCTGCTGCAGTGATCCAGTGGATTTGAGGAGTTCCAAAGCGGCATCGCCATTATTTCGACCTTTGGAAACGGGCAGATTCTTTTGTTCTGCATCAATTGGCGAGCGAGCATCATCTGGTACAATATTTTGCTCGACGTTCTTCTCCGAGGCCATGATGTCGAAAGTTGAAATTTGTAAGGGTTTAATCTTGTAGATACGGCTGGTCTGCCAGCACACTCGACGAGTATAAGTTTGGCCACGAGGCCAGTTATATCGAGTACTCAAGCACTTCCGCTACCAACAAACACGACCTCAAATTTTTCAACCATCATGTATTTTCTGCAAGCACGCAATCCTCTTTGATAAAGACGACCATGAACCCTGCAGAGCCATGTGGTACGATCTTCAATTCAACGGGTTTAGATATGCAACGTTGGAGACAAGGCCGGACATCTACAAGGCTGATTGGACGGCGAGTTCAAAGTGCTTATCATCCTAATCCGCAAGCTTAATCAGTGAGTGGTATATTGTGGCCATTCGGAACCGAGACAAAATTAACAGAGGACTTTGAGGACTTTATGCCGTGGGAGTGCTGGTTTAACCGACCTGTTAACATCGCGACTCTCCACTTAGTGCCGATGGCGTGCTTGAGGGTTTTTGGCAAACACCGAGGAAACCACAGAAAAATCTTTCGAGTGCCGTGTCTGCTAGCCCTCCCAGTGACAATATCGTATGACCTGTAGTCTTAGTGGCTTGCCTTGATACTTATTGTGGGCGAAAGTACGAAGCGTTGGTACTAGAACCACGAAAACAAGTTGAATGCAGGTGGAGACAAGGTATTGTGTAATGAGAGTTATGACCAGTAGAGTTCAGATTATAATACCATAGAGCTATATTGTATGGCCATATGACACCAAAACTTCAATGGGAGACAGCAGATATGAGCTTGCTGCCTCGCTGATGGCTCCTTGCTTTGCATGAAAATCTGGCCGACGTAAACCTGAGGCTACTCAACAAGGCTGACTCTTGGCATGGCGAAGTTGGACCTCAATCGATTGAATTCTCTGGGCCTTTTCAAGCTTGCCAGAGCTCATCCTCACCTCGGCAAGAGTAGTATACGCCGAGATTTGGCTAGAATTTTTGGCCTTTCTTAGCACATATCTAGAGTGGGACAGAGACCTCAACAATACGGAACGGCGTATTGTGAGGAAAGTTGGAGGCACACGCAAAGATCGGAAGACCTGGCCGTCTGTTTGACGAAAGACGCGACTCGGATCGCAGCCTGAATTCTGTCCAGGTCGTCTGTCGTGGAAAGCAACCCACCGTTTTCCAGACATCCACAGCGCCTAATCGCAATGTACAAGTTACCTGGAAGGATATCTTCCACGTTACTTTTCGTAGCTCGAAGCCCCGGTAGATCGAATGAACTGTCTGCCCTGCATCGAGGAGAGGTCGGGTGGTTGCGATTGGTCAAAGGTGTCTTTGAGACGGACGTCTCATAGCCCGGCACAAGCAAAGCCCACTGAGATAGAGCACAAAAACAACGGTGCCCAAACCTTGACAAGGCTGACAATCAAGCTTCAAGTTCTTTCAATCTGGCTTCCCAGCCTTCGACTCCACGCAGCATTGTGTCAAGTTCTTCTTTCTCGTCCTCAAGCTTAATTCTGCGCTCAGCATCAAGTTCACTGAACACATAGCCGCCTTGGCCGTCAAATTGAAGGATCACACTGTGATACTTCCATAAGCTTCTGCGATGGCTCACTGTCATCAATGTGGTGCCTAAGCCCTTGGCTGTTTCATACATTGTCTTTTCCATCTCCATTGTGACTGAGCTTGTGCACTCATCTAAGATTGCATATTTTGGCTTGTGGTAGAACAATCGGGCCATTGCGATGCGTTGTTGCAGGCCACCGGAGAAGACGTCTCTCCATTCTTCGATGGCGTCCCATCCGTTGGGACGGTCGATGATCGACTCAATCTCGAGAATAGCAAGGATTTCTCGGAGGGCGTCTTCTGACCCGTTCTTTGCCCGAAACTCGTACAGAGAATCCGGATAGATGATTTGATCTCGTAGAGTTCCTCTGCTGAGATAAGGTCGCTGAGGAATGTAAAAAATGTCTTCGAAACTTGGTTTTTTCACACTTCCACCATACACCGGCCACAGTCCACCCAGGATCCTGAACAGACTTGATTTACCACAACCATTAGGGCCGACAATCAATAAATGGTCTCCAGGTCTGATGTGAAAGGTCAACTTCTTTACCAGGACGTCTCCATTTGGACTGACGATCGGTACATCCGTAAATTCGATGTTCTCGCTTTCTTCCACGGTACCACGGCCTTGTAGAACAAGAGCATTCTCTTCAATGCTTGCTGAGCTCACAAGCTTTTTCTGAAATCGACCAGCGGACACTTCATCCATAACGTCCAGAAGTCCAGAGACTCTGGAAGTATATCCTGCCAACTCGGTGATCTCCTTGTATGAGAACATCAGGCGCCCAAAGGCATCAGAACTGCTCAACAACATCCGTCTGTTCTTGACGAAACTCTCAGTATGATCACCTGCATTTTGCAAGGCTTGGCCGGGGATTTTGAAGAAGACTGGAAGCGAGCATAAAACTAGACCAAGGGCACCCCAGAAATATTTAATGACAAAGTCCTCCATGAAACCATGGTAGAATCTCCTTCGAAGAATGCGGTTGACGTGCTTGATCAAGGTGAAGTATCCCTTATCCAAACCATCCTTTTCTGCCTCATGTCCAGCGTAGAGGGCAATCTCTTCACTGTAATCGATGAGTCTAGTGTGTTGGAATCTAAATTCACCCTCTAGTCTTGCTTCATCTGCAACGTATTTGCCGAAAGGCGGTGTAAGGGCTCGCATTACGTTTGCGGAAACCTGTACCAGTAAGGCCATGGCAAAAAGGCCTTCTCCACCAACAGACTTTGACAGGGAATAGTTATAGATGACCATGTCGAGAATTGGTTTCGCAAGGTTTGAGTATAACTCTGCCAGAGAATTGCTGAAACGTGAGACATCCACTGTTATGAGCTGATCGGCATTCTTTATCCTGTCGTCCAATGCCGAGAGTGTGTAAAAAGTCATGTTGTCCAGATATTTCTCATGAACATGGTTGGTGAGTCGCGTGCGATAGCAGAGTGCAAGCTTGGTCTGATGGTATTGCAACATTGAGTTTGTGAAAGTCGCAGGCACGGCAACCAACATCCACCACACAAGACCCAGGATAAAGTCGCGTCCCCGACCTTTGACCAGTGCAGAAACGACCTTGCCATCCAGCTCTGCGACATACAGTGACAGGAGTGTTCGTAAGACAAGGAAAACACTGTGACTGGTCAAGAGACGCAGTTCTTTACTCCGAAGGCCAGGGATGACGATTTTGAGCAATCGGAACAAATTGCGGAAGAACTCTCTGTTTATTTCCACTCTCTTCTTCTTATGCTCCTTGTTCGCTGCGTCTGAATCTCCAGTACTCGCAGTTTGTTGAGCACGCAGCTCGGCTTGCCTTCGAAGGGCGGCTTTCTGCTCGGCGATGGCATTATAGACTCGGTGGATGAGCGCGACGACCAGCGTGATGTAGACCGTTCTTGAGATCTTTGTGCGATGTTTGAGGTAGAGAGAAGTCAACTCAGAAACGATTTGCCTTACAGTCCGCGGCGGCGGTAATAGTTTGGATTGCACCGCCATGATGCGTCTGTCTCTGATCAGTGGCGGAGATGAATTGGATTCTGGACAAGTCTTTAGGAACCAAGTGCCATTATGACTCGAAGAAGCACATGCGGTTTCGCACCAAAGCGCAGTCAACTAAGGAGGACGAGGACGTGCTAAGGTGCACAAAGTACCTCGGACCAACCCATGTGAAAGACACTTCCCCGACGTCACCAGTGGGTTATCACTTAACCTGCGCTAGTGCCTGCTAAAGATAAGCTTATATCCGCATACCGCTATTTATGACGACGCTAGATACCTTAACCCGGGAGCTAATGGAATGTCTTTTGACAGCCTCGATGCCCGCGCTTTTTCGACTCATCGAACTTATCTCGCCTAGACGTATCGTAAATGCTCGAATAGTTGTTCCACAAAACACAATTCATTTCATAATATCTTAGAGTCTAAAATGGGGGTCGGTTCGATCTCCTCGGGAGATCCTTCTACCAAGGCACCAGCAACCCTGCTAGTAGCCTGCGACTTCGATCATACACTCATCGATGTCAACTCCGATCTCGTTTTATTTCGGGATCTCCCCTATGGAAAAGCGCTCTTGCCACGGTTCGCTTCTCTGCGCCAGGAGCAGGGTATGGCATGGACACAGATCATGCAAAGTCAGCTCGCCGAGTTGGCCCAGAGCGAAGGGTACTCCAAGCAAGATGTTCTCAAATGCCTCCACAGCGTGAAAATGGATCCTGTTCTCATCACTGCCTTTCGTGCACTGCACTCGAGCCAAGACCCGTCGATCAAGGTCATTATTGCTTCTGATGCCAATACGATTTTCATCGACGAGATTCTGAAAGCTAATGGTGTCGAGGAGGGGACTTTCGATATGGTGTACACGAATCCCGGCAGCTGGATAGAAGGGGATGCTATTCAAGTCGAACCATACCAGACAATATCCTCGCCCCATGATTGTCCCCGTACTTGTCCCGCGAACATGTGTAAAAGTGGTATCTTGCAAAGGGCCAGGAAAGAACTGAATCTAGACCAGGTTGAGGACCTTCAAATAGTGTATGCTGGCGACGGTGGCAATGACTATTGTCCGAGCTTGAGCCTCTCAGAATCCGATCTCGTGCTTGTACGAGAAGGACTTGCGCTGCATAAATTGATTGAGAACGCCAAAGCTATCACCAAGGAGAACGCGGGCAGTGAAACGGACAAGCCCATCGCGAAGCAGGTGGTCGCACAACAGAGATTGTGGAAGACCCAACGAGAGCTGGGTGAAATATTTCTACATTTACTGCCGCAACCTCAGCTTGCGGGTAAAACGAGCGTCAATAAGGACGCAGTAGATGTCATAGCGCAAGGTATCGAGAAAGGCTTGAAATTATAGAATTCGACCGTGGCATGGGTACATTTCTTTTCGAGGGACTGCTCCGTTGGGATAGACCATTAGATTCTAGATTCGTCGTAAATTGGTAGCTTCGCAAGTCTTGCACCTCTCAGGAGTTGTCGTCCAGGAGGACGACTGAAAGACTGCTCAAGAATAGTTAAGCTCGTAAATCTCAGAATCCAGGGCGCAGAATGTCCTCGTGTTCAATAACTCGGCTGAAGATGTCGAATGAGTGGGTTGATGGCTACCAAGAACACAGATTATTTTTTAACCCAACTGTACCTAATTTTTAACCTCGCAAAATGGGATATACGATTCCGCTAGCCATGGGAGAGGCACAAAATCGTTTCTCGAGCTTTCAGAGTCCATGAAAATCCGTCTTTGAGCAGGGTCTGTATTCAAAGCAGCTCCAGAGGCTGAGTCGAGTTCAAAAGGTTGCTCACACCCGTGATCGACCACCTTCAATTGGGTCGCGACACTGAGTTGTGCAATGAGGATACCTGGTCGCCTCAGGTTACTCAGTCTCACTACCGCCTGATGTGCTGGTGGGATATCGAGTACACGGTCTACCACATCTGTCCAAACGAATGCTTCATCTAGGTGAGGGAATGTGTCTGGGTTATATGGTAAGATTTTGAACAGAATGTTCTCTCTTGCATCCATAGTTGTGAATCTCTGCCCGAAGAAGATGACAATCCGGCATGAGGTCCATGGGATTGATAAAGCCAAAGCACCGCCTACCCAACGGCTACCACCACTCGTCGGAGGTGGTTCAACACCAATCGTATCCGAAATGGCGTCGTCCAGATTAAACGTCAAATTCCGGAGATTCCAGTAACGTTCGGGATGGCAAGAGAGATATTCCCATTGATACTGCTCTCGTAAGGCTTTGGGAATGGTCTTGTCTGGTAAATCGACCCAAACGTGAGTATGCATGGTAGCTGCAGCTTGATGACTCAATCGAGCAGGTACAAATTCACGTGCGATGGTCAAGAAAGGCCATCTCGACGATGAGCGAATAGGGCGTAGAAGGTCGATTGTTCTAAGGCGTAATTCATCTATTTGACCTCCAACATGACAAAGAGATTGCTGCTCATCGGAATTCTGATGTGGATGTGGTATGAACATTGATGGGGGCCCAGAGGGTTCGAGTTTCAGCGCGATGATTCTTGTCACATCTCGCGCATATCTGCATTCCAGACTGAGAAGAAGGTCTCCTCTCCGTGTTGGGACATCTTGTCTAACACTGGCAACAAGTGGTCTATCGATCCTGAGGCCAACGTTGGTCATCGTCAAGGTCACATCGTCACCCGTCGGCTGATTGAGCTGCGGTGAGTGTACGACATCAGTGCACGTCTCGAAGTTGTCAGGAGAAGCTGCAAAAAGCTCTCTTTGGTTCGTTCGCTCGCTGCGACATTGTTGCCAGGCGAAAACAGAGAGGTCTGACCCGACCTTCAGGATCTCTTCTTGTAGGCGTGTGAAAGCTCTCTTGCCTTCACCATAGAGCAAAGGCATGTTGACCGCAAAAATTCCCATCAAAGAATAAGCTCGGTCTTCAATACGCGTAGTCTTCCGATGTGCTGCCCAAGACATCCTTTGAGCGACCGTGCATGCCGAAAGAAGTTGTTCGAGCGGTTTCTGACGAGCTCGAAGAACTTTAGTGTTGATCTTAGTGATCCGAGTTATTTCTGAGCACAACGAATATCGAGAGCCAATGTAGGACCAACTCGCATTGTAAAAGTGCACCTTCTCGGGGGCAATGAGCTCTTGGAGTGTCCAGCCACGAGTGAACCAGGCACTCTCAGCGAACGACTTGAAAATGTCGTCCTCGTCCTGGGGCTCTATCAAGACATCCGACATAAAAGCGTAGCACACCTCAGCCTCTTGGAACCAACGAAACATAGAATTGATTGCTTCTGAAAGCTCGGAGCTGGAGCTCTTATCAATGCAGCAGGTATCTATCCAAATGTACTGCAGGCAGTCGTCCTCGGCTTGCTTGCGAGCAAACTCGAGTTTGAAGTACGCCTTCTTGGACTTGTAAGTTCGGGTTTCCATGTCGGAAAGGGTGATTTCGCCTTCCCCCCACCGATGGGACAAGATTGCATAAGCCGGGACATCAGGTTCGAAGAACTCCTCCAACTTTAGGCTTTGGATGTTGAGAAGTCTCATTGCTGCATAACGGGGACGAGAACTCTTAGGATGATGGGGGAAAGGTTGCTGGATAAGGCTGACATTGTGGAATTTGGAATTGCGGAGGTAATATAGTTCTGGAGTCGTAGAACGCTGGTTCATGTACGTATTCGATTCATCATTTGGGCGTACACAATAGCTTGGTTTCCAATCAGGTGGAACAGCTTCACACTCGTCGTGTTCGCTGTTCACTGGGTTTCACCACTCCCCGCTTTGATTATTGTGGCTTGGAGCTACATTGCTTCCTATTGGGATGTCCCGGGTTTTCCTGCCAGTCCCAGTAGATTTGAATCCGATACCAATCACTCTCAACAACGTTGACAACGCTGGCAACGTTTAGTTATTATGCATTTGACAACAAGCCGACAGTGCAATCATGTTGGCTGAAACTGTGTCACACCTCACAACGCGAAACTGTCAATAAGTTCCTTCAGTGTGATCGGTTTTCTGACAGCGTTTGAAAACCCTTCATGGAAAGAAACCCAGATTCGACCTCCTTCTTCCTTTCGTGTTGGCTGTCCATTCGTAGTGTTCTTTCCAGCAGACATAGGTCTTACATCGTTGACCACACGACCAAAAAAGTCTCGCTTCATGCCTGCATCGTTTGACAGCGATTGAGCTGCCTTGGCAAGTGGGTCTGTATTTTCTTTGTCCTCTTCATGGGTAGTGTTCTTGCGCGTCTCTGTCGAGGTCCGAGCATGCCGAGCAAGACTATTCTGAAGCAACTTCTCTTTTCTGAGTTCCTGGTCCAGAACCTGACGTACCGCATACCTTATTGGTGCTATCGAGCGTGAGGATCTGTGTAGATGAAGATTGAGCAGTTCATCAAGAGGACTGAAATGCATTAGTAAAGGCAAGACCAATGGACAGAGGAGTCTCGACTTACGGTTCCATCCTGTAGATATATCCAGCATTTGAGTGCGCTCCACCACCTTCGATCTCCACTCTTGCTTTCTCAAACGACACGTCCAACGCAAGCATTGTCTTGACAGCATTCCTAACACATTGCTTTTCCGTTTCTTTTCTCACGCTTGCAATGCTTGCAGAGCCGCTAGAGCCACCAATTACCACAGGCTTCACGTCCGGGGCCAGCATTCTTCCGATGTTTGGTACCAACTCCAGTGCGATTACGTCCACGGAACTAAAGAGTCTCAACAATGATCCGGAAAAGTTTGATTGAAGTTCTGTCAGCAGGGTTCGGCTCTGCTTCTCTGCTTCGTGGGCGGTAAAGTCAGCCTTGAGTCCACTGAAAGGGTGCAAGTCTTCAGGTTCGACCTCCGGCTTGATCTCTTCATTCCATGCTTTGTTGCCCTTATCCATACTGGCGAATAGGTGGTGGAAACCACAGGCACTTGTGCTGAGATACGGAGTCAATTCCCATTCTTGCCCGGAGTAGACGCGGCTTGAAAGGCGATCATGGAAATGAAGCCATTCATAGCCCATATTGGGTTTCGATAGTTGAACATCATCTTGGAAAACTTGGGTCGGATAAGCTGCAAAACAATCGGTCATCAACCGATCGTGATCGCCACAAGTATCCACCATTTCTCGAAGAGCAGTTATGGCGGCGCGCTTTCGAAGATCCGAAACACCAATTGGTTGCGCGTTAGACTCAGCAATAAGTCTTGCGTCGTCAGCTGAGACAGACGTAGGCAAACTTGGTAAACCAGCACCCTCCACAAATACTCGTTCGACGACTTCCCGGACACCACCACGTCCCAGTCCTTTCTGTCCTTGTTGAGAGTTGTCTAGATGAGGTTCAAGCCAATTCCTCGTCAATCTAGTATTTTCTCCGCCCGCTCGTAGCTTATGTGCGAGCCACTCTGCTTGAACAAGAACACCACGGATGTCCCCTTCACCAGCTCCTCTAGATCCCTGGCTTCTCTGCTTCCGCATAGCCAGACCCCAGGAAATCTCACAAAGCCGTCTTGCTGCGTCATTGTCACATGATATGCGTTCCTTCTCAAACACGAATTTGATTCGAGATATTACCTTGTCGATTGGAGCTTTCCGCACATGGATAAGTTCAGCAATCGAGGATGTTCGTAATGGTCGCAGCGAGGGGGCGTAGACATCGTTGCAAACCAATATTAATGGTCTCAGCATTCGAAAGCGGTCGCGATTCTTCTTTCCTCCCTTGCCATTCTGGCTTTGTCCTTCCTTCGAAGAATTCCGTTGATCAGTCTGTACAAGATCAATCAATGCTTTGACAAAACCACCCTCCCCACCAGATGAGCTGTTGCCAGTGGTTACGCCGTCAACTTCATCCACAACAACACACACAGGTCGTCCAGCTTTTCGAGCCTTTCCTTGTTCTTTGATGCCACGAACAGTCTCGGTACCAAGTGCGTCTTTTATCCTGCCTTTGACAATGTCTCTGCTTCGGTCGTCACTAGCATTGATTTCTAATACTTCATATCCAGCTTGTTTGGCGCATACATGAGCCAAGGTGGTTTTTCCAAGCCCGGGAGGGCCCGTAAGAAGAAGAATTTTCTTATGCTGCTGTTGAAACTGGTCTTTCTCGTCAAACACTTTGATCTGCTTTGGCCTGGAACTTCCAGGGAAGACGAGGTCATCCCACGACTTCAGCCAGCGGAGTACAGATCTGTGAGTTCGCTCATCACCAACGAGCTCTGTGAACTTCTTCGCTCGATACTTCTCCGTCCACATTTGGGTGTAATTTGACTTCCCAGTCAACGCTGGGTGTTGATCTGGAACCTCAACGGTTGGCAGTACCAAAGCGTTTTGCTTCTTACTCTCCTTTGCGAACTCGGCCAACTGTTGTTGAGTTTTGGCCTCGTCCATAAGTGTATGTATATCAATTCCATAGTATGCTTTCTTTGCTCGTCCTGGAGCAGTTGTTGATCTTTGAGCTATGATTTGCTCGTATGAGAGGATGGCTGTTTTCTGTCGGATGGAAATTTCTATCGCTCCACCAGAGGCTGACTGTATATTGATTGTTTTTGCTGGCAATTTTCTCAAAAGGAGACGAGGGGCGGGTAAGAATACTGGTGGAGAAAGGTCCACCTCTTCCACAGGTCCAGGTGGAATCGATGCTGCTGAAGGGGAAGGCGGCTTTTCTTGGGAAATAGCATTTGCAGTCACGGGGTCGCCTTCAACGTCTTCATCATCGCTATCCTGCAGGAATCCTCCAACAATTTTGGGTCTTTTCAGATGGGGTTGAGGTGCGCTTGGGAATGGCTGAAATAGTCGGCGTTTCTTACTCGGCACGGCCGCTTGGGGCGATGAACTGGCTGGGTAGAGTACTGGCGAGGAGGAGAAAGTCATATTGGGAGGAGATGAGGTGCAGAGCACGTCAGAGAAGCCAGGTGAAGCGATATCGCTGTCTATGTTTGCATTGTTGGTTTTCTGGAAGTTCGTTTTTGCGGTGGAATCCTCACGGATGTAGATGCTCGGGATGTCGATTGGGTCGGGATCAGATGAGTTGGAGGTCTTGAGGCTTGGATGTCGATGTCATCCCGCAATACTGCTTATTTGCTGGTTGAATCTCAACCTTTGTGCCATTGAATGAGTGTCGAGTATGTCTGGAATCCATCAATTAACCTCGCTAGACGCGACGCGACTTCCCCCCCCCCCCCACGCGATTTTAAGCCTTACCAAAAACAGACTAGTATACAGCTAAAGCTCTAGCGTTGATTTAGTGGCACTAAGTCTTTTAAGCAGCCCTCAACCCCTCTTTGGGGATACCTTCCGCACTGCACGGTCCACTCCAACAAACAAACTTGTACCATCATTCCTCAGGGAGCATAGCTCAACATAAGACCAATGACCCAACGTCTTTGAATGTACACGAATACACTCCCCGATATGTCGCATGGGAAATGTTCTTGGACTGCTCAATTGCTCGCAGGCGAGAACAAAGTCCAAAGGCAAAGCGCGCGCTGATACGACATCAACGTCTACCTCCACCTCCACCTTGACCATCACCTCACGCACACCACTTCTCCTCTCAATTCAACGAGACATGCCCCGAGAGAACATCGGCGATTCATCTGCGAAGACGTTTGCGGAGTAAGTTTCCGCCTTTTCCTGTTACAATCTAAATACACACACATCTCATCTATCAAAAACACTATCCACTTCAATCTGGATTCGTGCGCGGCTTGCGCTGACCATGCGCCCGAAAGATTGCTGTCCGGCCCATTGCTCGATATTTATGTCGGAGCCGAAGCACGCAAGTGGACTCTCCATCAGAACCTCCTCATCTACCATGCGCAGTTCTTCGACGAGTCCTTCACCATCAATGGCGAACACAAGCGAATAATCGATGGCAAACTAGAATTGCGCGATGAGGATCCTGGCGCGTTCGAGCTCCTCGTCAAGTGGCTCTACCAGGGGAAAATTGACGACGTGTCGTGGATGCCTAAGGACGTCAAATGGGACTACGCCTTCACATGCCAGAAGCTCTACATCCTGTGCGACACACTCGGGCTACAAGACCTGAAGAACCAGGCGATCGATCAGTTCCGCCGAGGGTGTCATGAAGCAGGACTTGTTCCGGGTCCGGAGGAGATGAGGCCAATCTATGAGAAGACACACCCCGACTCGCCCTTCCGGAAGCTGGTAAGCCGAATCGCCGCACGACAGATCATGGACCCTGCGTCAGAAAAAGACGCGACATCCTATCGGGAATGCTTGGCTGTGTCGCCCGATTTCGCCGTCGATGTAATCAATGCCATCAAACAAGGCTCTGGGGGCTCGCTTTTCGACGACCCGACCGAAGGCAATTCATGCAGATATCACCAACACGAAGACGGCGAGACGTGCCAGAAAACCGTCAAGTTCAAGGACGTGTCATGACACAAGCCCATTTTTCGGCCTTCAAATAGCTAGGCGGCATAGCAACACATGTCCGAACGAATCTCCTTCACCATGCCACATCTTCTGAAAAGTTCCAGAGGATGGAGCCACCAGCAATGATTTCCGACATTCCTGCCAACGAATGCAACGATTTTATATTGATATACTTGTACAAGTACTTCCGATGGGCATTCTTTCTGTTTCTTTAACATTCAGTTTCTCCCCCCCCCCCGTTTTGACCAAAGGTGTCTATTCAGCGAGTGAAAGGGAACCCGCGTTGGCGTGTTTCTGCGATGAGTTTAATTTCATAGGTCCAAGTTGTAAGGTAATCGATCAGAGAAGCGAAATCGATTTGTTTAATATATCCATCTACCGATCTGCCTACCTACAAGTAAGACAACTGATGACTGTTCTGCACTACCTACACAACTACATTGTTCAGATTTCATAGATCGCTCAGATGCAATTCTACGCCGCTAACTAGAACGCTAGATGGATGAGTCGTTGCTGGACATCTTGATAGGGTTTGACATTAATGAGGGTCTATCAAGCTACCTAATGTCCATCCCGTTCAAAGAACCGTGGTTGACCTGACACTTCAGTCATGATCGGCGAGCTTTGGAGCTGCCGTGGGCGGACCTCTGATGAGCTCCTTCACAAGTTCAAATTTGTACAACCATTCTTCCTTGCTCACACGAGGCTGGCGCTGAACGATTGAGTCTGAGGCTGCTTCGTCGACGGGTTCCAAACATCCACCGCCATGGCTGCAACCCACTTCCCACTCTTTTGGTGGAGGACTGGCGCCGCCAGTCTTGTAGAAGTCGTCGATGGCTTCGAGAAGTTCTCCGTGGCTCCATTTTGGATTCCGACGTTTCAACATCGCGTAGATCGAGGCACCGAGATTACTGGCGATGGTCTGGTCGGGGAATACTGACATGTCAACCTGTAGCTGCGCTTTCCGGAGTAGAATTCGAGACCTGGTTTTGAGCTTGTGAGAATTCCTCATGAGCTCCACGCAATTGATGTAAGCCCATTGTGTAACTGCTTTGCGTGTCCCAAATCTGTTTTCGGCGGTTATATGATCTGTCATTAACATCAAACGGATACAACACAGGTCGTACGTCGTCAACATGTACCGATAATCTCTCAAGTTCGGGGCATTACGCCATTGGGCACGAACATGGCGGAACAAGTCTTTTGCTTCAATATAGAGATTGATAGCATCCACGTAGCGATCTTCCATAGTGACAAGTTCTTCAGCCTGTGATACTTTCGACAGAGCATTGTCAAACATCCAAATAAGTCTGTCGACCTCAATGTCCAACTGGAGTGCTGGGGGGCGCTGCGCGTTTTCAACAATCCAAGCTTCCAAGTGATTCATCCGACGAGAAAGAGGCTGAGAGGAGACGGTCGCATCGATGTCTCCAATGGGTGATGCGAGTTCGCTCCCCAAGAATGCCTGAGTGATCCACGGACGGATGTATCTGATAATGCCACTGTGTAGGAACGCCTTGACTTCCTCATCAGTCTCGAGGCCCCAAAATGCAGGAGTAATTCCTTCCTGTGGAACTGTAAAATGCAAAGAAAGTGAGGAGCTTTTAGCAGAGTGTCGGTACTGTATGCGAGAAACATAAATGACTTTGCAAAGAAAAGACAGATCCTCCATGCTTATGAAGAAAGTTCTTCCTGTTAAAGGAGATTTGGATAAAGTCATAATCGGCACAATTTCATGAGGGCCTGGAGGCAAGTCTTGGGTAAACTGGGGGTGTTCATGCAGACTTGGTTGGTCACTCCACATTGGAATTGTTCCATACTCGAATAGCGTCTTCAGTTCATAATACGCCCATCCGTCAATCTGGACAAATTTCATCTTTTGAACAAGCTTGCGGCCTTCGTGGTAGTGTTCCTTGCTCGAGAGTATGAGTGCGGAGCTTAGTTGGCAGTCAACGTTGAGCATGTACTCATTATCACTATGTCGAGAGCCCCAATAACGGTCAACCATGGAGTTGAGTTCTGCAGTTTCCAACTCTCGCCAAAATCGTCTCTCAACTCGATTTTGGTGGATATTGGTACATTTTTCCAGAATATTGTAACGGATCTCTGCTGGGAGCCCTGGAAGGGTTGACTCAACACCTGTTGGGTGTGACATTTTTAAGCACCAGTTGATCAAGTGTTTCGTTTTTGTTGTATAAGATTCTCCTGTCAGTGGTAGATGAAAGACCAGAAGTATTCACGATGTGTATGTGGAATGATTTGATAGTAAGCCAATTCTAGTGGAAAGGATCCTTATATAGTGATAGCAGAGAGCTCGCTGTTTGGATTCTGTCCACCACTATAATCATTGGTCATTGTTCTGTACGCTGTCACTATTATGCTCCACGTTCAAGGCCTGAAAGTATAATAACGAAAGCTAATATACTCTAAAGTATAAGGGAAGACCTTTACAGCCCCACTCCACAATGTTTTGACTCGCCTCTGTGTGATTCTTGACTGAGAGTTTGACTGTGGTCAATGAAAATAAATGCTACTGTATATACTAGTACAGCCTTGTTGTTGCTAAGTGCCAGTTTTCGGAATTATCACATCTATCTCTCAACACCTAAGTAGGTTAGATCTAAATGCTGCGGATCGAGTCAATTCGAAACCCATTTCATTTGGCTATTCCATTCCACTCAAGTCCATCTAAGTGAGTCAACCTGAGTCTAGAGTGAAATGAACTATTTACCACTCTGGGGTCATTTCTTCTTCTTAGACTATTGAGTCAAACTCAATAGGAGAAATAAAGTTTTCGTGACACCAGCGCTGACTCCTTTAGTCACGCGATTTGAACTTGGTCTGACTCTTATGCAGGACGCACAGTAGAAATGTATGATACATCAGAGAGAGGTTAAGCTCATGGAGACATTGCAAATTCGTATCCGTGGTAGCCGGAGTGTCGTAGAACCCCATATTACATGATACGGCCGGAAGATAACTGGCCGACCTTTAACAAGGGAGATGATACTGGATCATTTATGTTTATCGCTGATGGGATATTCATACACTGGTACAGTCTGGCTGGGCTCTACGGTTTGTTTCCCCCTCCAATCCTCTCTTGATCGGTTTGTCTTAGTTCCCTACTCCACTGGTGAAATTTGAATCTTGAGATCATCTTCGGTACGAAATCAATTTTGACATACACTCCTTGCTAAAGGACAAAGTAAACTAGTGGTAGATCAGTCATCTATACAGTCTTGGTGTGTTGATCCCCCATTGCAGCACAACTCCCGGCGTATTAGATTCCGGGTTCCTCATTACTGCCAAGTTTGGTCGGCGGGTATCGAGCAGAAAGACAAGTTTAGCTGGCGGTATATCGCCCGCTGACCAGTTTCTTTCGTGCCGGGAGCAATTCCCATCTCTTTTCGTCAGCACTGCCCCGAGCACTACTTCCTTCGCCGCCATCGTCAGCGAATGGGTCGATTTCCTTCTCCTTGTCACTTGGTGGAGAGATTTTCTCCACGCCAATGGCTGATGCAGTCCGTCCGGGTATTTCGAATTTCAGTTCGACAGTACCTTTCTTTGCTAAGCCTCCTTGAGTCACAAATCTCACCAGTAGTCTCTCCTGCTCTGCCTTGATAGTAAGATCGTTGAGTTTCCACACTACTGCAGATGTTCTCCGTTTGAAGCTGGCACCCGAGGTTGGAGACATCATCGCTGAGACTGCTTTCCCTGTTCCTTCGCCGGAGGTGTCGAGGTTGACGCTAATCACAACGTTCTTCAAGTTGATCGCCTCGTTGCCGAACAAAGGGTTGAGGTTGTACAGAACAATGACACTGACTTGACCCTCAACGATCTGCCATGCTGGGGTGACTAACACAGGGCTGTATTGTGCCAAAGCGGTATCTTCAAGATGTAGTTGATATTTGAGTCCCACTAGCGGCGAAGGTCTCCGGATAGGTGAGGTGGCGATGGTATAGGTCCCTGCTTGTTCTTCTGCAGATGCCGTGCCACCGCCCTTGATCTGTGTCAGGTATATTGGATTGGCAGCTACCTTATCAAGAAGCTCAAAGTGCTGAAGGCGGATTGTTTCGTGTTCAGCATCGCCCGCACCTGTCGTATTGTATGCAAATGCGATTTCTCCGAGAACGAATGCTTTGCTCACACCGGACTCAGTGAACCATGAGTGAACAGTTTCGAGGACAGAAACATTAAGTCCCGGGTCATGGAAGTCAGCATGGTTTGTAGGTCCACCGAGACTTCTGGACGAGTAGATAGAAGTCGTATCGGAACCAACACCATGGTCCTCGTGCAGAGCTGGTGCTACAGGAGGTCTTTGTATAGGTGATGCAAGAATATTCTCGTTCGAAGTCGATGCAGCAGGAATTGTCAGAGGGGTCCCGCTTTGCGGAATTGCAGGTATCGAGTCCAACGCATCATTTGGAATGAACATGGTGTTTCGCACATCTCTACGCCCTCGCATACTGCCTTGGACACGATTAATGCCAGAAGTTTGCGCTTGCGTTCGTAATTGGCTTGCGATGCTGCTCAATGCCATTTGAGCTTCACTTTCGTCCTCTTGAATTGGTTGATCACGTATCTGGAAATTGCGTGACGACTCATCGCCAACTAGAGCGGCGGCAGCAGCGTCTCGTTGGGCTTGCGCTATGGGATCTTTGGCTGGAGTCGCAGGAGCCGAAGGTTCTTGGATGGTAGGTTGTATGGGTGGCGGAAGCTGAGACTCAGGTTGAACATGCTGAGTCGAAGGTGCTTCTAGGTGGGAAGCCTCAGTTGATTGCGATGGGCCAGTCCCATTTGTGAGAGTCATAGGAACTGAATCTTCCGATTGCATGCGTGCAGGTGGCTCGTGTCTCCTCTCAGGTGATGGCACATGGTAATCCTGAGAAGGACTTGGTGTTAGATCTGGACCTGAAGCTTCTAGATCTTGGAAACTACGAGATGAGTCTCCTCTCCTAAAGGGGACAAATGATCGAGTTTTCCTTTTCTCTTCATTGGAGGTTTGATGCGGTGCAGGTGGTGCTGTGCTCTTCCGCCTGCCCATGACTGTACCGAGACGTTTGAGACCGCCCAACTTACTGGTCTTCTCCTTTTGTGGTGTAACGTCTGGCACTAGTATCCGAGTCAATTTCTGCAGATATGATCAACAAAGGACTATACTTACAGGGAGCCAACCTGTCCTGGCCCGCAGTTGAGATTGATCGTTGACTTCTCCTGTCATCAGCCTGAGCATGACGAGGTGGTGGAGGGGTTGGTGGTGGACGCAGGTGAGAGCTTGCAGGCCTCGTACTCGGAGTGGCAGAGCTACGCCTTCTGCTGAGGCTATCACGCTGGGCGGTGGCCTTTGCCACGAAAGAGTTGATCTCATCTGAAGTTTCCACACTGAGGAGTGCGTTCAGAATTGACTCGGCGCTCGCGCGATTCTTCTCGACCGAGTCCAACTCGTGCGTTTGGAATTGGGTCAGGACATCCCGCAAGTGGTTGACTCTTGTTTCATCCAAGGATTGAAGTTGCTCGAAGACATAAGGAGCTTGAGAATCCCACTGGCGGGTTGTATCTTGGACGGCCGAATTGGCACCATCCGCCCTTCTCCCGCCTTTTGCAGCTTTTCTCTGAGCATTGGCGATATCCTTCGCAAGCATAGCCAGGTTTCCCTGAGTAGACGACAAGGCTTGTGAATCTCGGTTCCGCGTGGCGAAGGATCTGAGCGGCGCTTCGACATCTGTTTCCAGCTTGTTGGCCAGAACTTCATGAGAGGCTGCTAGATTTTCCGTGCCAGAGACAATGCGCTGCCATGATGTTTGAAAAACACTTGAGAACTATTAGAGGAGAAGCGCATGACGATGAAGACGAAAGCCTACCCAAGTGCCGCACCTCCATCCTGCTGTGGTCTTTTCGCAAGCTTTCGAAGTCCTGTCACATATGCTTCTTCGACTTTTCTGCGCTCCTAGTCCACTATTCAGTATCAAGATGTGGGGAGAAGTTGTGGCGTATGAGGCTAACCTGCAGCCAGTCGGCAATATCATTGTTTATCTTTGCGATCAAGGAAACACGGTCTTGTAAGATTGTAATGGCTTGCTCGGGTGGCATTGAAGCCTGCGGACAGGAAGGTCAGTTGATGAGTACGGAGGCCAGCGGGGTTCGACAGAGAAGGTTTACCAGGAAATTGGGATACTCAGTCCGGAGAGAGTCCATGTTGGCTTCGAGCGGGCTTCATCCGACAGCCCAGCTGGAATTGAGGTTGAGGTTGCGACCAGAGGAAACAAAGTGTAGTAGAGCAAGGAGGGAAGCAGTAGGACTGGGAGACACTTTGGTTCTAGTGGTGTCGTGCGAAAAAGATGAAGCGCAGGAGCTCCGTCGAACCTTGAAGCGTAGCGACTTATTACGAGTAGGACCTAGACAGAACGAGGTAACAGCAGCAACGTGAGGAGAACGACCTGAACCTGAACGGCTGTCAGTGGCAGTGGCTGTGGCAAGAGCATTGAAAGTGCAGCCAAACGGCAAGCCTCGGACCAGGATTACATAGTAGCATCAGCCGCTTAGGACGCTTAGGCATCACTAAGGTTGATTTGGGTGCGGGAGTGGGTTGCTGGGGGCACCTAGAAAAGTTTTTAATGGTCTGTTCCGGGTAGGTAACAACTAGTGGTGTCACCCCCGACAATCAGCCATGACTATGAGTGATCATTCCAGAACCACGTCAAGGAGCCTCGATTTTGCTTGTCCATTCTGTAGGCTGGGGTTTCTCCACTGGTGATCCGGATACAGGATTGGAATCGGAGTCCACCAGCAAAATAGTCATATCGTAATGATCAGAGCTACCCACAGCTCATCGGAGTTCAAAAGTTGGGCATCGACTGTGAATGTGAAAGAGACTCCTGACCAGAACACTGGTCCTAGGCCACTCAGCTGTCACATTCTTCGTATCACTTACAAAATATCTGCTAAAAACATTTATCCTACCCTGTCGCTGACTCGGGTTCCATAAGATTACACCACACACATGATTTCTCTACTGACACTACTAGACGGACATTACTAAAAAGCTGATATGCCACCCGATGTGAGCTTCTCCGAGAGATTTGGCAACATTGTTCTATTTACAAATGCTTTCATTGCAGCCGGGAAAGATGCTGATAACGCGCGAAGCGCTGCCAAAGCTCTCGAGGAAGAGATTCTGCACGCCGCAAAATCCTCGGATGAGTATGAGCAAATATGCGCGTCAAGACTGGGTGAGGCTGAAGATCCTGACTCTCCACCTGCGCAACCAGCCGAGCCTCCACAGGAAGTCGAGATCTTGAATACCGATGGCCCAAGTTTCGGCAACTATCAGTACGCGACGTATCACGCAGATGGACAGTTCTCAACCATCTACAAGGCCCAATCCAAGGATGAGGACGCCGTCGTGCGCATAGTTGCATTGAAAGTCACACGGCCGGCGATGATGGCCCCTCCACACAATTCCGAGAGGGAAGCACGACTTCTCAGAGGGTCGGAACACGAGTATGTTGTTCCATTAATCGACACAATCCGCGAGTCGGGCGATGTTTTTGTCCTAGTGATGCCTTTCCTCAAACAGGATCTGGAAAACCTGTTGCGGTCGGGTCGCCTAGATAAAGAGCAAACATGGTTGGTATTCCAAGGTCTTTTTGAGGCCTTGGCACATATTCATGACCTGGGCATAATTCATCGAGATGTCAAACCATCAAACATTCTTCTCAAAACAATGAAGGGTCCAGTTTACCTGGCAGACTTTGGCATCGCTTGGTCTCCTGACGACAGAGATTCCGAATCTGCAGATTCAAAGATCACCGATGTCGGTACAACATGCTATCGTCCGCCCGAACTTTTATTCGGCAACCGAACATACGATACATCATTGGACTTGTGGGCCGCAGGTTGCGTAGTGGCAGAGCTTCTTAGGGAGGGTCACTCACCACTGTTTGACGCCGGGCCATTGGGGAGCGAGTTGAGTCTGATCAAGTCAATATTCTCAACGTTGGGCACGCCTGATGATGAGCGCTGGCCGGTATTTGTGCTTCACTACGCGTATGGGTATATTGACTAATCGTTGTCCAGTCGGCGAAAACGTATCCCGATTGGGGGAAGATGCGATTCAAAGACTTCCAAGCACGGTTGTGGCAAGATCTACTTCCAGGAGCATCCGATGTAGTCGTCGATTTCATCAAAAGAACGGTTTGCTATGAGAGTACTCATCGCTTGACGGCCAAACAGGTGAGATAGCACAGCATCTGTAGGCGAGTGTGGCCAGGTACTAATCAGTTGCAGGCGCTAGAGCATCCATTGGCCTCAGATATCAAGATACACCAGACATTCTGATAATGCAATGACTGCCGCCGTTCTCGAGCAGTGCGGCTGGTTCGTTGGACCAGCTCTCAGAGGCTTCGAACAATTTATGATCTGATCCATCGTCCCGTCGATAATCTTAGAAGACAAGTATATGCTCAGGATGGTATGGTGCCATCGTCATACTCAACAACAGCGCGCCCCTCATTTCTGTCGAGTGGCGAGAGCGCAGTCCATGTCGTTGAAAGGGGGGAGAGTAATTGAAAGTCTCTCCCAGCATCGCCAGCTCGGAGGGGACTGTTGCAACCACCCCAGCACAACCAGCAATTAGCACGACGAAGGAGACTAGATATAAGAAACTGAAGAATGAGCAAGAGAGACTATCACACTGGGGAAATTGCGACCAGGATACTCTCAAGCCAAAAACAACACAGTTCGTGTCATCCTACACTTTAGCCATGCCTTTGGTGGTGATCGCGCCAGCAGAATATCTCTTATCAGTTCGCATGTCGGATTCAGATCTTGGCAAAGAGACTGGAACTGGGAGAGGCAGGCTTTGGCTCAAGTCAAGCGTCACAAATACGAAGTATTATTGTGGAAGTAGATATGGTCTATGCGCCAGCACTCGGGTATACGCAGTACAGAGCCACTTCCTCATACACCATCCACCAACTAATTGTTGTTCCGATGGTCCAAATGCCTCCTAAAGTTCGATAGCGAAGCTCGCTTGGGGAAAGCGAAAAGCGTATGCCAGCTGCTTGTCCACTACTGCCCAGTTTCGCATCTTGCGCTCCCTTTATCTCGAGTGAAGAGTACCTAGGTATTTTCTAGACCGATAGCAGGTCTTGGCTACGGCGTGGTCTTGTCAGAATCACTCAAAATGCCAATCAAGAAGGGTATAATCTAGAACTCATCTACAGATACAGATGATCACATAAGGCCTATTCAAAAGCGGCCTTAGTCTCTACCCGGACGAGGATACTAAGGATGACGGTTGAATCATTCAAAACAACCATGTGCTTCAGGCCTGAAATGAATGCTGGCAAGACATGGGAGAGAATGATTGCCGATTGCAGATCGATCCTGGTCGATAAGAGTAGAAACCATGTGGTTGGACATGTGAGGAGGTGATGTTGAACGAATCAAGGTCAAAGTTGGCAGATGTTACAAGACCGGCAAATCAATAGCATAGATTGGCACCTTTCATCGATAAAGTGGGACAGGGGAGCGGATAATGGTGGTGAGATTTATGTACTGTTGTATCTCGCACAAGTAACAGTGTAATCTAGTATATGACAGGGAGTTGGCTGTTTGATGGATAAGAGTGATTTCAGAACGACGACTCGCAAGCTTGACCGTGCGTGAAGACTGCGGTGGTAACCTGTGCATTACGTTATAGACATTCTTCTACCTAGTAGACACCTAAATTAGACACCTAAAGATGATTTATGATGCCCCTGAATGTGACCTCTAAGAGCTCGTACAGACACCCGCAAGTATCACTCGATAGCCGCTCGGCTGTCTGCCTTGTCTACGAGGCACCGTTCGTCCAAACATTTCAGGTACACGTGTGCAGCTGCTCTCCGCGTCTCGATTGCAATAATGCTCGTGCCACCATTCGGAGCAAATATCGAGATGCGTCGTGCATGTGTCAGAAGTGTCATCATATCAGAGAAGACTTGGTGGAATGCTTTTTTTCTCTCATTTGCAATCTCGCTGGTGGAGGGGATAGCGTAAGCTAAGGTGATTGGGACCAGTAGTGGCCGCCGCAGGTACCCCCAGGCTAGTCAAGTTCTGGGGTTAGGCCTCTGTGGCGCCCGGGACTAGATTCAGGTACACCAATAAAGCCCGAAGCGGCCCTGCTTATCCCCTGTCATCAAGCGTCTAATCTTGCTCCACTCGACACCCCGAGGGACAAGTTCAATCAACCCTTCTCTCCACCCTCGATCCATCTTTCTTGCCCACAGCCTCAATCATCCCATCATCTCCTCGTCAACACTGAACAGTAACGGAGCATTGGGCGGCGTGTCACTCCTGCCTTAGAAACCTGAGGCAGTCCCTCGTCCCAAGGCTTCTCACCTTCGATTTGTTACGCAGCTTCCTTGCTGGCGCCTCTTTTCCCATCTCTGCTCGTCGACCGCGCGCCTCACGTTCTTTTCACTCCTTCAACTTCACCTTGAATTGTTCGGATTGATTGTCGCCCTTCTTTTATCGACAATCAACTTCCAGTCACTCCTTGACACTCACCAAGTCACTCTTTTCGTCCCTTTCAACCCTAATCCGAATCCGAATCCATCCCAGTTAGCTGTGCTAGATCTCAGAAATCGCACATTCAACATACTCCTCACCTAATACAAGTGTTGCGTACAATATTATACCCGCAGCTCTTCTAAATTTCAAATCATCCCCTGAAACATCATGGACCACTCTCACCAGCACTTGCACAATAGGATGGCAAACCTGGCCAAGCGCCAGGATCTCAGTACTGATGGAGGTACTGTCTATTCGGTTGTCTACGTGACCGCGGAGCCCACCTTTACTGGTGTTATTGGAGGTTTCACAACACTCACCGACGAGTCTGCTGCTTCTACCACCGACACTCAGGCCTCTGTGCCCGTCGAATTTTCTACTGCCCCGACCGAAACCGTTGTCGGTGGACAGGCTTCCACTTCTGCTACACCTACCGCCAACACGACCGCTCTCACCAGTCCCACAACCTTTGCCAATGCAAATACAGGTCTTGATACGTCGGCCGATGGTGCGGCTGCAACAGCTGGTTCTGCTTCCACTTCTTCAGGATCCTCTAGTGAAGGCATGTCCACCGGAGCCAAGGCTGGTATTGCAATTGGTGTGATCGGCGCAGTTGGACTTTTCGCCATTTTCCTACTATGGCTTCTGGGTAAGAAGAAGAAGGAGCGTCAAGCACAGGCAAACAAGAACAATGAGAAATCAGGTTATGGCGCGGGTGCCGCCGCTAGCACTCCTCCCACAGAGATGCTTCATAGAAGCCCAACCAGTGCCACAGCGCCTCGCTTGAGTCTGCGACCAGTCTCGCGCATGCTCCCTGAATTCATGGCTCCTTCTAAAGGACGTTTGAGCAGTGGAAACATGCTCAATACCATCGGTGAAGGACAGTCTCACAACAGGAACCTCTCCCCTTCGCCTCAACCCCGTGGTCCCAGTCCCTCTCAACAACCGGCCCAGGAGAATCCATTCGCTGATCCCAAGAACCCATTCGCGGATCCTGAAAAGGCGGTCCACGTTCCAGCACCTCTGTCAGTTCACTCTGCTGTCACTAAACCTGCACCACTTCTTCCTATGGCCGCCACCATAGTTCCTGCTGCGGCTGCCATAACGGCCCCACAAGTGGCCCGAGTTGAGTCTCCTACGCCTGCTGGCCCTTCAGCTCCAGCTCCAGCTCCAGCTCCAGCGCCAATCGTGGCTCCGATAGCTGTACAGGCCGCGGAGCCTATCTCCAGACAAGCTCCTGCTCCAGCCCCTGCTCCAGCTCTTGCTCCAGCTCTTGCTCCAGCTCTTGCTCCAGCTCCTGCTTCATTGCCATCTACACCCGTCACTCCCGCTCCAGCTATTGCTCAAGGTCCAGGCCCTGAATCCACCCAAGGCAATGTGTATCGTGTCATGATGGACTTCAAGCCTTCAATGGAAGACGAGCTTGAATTGGGTGCTGGTCAACTTGTTCGCATGCTCCACGAGTATGATGACGGATGGGTGAGTCTCAAAAGTCCATCGAGTATGAAAATAGATTGCTAACACATATCCTAGGCTCTTTGCATCAAACTCGACCGATCTCAACAAGGTGTTGTTCCACGAACGTGTTTAGCTGCCAAACCATCAAAGCCCAAGCCGGCTCATTTGAATCAGTACGCTCGTGGTAATGGTGCTAACAGCCCGGGACCAATTCGACCGCCGCCAGGACCCGGAGGTCCCAGTATGTCACGTCCCATGTCTCCAGCCGGGAGTATGAATGGTCCTCCTCGCTCCAACATGCCACAATCGCGCCCTATGAGCCCTGCCGGTCGTCCTGGTCAACGTCCCATGTCGCCTGCCGGAAGCATGAACGGTCCTCCTCGTTCGGGTATGCCTCCCTCTCGCCCAATGAGCCCTGCTGGAAGACCAGGCCAACGCCCGATGAGTCCTGCTGGAAGACCAGGTCAACGGTCAATGAGCCCCGCTGGCATGAATTCACCGCGAGCTATGAGCCCGGGCCCCTTCAATCAAACTCCCAGGCCTCTCTCACCAGGTCCTCGACCTCAATCAAACCGAAGCATGTCGCCCGGTCCATATGGAGGTCGTGGAGGTCCACCATCAATGGGTGGGGACAAGACCCGACGACGAAGCAATTCCGCTAGTGCCGCCAATGTTCGGGATCGTCGAAATACACCCCCAGGACCTTCGAATCTCAGACAAGGTACAAGTTCTCAAGGAGCAGGCATTGCTTTGTAAGAGCGCGAGACAAACATACACGCTACGAAAACCTCCCGCAATGACCCCGACCATAACTTGAGCCTCAACAACGAAAACGACACTAGATGCTTCTTTTCTCGCGGAATGAACCCACGATCGAGTTCAATTACTAGTTCAACTGATACCTTTGTTCTTTGAACCTTTGCTATTCTTGGCTTGAGCTTTCTTACCTGGGCGTCTCTCGGATTTCCGTACGGAGTGGACTTGCCACGGTCAGCCAACTTGGGATGAGCTTATCTTTACCGCGTTAGGAATCGACAATGGGCGTCAACAGAGACCAGAAAGGCATATTGTATGCCGAATAGATAGATAATGTCAACACTCATCATTCAATCTCTGTGGATACCTTTGAATCGTGGACGGAAGCTCATTTCCTCGTCGCCCATAGTCGTACTTCAAATGTGTGGTCATGCATTGTTTATGCCGTCCTCATGAATGCCAGCTCGCCTCCCACTGGCAGGTATTATCATGTGCCAAGCCTGTGCAGGCCGAGCTCCCCCTTTCAAGTTCCGCACGTCTGTTTCCCTCTGTATTCCTTTACTCGCCATTGCTTCGTTCCCCACCACCAGCAGAATCAAAGATCCACGACATATCTTTGAAGTTCTCAGCATTTGCTCAAAGGGAGGAACTCCCGTTGAGCTGGGCTGAGATGAGCTTGACTCCAGATGAAGAGAGGACTACCCCTGAGATAATCTCACTCACTCCTAGCACGTTGATGTCTGAGAGCTAATTAGAAGGTTTCCTTTGTTCTTCACTGAGACTGATGGGGGTTGAAGCCGAGGCTGCTCCTATGTCTGAGGCTGCTGTGGTTATTTTAAGGCAGGAATGTATGGGCTTCAACCGATCTGATAGTGTTGCCTGTCTTGGTCTGCTTTCGCTTTTGACCCCTTTACCTCCCACGAAAGCATTGTCTCTTCTTTTCTTCCCGCCTGTCGATGCCTCAATCCGTACTTCAACTTGAGCGTGCTGGGGTAGAGAGAAAGAATGGGCTGTCAAGGAAGGTCTCTTCTCAAACATCATGTCGCTGGCAGGGGTCTGTGTTAGCCGCTGTACTGGTAGCCAGTGAGCATTAAATCGAAGACCATGGACAGGCATGTCTATCAAAACACAATGAACATGTCTTGGGCAACTCATACGAAGGCTGTGCATGGTGTAAAGCAGCGAGTGGAAATAGACTGGTATGGGATGGCCCAGCCTCATGAGCCTGAGGCAGTGGGGGAGTGAATGATGAATGGATGAAAGAACTGCAGTGAATGATAAAGGTGAATAAATGGTCCTATCGATCTTCTACCTGGGATGACCTTTCCTCTCTTTTCTTCCTTACCCTCTCCATCCATACATACTGAATAAACCCTTTTCCTGAAGCCCCCTATCAACATTCTCGTCATCAAAATCCACACGCCTTGTTCCCTTCTTCCCCCAAGTCTCTTACAGCCACTGATTGAGGCTGCACAGTCATACTCACTTCCTCCAAACACAGCCTCGATTATCGCAAACCCTGTCAATCCGCTCAACTCAACATGTCCTCCAAAACCGAGCCACCTGAGTCCAAGTCGGGCTCGAGCGAGCTCCCTCATTGTCTTGATGATGCTGTGAGCCCTCCAGAGCCTACAGCAGAATCTTCACTGCCTGCGCTTCCTGACTCACCTGAACTGGTGCCACTCCCTGTCTCGCCTAAGCTGCTCCCACTTCCTGAATTGCCCGAGTTTCCACCACTTCCTACCTCGCCTGAGTTTCCACCACTTCCAGCAAGCCCAGACTCGGTCCATACTCCAGAGCGATACTGTAGTGACGAGAACAATGTCATCACAAATACTGACACTCCGGTTCACCCATGGGATGTCTGGTCACCACCTCCATTGTCTGCTGAGGTCCGAGGCATTCTTCATCAGGCTTGCGGATCTACCGAATGTGAAGCTATTCCTGGCCCCCATCCTCTTGCTCAGCGTCGTAATGCCATCTGTGATGGAATGAATGGTAGTCCTGTGCGTCGTGCCCATCAACCTCGGGCCACGGCCACAACCAACGAGGGTCTTCACACTCGAAACCATGGTTCTCTCGCAGCTGAAGAAGGAAACCCAGCAGCCCAAAACCAAGTCGAAGAGGCTCTTGGCTTTGCTTCAGAGACTGAAGAAGACCATACCAGAATCTCTGATGAGGGACATTGGATCAGCCATGGCCATGATCAATTTGAAGTTGTTCCAAAGGCTGAGGTTGTCCCGGAGGCTGAGGTTGTCCCGGAGGCTGAGGATGTCCCAGAGACTGAAGCTGTCTCAAATACTGAAGTCGTTAGTCTAACAACCCAGACCAACAAACCAGCCAGCATATTTGTGACTATCAACACAAACCCCAAGGGCAAGCGCAAGTACGAAGAAGATCCGGATGCAGACATGCGTCAAGCCATCAAAGCAGACATGGATCGAGCAATGAGCCAAGCCTCCAAACTCACACTCGACGACCTGACCAAAAACCTGAGCACTCACGATCTGGCAGTCACAAAACTCTACATCCCAGACCCGACTTGCCCATGTGAAGTGGACCGTTGGCTCCGAGAACGTCAAAGTGCCCATGAATGCTGCTGCCTGTGTCATCTGGGTGAAGATGTCGAGGCACCCGGTCCATCTTGGAGGAACCGCTCGAATGCTCATGACTGTGCCGTCTATGTTGAATGGGTTGCGAACGGTGTGAAATATGATCAGTGCAGACCCTGCTACTGCAAGCCTGCTGCTCCCGTGAAAATCTTTGATAGTGCCATTTTGGACGACACCGAGGACGTTCCCAGCGACCACTGGTCAGATACAGGTGAACATGGGGAGGATGAAAGTGAAACAGGGTCTTCGGAGGAATCTGACCCTGAGCTATTCTTTCACCCTGACTATGTTCCACTACCACGACCATCGGCCCGAGAAAAGCGGCGTGCATGGCTGGAGGCGTGGAGGTGCGGAGAGAAGACGTTCACAAACATCCAGGATGCGTATGTTCACTTCCAACGATCGCGTGGTATCATGTTTGAATTGCCACCCCGCAGAAAACTCTCAGACGGCCATTTACCAACCTTCCACAATCATCAGAAACATGATGCCTGGGCCAGCGTGTCAGAGGCAGCTCATCGAGTCGAACCGACCTTGACTCAGGTACATGCAATCCCTGATCTACCTGATGTTGTCAAAGTCCAAGATAGTGATGAGTCCTCGAGCAAGAACAAACAAGCTGCAAACGAAGATGTCGAAAAGGTTGCAGATGAGTCTTCTCTGATCTCGGAAGGTCAACTAACAGTTCCAACTCAATCTGAGACTGGGATGTATGAGCCTGAAACAGCCAGCTCTGCTCTCGATCTAGATCTCGTATCTTCGTCTGATTCTGAAGATAGCGATTCCTCGGTTGATACCACAGCCGAGAAACCTCAACCGGCTTGGTCGAAATCATCCATGCCACAAATGGCCAAATTCGTCTTCACGGAACCCTTCTCTCTTGTTGGCATGGTATACTCAGCAGCAAATGGTATCAACAAAGTCATTTTTGATTCAGCATTCCGTCTACGCCAGTGTCTGGTCCTGCGCAGACAAAAGGAGGCCCAAGCGGTCCGAGACGCAATCAAGGCTGCAGCTAAGGCTGCCGCTCTCGCCGCAGCTGCGGCTCGTGGAGATTCTCCCATCGTCGACGATCTCGAAGACGAAGTCTCCGGTATAGCTACTATCGACGAGCCCGTCGGTCTCGATGCTATACTATCTGCCGATGACTTCGAAGGGTTGGGCATGCTGGACAGTTTCTTGCTCTTCTTCCTCACCCTCGAGGTTTACATGGCTTTGCTGTTCTTCATCGTTGCCATTCTCGAGTCTACTTTCGTTGCAGTCGTGGAAAGTGGTTTATCTGTTGGGGACACCTATTACCAGGGTCGAATGCAATCCATGTGAGAGTCATCGTGTTGAAGGAAATGACGAACCGGATGTCGAGAGAGTGTGTGTTTCCACGCCATGGAGGTAGAAGGTATCTGTCATGATTCTGGAAAGCAGAATGAGATGTGCTTCCACCAGGGCTCGAAAGAAAATATGGCTGGTTATCACCGATGTGCAATCACATTCAAAGCCAATAAACATGTCGCGATATCGAGCTGGCATTCACACATTTTGCGTTGATCTTCGTAGAGTGCATCGAAGATACAACAACGGGTATCGGTACTTGGGTTGGCATAAGTTAAGTATTGGCAGATCATATCAAATGTGCCTGGGTCAATGGTGTCCCTTGGGTCGAGAAGACTATCATTGTGTACGAGCAGTCTCTTGATAAATTATGGATTGAATCACCAGTGAGCAGTGCATCGAGTGAATCGTATGCCAGGATGGCTTGAGATGTCGTCAAGTGTCCGAGGAGCCTAGGTGCCTAGTTAGGTATGTAGTACCTAAGCTACTCCGTCCCACTAATAATTAGGCCCAGCTTGAAGTATCTTACGACCTAATCAGGTAGTTAAAGAGTTGTCCGCCCCGCGCTTGTTGCGATTTCACCCACACTCACCCTCTGCGATCATGGACATTTTATCCACGCCGTTCATCGTGTAGATGCTCAGATATTTACCGCGCATCACTAAAGTCTACGGCCGACATGATGGTTTGCCGGCAGCGAGAGTGTCCACCCCTACCTAGTTGCCAGACGCCCGACTGAAAAGTAACTAACTAGACCAGTTGTTCGGACAAACGTGGAATTGGGGTGGTTCTGTTCTGCAGCTTCACGTCCACCTGACGGCCTCTTAGCGAGAGCCACATGAATCAGGCACCAACCCAACCCAACCCAATTCGCCATGGAGTGACGGGCCAATGAGAGTTGCACTTTGCAAGTGAAGCTCGGCGGACGGGCTGAGAGCGAAGGCTGAGGTTATGCACTGCCCACTAACTAGTTAGGGACACTCCGATAGCCTCATCCTGCTCTCTGATATATGGGATCTACACGGGAAGCGTTCCTGACAACTAATATATGAACGATACATTCTGTCTATGTGTCATCTATTTGTTCGTTCCTAGTGTCGTGGCTGATGAACGTGGATTTTGGTCTGATCCCAACCAGCACTCTCCAGCATCCTGCTGACCCCTCTGCCTTCGTGGACATCAAAATCCTAACCTGATACCATCAATGAATGCTCAGGTTTTGACCCAAATAGCCAAAACCAGACTCAATGGCCGAAGTCGCTGGGCTGCTTGTCGGTGTGGTTCCGTTGATCAGCTGTTTCAAAGATTGCGTTGATTTGTTCTCTTACATCTCGTTGGCTCGCTCTCTGGGTCGTGACTATGAGTTACTCAACACGAAGCTAGACGTGGAAAAATTACTTCTACTGCAATGGTCCTCGAGGATCCAGCTTTTTCAATCTAGACCGGATAAGCGTCTGGACGATCCATTGATACAGGAGATGATTACGAAAGTGCTCAAGAGCATCGCAAGACTTCTGAGTGACGGTAAAGACCTGAGAACGCGATACGGTCTCAGAAAAGAAAGAGATGACTTGGAGGATGACGCCAATAGTGACTCTGACGCGAAATGCGAGTCTGACGATGATGATGAGTTCAGATCGGTCGCTGGAGCTCCCAAAGCTGTAAATGGCCAAAGAAGACCTCCTCTTCCAAGCGACAGTAGACTAGACGTTTTCATCGCTCAGTTCGACAGATTGAAACTCCAAAAGCGCCGCAGGATCGACCGCCATACAGCTGAGATCAAGAACTTGAATCTCAAGCTTCAAGACTTGGAGACCCGGGAACGCTTAGAGCACGTCAGGCTGGAGAGAAAAAACCTCGAGGAGGTAGAACGTCTCAGGCGTGAAACCTTGAAAGCTCGAACGCGCCAGCAGGTGGAGAGAGTAGAACTCCAAAAGGTCGAAAGTCTTCAGCTTGAGAAGATCTCACCTACACGCAGGATCAGGTGGGCTGTTCATGACAGGGACAAATTCGATAACCTGGTACAAGACTTGTCGTATTTTATCAGGAAGCTGAACGAAATAGTCCCGGATAACCAGCACTCAATCGAGGAAATGACCGCCGAAGACTTGGCTGATCTGCCTGACTCGAGGGTAGAACTTGTTTTTCAAGTCTCGCGGAACAGGGCCACAACGATGGCGACGGTAGCTAAGGATGTTTTGACTCGGAATTGTGAAAACCGCATTCTACGGTCGCTCAAATTCCGGTATATGGACGATAGGATGGAAAACATCTCCACACCATCATCGAACACCTTTGAATGGGCACTGCAACCGCGAGAAGCAGACGTCCAGTGGGACGATCTGACAGATTGGTTTCGGTCGGACGCCGGGATTTACTGGATATCTGGAAAGGCCGGCTCAGGGAAGAGCGTCTTGATGAAGTACATTTGCAGTCAGGACCGGACCCAACAGTTACTTGGTACCTGGGCATGCGACGCTCCTCTGACTGTAGCACAATTCTTCTTCTGGGCTCTGGCTCCGACTGTGGAACAGAGGTCCCTTGGTGGGCTGTCAAGGGCCCTGCTTCATCGAATTCTTGAGGAGGACCGCTCATTGATCCCTCGACTCATGCCGGGAATGTGGGAGGAGGCATATGCCAAGGACATTGCTACAGTCAGCCCACCATCACCAGCGGAGATGAAGAGCGCATTCGAGATCTTGGGACGCATTCCCAACTACTCGCGCAAGTTTTGCTTTTTCATCGATGGACTGGACGAATATGACGGTAACCTCTCGGAAGGAATTGCCTTTCTCAAGAATCTTGCTTCGAATCCGAGTGTCAAGTTAGTAGTGTCGAGCAGACCGCTCGCGTCCTGCGTGGAAGCATTTTCGACTTGCCCGATGCTTCAGATGCAGGATCTCACTGAGAGTGATATCAGTGCGTACGTCGATGAGGCCATTGCTACGCACCCACACATGCTGAATCTCCTGAATCTTCACCCTTCAGGGACTCAGCAAATCTTGAAGACCATCGTCAACAAATCTTCCGGCGTCTTTTTATGGGTAGTTCTGGCATGTCGGTCTATCCGGGAAGGGCTCGATGCGGCCGATGACATATCTGATCTCCGCCGTCGATTAGACGAACTGCCACCGGAGCTCAGAGACTTGTTTGCGCACATGCTAAGTAATATCCATTCCAGGTACCGACTTCGGGCGGCCAAGTATATACGCGTGTTGTACGCGTGTAAATCGAACCCAGACACGGATGAACTCTCGAGCCTCGGCCTGGCCCTGATGGAAGCTCAGGAAATGGGCGCATCTGAATTCCACCCAATGGATGATGTCTCATTCGAGGACAAGAGGTGGAGAGTCCAGACTTTGGAAAAGAGATTGAGCTGTTGTTGTGGACTTCTTGAAGTCCGAGTGAGCCGCAATCACAGCAAGACGAGGTGCTTTTGCGATCGCAATCCAGAAAATAGGCTGCTAGATTCACAAATCGATTTCATACATCGGTCAGTCTACGAGTTCTTGAGCCTTCCCGGCACTCTCGATCTCGAGGCACTGCAAGTTCGCGACGAGTCGTTTGACCCCAACGCCATCCTAGCATACATGTCAGTCTATCTTGCAGGCATCAAGCTGAAAGAGCATGGGGTAATGACAACCCCATATCTTAGAGACGTTCTTATGTATGGCCTCCGGGTGCAAAAGTCATCAAATGATAAACTGAGGTGTTTAATGGAGGAGCTTGCAGAGACATGGTTGAAGTCTTCGATGTCTGATAATGCACCATGGAACATAGGCAGCGAATCACAAACCAAATCTTGGATCATGGACCACGAATCCCAAGCCAACAATAGCTGGGACAATGCGAAGGCGACCGCAAATCTTACCCTTTTGCTCTGCATCGAAGCTGGTATGACCGATCTAATCGAAGGCGACAGCCTGCTAGCTGAGCAACCCAGTTTCCGGCCTACCCGGTTTCCCTTGCTTTACCATGCACTCTCAACGCCGCTGCTGAAATATCGGTGGAACCTCGATCTACCGATGCCGTTAAGCACCGTGCGCTTTCTTCTGTCGCGGGGATATGATCCTAATGAACTGTTGTGGGACGAACGCATCGAAAAACAAATTTCACCGTGGGAATATTACCTGGAGATTCTGCAGAACCCACAAAATCGGTCGACACTTCTGGCCAACGACCTGATTGAAGAGTTCTTGCGAGCGGGTGCCAATTGTGCTGAGTGGTGTGAGGCCGGACCAGGTGTCCCGAATGCGATGTTGACTAGCGTGATGAGGCGAGCGTTCTGCCTTGATGGCGGGAGACTTGCAGACGACGAGTCAATCCTTTCAAGGGCCGATTTGAGGACACTGCGGGACCGAGGCAACCAGCTTTTACGTGTCATCAGACAACATCAGTCCGAACAGATTGGAAGACCTGACAAAAGCACTAGGCAGTGGCAGCAGCGTGCACGACCCCCGGCACATCCTTCCCGCCTTCCTAAAAAACGACGAAAAGGGCCGTCTAGGAGCACTGATGACTCAGAAAGCGATACAGCAACAACATCTTTCCCCAAAATACCAGAGGTTCACCAGAAGAGGAATTCGAAAAAGCAACGGTTTCAGAAGTAGAATCCCTTTTATGATGGCAGGAGGCACTTGCAGTCTAGAGTCATCTACGGTACCAGGGATCCACTTGAGCCCATGATGCCAATGTATGATATTTTACCATTAATGCAGCATATGCTTAAGAAGATCGAGGAGTGGTGAATAGGATCTACAATAATGATATATGCAATCTTTCATTGGACTTATCCACATCGGACTTGTGCGGGCCATGTTGGCGGAGTAGTGAGCCACATTTTATATTCTCGCGATCAAAGAAAAGAGTTGACTCCTTTGATTTTCATGTTGTTGTAACTGTGGAAGCTCTAGAGTCTCTCTTTCAAATCCTCAAGATCTATTTCAAGCAACTGCAGAATGTCGGAAACGGACATTGGCTTCATCGCGGCGTTGGAGGAGGCAAAGCAAGGCTATGCGGAGGGCGGCGTTCCGATCGGTTTGATATGCTCCCGATCCATGTAAAAATCAGTTTCGGGGTTTGATGCTAATATAGTGCTGGTTCAGGAGCATGTCTAGTCAGTAGAGACGGGAAGATCATCGGCCGAGGCCACAATATGCGGGTGCAGAAGGGTAGTGCGACTCTACATGTAAGTCTGGTTCTCCCACTAGTTAGGCGTACTCTGGTTCAGAGCTTGAGGTCGTTACTAAACACGCCGATGTAACCGTTAGGGAGAGATATCAGCCCTGGAGAATTCTGGCCGTCTACCGGCCTCGGCATATAGGGGGGCTACGATGTATACTTCGCTCAGTCCCTGCGACATGTGCACAGGCGCGTGCATTCTGTACAAAGTCGCGCGGGTGGTCATCGCCGAGAACAAGACGTTTGTGGGAGGCGAGGAGCATTTGAAATCGAAGGGGATTGAGGTTGTGGTCTTGGATAATGCCGAGTGCAAGGAGCTCATGAGGAAGTTTATCGAGGAGAAACCTCATATCTGGTAAGTTTTGCTGCATTCGTTGGAAAGGAAAGGGTGCACATGGCTGATGACTGCTACAGGAACGAAGATATTGGTGAGCCGTGAATTCATTTTCATAACTCTATGGAACTTTTGAGTGGACGGGTTCTTCTAGACCGTATATGAATGGCTCGCTCAAGCTGTCAGTCTGTGTATTTCCTGGAAAAAGAATTTCAGATCATCCGGATTGACTCCTGGCGTGATGCCGTGTCCGAGGTTGACGATCCAACGTTCTTTGCCACCACCAAATCCCTTGACCATCTGTTCAACGACTGATGTGATTGACTCGTGGCTCCCATAAAGGACTCCAGGATCAGCGTTGCCTTGCAGGGTGACTCGTCCCTTGGCTATCTTGACTGCCTCACTTTGATCGTGTAGCCAGTCCAGCCCAACAACATCGTAGCCGCTATCGGACAAGTCGTCCAGAGCATACCATGCACCTTTGGCGAAGACAACCATAGGAACGACATCTTCGTTCAACTCACGAAGGCGTTTAGGCAAGTGCTCTGAAATATACCGCAGATATGGCAGGGCAAATTCTTTAAATGAAGCCGGGGAGAGTTCTCCGGCCCAGGAATCAAAAACCTGAATAATCTGCGCTCCTGCAACCACCTGCAGTGCGAGATACTCAACACAGAGTTCGGCAATCTTCTGCAAAAGAACCTTGCTCTCCTTGCCATATTTGAAAACCCAAGTCTTGGCCTCCCTGAACATCTTCGTACCGCCACCTTCGACCATGTAGCAAAGTAGAGTCCATGGAGCTCCACAGAACCCAAACAATGGTACTCTGCCCTCCAGTTTGGTTCGTGTCAACGTGATGGCTTTGTATACATAATCAAGCTCTTTTGCGACATCCACTTCACGTTTGACAATGTCTTGATACTGTTGGTCGGAAGGTGATCGCAGAGGATTGGGGAATTTGGGCCCGATGCCATCCACCATCTTGACTTCCATACCCAGAGCCTGCGGTACCACTAGGATGTCGGAGAAGATGATTGCGGCGTCGATAAGACCATCGAATCGATCGATTGGCTGGAGTGTCAAGGTAGAAGCGATCTCTGGAGACCGGCAGCATTCGAAAAAGTCGTGTTTGCCTTTGGCCTCATGGTATTCAGGGAGGTAGCGGCCAGCTTGTGAATGTTAGCGTTCGGACAATGCAAGTACATTGTCCGGTAGTGAGGGCACTGACCGCTGCATACCTTGTCGCATCACCCATATTGGTGGTCGGTCGACTTTCTCGCCTAGGACACTTTAGTATTGAGTCGCGAAGGGATCCAAATTGCGAACGAACCGCGAGCGGCTCGTAGAAGCCTATCGTTCTTCAGAGGGGCAAATTTATTCCGAGTCATCTTGATTCATGAACTATACGCAGGTAAGAGAAAGCTAGTACTGCTGTTCCGAGTTGTGGAGGGGCATAATCGATTGTGTCATGCCAGAGAAAATTATGGAGGGTAAATTATCCAGCCGAGGTTTTGCCAAGTCACCGACAAGGCTGGGTCAGCCTTGTATCAATATTCTGCTCGCAGGTAAAGATGGTTAGGACTTCACCCCTGCCAACAATGCTCCAGGCAGCTTCAATAATTATTGCTGTAGGTATATATCTTTTCAGTGCCGAGTTCTTGTCACCAATATGGTACAAAAGCTCGGAGCTCTCCCATTAGGACAGGTCACAGTCCACGCCCCTCGATGGTTCAATCAGTTCGCTGGTTCTCCCTTCACCCTTCTCTCTCTCTCCTCTCCTCTCTTCCTTCTTAAGCAGCCATCGAGGGGCATTCGAAGCCCCGAGCACCACCGATCCCCCTTCCCCCTGTTCTTTGACAAAAAATCCCATTTGGGATTTCTCCCCCACTTCGAACCCCTATGGTGGGGGGCAAGAACTGGGAGGAGTTTTTGTATTTTTTTGCACTTTTGACTCTCCCTGTTTTTTTCTATACCAGAGTACTCCCCTGCCCCTGTGCGTACCCATGCAGATGGATTGTTTCCCCGCCACACACACTCTAGCCTTCCGTGAATCTCTAACCCCACAGGCAGTTTTGAAGAAGACAACGGGCCAACCCTGGATACATTGTGGCACTCGATTCAGCTGACACCAACCACCGTATACAAACTTTCATCAGCAGTCCGGCACACTGACAGGAATGTTCAAGGGAACGCTGGTCGCCAGTCCACTGAGACTTGTCTCCTTGAACTCCTCCTTCATGCCCTTTGCTGTAAGACGCATTGCACGAATGGCATCGTCCAGCGTGACCTTTTGCAACCCAGGTACACTGTTCAAGGCAAGATTGGCACTCGAGACAGCCTTGATTGCACCTAATGCGTTTCGTTCAATACACGGTGCTTGAACCAGCCCGGCAACAGGGTCGCACGTCAGGCCCAGATTGTGCTCGATACCGATTTCTGCAGCCTGCTCAATCGTCTCGGGTCCTGCACCCATACAGGCCGCATATGCACCAGCCGCCATGGAGCACGCTACACCCACTTCAGCCATACAGCCTCCTTCGGCGGCAGATATGGTCGCGCCACGCTTGAAGAGTGAGGCGATGGAGGCAGCGGTGAGCAGAAAGATCGGAATGTCTCGTTCGGGATCATCACTGACAAACTCCACGACATACTTAAGCACTGCCGGGATAATACCTGCGGCACCGTTCGTCGGCGCGGTCACAACACGCCCGCCAGCTGCATTGGTCTCGTTCACAGCTATGGCGTATACTGTAAGGTAATCCATTGCCGGGAGTGACACACTGCGTACTGGCGAGATCGATATCGGATGACGAAGAGACCCCACCAACCGCGGCGGCGGCCGACGCTGTTGCATTTGCATCGCTGTTGTGCGCCTCTGGCTTTGAGTTCGACTGCCCACCTCTGCACTGCCCGTAGTTGCCAAGGGTCCTGCGGTTCCCGAGGATGAAGGGGCCTGTATCTGGGCTGACGTCGTTATTGGTTGGACCTGAGTGTGTTCCGGGTATAGCCCTCGAGTGAGTTGTTGGTACAAGGCTGGCGCTCTTCTGCGGAGCCTCAGTGAACCGGGAAGGGCTGCGTGTGATGGTGCTTGCACGCCTTCCCGGATGCAATCGTCCATGACATCCCAGAGGTGAAAGAGCTTGTCAAAGATTTCATTCTCTTGAAGACCGAGGCCCTTCTCGTTCTCGAACATCAATTGAGCGATGGTCAAATTATGTTTCTTGCACAGTGCCAGAAGTTCGGTGGCGTTGCGAAAGCGATAAGGTGCATGGCCAGACTCGCTGGTGACAGGTCTTGCATGCTCGACATCCAAGTCCTTCGATTTTGCATCGGACAAGAGATGTTGCTGCGGTTGCTCTGATGATCCATCCCTGGGCCGGGAATCGTAGTCCGCACCACTTCTCCGCTCCTCTGCTGCGTCAGACCGCTTGATTTCTTTGTAGAACAAGTTTTCAGACAAATCGATGGGATGATGTTCTGGAACTGGCTCTGTCGATGTTGCGACAGCTTGGCCTCCATCTGCAGCTCCGTGGGTGGGCAATAAAGGGTCTGAGGGCTTTTGTGCCGAAGCCGTTGACATCTTTCCATTCACCACGAATCCACCACCAACACTAAACATGTCATTCGTGGCCAACTGGTCTCCATTCTCGTCAAACACTCTGAATCGCATTCCATTGCTATGCATTGGAAGTTTGCGACTCCACTCCCAGATAAAGTCCCGACCATAATCGAAATCAATCTCCCGGCCATCGGCAGATCCTGAACCCGCTAAATACAATTTCTTGCTCTGCTTGATCTCCGCAAACCGTGTGGGAACATAGGCCGTGTCGACCGATTCCACATCTGCTCCTTCAAGACCGAGAAGCAATGCACTCGGAGTCATATGGCCTTCTCCCGTGAGCGCCAGACTGCCATAAATGGAGACGCGAATCCGGGTCACCTTATGGAGGAGACCGGCATCTATCAGATCCGTGACGAAGATCTTGCCTGCACGCATCGGACCAACGGTGTGGGATGATGATGGTCCTATACCGACCGAGAAAAGGTCAAATGCTGAGATGATGGCGTGCTCCTGGTCGCCTTCCGACTGTAGGCGATCAGATGTGTCGTCATGATCCTCGTTATTCTCAGCTGATGACCGTGTCGATGTGCTCAGGCCCCGAGATCCAATAATACAATGTGATCCTATAGCGGCGTATGCTACCTGATAAGGAGCCTGTCGTCCTGTATGGCGGCCAAACCCGCCATAGTTGATGCCCGTGCTCTGGACTCGCGCTCGACCATGAACAGCACAACGCGCAGCTTTCACAGGTCTCACGAGTCTCCCCAGCAGTGCAGCCGGTTGCGATCGTTGAGCCATTGAATTACTGCAAAGACAGGAATCGCGAAACTGTTTCTTTGTTTTCAAGATATTTTGTTGACCGGATATCCGCCCTATGATGTGCTTCCCCTTGTCAATTGCGCTAAGCTTGATCAGGGCAAAATCTCCTTTACCACTGTGGTGATTGGCTGCGAAAGCACTAATTTAGTCAAGCATTCAATACCTACTTCAAGGCTGAGGAACCACCCAAGATGGGAAAGAAAGTTACAGTCGTCATTTGGGTCGAGAGTGAGAGGTTCTCAACGTCTTGGATTGGTTTACTACATGCCATCACTCCTCCGATGTTAAGCCCCACTATGGAATTCCTGAACTCTTGGCCTCTCCAGTGATGACAATCACATCGCCCCAATGAAAAGCCACAGAGCCTTGTGAGCCAAGGGTCAGGAGGCCTCTGAGGACAACTTCCAGGTTGTGCTCACACACTATTGTAGTCTCTCAACGGTAGCCCCTTGATCAAGGCGAGGAGTGACATAGAGGCCTAAAGAAATGTATTTCCCTTCTGGTGAGAGTTTGAACTTCATGTTTGCTTGATGATAAATCAAAAGGAATGAGACTTATGGGCGTTTGGAAACATATCCTTGGTTCTTCTTCGGTGCAGTGAGTACAGCCTTCCCGCGAGGAGAAAAGCGCATAGTGGAGTCTTACAATCAATGAGGAAGGAGGGGAGGTAATTGGAGCAGAAATTGAGCCTTGTTCATTCCTTAACACAGGATAGCGAAGAGCAAAGCCGGTAATAATTGTTCTGAGCAGCGGACCAGTCATATTGCCCCCAGTTGCGGATGAGGTCGTATCCTGCGGATTTTCATATCCGGCGTGGAAGTATGATTTTGTTAGCAAGGGTACTCCCTATGAATCCTTTCCACAAAGAGATGCTTCACTAGAAAGTTGGCAAGATGGTTTCCACAAAAGATCGCAGGATCTTCAGGTTTCTATGCACACTGGCGAGTCGTAGTTTTCATGTCGACCAGTAGACCTGGCTTCAGCCAGCGGAGAGATAGTCGAACACCGGAAGCACCATCAGATGACCAACATTAGCAGCCACTTCAATATATGAGCGCGTACTGGTCGTTGCATCTTCACAAGCCTCGTTTGCTATTCACTCGCGGGGAGTGTGGCTTTTCATACCTTTCTGGAGGCTTCGACAATTGCTAACATTCTACAGCAGTAGGCTGGGAGAGTATTCCAAGGGAGCTTCTTGATAGTGAACAAGTATGCTGGACTGAGCTATGTGCGGATCTCTGCACTCAAAATCGTCCCTCCTCATCGGGAGAATGAATGATCGTAAAATAATTGAGTAATGGAATATTGATAGCAGGCGATTGCTCTTTTGCGCGATTCCTTATCCAAAGATACAAGGGTCAATCGGACGAATGGTCCAGACCGTCATCGAGAACCCAAGTTGCAATCACGAACAATGTGCATCTTGTAAGAAGGTCTGCATGAGTTAGTGAGTGATACGAGCACTGCAACTTTACCAATGCAGCTGTTAAGTTAGTGAAAGTCTGATAGGGCGTGCAGAGGTTTATCGAATTGTGTGTTGGGTCGTATCAATTGTTGAGATCGATGGTGTCGACGTACGTCGAGGAATGACTCAACAGGAAATGTTCTAGAACATCTGAAATCTTGCCGCCTGCCGGATTGCCTGGATGAGGCTGACGACGTGAAATTGTGGAATAAAACTGGGAGAGAGTTAGCGATGAAAGACAGCTCAATGATTAGCGAGATCAATTTTGAACCCCTGCCTCGCGGCGAATAATTAATCCGAGCCGCCTACAATCTCCCCAATTTTTAAGTCAAGGTGCCCGCACTCGTGCCGTTTTTCAACCCTGGAACCTTAACAACATGCAATGATGCAAACTATGTCACCAACAGCAGGGGTAAGGAAGCCGATCAGGAACGTTGTCATGACCCTCTGCCCCTCAAAACTGGAGACGACCATCAAGCTTGTGGTTTGGATCTGCCAGCCGATAGGCTCACATCTTCAAAACGACCTCATCAGCTGCAGCATGTGATGCCGACGTGCAACAATGTTGGCATGATGCTTGAATCTTGAAAGGCTGGGATTGGAGCCACTAATTGAAGTCGAAGGAAGCTTAAAGAAAGCTCGGATTGCTTGACATTGGCAGAAGTAACCGTTCTAGCCGTCTTCGGGTGTGATCGCTCTTTTTGATGACATTCCTGGCGAGCATTGTGATCTTTTGTCGTGCGACTCAGGCTACACAGGCCGTTGCTCATTTGTGGACTATGAAACTTGACGAAGGCACTAATTGCCAGTGGGTAAAAGCACTTTCTGAACTCAAGGGCCCCTGGACTTTTGGTTCATCTTAGCCGAGTGCTTTCCCGTTGTGTTATTGAGTAATGTCTATGAACACGCCTATGATGGTCTGAAGGGTCGTGGGTCTTGCCTCCCAAGACATGGATTCGGTGATTGAGTGGTGCACTCAGGCTTTCACTCATTTGATGCTCCAGATCCCTCCAAGTACGGAGGCAAATGCATGGGGTCTTGTGTGACAATATGGGGTGATTGGGCGCATTATCTGGAGCACTCCAAACCTTGTCCTAGAGCCTTGCTGAATGGCACTAGGCCGAGTGGGTGGTTGCTTTCGACATGGAGGGGAAGGAGTAGCCCAGTCCCTCCCCAGCTGTCCGCACAATGTCGAGGGCTTGACAGCTCATGGAGGAAATTGTGTATATATCTGGCTTTCCCCTCCCCTTGTTACGCTATTTCCTTCATCTCATCAGGATAAACTCCTATCCCTGATTAAGACTGACTTGGCTAAGCATCAATTCGACAGATCTCGAGCAAGATGGGTTTCCTCAACAAGCCTGCCGATGTTCCAGGCTCAGCAGCCCCTGCCATCATCATCGGTGAGGAATCTCCCACTGTTGTCGATCTGTAACGCTAATGAGCTTCAAGGCGCATTTGTTGCCTTTGGTGGTGTGCTTTTCGGGTATGACACCGGCACGATTGGCGGTATCTTGGCCATGAAGTAAGTGAACCAGCTACCACCTCAGGCACCGGCTAACCGCGCCCTTGCTCGCAGATACTGGCGTAACCTCTTCTCGACTGGATACAAAAACCCCAAGGATGGCCTTCCGGATGTAGATGCGAATCAGACTTCGGAAATCGTGTCGATTCTCTCTGCTGGAACTTTCTTTGGTGCTTTGCTGAGCGCACCAGTTGCTGATATGATTGGCCGTCGCTGGGCCATGATCTTTCACAGTTTTGTGTTCACCTTTGGCGTCATCCTGCAGACCGTTGCCACCGCGATTCCCCTTTTCGTCGCAGGTAGATTCTTTGCTGGACTAGGTAAGCCCGAGACGATTCTTCACCTGATAAATGCTTCACTCCTGCCTCTAAGAATGTACTATTTTTTTCTTATCTTTCTGACTGTAAATTAATTTAGGTGTGGGTCTTCTAAGTGCGAATATTCCCCTGTACCAATCGGAGACCGCACCAAAATGGATTCGAGGTGCAATTGTTGGGTGTTACCAATGGGCTATCACAATCGGTCTGCTCCTCGCAGCTGTGGTGCTGAATTCAACCAAAGATCGAAATGATACTGGAAGCTACCGTATCCCTGTTGCGGTACAATTCGCCTGGGCAATTATCTTGGTTGTTGGAATGCTCATCCTTCCTGAGTAAGTTTTTCTTTCCACTTTGGGTGGCATGTAACCAGCCTGTGCTACCTAAGTCTGTTAAACATGTATTGATACGGGCCTCAATCTAGAACACCTCGTTATCTGATCAAGAAGGACCGTCATGCAGACGCGGCAAAGGCGCTTTCTCGGCTCCGTCGCCTCCCAATCGACCACCCTGCTCTGGTTGAGGAGCTTGCAGAAATTCAGGCAAACCATCAATACGAGATGGCCCTGGGCACTGCCTCTTATCTGTCTCTTCTCAAACCACCGATTCGAAAGAGACTTTTCACCGGTATCGGACTTCAAGCTCTTCAGCAGCTGACCGGTGTCAACTTCATTTTCTACTATGGAACAGTGAGCCTGCCCCTTCCAAGGAAGTTTTATCGGTACTGACATTGCCTTTCAGACCTATTTCAAGAGCGCAGGCATCAACAATCCATTTACGACCAGTGTCATTACCTGCGTTGTCAATATTTGCAGCACTGTTCCTGGGCTCTACCTGGTCGAGAAATGGGGTCGACGCCCTCTTTTGATGTTTGGTGCCATCGGCATGAGTATCTCTCAATTGATAGTTGCGAGTGTTGGCACCGCTCGACCTGGCGAACCAGCAGCCAGTAACGCTCTTATCGCATTCGTTTGTATTTACATCTTCTTCTTTGCCTGCAGCTGGGTACGTCTTCCTGTATTGTGCAACTAGAAACTTCGCTGACAGATTATCAGGGACCATGTGCATGGGTTGTTACCGGTAGGACTGATAATTCTGATCCCAGACTTAAGAGAATTGATACTAACCATATTCCAGGCGAGATCTTCCCCCTGAAGGCACGAGCAAAGGGACTATCGATCACCACCGCCTCCAACTGGCTGCTCAACTGGGCGATTGCTTATGCAACCCCATATTTGGTGAGTCACTACCCATCGTCGGTTTTGCTTTTCTTTAACCCAACTTACTAATGCCTAAACAGGTCAACCCAGGCGAGGGCAATGCGTAAGGAGACAGACCCCTTCTCAACAAGCAATAACTAACCGATTGAATAGCAATCTTGGATCTAAAGTCTTCTTCCTCTGGGGAGGGTACGCTGAATCATCTTATACTTCTTCTCAACCCGGGCTAACGATGATAGGTTCTGTTGCATCTGCATGGCTTTCGTTTACTTCTTCATCTATGAAACCAAAGGTCTCTCCCTCGAACAAGTCGATGAGCTTTACGCCAAGGTGTCACAAGCTCGCCACTCAAAAGGATTCGTACCTACTGTCAACTTCGTGGACGTGAAGGGGGAGATGGGAGATGGAGACGTCCGAAGAGCCACTCTCGCCGACTTGGAGCAATCTGCTGTGCGCCGCAAGAGTTCCGCTGGTGTCCACCATGAGTACAAGTCATGAGTGATTTAGGCGTCAGCCTTCGAGTTCTCGAGGAATCCATGGACAGTGCTGGTGGTCCCAAGATAACTAGGTTGAATGTGAGCTGAACACTGCAGCCTTCGATCTCTCCTCCAAAAAGATGCACCATTGAGCGAGCGAGTCAACAAAACATCAGTGTGTGTGTCTATGATGACGAAAGAGATATGTCAAAGAAAGACGTGTGGTGTCTGACACGATGAAGTGAAAGTTGTCTGTTTTCAGCGTCCAATGCCAAGCAGAGCGAAATTTAACTCACCAGACACATGGGTCGTGTCACTTAACCCCTTAAAGCTGATGGTACGACTCCAATCATGTAACCTAGGAGGTTTTCCTTTTAGCAGACTTTGTTAGCCATCCGTTCCTTTTCTACTTCTGTGCACCGTAATTTTCTTAGTCCAATGATGATTGTTGACAGTCAAAAAGCAGCGGCGAGAAAGATTCATTTCTTAACTTATCATCCTATAATTGGCGCTTCCCTTAGAATAGGAAGGATACTTTTCTTAACTACCAAGTCCAGTCTATCCTAGTTGGTACTTGTGTATATCATGTTTCTACCAGGCGGTGTATTAAAACAGTAGACGCACCTAGACTCCCAGGAGCATAACGAAGACTTTGTCAGCCCTGCTATGTAACCGTGTTTTCTCCGACCTATATGTAGATCCGTATACCACTACTACTAGCACTCGAGTAATCAGCCTACTACCCTGAATCATTTTCAGCGATCTTCCGATCTTAATAGGTTAGGCATCATCCTCGAACGTCAACAGTCATTTGTGACATAACTCAGGACAATCTAGTCCCTCCTAGAACACACATGAATGCTTTTGTACGCGACATTCTTCCTCAACCCGAGTAGTAACATCCGCACTTCCTTCGGCGATCAGTCGAGGAGGCTTGTGATCAATCGTACAGAGAAACGTTCAACACCCTCTGAGCCGTTCACTTAGTTGAGCCACTCAAGCCACTTATGATAGTTTCTTAGGCCATGTAGTCTGGGGAACGCTATAATTCTTTTCGCTAATATTGGGAAAGTCCACGACGTACAGGATTTCCTTGGACTTTTCGGTAAGATACGTCTGCTGGACGCCTGTCTTCAACGCCTGGCAATACAGGTCGACCATCGGACATATGCACTAACTAGGTATCTTTGGGGATCGTGCCGTCGCGAGATTGTGGGAGGCATGGATCTGGAAACTCCATCCAGCCGCCTAGCTCTTGATTCTCAGATGCTCATCAAAAGTCGTGGAATGGATTAACGACTGAACAGATCACGATTGGACAAACAACGAAGCCAAGCTCATGCATCTTATACAAGCTTAATTTGCAGAGGCGATCACATGTCTTGCTTGGAGGTTGACACGTTCTCCCTGGAATTAGGTATATTGGTTGGACACGAAAAGGATGAGATATGTTAGCTTTTTTTCGACATATGATCCGTGGTGTAGAAATCTGCCTAATACTATTGGCATCCTTTATCTGATGTCCAACCCAACTCGCGCTCCTCCTGTAGCACATCACATTAAATGCCAGCATTCTGTGGAATTAGCTCAATGAGATATCCATCCTAAAAAGAGCTTAATGAAGAAATCACTTATCGAGAAACGCTTTGTTAGACTCACTGGATCCCTGATAAAAGCAATGTTCTGTAAGATGCTTTTGAAGGTAGGGTGTAGCTCAGTTTCAGTTCCCATAACTTCGACGCCTACGCCCAGGTCATTCTCCCACTTGGATACTTTGATCGAGTCGAGAGTGGTCTCCTCTCCAAGATCCTTGACAACTTCGACGCCATGCATTTTCAATCGCTCGAGAGCTGAAGAAACATCAGGAACTGTGAAGCCCAAATGGCCATACCCAAGATCCGGTGGCTCATTCCCATTTTTATAATATCCGTCTGGTTGGTTCTCCGACCCTTTTATATGTACCAGTTCTATGAGTCCTTCGGTTTGCCGGAGGACATCGACAGTCTCTTGGCCGAACTTCTTCAAGTCTGCCCGGTGCTCGGGGGTCTTAGGGTAGCCCAGATAATAAGCATTGACAGGTCCAATATTAAAAGCAAAGACGGTACGCATCCCCATTAGCGTTATGTAAAAATGAAAGGACTTTTCAGGGTCCCGAATCCTCAACATGGTGTGGTTAAGTTTGTAGCCGACAGTCGGGTCGTTTTCAAGCAATGGAGGGTCATTTTTGAGGCCATTGACCAGAAATTCACCATAGGGGAGGCTGCTGCCGAAGGGCAATGATTGAGCTGCCATCTTGTCCGAAGTTTGCGCGAGAGGTTGACTGCGCAGCAAACGTTGCTTGCAACAGGAGTAATGCACAAATAGAAGCGCAGAGATCACAGCCCTCTTATCCGAGAAGGAACCCACCTTGGCTATTGAACAATGCTCCGCGATTGCGATTTGCAGGTGGGCAGCTCAGCTCAGCTCAACTCAGACGCCGGTAATTGATATGGGAACTCCCGATGACCGGCGCGAGGGATCCCCAGACTCCCACCTACATTAATGTCGGCTGGAGGCCGCGCTCTTGGGGAAAAAGTATCGGATGCAGTGTCAACCATTAAGTTTCAGCCAGACTGTCTTGCCTTGTAATCGGTATCCATGTGGAATGGTTTCGGCAATCTGAGCACCCAAGTTTCCCGAAGTGCCGACCGATTCAAAGTTGCCGACGTGCATACAGACCTGCCAGTCGGTGCTAGTGACGCCACATCTCGGTTGCCGGCCGTTGAAATTGATCCGCACTCTGGTACAGGCGATTCAGTGAGCGTGCAATGTAAGAACGAGACAGAAAAGAGCAATATGGCTCTGCAATCGGTTCCGGCCAATTGGCCCGTTGTCGCCTGTGAAACCTTGTCCCTATAGCTGAACAACCCTGATCCATTCATCTTCAACCGCAACCTTGTCTATTTCTCTGTTTTTCTTTGGGCTCTGTGAGCCTTGGTGAGCAGGATGAAGTCCATTAGGAGTGCGTTCAAACTCGAGCGAGACCTTACGCAGTGTCTACGGAAAAGGGTCTTAACGTCTTTAAATACAAGAAGAAATGCTTCAAGTCATGCCCGTGCCCATCAGAGGACTGCCGTCATTAGGTACAGCACTGCTGGTTTGCTCGTGGGTATCATAGGAACTGCTCTCAGTTCTGATTTTCTTTGGCAGTCTGGGCGAAATTTGAGTTTGCAGGACAATTCGCAGGATTATCCTCATCCTACACCTCCAATATACGCGGATGAACAAACCATGCTGCAGGCTGTGGAAGACCTTCGGGCTCACCTTGGAAATGACGCTGTGAGCGTTGATCAAGGTGATATTGAATCTCATGGATATTCCGAGTGGTCCACCTCAAACAGCACAATAAGGCCTATAGCCGTGATAACGCCGACATGTACAGAAGATGTTTCCTTCATCGCAAAATTATGCACCAAATACCGAATACCTATGATTCCATATGGGGCGGGCTCGAGTGTTGAGGGCAATGTCAGTACGCCTTACTCTGGTCTCAGTATTGATCTTTCCCAAATGAACAAGATTGTCGACTTCCATCCAGAAGACATGGACGTCGTCGTCGAAGCGGGTGTCAACTGGGTGGAGCTGAATAGAGAAATCAAATCCTCGGGTTTATTCCTGCCCGTCGACCCAAGCCCTACGGCACAGATCGGTGGAATGGTCGCAACAAATTGTAGTGGAACGAATGCAATGAGATATGGAACAATGAAAGATTGGGTCATGAACCTCACAGTCGTCCTTGCAGATGGTTCTGTCATTCAGACTCGACGTCGACCGCGGAAAACCTCTGCAGGATATAATCTGAACGGAATATTCACTGGCTCTGAAGGAACACTGGGTATTGTCACACAAATCACGTTGAAGTTGGCTGTCATTCCTACCCATTTTGGTGTCGCTACAACGACTTTCCTTTCAGTCAAAGATGCTGCGGGAGCAGGAACGGCCATGATACGTCAGGGAATCCCGTTGGCTGCCTTGGAACTGATGGATGATACGCAGATGGAAGTCATCAATCGAACGGGAGGTATAGCTGGGAAGCTTCTGCCCGAAAAGCCCACGCTGTTCTTGAGGTTTTCTGGCTCGGAAAGAGCAGTCCAAGAAAGCATAACACAAGTCCGAGACATTTGCAAAGGCTTTGGCAGCAATAGCTTCCAGATAGCGACGTCTGAGAAGGAGATGGAGAATCTGTGGTCAGCCAGGAAGCAGGCACTATGGGCCATGCTTGCAGTTCGACCCGAAGGAACTCAGATCTGGTCGACTGATGTTGCAGTACCAATATCACGTATTGCTGAGATCATCGACTACTCGAAAAAACAAGCCGCTCAGCTTGGTCTCTTCTCCAGTGTGCTCGGTCATGTCGGAGATGGTAACTTCCATCAAGCAGTCATGTATAATCCTGACAAGATAGGCGAGGCGATCGCCGTGACAGCGTGCTTAAATGACATTATTGATAAGGCGTTGGAGATGGATGGTACAGTGTCAGGGGAGCACGGTATAGGGCTGGGGAAGAAGGCCTGTCTAGCCAAAGAGCTGGGTAGTGGTACTATCGGTGTGATGAGGTCGTTGAAGCGTGGGTTGGACCCTCATTGGATTCTTAACCCTGGAAAGATATTCGACTTTTGACGTTGTTGGACGCAGCCGTAGTATTCAGTATATACTGGTGTGGAAGAGACATGCCCTACAAAGAGTAGACGAGACATGACCTAATCTTATTGACCGACCTCTAGCGGAGAATGTAACTCGGTAGACTCGTAACGATGGCTTCGATCGGCCTAGGATCTTCAAGTGGATTTGCTCCACACTTGGTCTGGCACGTAGGAAAGATGATATGTGGATACAAGCACACACCAGCACTGTCGGGTGGATGGTCGCGACAAGCATCAACGTTGGAGCAGCATATCCAGATAACCGAATTACTTCATGTTGAAGACGAGACATGTACTGCGATTGAGAGGTAGTCTATAAGGACCCAGTAGGTGGACTAGCATCTTACATGCCTAGAGGTATAGATAATGATATATACCGTCTAGCCACGCCGTGCCTAATTTATGCGTACATAAAAGGCCCTTCGAGCCGAGGATTCCGCAGCATAAATCCACGCTGTCCGAGATAGTTATTTGCTGACTCCAAAGTCGCCAGTGTTCACCCCACTGGCTAGAAAAGTGGTTGTTGGTATAGGACTGGCAAAAGCTCACAGCTCACGAGCATCAACCCCACAGGGTGACTCAAGCCTTGCATCAATACCTCCAGTAGGGCGACGCCCGCCAAATGTAAAGCGATTTTGACGGTGCTTCTACCTAGCCGAGGCCCGAAGCCTGCAGCCAGACTTGAGCAAATCGCCATAAGAAGCCCTTGGGGAATGTACCACCCTACCGCTCCCGGGAGGGGGTTCTGTAGGATTTTGCTTTGCACGGATCATTACCAAGTCCCGACTAAGCCCAAGACGCCAGAGCTGGAACCACCACCACAAGTATCGGCTCCACCCAAAGGTACTTGAGTATTGGAGCTTTGTTTCCTCCGAAGTCCCTACCACACTCCCTCCTCAAGCCCTTTGCCTGTCGTAAATCACCGTTACGGGTGGGGATTTCTCGTCGCTACATAAGCTCTGTCGCTTCCGAGCATCCTCCATCAGGTCTACCAAGCATGGAGGCGCCACCTGTATTCCCTGACACAAATGGAAACTATACGTCAAGCCTGGCCGTTGATGACACTCAAACAGAGCCGCTAATCAAACGGCACCGAGCACATCAATCTTGCGAACAATGTCGCAAGCGTAAAACACGCTGTGAATATTCTGACCCTCGAGACAAGTCTTGCCGACGATGTGTGAGAGAACAGAAGCGCTGTGAGTTTAGCGCTATGAGGTACAAAAAGAGAGAACCTCAGTCTAGAACTGGCGGTAGGAGTTTCAATGCAGCAGTATCCTACTTGATTTTAAGAAACTCATATCTTCCAGATCGCAATGCGATGAGCCCCTCGACGCGAGACAATGGAGCAAATTCTCACTTATCCATCGCACGACCACCAGACGACTTGTTCGATCTCGGACAAGCGAATACGCAATTTGCTCTGATTTGTGAACCACAACAGGGCATGACTGATGTGGCGCCAGCACCTGTTCTAGGCCATATCAGTGGTGGTATAACAAACCCCGTGGAGTGTTTCCCTGGATTGGATGCGAAAAGTAGATTGATCTCTACCCAGCTCCGCAACCCAGCAGACACCTTGGACTTGCTCACTTTCGCGGCTACTGAGGACCGATTTATTGACAACGTGAGCCGCACGGACCTGCTAAGTAATGAAGCTACCCGCAACAGCCATCAACCGGAACACGGTGGGCGGTTGACCAGTGACGAAACCAGCAGAGCAGCCTGGAGGGACTTTCATTTGATCAAACGCGGCATCATATCCGAGGAGGAAACTCTCGAATATGTGCACTTTTTTTTCGAAAATCTGTGGCCGTTGAAACCTGTCGTGCCTGCTTTCTATGCAAACCCCTTGATGTACTGGAGGCTGGCCACAGAAGAACCCGTACTATTGACGACTATTATCGTTCTGGGCTCACGATATCTTGAACTCTCCGGCCATCACGGTGCCATCAGGTCCGAGCGGATCCATTGGCATGCGTGGCGGTCATTGAAAAGGAATTTACAGTCCGCGATCTGGGGCGCTACTTGCACAAGATCCTTGGGAACCATTGCCTCGATGTTGCTCTTGATTGACTGGCATCCAAAAGCAATCAATAATCCTAGTATGTTTGCAGATGAAGACGACATCATCGGACAAGGGCCGACACAGAATGACTCCGACATAAGCTCACCGGAAGCCCCTCTCAATCTTACAAGTAAGCAAAGGCATGGGATGATGTCCCTCTTGGAGAACCTGAGCGTGATGTCTTCTGCGTATAGGAGCAACAAGGTGTCTTGGTAAGCAAATTTCATGCAGAATGTGGAGCAGTTGTAGTCGTGGCAGCGCAAAAGGAACAAACCCCTTGCGACAGAAGCACCGGAAACGCTAACTTGGCTTGTTAGGATGTTGCTCTCAAATGCGATTGCTTTGGCCCAAGAAGGCTGCTGTTTTGACTCCGAAGCACAAGCTCAGGCGAGCTCTCTGACAGATTCCAAGACCGTAAGTGTTACTTGGGACCGGACGATCTGCGTCTTCATCTACCTGATGGACGAGCATCTGGCACTGAGACTTGGTCTCGAACCAATGCTCCCAGAAAAGTTTCGGAGACTGGTGAAGGACCGCTTCTCGAAAATGTTTGCCGTTGCACTGCCAAACACCGAACTATGGGAAAGCTATTTTGAACTCACGGATGAAATCAGCAAGGCGCGAGAGCTGCTACAAACCTCTAAGCATGCAGGCTCCAGACCCAATGGTCCTGAATTAGTGGTCGAACTGGAATACGTCAGAAGAAGACTCGAGCGTTGGAAACGTCAACACAGTTATGCTGCCAGTGGTAAGTCCTCAAGGGCGGCACGCGTTGGAGGCTGATGGTTCGGCAGACAAGAACTCCCCGCTCAACGCCTGCTTGACCATCGAGTACAACTACGCCTTGATGTATAGCCTATCGCCAGCCGCTTATGCTGCCGACGCAAATCCAGACCACCAGCAGGAATCATCGTCTGCCTCTTTCAGGCAAGATGCTGTTCAAGCTGCCCGCGACATGTTAAGCCTGGTGTCCAGTGTACTGGAGCCCTCGGGTGTTTTGAGAGTCCTTCCAGTAAGATGTTGGCTGTTTATAACGACGGCAGGGTTACACCTACTCAAGGTTTGCAACCTCATTGAATGCCTCCTTACCGTATATTTACCTTCAATTAACTAACATTCGACACACTTCTCCAAAGGAAACGGTGTCACAAAGCTCAAGCACCACGGAAGCCCATCAGGACGTCAAAACTCTACGCGCCACAGTCGAAGCCTTGCATCGAGGCTCACCGGATGACATACACACAGCCGTGCGCTTCTCTCGCTTCCTCGGTGTCTTGCTTGACGCCGTTCTCCGACCAACCACGGCTCACTCTCACGCCGCAGATGCAAAAGATGACTCCGATCAGCTGGCGCTTGGAGCCTCAGAACCTGCACTGTCTCCTTACCTGGGACCCGATTTTGGCCTCTCTGCTCTACCGGCCGATCTCGAGCAGTTTTGCGACTCTACGATGTGGTGGAACGAGACATTCCATTTCAAGAAGTTGTTGTGAACTACCCACATCCTCGGCCCCACAGTCTGCATAAATGATGTCCGGATTAAGCCATCATCCGAGATCCGGAAGAGGGGTTTAGTCTTCTGAATCCACAGAGTAGCAAGTACTCTATTTCGCGGCATTGCTGAGGGAATAACTATGCTCTTGTGTTGACCAAGAATGGATCAAATGCTCTCAGTGCTCAGCTTTCCACGATTAGCTACTGGGCTCGAAAAAGCGTCGAGATACTTGCGGAGCTGAATCCGCTCTATGGAAGCATTCATTGCACCATATTCACCGTGACTTCGAAAAGCACCCAAAAGCCCTCGGACTTTGTTCTATCTACAGATTTATCGTTGACGAGATTTTGTTTTCCGAGTCCACCATATTTATCAAGAAGTCCATGTCCATATTGTTGATACTTTTGAAGTAATGCTCTCTCTCCGTTACGACCTCGGGTTCTGTTCCCGACAGCCGGAGACGGTTCGCCGTAGCCATGGGACTGGTGTGTTCGATAAACGCCTCCCGGCGCTTTGCGGCGTAGGTGTCGAGCAAAGCGTCCGACTCACCCTCCAGCAGTATTCGTTTCAACAGGTGGCCGAGGAACGCGGCGTCCAAGATTCCTGTGGTCAGCCCGAGGCCACCGACAGGATTCGTAAGCTAAATCATAGAAGTCAGGACGATGTCGACAACAGTCTCATACCATCGTTTTTGAGGGGCCAAATCACTTACATGAGCGGCGTCTCCTGCCAGCACGACCCTCCCTTTCCTGAAGGTTGAGACACACCGCTGATGCATACTGTAAGGCGATATCTTGACGATCTTCACCTTGTCGATGTCACCAGGCAATATGGCCTCTATCCTCCGTCGCATTCGCTCCGTCCCTTCCGCCTCGTCCCAAGTATCCTCCGTTGCACCAGCGACGATCTTCTCTCCAGTCGCGACCCGCCAGTTGCACCCTTTGCCGGTTTTTGCGACAACGGCCCAGAGATTCGGGTCCACGACGTAACTGGCGGGACCCCAGTCTGATTGGTTCTCCAGGTCATACTCAATGTTTGCGGCAATGATGGTGAAATCCTTCCAAGTGAAACCCTCGAGGGGGATGTCGAGCATTTTCCTTACCGCGCTTTTTCCGCCGTCGGCCCCCACTACATACTGAGAGACGTGCGTTTGTTGTACTCTATCGGCTCCATGGGAAAGCATTATCTTTACTTGACCTGTGCCTTCTAGTTCTTCCATCCTGTCAAAGGCCGTATTCCAGCAGACGGTCACGCTGGCGCACTTTTCTAAGTGCTTCAGGATAATGTCTGCCAGCTCGTGCTGTCCTAGGTGTATAGCAAAGCTGTCGCCAGCGCCCAGATAAGCTAGAACGCCGCCACATTTTGGTTTTCTCCATGAAACACCGACGGTGTTTTTAAATCCAGCATTTACCACGTCATCGAGGATTCCACTTTTCTCGAACTCATTCAGAGTGATGGGGAAATATCTGCTTCAAAGTCAGTGGGCTTGTTGAGTTTTGGGCTGAAGCTAAATCACCACGGTACTATACAAAGGCAGGGCTTTACTTACGCAGCAGCTCTTGGTGTTTGTAGAACAAATGCTTCGCGCTCGAAAACGTGAGTCTCGATGCCTGCCTGGCCCAACAAGAGAGCAGTGTACAGCCCCACTGGGCCAGCACCGATGATAGAAACAGCACTTGAGGTTTCCATCTGGAACATTTCTCCAGATGTTGAAACGTATTTAATTACCGCTGGTAAAAAATCGCCAAATTCTTTTGTATCCTATAACACAAGCGTTTGGTCATACGTAGGCGCTGAGGCAGAAGCTTTGTAAGTACTGCTGCCGTTGAAACCTCATGGTCTCGCGGGATCGTTTTCGACGACAAAGAGACTGTGTACGTATCTGCGATGGAAACTCGATCTCAGCTCTGGGATTGGGTTCGGAGAATAGTCGTGTCCTACTCGCAAATCCGAATCTCTCAAAGCCAGGGTAGTGGGATGACTCGGCGATCCATGCGGCATTTGAGAGGGCATGCGCTTAGCAAGAAGTTCCTAGGGAAAGCGCACAATTACCGAATATCCGACTGGCGGGACGACGCTTGGATTTGGAAGAGCCATTTGACTTTTGCATTGCAAAACCTATTCCGTGGGAGGCGAACAAAGCACCGCCACGTCTCCAGTTCTAGTTTTACACTTCACACAGTCTAGTTAGTCTAAGACCGTGGAAGGTGAGGCCTCCACGTCTTTACCTCCCTACTGATGACCATGCACTTCGGAACATCAATTGATGCCGTAAAAGGGGTGTGTGCGCGTGTTGTTCACTAACCCGAGTCCATATCACACGTGCAATGCCTTAGATGAATTTTTCTGCCCACTTGAGATTTAAGCCGTCTGTGAGAAGAGGATTATCTGTTGTCCAACACAAAGCAATGTCCCTCCTAACGCTCGACCAATCTCAACTCGGTGGGATTCAGAACAAAGTCGTGGTTATAACGGGAGGCGGAGATGGCATAGGTCTTGCCACGGCACTTTCCTTCCTTGGTAGGTCCAAAACCCCTTGTTCATACGACGCTGTGAATGTAATTGCCAACGACACGCAAAAAACTGATTTCGAGGTTGCGTTCTGTTAGCCAGCGGTGCAAGGGTGGTTGTGGGCGACCTGAGGCTGGAATCAATCGCAGCTCAAGGCTCGAAATTCGGTGATAGCCTTCGCTATCTTCGATGTAACGTGGTCAATTACCAGGACCAGCTGGATCTGTTCCGGACTGCAAAGGACAATTTTGGACGGATAGATGTGGCCATCGCCAATGCCGGCACAGGGAAACTTCCTGATGACGTTGTATTGGTCGAAAACATCAATGAAGAGCCTCCGCTTCCAGAGGTCGATGTCAATCTGCGTGGTGCGTTGTTCACTGCCCGGATCGCCATGCACTACATGCGACAGAACGGTGGAGGCGACCTCATCATGACGAGTAGCGTAGGAGGATTCAAGGAGACTATTGGTCTGACGACATATGTTGCGAGCAAACACGGTGTGATTGGTATAATGCGAGGCCTGAGGTTGACGAGTATCAACGACAACATAAGGGTCAACGTTGTATGTCCATGGATGACATGTATGTTCTACCCAGCCTTGTGATGATACGTTCGAGCTATCTGAAGCAATGACTCACAGCTTGACTAGTCACCTCAATGACCAAAGGCATTGCTCCTGCATGGAAGGGGTCAGGCTTGCCGTATAACGTGGCGCAGGATGTTGCTAATGCCATGTTATATGCTGTGATGGCGAATGTGAAGTCGAGTCCCTCTGACACTGGCTCTCGGGGTCAATTTCATGGCAAGGTCATCTTCGTCGGCGGTGGCAAGTCGTACGAGATTGAGGATAGATTACAGACACTTGAACCTCATTGGCTTGGAGAAGCGAATAGCAGAATTCTAGAAAAGGGTCAGGCATTTCTACATAGTGGCAGCGCTCCCTGGAACGGGATTTGATCTATTTTGGCAAAGACGTGTGAACGTTTTGGACATTTGTCACAGCCAGTCCACATTTACATAGAGTAAGCACCTTGATCTGCGTACAGACCAGGAAAGCTGAGCTGTTGGACTCTGCTGCTCAAAAGGATGGTATAAGCACTCTACAGTTCTATCTACCGATTTCGGCGGTTCTTCTTTTTATGTATGATTGGCTCCGAGCCGATGTAAACCAGGACTAGTATTGTCCACTTTGTCGAGCTCTTCGCGATGCTCGAAGCTCTACGACGTTTGATCTATCCTCGTACCAGGAGATCTGTCACCCTTAATTCCATAGAAGGCTTGAGAGTCTAACGTGCGCAGTGTCATCCACATGACCTATCTCGGGTTGACATGCAAGCAGGTAAACAGATTCAGGTTCCGTGGGGCAATTGTCATCCTCTACACAAATAGACACATGCTGATACCTGAAGACCTGCGTGCCCGTTGTTGTCTCTTTTTCTCGCAGATCGGTCTCCAGGCACGCGAAACACTAAAAATTCCTGTGTCCCCATCACAGCTCCTTCCCATTGGGGGAGATGGGATAATGTCTTACACCATTCTAAGCGCGTCTATTTGATGACGTCTGGCTCTTCTCGTCGTGCTGAGGTAACTTACCCTCCAAGTGATGAGTCTCAACGCGTTTCTGAATCTCGACCAGCTCGGCCTCGACAGGAGCATCGATGTGTGGTTTGAACTCGGACTCAAATCCCTTGAGGAAGCAAGCAACTAGACATCGATTAGCACTCCACATTGGAGACGACAATATCGTCATAACTTACTTATTACGCCAGGGACACACAACGCGGCGGCAGTGATCCAGCAGTTCCGGAAGGCGATGTGGTACGCGGACATGAGACCTCCTCCTGCGGCCTGGATGATATCCGGGGTGGCGCCTGGAATTGCTGCTAGCGCCGCATCATCTCTCGCCATCAAAGCCAGTATCAAGCCTGGAAGGGAAGTAGCGGGAAGGCCCAAAGGGAGAGTTGCAGCCGCGATCTTGGCAGGTACTTGTTCTGTCATTGCACTGTTAAAGATCGCCGTATTGACCGCAAGCCCGATAACACCGCCAACAGGTCGAGAGACGATGTCAAGACCCGAGGCCAATGAAATCAAATGGCTTGGTGTACTCATTTGAGCGACCAGCATGAATGAGGGAATGACGCCAGCCAGCCCAATCCCCGCAAAGACCACATAACCCCAATAGTTTGCTGCAGGGGTTGAGGGCGTGGTAGTCGCCATAAGGACATTGAAAAGGACGATGAGTGCTAATCCGGCGATACCGAGAGCTTTGACTGATTTGAATATGGCCACAAATGCGCCGAAACCGACAGATGCCAAGGTACCAACAATGAAGATCATAGAGAAGGCCGCAGCACTGAGCAGAAGATTAGATCCGGTAAAGATGCTATATTGCATCGCGAAATAAGTGTTGGCCGTAAAGAATGACAATCCATCCACCCATACAGCGACCAGGGCAATGGGAAAATTGCGATTTTGGAATAAGTCATGATGGAATATACCTATTCATTATGTTAGAGGACTATGGATATGAGCATGAGCCAACAAGGAAAACTCTCACCATCCTTTTTGAAGCGCCATTCGTAAATCCCAAATGCGATAAGCATGACCACGCCAATGATGAAGGTGGCGATGATATGCACGTTAGACCATGGATAAGGATTCTGCGACCAAGAGAGTGCGACACTGAGTAGTGTCAATCCAGGAGCGAAAAGCGCATATCCAATCCAGTCGAGTTTGCGCAGCTTTTCAGGAAATGTGAGGCTCACTTGGAGCTCTCTTGGTGGGGGGTGATAGCAAAAGAGGCAGCCAAGGAAAGCAACGCCATAGAAGGCGACGACGATGTAGAAGTAATCTCGAAACCGATCGATTTCGCCGTCTTTAAGTAGGGCGCCGCCCGTTAAAAGGGCAAGTAAGCCTCCAATGCTGACAGATATGTTGGTGCTCATTATAGCCCAACCGCGATGCTTCCTTGGTAGGATTTCGGATGCCACCGCGTAGAGGACTGGCTGGGTGCCAACGTTCATGCCGACCAAGGTGAAACCAGCGATCACGTACCCGACATTTAGGGCTCTAGCAACCAGAATGGATCCAATGCATCCTAACAGTGTCAGAACGGTGAGGATCCATTTTCTCCCCCAGTAATCAGCAATCTGGCTGACAGGAAGAGCGATGGCGATGGTGAGAATGTTGATTGTCTGGGTGAACCACAATGTCTTGTCAGCCCCACCCACGACCCCAGCGATCGCTGAAGCCAAAAGCCCGGAGCCAACGATGGCCACGATCTGGGCAAAGGATACAAAATTGACGCACTGTCCAATGCTGTGAGCTTCACTGCTTGCCGTCTACCAGGAGAGTAGACTTACAGCGAGGACGATCCATGTCTTCATATGGACTTTGACACCCTCGCCACCGGAGGGCACGGCTGTAGCTTCAATCTCGGCGCCCTTCATTGTTTCAAGAATACCGTGCAATGAATGATACAGAAGATGTGAGGAGAGGTAGAGAGAACAGTCAGTTGGCAGAGTACCTGGAGGAAGATGTGATTGATATCAAGGATCATCTGCCAGAGAAGCTGCACACTAGTAGGATAATAAAAGTCAAGCTTGGGAGTAATCAGCCACGTAGGGTTTGGATGGAAATCCCCAAAGCGATTGCTTCGGCAGGAGCCTGCTCCACCAGGCTCTGCATTTAAGGCGTAGTGCCCACAAGTGAAGACGGAGACGCGGGGTCTGGGGAATCGGCAAACAGGCTTCATGGTTGCGGATTGTTCCTTGAGACTCTGTCAGGCTGGCTGAGGTTTGATAATCCGGGGGTCAATGGATGTAGATTCTCATCCATCCAGTCTCGAAACTCGGGATCTCAATCACCCAGTTCCGAAACCTGGGTCCTTGAGCAGACCAGCCACTTCTGGATACAAGTCGTGCCGTTTTTGTCGGCAATTCCAATGCCACTTTCCGTCCCGAAATCCCGACATTTGGTGGAGCGGCAAACGGGGTGCACAAGTCACAGTGGAAGTATTTCGAGGTGGAAACAATTGAGGTCAATTCAGTTATCGACTTGAATTTGAAAGCTAGACCATGTGTGCTGAGAACTTGCCTAGTCTAGATGTTGTTTCATTTCACGTCAGCCGTAGGTACAATAATACGACACGAGGGGTAGTAACCGTAAGCATTTGATATTGACAGTCGATTGTCTCTACTGCAAATTTGTGTCAAGTCTCATGCTACGGAGTCGCCAGTTTGACGATCGTATCATCTGAGTCTATGTCGGTGTTAATGATCTAGGTGACACCGGCGAACCACCACTCTGTGATCCTGCGGATGAGAATCAGCGTTCGGCGTGTCATTACCAATCTGGCCCGTGCTTGTGGCAATGCAGAATCTGAGAAAGCTTTCCACCGTCAAGGAGGTCGGGCGCCGAGTAATCCTTTGCCTAGATAGTGGCGGCATACCGTGTCTTTGTCTGGACGAAGGAGCCCTGTCCGGGCGCAGGTACCAGCGGGACCTCAATATCAGTTTCGACGGTGGTTTCACGAGCGGGGCCAATACGTGATGGCACGTTCTTGAAAAACGTAAGGCTGCAAGAGTTCGGTCGTAGTCCTCGTTTCATTTTCGAGACGATGCTTGTGTCCGCCATGGACTTGGTCAACCTCCGCATATACTCGTCTTACGTATCGAATGGCCTCGGTTTAAGCCCAAGATTAGTCCGTCGTGATCTGCCATCCGCCTCTGGCGATGAAAGGAGAAGGACAGTTCGAGATCGTGACGGTGGTGAGACGAGTGGTAGAGAGGGCTTCATTACCAAGCAGCCATGACGGAAGCACTCGAGGGTGATCGAGAGGGAGGAGAAGCTCAAAGGCAGAACCCAACGCCAAAGGACCCGAAGGGATGAGCAGGTCGGTGCGTTGGGGGTGAGGATGTGACGGAGGAGAGAGACGAGAGGGGGGTAGCGTCGCGTGTGAGGTCGTTTCCAACGCGGCACGGCTAGGTGATGCCCCAGTGAGGGCCCAAGCAGGGTTGACTCCAGCCTTGTGGCTGATTGTGGAGGGAAAGAACGACCGAGTTGCACTTCAAGTTGAACAAGGCTGCCACACCGCCAAGCCTGGTCTCAGTTCACGTCCTGTATCCGTACCTGCGTACCAACTACCATTAGGTATCCCCTTCCACTTCATCTCATGCTTTCAACAACATTACTTCCCCAAGACAAGGTTCATGTCCTCTTCATACCTAGCATCTGAGCTGTTCCAACATCAAAGAGTGTGAGCTTTGCACATCGTCCCACCCGGTGTCTACAGTGAGAACTAAGCCCAGCCAGCTCGTAATGACTTCTCCTTAGTTTCCAACCTAACAGTATCCATACATCGCTCTCTGGTTTTGGCGTTGGAATGTGCTTCTTCCCAATCTCTCGACTTCACTATCTGTCAATGACGTCTCCTTGCTTGTTTGTAACCTCATACTGACCTCCTCTCAATCCCACCTTCATGCTTCCTCAAATTGCCTTTCTTTGCTGCCGTAACGTGTGCGGCGCTTCGTTTCCTCATGACACTCGACAGACAACATGTCCTCCAGTTCTGATGAGCTTGATGCGTGGTCTGATGACGCCGTCGAAGATGACCCGGGAAGCGCCACCCCCATTTATTCCCGTGCCTACCAGCTTGAGATGTTTGAGCACAGCATGCGAAACAACATCATAGCAGTGGTAAGTATGGCCGCAGACTTTGTCCCATCGTAATGCTGATTGAATTTTAGATGGCTACAGGCAGCGGAAAGACTCAAGTGTAAGTCTCGACCTACCCCGCTACCAATAGTCTCTTAGGCGATGAAACATCGGGGCTGACTATTTTCAACCCTTAGAGCAAAACTACGGATACACGCAGAGCTCGAACGCACTTTTGGAAAAGTCAGTGCTGGTGGTTGTGATTTTGGCAAGTAAATCAACTGACCGGCGATAAATTAGCAAATTTGGTTTACTGCACCCAGTGTTGCTCTGGTAGACCAACAACATTTTGTTCTTTCACACCAATTACCCGAAGCCCAATTCAAGATGATCGTGGGTGCCAATAGCCCAGAACACTGGAAAAGCCGACAGATCTGGGACCAAGCACTTCTGAACGTTGATGTCGTTGTCTGCACCCCTCAAATACTCGTGGACGCACTCGACTCTGGCTTTGTCTCCCTCACAGACATCTCCCTTATTGTAGTTGATGAAGCACACCACTGTTTCAAAAACAACCCCTTGAATACCATGATGAGGAATCACTACCATACATTCTCAGGGCCCAAGTGCCTGCTACCTGCGATCCTTGGGCTTACCGCAAGCCCTGTCACGCGGAAAAGTGTCGAGGAATTGCGCAAGCTTGAGGAGAATCTTGCAGCAAAGTGTATGACTCCAACAAAGCAGATGGATGAGTATACAACATTTGTCAATGCCCCGAAGTTCCAAGTTGAAGCCTACGTGCAGAAACCATGCGATTTTCCGCCAATCCTTGCTGCTCTTGAGTCTGTCGTCGACTCTCTTAAGATTGACGACGACCCTTATTTCGACATGTTACGCTCACGAGAAGGGCTTGGCAGTCTGAATAAACTGGAGAAGATAATCAAAAAAGGCAAGACTCCAGCAATCGAAGAGGTGCAATCATTCCATAGGTCCGCAGTTGAGGTCCATAAGACTCTTGGGCCATGGGCAGCCAGAGAGTACATTACAGACTGCGTGAGAAAGGTCCAAACAGCATCATATGAGGCTCTTCAGTCAAGCAAAATCTCAGAAGAAAACACTTCGCAGTTCATATGCCGAGTTCTTGCGCCATTGTATGAAACAATATATCAGGCTTACCCAGGTATTGATGATGATAACGACGTCTCAGAGAAAGCAAGAGCCTTGGTCAAGCTTCTGGCTGCTGAGTATCACCCAATGGCACGAGCTATGATATTCACCAGAACAAGACCTTCAGCATGGGCTCTCACGAAAATTCTCCAAGCCCATCCTCTTACTCGACAATATCGCGCCTTTTCATTCGTGGGATGCTCAAATTCTTCGTATCGCAGTCTTTTCAATCTTGCAGAGCCTTTGGCCCAAAACCAGGGACTCGAAGAATTTCGATGCGGCGAACTCAATCTTTGCATCGCAACTTCGGTCATGGAGGAGGGTATTGATGTCCCTGCATTGAATTTGGTCATTTGCTTCGATGAACCTTCCAACCATCGAAGCTTTGTCCAGAGCAGAGGCAGAGCACGGCAGCAAGAATCCAAGTTCATAATGTTCAGAGATCTTGAAGATGAGGCCGTTTCGAAACTTAGCAGATGGAGAGTGCTAGAAGAGGAGATGAAAGTCGCTTTTGCGGAGGAGGAGAAGGAGGACGAACAGCGCCGAGTTGAAGAAAGTCGGGATGAAACTGGTGGGGAAGCGTTTCGTATCCCAGTTACTGGGTGAGTGGCGCTCTTATTTTGTCGTGAGTTAGTCCGGGGCACACTGATATGATTATAGTTCCACCCTGACTTATGAAAACTCCCAACAACGTCTGCAACGATTTTGTGGCAAGATTTCTCGACACACCGATCCTGCGATGGCCAATCCAGTGTATATCTTCAGCCGAGGCGTGAGTGATGGTGTACGTGCTACGGTCCACCTCCCAAGCACTCTAGATCCAGCCTTACGAGTCTTTCAGTCTAATTCAGCATGGAGAACCGAGCGAATGGCAAGAAGAGATGCAGCGTTTCAGGCGTACAAGTCTCTGTACAATGCAGGTCTGGTTACAGACTACCTCATTCCTCCAGACATCCCACGAGAGGATGCCCTCCAAGAAGAGGATCCAAGTATCGAGACACGAGATGGAGTCTATGCGGTTTCAGCACAGTATGACCCGTGGACATCAGTGATGGAAATGGTAAATACAGAAGAGCCCCTGTATTTTCATGAGCTTCAGACAGCCTCGCCTGGCAACGAGTACCCCATAATGGCATTACTTCTTCCAAGGAAGCTTGAGCGGTGCTCCTTCTCGCTATTCGAATCAGCGTCGCAACATATCAGTGTGGCCGTCAGCTCTGGCAGACCGTTTCCGCACAAATTTCGTCAAATAGCAAGACAGATCAGCTTTTATCTCCTAAGCACCATTCTCGGCAGACGAATGCGAGCAGTAGGTATGAACGATGTGCCACTGGTCATAATTCCAAATATCGCTCCGGAGAGGCTCCAAGATTGGTACGACCAATTTACCAGGAGCGCTCCATTTGTGGAGTATGTGTCAAACAGTGGCGGTCATCCAGAAGATCTCTTACTTAAGGTTGTTGGCACGAATATTCCCTACGTCCTCCAACAGCATGCAAATATTGGAGCTACGGACGCAGATGGTATGGATGTACAAGCCATACGACTCTCTAGGCGACTCGACTACTTGTCCCCACAAAACTCCAATGAACACCAGAAAGTTGCGGTCCCTGAGTCGTTCGTGCCGACTGATTGTCAGGCCCTAAGCCTTTCTGCAGAGCATGGCCGCTTCATGTTGCTCATACCTTCTATGAGTCACATGTTCGAAGTATTTCTCCGTTCGACGGAAGCATCTACTGGTCCGTTGTCAATACTGCAACTCCAAAGTTTAGATCTCCTCGCCGAAGCGCTGACCACACCCAACACGAACAAAAACAACTACCAACGCCTGGAATTTCTGGGAGACTCGCTCTTGAAGTATTACGCTTCTACACAAGTGTTTGTGGATCATCCCGACCGTCCTGAAGGCATTTTGACGGTATACTGTGGTCGTATTGTCGCGAATTCTCGCCTACAACGAGCTACTAGAGAATTAGGCTTGGATAGGTTCCTCACTCGAGTGAGATTCAATGGTGCGAACTGGACAGCAGGAGTACCTAAACAAGACGACTCGAAAGCTAAGGAGAAAACGCTATCTTCCAAAGTGCTTGCCGACGTGATAGAGGCGCTTATTGGAGCAGCGTACCTCGATGACACAGTGCAAGAACGCCGTGAAGTAAACGTAATTTCTGCACTAAAACTGTTCATTGACGAGATAGACTGGAAGACACCTGCAGAAAACTTTGCAAGATTGCCAGTGGCCAAGTCAAGCGGCGCTGTCGACAGAGAGAGATTGCAGCCCGTTGAGAGATTGACCGGCTATAATTTCAAGCAACCTCAGTTGCTCGCGGTGGCTCTCACTCACTCGAGCTACAATCCTTCGATTTCTTCATACGATCGACTTGAATTCCTCGGAGACGCAGTGCTTGATCATATTGTCAAGATCAAACTATACCACAACAAAGAATTGCTGGAACCGGATGAGATGACCTTACGACGTCATGCGCTCGTCAGCCACGCTACATTGGCGTTCTTCGCGCTACAGGCTTTTCACGTGTCGACAACAACTGACATCGATGTGGATCTTGCTACCAGAAAGCATACAAAGATGGAAGTCCACCGTAAAGTCTACCTGGCGGACTATATTCGGCAGGTTGACAGTCGGGATCTCAGCAAAGCTCGAACGAAAATGCTCTCCACGTGGGACGAGATCCACCACAGCATTACAGAAGCATTCGAGCATGGTCAGAGATTTCCGTGGGAGGAGTTGCTAAGACTAGACGCCCCAAAGTCATACTCGGACATCATTGAGTCAATTCTCGGTGCCGTATTCATTGATTCTGGGGCAGATCTTGAGGCTTGCGAGCAGGTGCTAGAGACGATCGGATACATGAAACTGGTCAACCGAATCACGAGTGCACGGACAGGAGACATCCACACAGTACATCCTGAACAAGAGTTGTTCATTTTGGCACCAAAGTACAAGACACAGGCTAAAAAGACGGCACGTTCCGGCTGGAAGTGCAGAGTGTTGATTGATGGCGAGCACATTGCCCATGCCGTTCGTGCGAGTTGCAAGGCCGAAGCCCAGTGCAAAGCTGCAAGACGCGCAGTGAAAGTCTTGATGTCGAACAAGAAGAGGAAGATAGAGGTTTTGGATACTCCAAAGCGGGTTGTCGATGGTTTGGATCCTCAGGAATGAAATCAACGCGGGTATTGGAATACATTTCGGCTTGTTTGCTTTTGTCTCATCGTTCGGTTTTCGATGAACACGATGTCACGAGTCACGAATCACGAATCACGAATCACGAAGTCATAAAGGACAATTTTTCTACGAGAAGAGAAATGGCGAAGAAACGAAATAGAAATGCTAGTTGAGCGGTATATGCTCAAAACCTCAAGGACATGAGTTCCTCACTACGGCGACCTATGTAGGTAGGTAGCTGTGCGCCACGAAGAAATTCTCATGATGTTCTCTGATTCTCTCATTCATAGTCTCGCATCTGACTAGACTTGCGAATTTCTGTGGTGCATGACTTCTACTGTCTTTTGACAGCCCATAAAGCGTGTAGACTCTGAAAATACCCCGTACAATAAACGCCTGGCTTTGCATCATGATAACATCCACCCCATTTCCATGCAATTGGAAGAGCATTTGAACTACTTCATCATGTGCGTCCGATTCAGTTCCCAGATACCTTTTGGCAAGAGGCACCCGGTCACATGAAGACTCCAGCGACAGAGAGCCATCATCAAACGGAGCCTCTTCGACCCATGTAGATTGGCATGTTGGAAAAAAACGCTCAGAAATCCATACCGACCAGGAACCCCTCAAAGATGCGCATGAACTTCGCGACAAAAGCCTCAAGGTGGAAGATGACCTTACTGCCGAGACGGATGCGATGCTCGTAGAAACTGGCCCAGCGCACGATCTCGGCCTTGAGGGACTCGTCGACCTCGGGCCGCGCGACCAGCTTCCAGCAGAGCGTCTTCAGCACCATCGTGGCGGGGATGCAGTGGGAGAGTAGGTCGTACAGCTTCGCGCGGGTCTGCAGGATCATCTCCGGGTTGCGCTGACGCACGATGTCGCCCGCGATCTGCTCGATGAGGACTTCCCAGTCCGGCGGCGGGATCGGCGTCTTCTCGCTGGGTTCCGGGTGCTGGGCGTACACGGCCTCGAACATGAGGAGCGCTTTGCGCAGATTGCGGCCCGATTCGCGCGCGATCCGCTCGTTCAGCGCCGGTATCACCTTCCAGTTCTCCTTTTTCGCGGCTTTGCTCAGGGCGTCGCTGATGTCTGCTTCGGAGGGTGCGGCCACGCGCATCAGCAGCGTCCGTGACCGGATTGGCGCGATGATCCCCGCTGTGCTGTTCGCCACCAAGATCAGGCGCACGTTGTTGCTATACTTCTCCATGGTGCGGCGGAGGGCGGCCTGCGCGTCGCGTGAGAGGCTGTCTGCTTCGTTGATCACGACCACTTTGAAGCGTTGCTTTGCTGTCAGGTCGACTTGCTGTGTCTGCGCGACTTCTTTCAGGAGGTCTTGGATCACCACGCGATCGTAGGTGCCGACGTCGCTGGGCGTGATTTCGAGGTGGTAGACGGATGACACGATGTTGAATTCGACTTTGCGGTTCGACGACGTGGTGAAGATCCGCGCATCGATCTTGATCTTCTCGGCTCCTCCGCCATACAGCGCTCGCAGTGTGGCGAGGATGCGTGTCTTTTTGCCTGCGCCCGAGGGCCCATAGAAGAGGAGATGTGGGAAATCTGGGGAGGATGCCTGGTTTTCAAATGTAGACTGTTAGCATTGTGGACATGGACGTACATAGAAGGCCTCTTCCGGGAATGGAACAGCCTTACAAGGGCAGAAAGTCGATCCGAAAGATCCTGATGATACGTGAGAGCATCTAGAGAGCGCGGACGCAACTTGTCGACTAGGAGTGCCATGGTGAATTGGCTATCGTGATGTCAAAAAAGATGGAGGATCGTTCAGTAGTGGGTGATTTTCACAATTGGTGGTGGTCTACAAATTATTGCACGACGCGTGTGGAAAGCGCGTAAAGTGGTGATGACGTAGTGTTCTGCACGTGTCTAGACTACCAACGACTTGACGTTCAGCTTTGGCAGGAATGTTGATCACATTAAGCAATGAACAGGTCTTAGAACTTCCCTTGAGGAAACGCAGATCTCATTTTCGGACTGCGATTGCCTGGCTTTTTAGCTACCGTCTCTAGGGAGCTCCATGGCTTTAGATACATCTGCTGGTGGGCGAACTGCGGGCAAATGTCTGCCAGAAGCGTGCAATCTTCTCGGAACTGCCTAGCAGCTCACAGACCCTGCTCAGCCAGGTCTGCCAATCTGTACAATTCACTTTCGCTTCTTCATATAGTCTGCTCTCGTCTGAATTTGGTCTTCGTCTTTGCTGGGATTTGCTTGCTTCGGCTCGTCTGCTCAAGAGCGAGTCTTGCTCTTGCATCAAGAGGTTGAGTGCCCGGGGTATGCTCTCTTCTCATTACAGCTTTGGCTGCTTCCTGTTGGGCTTCAAGTTCTCTGATTGACTGCAGAATGTCTGGAGAATTCTGTATGCGGTGTAGAACTGGTTGTAAATGATTCTGCTTGACATCTTTCATTGCCTTGCACCACAACCTATACTTGTGAAGGAGAGTCATAATAGCATCGTATGCGAGGTTCACTGCGGTTTCCACGTAGCACAGCCGACGTTCCATGTGAGTACTCAAGAGAAAGGGATGGTACACATGAGCATCGAAAATATGCGCCAAGTGTTCCACGAATACCAGTTCTGTTCGACACGGTAACATAGTGTGTCTGCAATTCTTGTTAGTTGCCATTTTGGCGAGGACTATCGCCGAGGCTTACTTCACAATGAGGTGTAACATTTGTCGATAATTACACCAGATATCAATGGAAGTAGGATGGATCTCGAATGGTGCCAATGTCTTGACGTATGCTATGTTATTGATCTGGTCTTGGACACTTTCGCTTGATCTCCTCACGTGCGCATAAATGGCGTTGGCATGATCAGCCATGGCACCGAGAGGCTCGAAATGAATGTGGCGATTGGATCTCAACAGTGAGTTCATCTCCAATATGTGGTCAGCAAGGCTTCTCAAAGAGTCTTTGGATGCCTGTGAAAGGTCGGAGTGTTGAACACGTCGCACGAAAGACGTGATACTAGTTAAGCTGGGTCCTGCAACCAAATAGGGACTTGGCCGTGAAGGTGTCGTGCGGGCAGTAGATGCCGATTCTTTGGAGTGACGAGTTGTATCTTGGTCAGTGTCATTGGAGCATGGCGAAGAGAAATGACCCTCATTTCCAGACCGATCCTGGGCCAAATCAAACTTGAGGTCCAGATATTGAGCACAAAGAGTGACAAACTCGGAGTCTTCGAGTTTAGGGGCCTCGATCATTGTTGGATGCTTCCATCGCTTGTGGTTGGTTTGTATTGAGCTTGACCGCTAGGTTGGAGGGAACGTAGGACTATCAAAAGGAATTTGTGGAAGACGTCGTGGACGAGGAAAGAGCGATCCTATAGGGCTTCTTTTGAAGCTCATGCCTGTTTGCCGGCAGGAGAACATACAACGACTGACTTACAATACAAGAGCTTGCTTCAGTAGACAAAGCCGAAAGCAGAGCGTGAATAGTCATTTTGAGGACTGGAGCACTTCCGTATTCTCATCCCGACATACAGAACGCCACGAGCAGGAGGATGTCAATGGAGAACAAGGGTCTGATGGCGCTGCATCCAAGGTGGCGTTGTGCGCGACAACGACATCTGAACACGAGAATAAATACCACAAGAATTTGCCAAATGCGATCCAACACAAGGAACATGGTAAGACACCCTGCTTTCATGGAGCAGTCCAGGCTCTGCAGTCTACCCATTCGAATTGAAAGCATGACGCTGACATATCCACTGGGTAAAAGGCTTTTGCTCTTCGCACACTGACTAATTGGCACCTCATTGAAAAGGAATGTGACAATTTAAAGTAGGGCGGTCGGAAATAGTGATGGTTCTGGCAATTGAGATCAGAAGGCTTTCAATACTGTAGTACACTACACTGGGAAATCATTACAGCCCGCGAAATGACCAGCCTTGTGCATGTGCATTACCGAGAGCAGAACTATACGCCGTAGATTCCCAGCTGCCAGCCGTGCTTCTCTGCTCAGGTATCTCTTGTGGTGTGTCTGCTTTTGGCGAGACTAGATTCGGTGTCTGTGATTCAACTTCTTCTCTGAACTCAGGCTCGGCGGGTGTTGATTTGCTGTTGGTCGAGGTTTGTTGAGGGCCCAAAATATCGGAGTCCGGTGTGGTAGGGAATGTGTGGGATTCCTGACCCTCACCACTGTCATTTGCTCCCCCCGGCTTTGGACGTACAAGGTCAGGATAACTTTCTTCAAACTTGAAATTTGTGGGAGGCTTCAGATCATCGTCATCTCCAGGTAGCTGTGTATCAACAATATTGTTTCCGATATGTTGCAGATAGCGAGAAATGATTGCTTGTACCCACTTGTAAAAGAGATAGAAAGCTGTGACGACGCCAAAGGCAATCATTACCCAGCTCACGTTAAGTGCGCGGTCTCGACCAGTTGTTGATCTTCCGGTGGCTCTGCCACCACCAAAGAAGCCTGTGTTTCTTAAGTTGACCCAGTGAAAAGGATTGAGTAACATGGTTCTTGCGAAACTCAACACTCCCATGGAAACCAGGCCTTTTATGAAATGCTGTCCCCAACCACTGTTGACCGCCTTGACCTGTTTGACTTGGACTCGCTCCCACAAATCTTCATGCCTCATAATAGTGTCATAAGGATCAGTATAGAGATTGAGGATCGGATCAGCTATGAAGCCCAGGAGAAACATGACAAGGATCATGAATATGATAGTCAAAGCACCAGATACTGGTTTGGAACCAAGGTACTTCTGTAAAGTCAATCTGTTGAAACTGAACTGGTAACCACATTGGTGACACTTCCACAGGGAACCTTCACGTTGGCTCTCGGTTCGTGCACGTCTCAAGCAAAGCTCATGTACATAACGCATGCCGCCTTTGCACAAACAGGGCTTTATGAGCCGACCGTATTCATCCTCATTCTTGTACTCGACCACCGGACGTTGGAATGACAAAGGTAGACCCGGCGGGTAGAGAGTGACAGAGGCTGGTACATCTTCAAGACAATAGCGGCATGTTCTGGTAGGATAAGTCCAAGAGGAACTTGAGGTGGGCGTGGGATTGTTGGTTGTGGAATCCATGGGAAAAGATTATGCTGTTGCCTCGAGTTCAAGCAATAACTACCTGTGTAATGATAGCATGCCTAGATGAAGGGTAGAATGAGTGTTCGCATGCACTTATTGTGCGGAAGAAATGTCCATCCGGCACGGACTCGGGAGACTCGAACTCGGACGAAATGCAATTCTGATCAGAACTTGGCAGATCTAGGCCTGCGGCTGGGCGATATTATATAGCATGAAAGTAGAGAAGGACGAAGTTGGAAGACAGTGAAACTAGGAATGGAAAGGTCACGGTGGCATAATGGGCCCGGGGTACATAGTATGGGAAGGTGCAGTAGGGAGATGGAGGCGGAAGGGCAGTCAGTGGATGCAAATGAAGAAGAACACAATTATGAATGCCTGCTGTTTCCCACTGTACACCTCGGGATCCAAATTTGTCCGAATTCTGCCTGCACCTTCAGCCAGCTCTTGGCATTTTTTGTCACATTTGCTACATTTGATTTGTTTGGTGAGTTTGGCATATTTGTATCCTCCTGAGAGTGGAGGTTGCAGGCAAGTGCAGCAATTACTAGCATCGCGAGGCAAGGTTAACGCGGCCATCTTGGAGCCTCGTGGAGAAAGCAACAATTCCACCATTACAACTTCTGACTTGCCGGTAATTCAACTTGATCTCACCCGTCCCTCTTCTTTCGTCCATCAACAGCAAGTCTATTCCATCTGACTTCTGATCTACCGCTGAATCCCTCTTCGTCCTCCTTCTTCCCCCAAACAAACAGTCCACCGCCGACATGGCGGACCGATACTCTTTCTCCCTCACAACATTCTCCCCCAGGTATGAAGCATGTGTTAGCTGCTTCTGCTCTTGCTAATAGTTGATAGTGGCAAACTCGTCCAGATAGGTACGCTGCGATTGAGATGCTCTCGCACCTAAAGCTAATATCGCATCCAGAATATGCTCTGAACGCAGTCAACCAGGGTGTCACCTCATTAGGCATAAAAGGTTCGCTCTCCGCCATCATATCCATGGCTGTATCCTAACGAAGTATCTATAGCAACAAATGGCATCGTTTTGGCCACAGAGAAAAAGTCATCATCGCCGCTCATCGACCCGCCCTCCTTGTCCAAAGTCTCTCTCATCACACCCAACATCGGCATGGTCTACAGTGGCATGGGTCCAGATTACCGGGTGCTGGTTGACAAAGCCCGTAAGGTTTCCCATACAAACTATAAGCGAATCTACAACGAATACCCACCTACTCGTATATTGGTTCAAGATGTGGCCCGCGTGATGCAAGAAGCCACTCAATCAGGTGGTGTCCGACCCTACGGTGTGAGCTTGCTCATTGCGGGTTGGGATGACGGTATTGAGCCAGACACCGCGGAGGCTAAAGAAGGTGAATCTGAAGCTGAAGCAAAGTTGGCGAGTCGAAAAACCGGCGGTATTCTAAAGGGAGGCCCGAGTCTTTACCAGGTGGATCCCAGTGGCAGCTATTTCCCCTGGAAGGCAACTGCTATTGGAAAGAGCGCAACAAGTGCAAAGACCTTCCTGGAAAAAAGATACAATGACTCACTCGAGCTGGAGGTAAGTTCTAGGATTGCTTGTGACTGAATGAATATCCATGACTAACATGGTCTCAGGATGCCATTCATATCGCTTTACTGACACTAAAGGAAACCATCGAGGGCGAGATGAATGGCGACACTGTTGAGATCGGCATTGTTGGCGAACCTGCAGACCATCTACTAGGTTATGAGGGCGTTGAAGGAGCAGTTGGACCTCGGTTCCGCAAATTGACGAAGGAGGAAATAGAGGACTACCTGACGAATCTATAGGCGAGCGATTCCTCAATCAGGATCAAGATTCGGCGCTCGTGAAGGATGGCCAATTCCTCCTTCCCATGTCTTGCCACAGCCGAGACATCTGTTTTCGACAATGTACTTCTAGACGGAAGAACTTGGCTCCCTCAGCAGTATCTGCATAGCTACGGCGCCGTGGATTTTAATAGGGGAAAAATCATTGATTTCACAAACAGCATATCGGTCTTCCGTTTGGTTTCTTCCGTTTGGTTTCAATGCCATTGATGAGTGACACGCCTCTACACTGCAGTGAGGAGAACAGGCAGGCTTCTTCATGCACAATGGGCAATCTATGAGCATCGTGAAGGGTCGTGTCAGTGGCATCGATCCGTCGTGGTGAATGTGATCTTATTCCATTTCCACACTATCTAGGTAAATACACGCTAACTCATTGAGAGTATATCGAACAGTTCGTGTTCGAGACCCAGGTCATGCGTCACAAACCACGAACGTGTCCCTTACTCAATACCAATGTCCGAAGTCAGACTCAAACTGGCTCTGTTTGTTGTGGTGGTTTGTTCTGTCCCACTAACTAGTCCCACGAAATCCTTGGATGTTGAGGGCGGGGTGGCTAGCCACCCAGTTCTTTCTCCACGAAAACGATCGACAGCCAGAACTCAATATGATGTTCCCATCATGATCTCCATCTAACGGCGTCCTCGCGTTTTATGACCAGCCTATACATGAAGCGCCTTACTGGGTTGATAGGAGGGTAGAAGGGATCATATAGTAATGGCAGTTCCAGCTTCTGGCCGAAAAGTGCTGTCTTTCCACCTCCTGAGCGGTTGTCTAACAATAGGCTTGTCAACACCGCAAGGATGACTTTAGGATATCTTGACCTCCACCATCATTCGTTTCCACCGGTGTATACTGACTTTCTGACTCAACTCAATGGCACGCCAGCAGGATGGCCTCCCCAACCTTGGAGCCTCGACATCGATCACCATTTCTGCGAGGTCTCCAATATTTCCATGGCAATACTCTCCTACATCCCAGGAGGCCCGTCCATGGAGAAGGATGCTCAAAAAGCGGTAGATTTCACGAAATCTTGCAACGACTGGAATGCTGGAGTTCGAGATCAATTCCCGCAGAAGTACGGCTTCTTTGCCGGGGTGTCAAACTTGGCCTTCCCGGACGTTGCATTGGAAGAAATCAGATATGCGTTTAACATCTTGCATGCGGACGGGATCGCTTTAGGGACTCGTTATGAACGAAACGAAACCAGCTATTACCTGGGACATGAGTCTTTCGTTCCTATATGGGACGAGCTCAATTATCGTGAGGCAGTCATCTTCGTGCACCCTGTCCCAGGACGTGACCGTACGGTTGTGAACAAGTATCTACCACCACCCATGTACGACTTCCCTCATGAGACAGGGCGTGCGGCCATGGACTTGATCAGCGGACCTGCCAATATGCTTCAAGAGCACGCCAATCGTTGCAAGATCATCCTCAGCCACGCCGGTGGAGATTTACCATATTTGATCGATCGCGCGGCAGGAGAAATGTCTCTCGGTCCACAGGGCGTCCGGTTAAACAAGACCAGAGAAGAGATCCTGAATGCCGCCAGGCAATTTTACTACGATACTGCTTTGAGTAGCAGCCTCATGCACATACGTGCTCTTGATGCTCTGCTCGGCCCAGAGTATCAGGACCATATCCTTTTTGGAACCGATTTTCCTCCTGGCGGTGCTGAGGCGATCACAAGCTTCACCGACCAATTATCGAGGAATATGAAAGTAGAAGCTCTAAGGGTCAACGCGCTGAAACTGTTTCCTAGGCTGCAAGGGAGAAGAACTGAGTAGTTGTAATGGGCAGCATAGAGGAGGTAGGTTTGGAGGGATCATAGGACCAAGCCTGCCAGAATCTGTCCTTCACATCAGGCAAGAGGCGGATGCGCTCGACTTATAGCTACCTAGGCAGTAATTGACACTTAGGTAAGTCAGAACTTGTTACAAACCAATGTTCATGCTATACTGGATACTCAAGTTCATTGAAGTGACAGCTTGCACCAAACAGGTTTAGTTGGATCCCCACATCGTTCATCCTGGGTTTAAGATCCTAAACGACCTCAGTGAATCTAGATGTCGAGACATATTCCAAACGATGTACCATCGTAGGCATATGGATACACCAAATCTCGTTGAACGGACCGGCTCAACTCCGTGAATACACGCAACTCCAGGGTAATGAATCTGAAATGCAATCTGCCCACATTCCACTCCACATCGAGCATCTAAGCCCTCTCTTAGCCCATTTTCCAGAGTACGGCATCGTGGTATGCAAAGCATGTAAGTTCGCCATACAGCCTAAGGCGCTCTCAAGCCATCTTCTTCGTCATCACATCTACAGAGAAAAGCGTCGAGTTCTACTCGAACGTCTCGCACAACTACCTTTGTTGGAGCCTGATGCGGTGTGCCTGCCGTCCCCCAAGGGACCACCTTTACCCCATCTTTCTGTGGCGTCGGGCTATCGATGTTTGAAGCCCGGATGTGACCATTTGTGCATGTCGCAGAAACGTATGAGCCAGCACCTGCGAGAACAGCATGGAGAATCTCCGCATCAACCTCTAGGTGCACCGCGGATATACGTGCAGACCTTTTTCAGAGGCAACAAAGTGCGCTACTTCGAAGTCGTGCTTGCTTCCTCGGAGTCTACAAAGCTGGCTTTGACCTTACCGGATAGTGCCTTGTCACATAAGTTACCGGATTTGAGTACGGTAGGCAACGAACACTCTGAAACGTCACCGGCTACGAATGATGTACCATCTGTTGAAATCGAAAGGGAAGATGGCTCAATCACACAGAATCAGATGCAAGATCTCATGCACCTACATCACTACACTACTCAGACCGCGCTATCGATGACACGAGGCACCGAGTCGATCGAGTTCTGGACGCACGAAATGCCTCTGCACGCGTCGAGCCAGCTTTTTCTGATGCACGGAATGCTCGGAGTGGCAGGCTTTCATCAAGCCTGTTTGACAAGCGATCCAGAAGAACGAAAACGACACCGTGTCGCTGGTCTGCAGCATCAATCAGCCGGGTTGAACATCTTCCGAGAAGTACTGAACACTCCCACCAGAGAGAATAGTGCAGCACTTACAGCGTTTGCTCGACTTCTCGGAGTTCAAAATTGCGCTGAGATACTTTTGAGCGTAGAGGCTCAGTCTGTGCAGTTTGTCAACGGCGAGGTTTCGACTTCGAGAATCGCAGATATCAGTGCATTCATGCTACTATTGAAAGGTGGACTGGACATTCTTCTTAACATGCAAGAACTGCTACCGCCGGAGTCGCCACTGATCCTACCTGAGGAAGCTTTGCAAGGACTAGGACGTCTTGAGATACCTCGTGATACTCTTGGCGGACTGACGCCATATCTTGTCAATGAGACCTGCAGTAGGCTTGCATCTCTTGGGATAGTCAACAAAGCTACCTTGGAAAAAGCCTGGCCTTTCTTTCGGGCTGACACACTAGAGGACGTACGGGTTCTTGTGGACCTTTGTTTACGCGCATCGCAGGTAGAAATTACGAGACAGGGTGCTATCATTACGAGGAGATGGATTGAAGACAACATTCCAAGCACGTCAAGCTGGACCAACCACATCAGTATTTTGACCAATGTGCTACTCGATTCATACAAGGCAGCCACAATAGCCTACCACGCCAACAAGTCTAGTGCTTGCCCCATACTTCTCTGCTATCCGAATATTCCATCGTACTTGTACTCACGGCTCATTTCACTGCCCGCAAGACTTTTTGCTGTTACAATTCTGCCGGACAATCAGGATCTAGAAGCCTTCAATGAAGCCATGGCAGCGCTGGTGTCGAGCTTCTCGCGCAGTTATGCCGGTGACAGTACCTGGACTCGGTGGAACGGTATCGAGAGCTGGCCACGGATGCTATCAGTACACTTTCACAGCATGATAGAGGCCACCCATCCCGCCGCGTTGGTCCTGGTAGCACATTGGTGTGTCCTTGTCTCTCAGCAGGAGGGTTCGTACTGGTTCTTCCAAGGGCAGTCGCAAAGAATGTTGGACATCATCCTAGCCAATCTGAGTCGACCACTGCAGGACTTTGTGCGAGAATGTATCTCGACTCTGGCTTGATCACCTCATGCATGTAGGAAGCAGTGTCAGATTTGAGATGGCGAGTACCCAGGGTGTTGCTTCGGAATCAAGAGCCATGGTCGAAGTGGAATCGTCACAAGGCGAACACTCTGCGGCAAGACTTTGTCCAATCTTGAATACGTGTGATAGAGAACACGGGGAAGACCTGGGGAAGGGGAGGAGGGGCGCACTGCCCGAGAACATGATATGCCGTTCAAAGGAGCCCCGACTGGATTCGCGGGACCGGGATGATGGGTTAGCCCTATCAGGAGACTTCTCGCAGACCCACACCAGAAACAGCCTCTCTCTGTGTGCTAATGCTGATGAACTTCTGGATTTACAATTCTCGGTGCGGTTGAATCAAGTGGTGATCCGCCTATCAAGAGTATCAGCACCCGAGAACTCAGGATGTGGGACGCTCAACATGGCGAGGTCCCTCTTGTGGTTTCTAAATGGTTCTGAAGCTTTGGGCTCCGAAGGAGAGGAGCGCCAAAGATCGTCTCTTCAGCGTCGGTATATATTATTTTTCGTTTGTGAGCATCTCTGGCCCTCTGTGTATTCGGAGAGCAATACTCGGACGCATTGAGCTTGAGCCCACATAGTTCACACAATACCAGAAAAGCTATACTACGATGATCGGCCACAACGAGGCCGACCTCACACATACTGATGGCGTCAACAGACTTCCCCCAAACGACATCACAGTTGTTATCATCGGCGCAGGTATCGGCGGACTACAAGCGGCACTGGAGTGCTGGCGAAAAGGGTGCGAAGTTGTGGTTTTGGAAAAGGCGGCAGAACTCTCACCCTTAGGTAGGCACTGTGATGCAGAAACAACGACAAGGACGAGATACATAGGCTGACCTCCTTGGCTCTATGTTAGGCGACTACTTCACCATCACACCACCGGCGCTAACGACCCTAAAAGACTTTCCTTCTATGCACGCCGACTATCATCGGGTTATCTACGACTGTTCTATCCATGTCTACACACCTTCGGGGGAAGAACTGTATTCCGTTGACCCCGAGTGGAAACGTCCTGGCGCCGTCCACTCGGCACCAGATGTCAACATCGCGTTCCTCAAGCGTCGGCCGGTCTACGCTCAGATGCAGCTGGACCAGGTTAATCGACTTAGCATTCCAGTGCACTTTAGCGAACAGGTGGTGTCGGTTGATGAGCGAGTCGACTCTGTTCTCGTGAAAACAGCTTCTGGCAAGGAGTTCCTCTGCGACGTATGCATCGGTGCAAACGGTGTTGGCTCGGTCATACCTGGCTTTAGCACCGGCCCAGAGATTGCCGTTCAAGATAGCGGATATGCGGTGTCTCGTGTAGCTTTCCTACGGTCCGCTATCAAAGACCACTCTCCCGCCTCCTCGCTCCTGAAGACTGTTGACAATCGACCTGAGTTTCGAACCTATGTCGGAAGTGATATCCATCTTATCCTCTTCTTGACACCGGACTGGGTAGCTTTCTGCTTCACACACGCGGTAAGTTATAAGAAGAGGAAAGAATAAAAAAGGAAACAGCCTGAGAACTAATTTTTGTTTCTCCCCAGGACGATAACGATGCCAAAGAGTCTTGGTCAAACTTCCAAGACCCAGACGAGATCGTTCGACATCTCGAAAATGCCAACGATGATTGGGATCCGGCCGTATTGGACTTTGTGCGATCGGCACCGACGGGAATTGTTGACTGGAAGTTAAGGTGGCGAGATGGCTCACCCCAGTGGACCTCGCATGGCGGGCGCCTCGTCCGCCTAGGCGATGCAGCACATGCATTTTTGCCTACGGCAGGGAATGGTGCGGTACAGGCACTTGAAGATGCACTGTCGCTTGCAGAATGTCTACGCATCGGAGGGAAAGCTGGAGTCTCGCAGGCGACCAAAGTCCACAACAAGCTGAGGTCAGAACTCACCTCCGGACAAGGTTGAACATAGAACGCTAATTTTTGAACGCCAGATTTGAAAGAGTGAGCATCCTCCAACAGACCGGGTTCCTGAATCGGGAAGAGCTTCACCACGTCGATATCACAGCGACTGAGAAGGACGTTTCCCAGGTCGGATTCTTCAAGATCGGAAAGTGGGTCTGGAAGCACAATCCGGAGCAGTATGCCCGCGACAACTATGACGCCTGTCTGCTGCATCTGACCGAAGGAACGCCCTTCCAGAACACGAATGTGCCGCCGGGACATGTCTACCAGCCTTGGAGTTTGGAGTCTGAGCAGAAGCGGATGATGGCTGGCATCAAGTCGAACTTGAAACAGAATGGAGATTGGAGTTGGTAGATGACAGTACGATGTTCAGGGTATCTGTGATAGATGAGACTAGACGGAAATGCTGTTATTCCAGTGCCCGCATCGCTCCCTTTGTCTGTTGTTGTAGTGGCTCAGTAAGGCTCAATCAACTCCACATTCAGATGTATGAGATACAGCCAGGCCTAACGTCAATTCGAGCCAACCGTACTAGACAGCTGGCATATCAAAGCACCGATATCCACAGAACATGTGGTTTTTCCATGTCTGTTATCAATTTATGCTCACCAAATACATGGTAACCAGCCATGTAACAAAAGCCGGTCAGGCAGGATCCGAAAACCACCCTTGCCGTACCGTATGATCTTCAATGCGGTCTGCGTTCTCCGGCTTCTTGAACCGTCGCTCGGCATTAGGATCACTGAGGATCTCGGATCCAGTGCGCTGTCATAATTACGACAAGACTCAACGGGCTTTGACTCGCCTCTTTCCTGGGATGGGGGTTATCGGCGTTTATGGCTGAATGAAGATCCATATGCCGACTTCCCAAATGCAGATTTTTGACAAAGAACATCTTGGTACTAAGCATGCGGGCACGGCACATGCTCTGCGCCATGGGGGCATTGTCTTTCGACCATGGGTTCAGATGAACGAGAGACAAAAAGGAGGCAAGCCTGGGCCAGTCCAAGCAGACTGCAGGTTATGCGGAATCTCCCAGGGCTTCGAATCTTCCACGTAGCCATTGAAATAGGCCAACAATCGTAAGGGGGAAAAACGAGCCCAGAGCCGAGCCAGGAGCAATGACGAGCCGAGACCATGATGGCGCTGGCCAAGGTGTTTCAGCGATCCGTCATACCCGGGCCCTGTCTTTGCCAGAGTCTGGGGGGACTTCTGGTTGACGCGCGAAATTCTGGGCGACTCGTTAAGCCCCTGTGGTCCTTCAGATCGCCTGGAGATCTGGTTTATGGGCGGTTTCAGTCGTTCGGTGCTATTCAAGGCTGTCCAGGACTTGATATTCCATCATCGCGTGCTGGCGAGTATTGGCCTGGGGTACTCGGTATCATACGCTCCGATAAGTACCATGTTGGATGATCAATATGGTTGAATCCTTGTAAAGGAGCGCGGCATACTCGCATCATACGAACCAAACGCGCCTTGGAAGAGCGCCTATCTTTAGGGGTGCAGTATCACCTAGACGCACTCATGCGATGGGTGAGAGCACCTTAACTGGTGAGGCTCTTTCGCATTCGTCGAGCAAGGGTTGATAAGGCTCCAGCCATCAGAATGTCACCCCAGAATTTACTGCCCAAAGACAACGTGGTAGTAGTGATAAGTACACGTAAACTCGGCGAGTTCTCTAGAAACATAGACCCAATCTTCCAGATTGGTTCCCCAATGATCAGACGTCTACCAAAGAATTGCACATGAAACTCAACATAGAGCACTGTCAAGTACAAGAGAAAAAAGAGATATGATGGAACTTATCTCCCTGATAGGCTTTCATCTATTGGATTGGCGTCAAGATTGATAGATTCGGATTGCTCCAAACTCAAAAACTAGTATATCAAACTTTATGATTTCCAGGTGGAGCAAGGATCAACCATGATTCTTTGCCTAACCACATGTCCTCTTTCATGGTGTTCCTGATAGAATGCAGAAAATATATTCTCTAGGCTCGGTTAGCCAGAGTTGTACGCCGCCGCAATGCACGCCCCGAAGCATAGGCGAAAAGAAAACTCGATCCAAAAGTGATGCCAATGGGGCAGATCGTAAAAGTACGAGGACAAGTCTTCCGCTCAATTGAAGCAAGTCCAAAAATCATAACCATCGTTAAAAAGAGGTCAACCGTAGCTGTACATATTACTCTCTTATGGCATATAACAGGCATTTCTCCCACCAGTCACGCAATCCCAAGACTGTTGCCCGACCATCGTCTCGTTTTTCTGTGCCATCGGGATTTCCCATGATGATTGCGAATACCCAAAAGACGGCCGCAACCCATGCAGCTACAGCATTGCCTATACTGATAATGGGTGATATGGCATGAATGAAGATGAGACAGGAGGGACTGAACTCAAACGTGTGAGCACTGCCTAATGATTTGGCACAGATCATCTTGAGATGATTGCGGAAGACTGGACCAACCATCCGTATCAGAATGGTGCTGGAAGATGATTCCCTTCTGCATATTCGTAAAGGAAGTAATAAGATGATGACGAAGACGGAGAATATTGAGAAAATGGCGCTGAAGAAGCAGTAGAAAGGGTCCAAGAAGGACATCCATAGCTGCGAACGTTAGTACGTGCGGAACATCAGGATAGGTGGTAGACTCCTTACCAATATCCATATTGCATGATCATCATCCTTGTCTGCCTCGTCATCGGCCTGTTGTTGTTGTATATAGCGAAACACGGCCGACTGGTCTTCTATCATCTCCGACTGTCCATGGCTGGCAAAGGGAGGGTCCGTAGGTGCTGGTGAACTAAGATATGACTGTCGGCCACCATCTTCACCCACGAAGCCCCTCTCCGCCTGCGAACCGTAGTGGTACGTTTGTTTGTTCAGATATGGCTTGAAATCCGAAGCAACTGTTGAACCCGACTCTCCGCTTGACACCGAACTCTGTGCTCGATTGGGATCTATCCGGCGCGCAGAAATGGGGACTTTGTTGGTTGGGACGAAGTGTGCCGGTAGAGGGCGTGTGAGTGATGGACTCGGAGGGTATTGATGGTGTAGATGAGGAGATCTAGGGCTGTCTCTCCGGTCATAGTAGGCAGCGGAATGGGTCATAGGCGGGGGTTCTAAACCCGAAGTCATTGGGGCAGATATGGTGACGTCGGGCGTCTCGCGAGGGAAGTCTCATAATCGAGCGAGGAGTCGACGAGGTCAGTACGGGGGGTGAAAGCAGTGATTGGGGAGCTCTAATGGGATATACTGGAGATGACATGGGCAGTGAGAACATGATATACCTCATGGATTTCAAGAAGGAGACACCACCTGCTGTTCGTCCTGGACTGCCATGGCCATGGCAAGGCTTGGCCGCCTGGGCTTTTGTTCTGGGCACCCTTGGCATATTTCCTTTGAACACGGTCAGAGTCGACGAGGAGGAGTGCGGTGGAGGCGAATGGCTTCTTCCACTCTGCTTGACTGCAGGTATCGGATGCCTGTGTAGCCCAACGCCCCAAGAACATTGTTTGTTGCAATGGTGACTGCGAATGGAGAGTATTGGATGACCTTGGCAACGCGCTCCGAAGGCAGTTGCGAACAGCATTGACATCTTGGGATACTTGGCATTCGTCAAAAATACCGCTCGTTTCAATACGGTACGGTGGTGTTTCACCTAAACCTCCCGTCTTTTGTGACCATGCATTTATCCGCCACCTGAGGACCTACGCTGCTCTCGTTCTGTCTCCATCATTGTGCAAGTATCACATTGACCTCGATTCCAACACTTCAAGCTGGTCACGATTCCTGTCTCTGATAGGGTGGCCTTGATTCATGGCCTAAAGATCACAAGGACAGTTGATGAAAAGAACTGGAATTCCCCCTCTCGGCGGAATATGCCAGGCCAGCTATCGGTCCACAGCTGTCATCATCGAGGCCTTGTCCTCCAAAAACGTATTCATAAATACCGTCTCAGCGGTTTTGGGGGCGCCTTGGCACTCTCTCTCTCTCTTCAAGTGCCCACGCCCATGCCCATTCATTTGCCTTTTCGCTCCACGATCATCTCCGCTTCAAGCCCTTCAGAAAGTGTATAAGGCTCGGCGGGCGTTGGCAAACTGTCTTTTCAAGCCCCAAAAGCCTGACAACAGAGGCAAATCTGGCTGTTTGGGCGGTGAACTCTGTTTCAGGAGTTGCTGATTGGTGAGGACTCTGTTTGCCAGCTCTTCGCCCTCCGCTTCAACGCCTTGTCGCATTTCTTGTCCGCCATTATTTTACGCAAACCAAGCTATTTTTGCTGCCCACGAACAGAAATTTGCGACACGCCAATAAACCAATTGATCATTGCCCAGCTCCTTGTGTCCACTATCAAGACTGTTCCTGAAGAGACATTTGGTTTCATGAATATTGACGAATGATAAACTCTTGAAAAGCCCTCAAGGAATGATAACGTCTAAAGTCAATCTGGTCTACCAATTGTCACATGCAGCTTTAGGGCGTCATTATGATATGATGGCTAAGGACTTGAGCCTTTGGACTTTTGCGGAGTACAAGTCACTGTCCGGTTACTCCCAATCTGATCGGTACAATTGACTTGGCACAGCTCTTCCTCCAAGCTACATGATCCACCAGAGGCACAAGTGTGTCGCAATTCCTGTGGCTCGATCGGCTGCAATCACTCCTTACTCATGAACTAAACAAAGCCGATAAGCAAAGTATGAGAGCATGATCCAGCAAAGATTCCTCATACCTCAACAATCAGTTACAGATGGGGGATCAGCTAAGCCTACATGATACCATCAATCCATGCAGAGAAACAATCCTAACCATCCAAGTTTGTCTGCCGACATTCCATTGGCCCTCCTCGAACTGACGGGAGACTCGGTTATGACCAATTTGAATCCCTCGTGACAATATAGCATACTTGCCTATCTAGGTATCCAGGGACCTAGTTGATACCCGGGTGACCGCCAGTCAGGTGCATTGGCAATCCATTTTGGTCGCCAAGCTGGCTATAGTTTCTTGCTTTCTCCATCTCTTACGCACCGCCGAGCCTCAGCCATCGACGAACCAATCAATTCAACTCTTGAAACAGAGAAGATGGGCTTGGAACTTTGATTCACCCCCGGATGTCCGGCACACCACGAACGAAGACGTGATGAGAGGATAATGCTGCTTCATTCTTCCACCCTTTCGCCGGGTACTCCCTTCGATGCAGGGGGAATTATGACCCGGAGAATGAACGTGAGCAGGCGCAATAGGAATCGATTGCCGTACAGAAATGGTGTCAGGATTCGTTTCCCGTGAAAAATAGCTCGGCCACATGGCAAGCGTTGCTTCTGATATGACCCTATTAAGCCAGAGTGCTCAAAGTGTACTTCCATGCCCCTTTCTCACTCCGTCCGTAAAAGGTACTCACTGGATAGCAACGGGTCATTGGAATAAGCACTCATCACTATGAAATGACTTAGAATGAGACGTTCATTAAGCAATTGGTTGTAAAGACTGTGGTGGTCGTTGATTCATGACGATATACCTTGCCTTGCACCTTCCTCTAGAAAGGAATACCTCATTCAACGAACTACTGCTCTTCTTCGTCACGAGAGATAAACATTGAGCTCATAACACTGATGGCAAAGAATAGTCTGATTATTGTAAAGCTGCTAGGGATGAGCAAAAATGCATTAACGGGAAGAATGCGGCTCTGCAGTTGAATGGTGGCGCTCGCTGGATCCCTCGCTCAAGTATGCTGCGGTGAAGCTGGAGCACAATGAAGGCACACGATGCCAACTTACTCTTCGTGAAAGAAGCCTTCACCGAGGACTGGAACCCTGATTCACACCCATCTTCTAGAAAGATATATCGGTGAGTGGCACACCAAGGTTTGTCCCAGGGAAGACAGAGTCGCAGTCGATGGGGCGGGTGGTGGACGGGTGGTTTGGGAGGACCAAGCTGCCTGCCCGAATTGCCGCCAACCCCAGAGTTGGTTGTTCAACGTTTCAAACCTTTTCCCTGTCGTGCCACTGGCCTGGATCGGGGGTATGTTTGGTAGCAAAGATGCGGCTAGCCAGCCGAGCATCTTCGCTGTGCGACCAAGAAAGGTGGTGATGTGAGCAAACCCGGGTGTCGGAAGATGGAAGATGCTGAATTGCACGGCAGTGCCTTCGGATCTCGTCTCCAAAAGCACAATCGAGCATGGTGGCACGACAGCGGTGTGTCTGGTGTTGCCAACATCTATCAATCGTGAGAGGAAGCGTTACCTTTTCTTGCACTGGCATAAAATCAAACCCATCGTGTTCTATAGATTCTGCGCGAACACATATAATCTTTTTCGGCATCTTCATTATTCAACACGCACGTGCAAAGGGTTTTGGGCCGGCGGGCGTTCGTGTTGTAAACATCATCTCAGTGCGCGGCGAGCCCAGGGCCCTCATACGGCTAGAGGGGAGACAAGCCAATCAATCCTCCAAATGACAGCTTGGTTTGACATGGATCAGGCTGACATGTTTTTGCCTGTGCTGCCTTCCGCGTGGGTTGGACGGGGATGTGTTGTGACATGTTGTCTTCCGAATTCAAGTTGTGCAAGCCTGCAAGCTGCCATGCTATTTGTGCCACATAGCGATTTGGTACTCAAGTATGGTAGGTAACTGCTCATATTCCACTTGCACTTCATGTTTGACAAAAAAGCAAAACGTTGTGTGGGGAGATAGTTATAGTGGCTCATTTGGAGTATTAATACTGCAGGAGCCACTTTGAAGACCCGGGGGGGTTGACCCGAGGATATTTGTGCCCGGTCAAGGTGGAGATGTCAAAAGTTGATACATATCAATCACCCCTTGACGACTGCCAAATAGACATATTTGACAGCTATTCGAAAGAACTGCACCATGTTTTAACATGTTGAGCGACATGCACATTGCGTCTGTGTGGCGAGTCAAGAGTTTTTACGATGATGCCAATCCACGATGATGGATGTCCCGAGCTGGGCTTTGTACCACTCAGGCTCGTTACGCCATGACTTGAAATGCCAGTGGTTGAAAGGCAAATATGCTCGTCAGTGTGTTCAAGTTGTTTTAGGTCGGGCTGCGATGTGGACTTTTAGTGGGACCTATCGGGACCTAGGCTGATATCGGCTCCCCTAAACCCTGTTTGTTCTTGTGCCTTCACGCGGCACGCCCATTAAAACAAGGAGCCGGGGGCACCTCCAAGCCACATTCTCTCGTTATGCGAAGCCTAACGAAGGCCGTAACCTTAGCGGCAAGCCCACGCCTTGGATGACTGGGTCAGGTGGGTTGACTCCCCAGCCGCACTGAATTAGCTACGGCAGATGGAGGAGGCCTGGCCGTGACTCTCGGTTCCTGGATTTCTTCCCCTTTGGTGAAATCCCCTTATGCGAGGTACCTACGAAGCACTTGTAGGCTGTAGCCTTTGGCGCGACTACGTACCTAAGTAAAGGCCTCTGCGGTCCCGTGATGCTGTGTACATGTCAAACCGAGACCGAGAGTGCTCGAGGCTGGGGCTGAGGATAACTTCCTCCCTCAAGGGAGGACCGATGGGGATGGAGTTTGTGACCAACTTGAATCAGGGTTGAGGAACTGGCGGCTGGCGCTCGTTGGTTACGATCAGATTGTCTTCCGGCTGGTGGTTGCGGTGGTGGCTTGCTCACTCAGACCGGGTTTCTCGAAACGGGCGAAGATTGGCAGGTAGCTCGTGGAGGAAAATGAGCTAAGGAGAGTGGGAATAAAGGCTAAGCTTGTGTGTGGAGAGAGAAGCTCCATGGACGGTCGCTCGTTCTCGTCCTAGACCTGCAGGCGGGTCATCCCCTCGCTTCGCCATCGTCAGTCATTCCCAGGAGTTCCAAGGGAAGGGTTCCAAAACAGTGGAGGCCCACTGTTCGTCTGAAGGCTGCTCGTCATGAGGTGGATCTCCTTTCAGGGCACCCCCGGTCAGCCCCCGGTCATGCTTGGTTTCGTTAGCTGGCAAGCCTCGAGTCAAGCCAAGCCACAGCCCTTTTTTTTTTGTTAAGCAGAACAGGGCCTTTGCCTGAATCGCCGTGCATAAGTACGAAGGACACCCCTCGAGGTCTCTGTAAAGGGTCAACTGGGTGCTAATAAAAGGGCGTTGCCCATGTTGAACCTGCATCTACGGAGTACTTGCAGACGGTGCTGAATAACTCGGGAACCTTCCGGTTGTCCTTCTAGTACCTCGTACCCAATGCTAGACAATCCCAATCTCAATTTCATCTGTGGTGTCTAATACCTCGTAGATAGTAGGGAGGAGTGTCAAATTACATTTCATCCATGACTTGACCAAGATCAAAGTATGAGACCCAGTTGCAACTTATAGTTATCAGTGCCCACATCATTAGGTGACACCATCGCCTATAACTCAAACCCCGTAAGCAGGGCACTGGGGCGACTCGGGACTCGTGCTCGTACCACTGCAGTCAAACGAAAGTGTCCGCGGTGCTGTCATCTGGAACTGATCTCCCTGCGGGCCCTCCCAGGGACCCAGAGGGCCTCTCCAAGCCTTTAGGCGCCTTCATTCGATGGACGGCCACTGGCTCCATGGATTGCTGTGCACAGGAGGGCCGAGGGCCAGTGCGTCAGACCCACCAAATGCCCTACCAGTCAAGTTACGCCTCACGCAACCTTCCCTCCCAAGTCTCCACACCCGAACCAGCCCATTTAGAACCAACGTCCACGACCACCGCTAGCCCACACTGCCTAAAATGCCTGTCCCTAGTCCCGACCAGGTGTCAGAGCCCCCGAGGGAACTTGATCCAAGCATGGCGATCTCGAACCCTACCCTTAGCGTCCTCTTGCATTCATCGTGTGAAGCCCAATCTCGCAGAGGTCTCCCTCATCTCCTGTCACCGTCATCTTCCGCTCAGTGTTGCCTACCATTTTTTCTGCTTCATTGCCCTCCATTTCTTCACCCTTTCGTGCACCAGGAAGTTGTTGACTTGTCCAAAGCCAACCGCCCGCACCTTGCTACTTTTCCTTCTATTCTGTTTTCCCACCTTATTGCTGTCGCTACATAGCCTGATTGCTTCTGATACACACGGCTCATAGCAGACACCACCCACCGCGGCCGCTTACTTGCGTCCGCCCAGTTCTTCGAGGTTGAACCCATACATAAGCGCACGCATCCTGTAAGAGAAGGTTTCGAGTCTTGAGACTCGCAAATCTGCCACATCTACCTCGACACGACCATCGTCATCACAGACAGCTGCTCAACAACCTTGCCGATCATGGCTTTGGTCCCGCACCCATCACCACCCGGCGTGCTAGGTCTACAGCACGGTGGCCATTTTGGGCAGATCAATGGTGCTGCTCCAGTCGACGCGCACACGCAAAGACAGCGCCTCCTTGGACAGTTAAATGAATCAACATGGCAAAGAATAGGTCAGTTGGGTAGCATTAAAACATGGTCATCTCACACATCTAACTCAAAATCGCAGGATCTTTAAACGAACTGCTTGGTGACCATGAAGGTGCGCTTTTTGCATACGAACAAGCACTTAGACACAATCAATGGTCTACCCAAACACTCAACGCTATTTCTTGTATCCTTCGGACAAAAGAGAAGTATCCAGAAGCTATGGAGTATCTCAAAAACATCCTGAAAGTGGAGCCTGCCAATGGTGAAGCTTGGGGAAACCTAGGTAGGCAGTTCACCTTCGATCATGTTTGTCTCTTCTCACATTTACAGGTCATTGCTACTTGATGATGGACAATCTCCAAGAAGCATACACTGCATACCAACAGGCTTTGTATTACCTTCCAGATCCAAAGGTGTGTATTGTGACTTTGTCAGTACCGTACACTTTGCTTACTGATTTTGACAGGAACCCAAGTTATGGTATGGCATAGGTATCCTCTATGACCGGTATGGATCACTTGAGCATGCCGAAGAGGCATTCTCTCAGGTTATGCGAATGCAACCAGACTTTGAAAAGGCCAATGAAATTTACTTCCGCCTGGGCATAATCTACAAACAACAACAAAAGTTTCAGCAGAGTCTCGAGGTCAGTCTCCGTGACTGGTTCTACTTGATCCATCTAACATGTCATAGTGTTTCAAATACATCGTCAATGACCCGCCCAGACCTCTTAATGAGGAAGACATCTGGTTCCAGATTGGTCACGTCTACGAGCAGCAAAAAGATGTATGTTAATTCTTGTCATAACTAAAACCTCAACTGACGTTCGTCACAGTTTGAATCCGCCAAGTCAGCATACCGTCGAGTTTTGGAGAGAGACCCCAAGCATGCCAAAGTCCTCCAACAGCTCGGCTGGTTGCATCACCAACAAAGCAATAGCTATGCAAGCCAAGATCAAGCCATTGAATATCTCGAGCAGTCAGTTAGCTCAGGTCAGTAGCCCTCGCAATTCAATAGTACCTCGTCACTGACTTGATCATCAGATAATCAAGATGCCCAGAGTTGGTACCTTCTTGGCAGATGCTATATGGCACAACAAAAATTCCCCAAGGCATATGAAGCCTATCAGCAGGCTGTGTACCGCGATGGACGCAACCCGACTTTCTGGTGTTCTATTGGTGTGCTCTACTACCAAATCAACCAGTACCGTGATGCCCTTGATGCTTATTCTCGTGCTATCCGGTTGAATCCATACATTTCAGAGGTCTGGTATGACCTTGGAACTTTGGTGAGATACATATCGTCCCCTGATTGACCGTCTACTAATGTCTACAGTATGAATCCTGCAACAACCAAACTTCGGATGCTCTTGATGCATATGCTCGGGCTGCCGAGCTTGATCCGACTAATTCTCATATCAAAGCACGTCTTGCACTGCTGAGAAGCGGAGCTCCCACTGGTCCCAACCAACACAATGCCCCGGTACCTCAAGATGTACACCCGCAAGCCTATCAGAATGGAGTCGGTGTTCCTCCTGGGCCTCAATGGGGTGGTGCACCATCCGGAGCCGCCCAGCAATCACAACCTCCACCTGTTGATCCTGCCCGTGTCTCTGACTGGACCCGGGGCATTGCCGGAATACAACCACCACCGCATCAGGCCAATGGCTTTGAAGGACGAGATGGCATGAGAGCACCGCCGCTCCGCGCTCCATCTCCACGACAAGATGGTCCGCGCCCTTACGGTGAATCTTCGCGTCAGACTCCTGTGAGAAAGATGCAATCTCCATCACCCAAGATGCAGCCAGCTGTTCCCGGCATGTATCCCCCTGGCCCACCACCAACCCTTCCCCAGATATCAATGCAGGAGCGAGGACCCGCCTTTAATGCAGGTGTACGACCTTCACCAACCATGAACGGAGCTCCACCTCCCCATACCAATGGTGCCGGGAATACTCTTCCACCTTACGGGAGGCCTTTCAGCCCACCTAGTGAGCTGAGACCGCTACGTGATGACCGACCGACCTCACCAGGGTCAACCTTCCGCCCACAGCCTTATCAATCTGGACAACCATTCCCAAGCATCGCCAATGGTGCTCCATCACCCGCTCCACTCCCACCCGTTGATCCTCCAAGGGACGATCGCCCTCTCTCGGCCATGAAAAGGACTCGCGAGTGGGAAGCAGAGCCTGGGCCTTCGAAGAAGATTGCGAATGAGGAGACACGAGCGAGACTGGATGACCCAAGCCGTCGTAATAGTCCACCAGGACGTCTTCCGACCCCGAAAGAGCATTTCCGCCGTAGCTCTTCTGAAGTGCGTCGAGAGAATGAACGTCGAGCGAATGAGAACTATCATCCATCGGAAGCCGCACATCATCCGTCATACAGTCTACCTCCTCAACAGAATCAACAAATACCCTCTATGCAATCGATATTGGATGGACCAAAAGAAGAACGCAAAGAGCACATGGAGCAAGCCGCTCGGAAGGTTGATGTAGATGAGGACTACGATAATAACAGTGAAGACGACAAACGTGCAGCGGCAGCTGCAATTAGTAGTCCGCAAGGGCTAGGACCACAGGCGTCGGCGATTCCAAAGCCAGAAACCACTGTATGATTGTTGATATTTTATGGCTGGGTCCGAATTTTATTGGAGGTAACATCATACAGTAACAACAGCGATTTGATGAAGCTGTTCATTTGGGGAAGCTCTTGTTGACCCCTCATATCATTCTGCTTCCTTTGTAAATGACAATAGTGTATTTCAGAAATCCACGATTAACGACTGAAAAGCGCAAAACCTGTTTCACTTCCCTCCAGCATTCTTGTCCTGTGTTTAGTCCCCTTGCAGAGAGTAATTTTTGCCCTCTAGATCTGCTTCAGTCTGAAATTTAAGACAGCTGGATCGCAGAACGAACTAGGTCACGTTCAATGGAACCATCAGTCACGTGATGAGCTCATTTATTCGAATAGTTCCCACAATGCCAAGATATCTTGGCGCACTCACACTGCACCCAAAGTCTGGTACATGCAATTTCTACTGAACGCACCTCGAACTTTTATCTATCTCGTTGTCAACCCCGACACTTTGTTCACCCAGCAGCAAAGATGTATGTATATCCCAAAATAATGATCGCTTGACCCATGCTAACGTATCTCACAGGTCTCACCGAAAGTTCGAAGCTCCGCGACACGGTAAAAACTCAACCAAACCCTCCCAATGATGAAAAGAACCTGGACTGACCACTTTTTCGTACAGGTTCGCTTGCTTTCCTCCCCCGAAAGAGAGCAGCAAGACACAGAGGAAAGGTCAAGAGGTTGGTTATCTAGAAGTCATGACTCGTTTTGAGAGTCGAAGCTGAAACATTCCACAGCTTTCCCAAGGATGACCCAAAGAAACCTGTCCATCTTACCGCAACCATGGGCTACAAGGCCGGCATGACCACCATCGTCCGAGACCTCGATAGACCCGGTGCGAAGATGCACAAGAAGGAAGTTGTCGAAGCCGTTACTGTCGTCGAAACTCCACCTGTAAGAGATATTTCAAATTGCACGAGATCCTACCCCATACTCATGATTTTTTCCCTTCAGTTAATCGTCGTCGGTCTCGTCGGCTATATCGAGACTCCCCGTGGTCTACGATCTCTCACCACCGTGTGGGCCGAGCATCTCAGCGACGAAGTCAAGCGACGATTCTACAAGAACTGGTACCGATCGAAGAAGAAGGCATTCACCAAGTACGCCAAGAAGCACTCTGAGGCCAAGGGCGCTTCAGTCACCCGAGAACTCGAACGCATCAAGAAATACGCCACCGTTGTCCGTGTCCTCGCCCACACCCAAATCCGTCAAACTCCCCTCAAGCAGAAGAAGGCACACTTGATGGAGATCCAGATCAACGGCGGCAGTGTCGCAGACAAGGTCTCGTTCGGTCATGGTCTCTTCGAGAAGCCCGTTGAGGTCGACACCATCTTCGAGCAAGACGAGGTTATCGATGCCATTGCCGTGACCAAGGGTCATGGTTTCCAGGGCGTCACCAGCAGATGGGGAACCAAGAAGCTGCCGAGAAAGACACACAAGGGTCTCCGAAAGGTCGCCTGTATCGGTGCCTGGCATCCTTCCCACGTCCAATGGACTGTCGCCCGTGCTGGTCAAGATGGTTATCATCATCGTACCTCTTGCAACCACAAGGTCTACCGCATCGGCAAGGGTAGTGACGAGAAGAACGCCGCCACCGACTTTGATGTTGTCAACAAGCAAATCACACCGTAAGGATTCTCATATACTCCCCCGTTGACATGCTGTCCGTGTGAACGTGCTAACAATCAATCAATCCAGTCTCGGCGGATTCGTCCACTACGGAGAGGTCAAGAACGACTTCGTCCTGCTCAAGGGCTCCATCCCCGGCGTCAAGAAGCGAGTCATCACCCTCCGCAAGTCCCTCTACACCCACACCTCGCGCAAGGCTCTCGAGAAGGTCGACCTCAAATGGATCGACACCTCGTCCAAGTTCGGTCACGGTGCCTACCAGACTGCACAGGAGAAGAGACAATTCTTGGGTACGCTCAAGAAGGATCTTGCTCCTGCTTCATAAGCGGTCTTGGTTTTGCGTGGATGTTTTCAGAACTCACTGCTTTCTCCCTCTTTCATCCTGCGTTGTGCTGCAGTAGTGGATGAGGGCCAGTGAGTTGAGTTGTTTTCGAAAGAAAAGTGGATATGATGAATGGCGTTGGGATGATCTTGTTTTCGGCTCGAAACTTGGGTCTCAAATCATTCTCTGATGGCCAATGACAATACAAAAATTGCTCAGGAGATACCAGCCACGGGTGTTTTCTAGATAGTTCGCTGCTCAAGAGACGTATTCTCCTCCACGAGCGGACTGCTACTACTTCTCGCATAGCAATGGTAGCATGAGGGGAATGAATCAAAACGAAATTACAAGGTTCAATAATACTCTCTCATAAGTTCTCGTAATTCCTTGCTTCTCCCTCGTGTTATGTATGTCGTCCTTGACTTTCATGTACTTGATCCACAGTGGTGGTCACGATCAGATAGCCAGCCAGGCACCTTCTCAATCGATTTCCCTTTGCCTTTCTTAATTCTCCCCTCAGCTCTCCACCGCCTTAGTCAAGACGCCGACAAGCTTCCTCTCACCGACGGTAACAATGTAATACTCGACTCGAGTCCTGCCCAGTTCGACTCTGAAGATCCTCACGGCGTTCTTGTCGCCCGCCTTCTTCACCCTCTCAATGATGTCCGCATATTGCTCTCTGGGATCGAAGTCCTGGACACTCAACTCCTCGACCTCTGCCTGCTCGGCTTTCGAACCCAGCGCCTTCTTGAACTCGGACGGGCTAGGGGACTTGTCGCTCGAGTAGTTCAGCACGATCGGCTCGAAGGGTGAGTCGGTGTCGGACGTGTAGGTGATTTTGTCGGGGATGGATCTGAGGGAGGCGGGCAGGGCGTCGTTGTCGGTGTTGGTCGGGTCGAATTTGCTTTTCGTTTGCGATGTCGATTCCGAGGGCTGGCTGTGGCTGCCCGCTTTGGGGTCTTCGTTGGCTTTGTTCAGGAAGGCCGTGTAGGATGCGTCGTCCGACATGGTGAGGGTGGCTGGTCGGGTTCTGTGGTATGGTTGGGATTGCGGTGCTTTGGGGTTTTTTCGTCCGGTGGTGTATGTGTTGTGAGGCAGTGGTGCGAAGGCTGAAGTGGTGTTGATTGCTCGCAGCTGGAATGTTTGATGCACAACTGGGAGCTTGGGATTGAGGTAGGTTTTTTGTTGCGGCGCTTTCCGACCGGATTTAGTGAATGGCAGGGAGGTCGATTTATGATTGTGCTTCGAACTTGAGTTGGCAACAAATTTCAGCATTCAAAAACAAATGGTTAAGGCTGAGGTTGTGCTATTATGTTGGCTGAAGGTCAGAAGCGTAACTTTTTAGGATACCAAGTTGATGGTGGGCAAGGAGTTAGCGATGATGTCACAGGTGTGCAAGTCACCGACTACTGAGGACGTGGTTAAAGCCTTGCCAGCTCCTTCTAGAGCAGCCTCGCAACAATCTCTTAGATAACAGAATGTCGACAAGTGTCCTCTTGATGGATCGAACAGTGCTTCTACAACTCTCAATCAGTATTCAATAGGCAGGCTATTGACAAAGTACATTCTCCAGGTGACTACCTAGGTATTTGGGAGGTTTCCTCCAAATGGTGATGGTTCTACCCGTAGGGTTTAATACCGAGTGTCGAATAAATAAGAGCACTTGGATTGTTCTCGCTTTGTTTGATCCAGCCCTCAGTTGCTACCACCGCATAAGGTTCTTGATGACAGTAGCTAGTGGACCCGCATCTTAAGCAGCAACAACAAAGGTTACGAGTAGTAACAGCCCTCAACGCCACGAGCCAGCCTGTCCAGACTGCACAGGCGTTGTGCTGTGAAGAGCAACGAAACTGTAACTATTCCCAGCCCATGCACCGACTGGGTAGCTTCCATTAGTGGCTGATTATTGCAGCTATCTTTGTGACGCGTGGTGTTCATCCTGGATTCGTAACCTCTCCAGGGTTTCCAATGAAGAAGATGCAATTGAGGAGCCGAACGGGGAGAGAATCATAGACCCGGAAGATCAACGGCCAACGAGAAAATCTCCTCGGGCGTCCACCACTTCCACTTGCTAGTACGGATACTGCATCAGATACTGATGATCGGGTTCACATGGCAGAATGCCGTCGTCAGCTTCAAGTTGAGAGATTATTCGGTGTCAGTGTGGGCACGTATCAGGCAAGGGTCTGATAACAGGGGTGCCCGCCGTCCGGAAATGGCTGAAGCGCTGAGCGCGGTTGACGACGCCGATGTTCCGTGGCGGTACGGGATGCGAAGTTTCTTTCTTGAGTCTGGGAAGTGAGTATCGGTATTTCTGTTTCTCAGATGGGCATCGCGGTCCCAGATAGTGAAAAGATCTAACGAAGAATGATATATATCTCACCCATGGTTAGACCTATCCTGGAGGTAGAGAGATTGGAACGATTAGGCGACACACAGGGAGGAGTGATTGCCGAAATCGAAACCATAGCCGCATGAATTGTCTCTTCCCCAAACGGCTACGTGCCAGGGGCTCCCCTGGGCTTCAGATGTCGCGTGCTGGCGGAGCCTCATTTGAAGATTGCGAGGAACAGGTCGAGGGCTTGAATAAAGAAGCCACTCACAGCTATAGAACAGAATAAGAACATGTCCACGGGCAACACTGTCAGGGCGAGTCATACTAGGGTTTCACCAGTTGGTACGAGTATCCAAGGTTGTCCTCTGGTGATTTTCCGTGAGGCTCATATCCGGAGCCAGTCCAGACCCACGATCACCGGTAAGCAAGCCTCTAGCAGCAGGGAAAATGGGCGAATAATCCTGGTTCTGGCAAGATGGATTCTGGCCCCTGAAAGGAAAAAGTGGATTGCACCGTCAGCTTGGTGGGATCATCGTTTTACGCCACCTCCTGGTGCTCCCGATCTGTTTGGCTGACACGGCCAGTGCTGTGCCACCCTCCCTCGCGCGGTCAATGCACTACGCTTTGGATTGTTTATCACCAGGCCACACCTGGATGAACCGTGACTTGTAACAAAACCCCACTCAATTGTTCTCCTGGAGGTACGAGTACAAGGGACTCTCGAGGCGACCGTGCAATGGAATACTACCTGACCAGAAGTGAATCTTCTTTCAAGTTTCGAGGGATCATGATGACGGTGCACATGTGCAGCCCTGGAGGTTGCTATATCTGTTGACCGAGTCTCCCACTACCCACGCGTGAATGCATCTATTATTGACTTCCAAATACGAATAATGGGCCTGCAGATGAGTCTGATGCGGAGCGCCCTCACCACTCGCGAGTACCAACAACTAGAATTAATAATAACACATTTTTCAGCCAGTTCTTTCTTCTCATCAAAAGAAAAAGGACAACGACTTCATCTGTACTCGCAGATCTGACTGCCAGGTTCAGGACAAGCGAGTATCACTCCTAAGAAAATTCCAAGATGTAGTAATCTCGACCGAGTAATTGCCTCTCCACTGCAGAACTGGTGAACGATTGATGTTGTGAGATGCAGTGGCTCGCAAGCGTGACTGGAGAAAAGGCTGAGGGCCCCCCCCAAAAATTAAGGCTGCTTAGGCTCCTTAGGCTCCTTAGGCTCCTTAGGCTAGTCCGGTGCCTGTTGCTTTATGCGCAGGCACCGCAAACAGGGTTCCCACAATTATCTGCGGTGCTAGTTTTCACCCAAAGCCAAGCTGCCCCTAATTCTGCGCTTCGGGGGCGCCTTGGTAGCGACCGCCTTCACAACCATCGCTGCTACAGTCCAGTCCGTATCTCACAACTGCTCAGCCTCCAACCCAACTTTCTTACAGCTTCACCACCATCTCTTGATTCGGGACAACTTCCATTCGTTTAACCAACATTCCCAACATCCCGTATTCATTCCTCACTCGGCCTTTTTCCCTCCGTATCGACAAATCTCCCTTCAGCCTGGGCTTTTTTCTTCTTACTGCAGGCCAGAAAGGAGACGCTTTGCTCGGTCTCAACCAACACCGCGATTTTTCGAACCGCTGCAACTCACTATCCTCTATTTGTTGACCGTCTGACGCTCCGAGGCAACCTATCGTCTTGCACTGCATACGTCCGCCTAATATACACTTCTCACGCTGACTCTACATCGGTCAAACTATCTGTTAAACGCCGATCAATCTAACGGCCTCACGCCGCTGGCCTGCCTGAATACCCTCGAGCCTTACTCAGTCTCAACACCTTAGAACGTTGTCCGAACCAGACAGACCAACAGTATTACTCCTCCATCCATCCATTTGAACGGGCGGTCGATCTCCCAGACGACGAGTCGGTCGCCAGTGCATAATGTCGTCTCATAGCAATTCCCCTCCACCACCTCGAGTACCTCCACACATTAGGTTGAACTCCGGGCAGGAAGATATTGCCAACAGTGATCAGAGTGGCTCGTCAAGGACACTGGTACCTACGTCCTCGAGACCTGGCACAGGCTCACGCTTGAACAATGTCTACAGTTCAGAACAAATGCAGGATTCGGCGGAAAGGCTGTTACCACCCTCAAGGACAAACCGATTTCGAGATGACGGCTCACCTTTGAGATCTCCCGCACGCTCCAGTTACTCCTCACGACGCTCTAGTTGGGAATCGGACAGAAGCAGAGACAGCCGAGGATTCGAAAACCCTTTTCGGGATTCCAGTCAGTCCCGGCCAGGCTCAAGAGCTGGAAGCGACGAAGATGTCAACACTCAGACCGTCTCCGAAAAGTACAACATCCTCCCCTCCGCCGGTCTACTATTATTCCCCGAAGACGTTGAGAAAGATGATTATCTACATAACCCTGATCCCGATGGTGAACAACGCGATTGTGATATTTTTACCAAACGTGGTTTTGTCAACATTGGCGGTTTAGGCATCCTCGTACTGGGCATTATAACATTGTTCGTTGGATATCCAGTAATGTGAGTACATCTGCCGTTTCGAGCCTGGATACATTTCTCTTCATACCACTGACACGTACTTCAGATCCTTCGTGCAAAAGGCTACTGCCACCACCGATCCTTGTAAAGTCAACAACGACTGTATCAACACTGGGAAAGTTCCTCTATTAAAGAACATGCGCTCTACACTGATTGATCCTGACACGCCTGCTTCTGCCAAAACCAAGAAGGATTTCCATGGGAAGACGTGGAATCTGGTTTTTTCAGACGAATTTAGCAAACCAGGCCGCACCTTTTATGAAGGCGATGATCCATATTGGACTGCGGTCGATATTTGGTACGGTGTGACTAGAGATCTTGAATGGTACGATCCAGATGCTGCAACAACAAATGATGGTGTTTTGGAGCTACGCTTCGACGCCTTCCAGAATCATGGCTTGAATTATCGATCGGGTATGCTACAATCTTGGAATCAGATGTGTTTCAAAGGAGGGAGACTTGAAGCATCCATCTCCCTTCCTGGACGGGGCGATACTGTCGGGTTTTGGCCCGGTTTCTGGTCCATGGGTAATCTTGGAAGAGCAGGTTACGCCGCGACGACGGACGGTCTATGGCCATACTCCTATGATCACGTTTGCGACGCTGGAATCACGGCCAACCAAAGTTCTCCCGATGGTATCAACTACCTGCCAGGAATGAGACTCCCAGCCTGCACTTGCTCTGGAGAAGATCATCCATCACCGGGAAAATCAAGATCAGCTCCAGAGATAGATGCTCTGGAAGCAAGTAACGCTCCTTTCGATGAGACTGGTTTTGTCATCGGGCATGTTTCCCAGAGTTTTCAAGTTGCTCCATTCGACATCTGGTACCAGCCAAACTATGATTTCGTTGAAGTGTTCGATTTCTCTACCACGATGATGAATACTTACAAAGGCGGCCCGTTCCAGCAGGCTGTATCTGGCCTTTCGAATTTGAACAATGACTGGTACGACGGTAACGCATATCAAGTCTATGCTTTCGAATATACACCGGGAGCTGATGGTGATATCACTTGGTTTGTCGGAGACCAAACACCTGTCTGGAGAATGACAGGTCAAGCGCTGGGCCCCAATGGGAATGTCGCCCAACGTACTGTGGCTGAAGAACCAATGTCAATCATTGTCAATTTCGGCATGTCCCCTGGGTTCTCACCTCTCAACATGACTGGACTTGCACCGCTCATGCCTGCGACCATGCGAATTGATTACATCCGTGTATATCAAGACGACGACATGGAGCTGACGTGTGATCCTGAAGGATTTGAAACAACGGAGTATATCAGAGCTCACTCTGATATTTACCACAATCCCAATATCACGAATTGGTGAGTTTGACCGACAAGCAATTTTATTTATGCAGTGCTAATCATGACATAGGCCGGACACTGGATACCCGTGGCCGAAAAATTCACTTGTGGATGGTTGTTAATTCTAATATATAATTTGGTGATCGAACATGTTGCCCGGAAGATTCTGGACTGTACAAATGTTTGAAAATTTCTCGAATTAGCGGCATGTCAACCAAGCACAGTGGCGTTTAGGCTATTCTTCAAAGGCGCAGAAATGGGTGGATTGCAGAGTGACCTCCATTGGTTTATGGGAAGCATCACTTTGTCTAAGATTACGAACAAGAAGGGAATGATGATCTTTCCCGGTACAAATAGGCGATTGGAATTATTTTTTCAAGGCCCGAACCAGACGCCCAACAAGGTCAATGTAAAGGGACTTGGTGAGCATGCTACGACATGCAAGGGTACTTGGTTCAGGCCAAGCAACATGGTAGTGAAGCCTGGTGGATGGATACAGCCCTGCGCGGTACTTGATATTCGAGTCCCTGACACGGGTTTCAGGACATATTGATCTACAGATCATAAAATGAAAAACATCGTAAATTCACACCTTTTTTTTTTTTGAGGCCTTCCACAGGTATGACTACGTTCACGATGATATTCAGTGATGATATCTTGCAACTGAGACGGTGTGAAAGGCAAACGTTCCAGAAGATACTTGATCGATTTCTCAAGTCATCCTCATCCTTGTCAATCTCACTGTAACTCAGTCTGCATTGCGTGGGGACATAAAAACCTTTCGAGGCACACTGGTTTATGTGTTCGCCCTGGCGCACCAAGTCTTCCGTTCTGCACCACAGCCAGGATACTGTATTGCTACCGCGTCTTTGAATCCTGAGAGAACTCATCTAATCGCTTCAGACCACAGCACACATCTATTGCAACCTCCTGATATTTATCTTCACCCAGTACGTGACTACGATGGACAAAGAGCTTACCGAAGAAGAGAAGAAAGACTTCAGGAAGGATTGGGCTCCAAAGATCAGACCGCTAGCACGGCCGGTTGATAACGCCGAGGAACAGAGGAGGAATCGTGCTGCCGTCATCCTCGACAATTATCAAGAGTTGATGAGATATGCCCTGGCAAACGAACAGGTAGGTCGCGCACGGTCAACCTCCCTGAGGGAAGGGAAGACTGATCATGATGGGTTAGTCGATACCGGCCACTCGTGTGTACTTCCAAAAGGTTGCGGCGGGAGGTTCACCGGCGCCCATTATCAAGGATTGGTTTAAGATCGCTAGTTGAGATGTGGATGAGGAGTATGATGCTTGTCCACTTGTGAGACTTGAAGGGTGTGGGAGGCGTGTGTTATCAGATGTTGCATGCCTCAGGCGATTGGGCGGGCTCTCGTGTAACACTGATCTTGGGTGGGTGTGGGTGGCTCAATCAGCGTGGCGTTATGTGTCGCATAGCGGGAGATGCATGATTGGAAAGCTCTTATGTTGACCGGAGGCTCTAGTTCTTCGAAACGGGCTTTGGGCGCCCTCAATTTCCTGTGACTGTCGCTCCGGCTGTCTTCTTCTACTCAGCCTTGTCGCACTGTGTACAGGAGCTTGCAGGGCTGAACATGGCAGGGTGGGGAAAGGCGGTGTAGGAAATTATTTCATTTCTGCCAGAGAATTTCCAGAACAAAATTATGTCTGCACCCACCATCCACCACCACTACAAGAAGTTCAAGTTGGAGAGGAATGTACACGTAGATTCTCTATCCGGTGCCACATAACCTCTACCAGTCAGCAAACATGTCGCTGGAGGAGAAGCTGGCCAAGATTAAATCTCCCAATTTACAGAGTCAACAGCATGTATGACACCCTTCCAATATATCCTCAAATCCCTACTAACGATCGCAGACTGCCGTTGTCCTGTCCTCCATTGAAGAGACCCTACGAGATCAAAAAACGAAATTCACTGCTACCGCTTACTTTGCCGCCTTACTCGCTCTATTGAAACAGTCCGCATCAGACTCGCAGCAAGGCAACGACAGTGAAATAGTCACCTCGACCATTTATCTTCTTGACTTGGTCACCTCACATGTCTCATCGAGTCTTCTTCGCACACAGTTTAGCACCATTGTTACCCTATTGGCGCCATATTTGAGTTCTTCCAGCACGAATGCACCTCTCCTGCGCTCAGCGATAGGGTGCCTTGAGTCACTTCTAAAAGCGCAGGACAATGCCGCATGGAGTCTCCCACAGAGTCAAACAAGCCCTCGACAGGCAATCCCCGTCCTTCTAACACTGGCAATCGACCCTCGGCCGAAGATCAGAAAACGAGCACAAGAGGCATTGACCGAGATCCTACAAAACCCTCCTCCAGGCCCGGCGATCGATCATCCAGCCGCGGAGCTGTGTGCAGTTGCGGCCCAGAACAACCTACGGAATGCTGTCGATCTGGTTCAGCAAGCGAGGCGGCAAAAGGGTAGACCAGACGATAGTCATGAGCCTGCGGTGATCCATGCCCTCCAACTCACCAAGACCATTGCAACAGCCTCTGGCGGCTGGCCAAGCAAGAAGATTGAACCACTATGCGAACTATTACTGTCCATCTCACGGTCACGGAATGATTTCTTGGTCATGAGTGCATTTGAGGTCTTCGAGGTCATCTTTCAAGGCATGCAGGACGAGGTCTCCTCATCCAAGTTACCACGTCTCCTTGATGCCATCGTTGAATTGAAGCCTGTACAGAATGATTCGCAATTATTGCCGCCGTGGATCGCCATTGTGTCTCGAGGCTATGGCACGTCTGCACTGGTTGAGCCAGAAGACACTTTTGCAAAGCTACCCGAGCTGTTCGATCTCATGTCAGCATATCTCACCAGCTCTTCGCATAACATTCGAGTCTCGGCGTCCGAGTGTTTGATCTCGTTTTTTGCAAATTGTATCCCAGACAGCGTCATTTCAGATCCATCAGTATATGATGAGAAGCTACTAGAGCAGATATCCAGTCGAGCACTAGGACTGCTGTCGGTCAAATTCCAGACCGCATGGATGGAGGTGTTTCAATCTCTTGCCGCTCTATTCGATGCTCTGCGTTGGCGAGGCGATCCATACCTACTTCCCATTGTGAAAGCCATTGGCGAATTGAGGACGAACCCCGGGTTTCAAGGCAAGAAGCAAGCCGACGAGATCCTCGGTCGTGCTATTCGCAATCTCGGTCCCGGTTCAGTCTTGAGTGTCCTACCTCTCAACCTGGTCAAACCTGTGGCTGGTCAGACTGGCAGAGCCTGGCTTCTACCGCTCCTGAGAGATCATGTGTCCAACACCAATTTGAGTCATTTCAAGGCCGACCTCATCCCCCTCAGTGAGGCGATGTATCAACGGATTATTGATCACGGATCAGCCGAGAAGACCACAGACATCAAGGTGTTCGAAACCGTCGTTCAGCAGGTCTGGGCGACATTCCCAGGTTACTGTGACTTGCCCCTTGACTTGTCAACTGCCCTGGACCAATCTCTGGCAGAACTGGTCTCAAATCTTCTTTACAAGCAGACAGAACTGCGAGTGGAGCTCTGCAGAGGTCTACAGAATCTCGTTGAATCAAATCAGGCACTGATCGCCTCAGACCTGACTGACGATGTTCTTCTCGTTGAACGACGAATGCAGAGGTCCGATGCCGAGAAGAATCTCCAGCATCTGGCTTCATTCGCAAGCAATCTACTGGCCGTTCTGTTCAATGTCTACAGTCAAACTTTACCTCAGTCGCGATCATATATTCTACAGTGCATCAACAGCTATCTCAGCATCACGCCAGAAAAGGACCTTGTGGACACCTTCGAGCGTGTGTCAAGCATGCTTGCGAATGAATTGCCAATGTCAGATGCACCACCACAAAAGAAACAACCGATTCAGCCTGCTGGAAATAAACTCCCTCCTACATCTCACACTCTCCTGGATCTAGTCATCGCGCTTTCGGTACATCTACCCAGGTCGACCTTTGCCTCTCTTTTCTCAATCTCATCCAATATCCTCACCAATTCGGCGATCCTCAAATCGGATCCCCAGCTCATCAAGAAAGCATATAAACTCATTCCTAGGCTTGCAACCTCCAAAACTGGCGTTGAAGCCCTGAAAGCCCGCAATTCAGATTTGCAGCAATTAATGATCCGAACTTCCGAGACGACCCCCGTGCCTGCCAGGAGAGACCGCATTTTGGCTATCGAGACACTTGTAACATTTCTGCCCCTGGACGACCTACACTTCATTCCCAGTATTCTGAGCGAGGTGGTTATTGCATGCAAAGACAGTAACGAGAGAGCACGAACGGCAGGATTTGATCTGCTTATTACCTTGACGAACAAGATCTCGGACCCGACGAACCCGCCCGGAACAGTCATTCGCAATCGACTTGTACCGCACATGCCAGACGACTCACTCGATGCCCCGGCCAACTTGGAAGAAGTTTTCACCATGGTCAGTGCCGGATTGGCTGGTGTGGCTCCTCACATGGTTGCAGCAAGCGTGACAGCTCTGGGTCGACTGCTTTTCGAATACCACTCACAACTACCAGCCAAGACGACGGAAGAGCTTATTGACACAGTGACGATGTTCTTACAGTCCAATACCCGGGAAATCGTCCGCGCTGTTCTCGGATTCATCAAAGTCATGATTGTTGTACTGTCCAATGAAATGCTTGAGCCGAGGATGCCAGCCATAGTTCCCGGCTTGATGGTGTGGAGCAAGGAGAACAAAGGCCGACTGAGAGCCAAAGTCAAGGGCATTCTCGATCGATGTCTCCGCCGCTTCGACGCAAGTGAAGTCGAGAGCTGGGTTGGTGGTGATGATCGAAAGATGATCGTCAACATTCGCAAGCGAAGAGAACGAGCAAGACGCAAGAGGAAGGGCGATGGAGCAGACGAGGATGACGATGAAGACGAGAACGAACCAGCCGGCAAGAAGCGATACGACAACGAATTCGACGAGGCAGTCTATGGCTCCGAGGACGACGATTCCGAGATCGACGGCGGTAGCGACGGCGGCGACGACGAGGAAATGTCCGGCGTATCAGTATCAGGACGAGGCTCCGCCTCTAGTTCCCACGGCAAGAAACGCAGCAACAACAACACGCAATTCATCCGCCAAGACGATTCGGACGACGAGCCGCTCGACCTCCTCGACCCGAAGAGCATGGCGAGCATCTCGTCGCGCAAACTCGGGCGACTTCGCGACTCGGCTGCGCCACACAAGCGCACGAAAGCCAAAGTCAACGAGGACGGCAAGCTGGTGTTCGGCGGACCCGAAGCCTCCGACGGCGACGACGACGATATCTCCATGTCTGACCCTAACCACCAGCAGCAACAACAGGACAAATCCACCGGCTCGTCCATCAACGCCTACCTCGACGCCGTGTCGGGCGCGGACGCCGTGCGCCGCGGCCAGAAGGGCCGTCTGAAGGTCAAGTCCGGGATGCAGAAGAAAACGAAGCTGGAGGGGCGGGAGCGCGAGCGCGAGGAGATGGATCTCGACGTCGACGAGGCGCGCGAGATCGCGAGGAAGATCATGGCTGGCAGTGGCAGTGTTAGTCCTAGAGCCGGGGGTCAGGGTCAGAACCAGAATCAGCGGAGAGCTTTGGGCGCCGAGAAGGCGAAGAATGCGCCCGAGAGGCAGAAGTTCCGTGGTGGGAATGGGGTTGGGAAACGCGGGCGTGGTGGGAATGTGAGGTTTGCTGGTGGGAGAGGGGGTGGGCGCGGAGGCGGTGGTGGGAGAGGTGGAAGAGGCGGTGGCGGTGGGAGGAGGTGATGCTGGGTTGGTGATTGGGACTAGACTAGGTAAGGGACCGGGAAGCGCTTCCTATGTATTCATTTGTCTAGACGAACTGTCAGGCTGCACTGACTACTAGATTCAAAAAGAACTCATGATAATGATTATGACCACCAGCTTGATCTTGATTCCCCTGAATGCTGAATAGGGCTGACCCTATTTACGCACACTCAGTATGGACTTGTTCAAAAGCAGCTTATCAGGGGCCTAGTGGAAACTTTGATCGGTGGATGTTAACTAGCTAGGGATATCACGCTGTCCGTTGAGGCTGATACTTCGTTATATTTCTCACGGAACAATCCATCCTTACAGCACGGGCTATGTATAGCTGTATCTCTACATAAGAGGGAAGTTTGAGTCACCAAATCCTCATAAATAATGGTTGAATTACATCCGCAGGAGCGGCCTTCCGAGGCTATGGCTCTCAAACAAGCAGGAGCATTCATCCCTCACCTCAACAATAACTACATCCACACCCCAGAACTCCTAGTTCCCCGTATCCTCAGCTCACCACGAGAACGCATGAACCTCCAACTCAAAAGCGGTACCATTGGGCGCCGCGCGTCCCAGACCCGCCACCCGAGCCCGCACATCGTCACACATTGCCGGAGGCCCACAAACAACGACCCCGACCTTCGCATAGCCGGCGGCGGCCTCACGGTCCAGCAAGCCCGCGATATCCAGACGGTGGCCGACGACGATATCCTTCTCGAGGACGGCTCCGGCTCCGAATTCGGCGTCACGTAGCGCCACGGTTTGTAACTCGTGCACGAGTGCTTCGGCGCTGGATTTGACGCTCCATGCGAGCTTGACGTTGCGGTTGCCAGCGTGTGCACAGGCCAGGAGGCCTGTGATGCCGATGCCGCCGCCGATGAGGACGAGGCGGTCCGTTTGCAGGAGTGAAGCGCTGGCGTGCTGTGGGTAGGGTCCATCGAGGAGCGTGAGCAGGCTGCCGTGCCGTTGGAGGAGGCGCGTTAGCCCTTGGTTCTTCTTGATGATCAGGGTGATGCCGTCGGAGGCGGTGGGAGTGGAGAGGTGGCTGGCAGTGTCGTGTTCTTGGGAGCTTGATGATGGCGATGAGGTCGTCAATGCGACTTTGCCGGGCAGTTTCTCGATGTCTCGGTGGCCGTTGTCGTCCAATGATGAGGAGGAAGGGCCATCCTCAAGTGATGCCGAGGTGGATAGAATCTTGCCGCCCGTACGTCCTTCCTTGGAGTATTCACGGAACAGAGTTGTGGAGTTGACAGAGAATGGATGGTTCTCCCACGGCCGCAGAGGATTGAGCGTTGGGAAGTAAGCGTAAGCAACTGTGCCTGGTACTCTAGGCCATCGTACGCCGGGGATGTCGACGCGGACGTGATCCGAGCCAATCTCTGTGACCACAGCGCGGCGCACACCGTTCTTCATCACACGCAGCACGCGAACCAAGCGGTCGAAGAACCATACTGCACATGCGGCGAAGAGCCAGTCGTCGTAGAAATTGTTTCCCCATTTCAGGATCACATGGTACCAACAGCCTGCGATAACGAAGACAGCTAGGATGATGTGCAGGAGCAGGAAGAATTCGTATGACAGCCGTCGGAAGTATAGGTGACTCAACACGAGCATGGCGCAAACGAGAACTGTCGCTACGATGCCCCAAGACCAATAAGGCATCTTCGACTGGACTGAGTAGCTCCCCGTCCCGTGGTAGCATAGTAGGAGGGTGATGCTATGGACAATACAGTGCAGAGCGAAGACACGTGCGATCCAACGATGTAGTAGGAGATATGTTGAGTATGACCAATTGGTGATCCACAGGAGGAAGTTGTTGCGACCTGAAAATAGAATGACGAGAGGAAGTAAAGCGTAACCAATGTGACCGGTGCGGTAACCTATGTATGCTAGGAGCTCTTCTCTCGGAGGGAAGTACCATGGATGGGGCTGTGAATGGCGGTAGTTGACCGAGCTGAGGACCAGATTGAGAATGAAGAACAAGGCGATATATAGTGCCTGTCCAACAGTAGGTGCATTCCCCAGAAGCCATGGCAAAGGCCGAACATGGTATGTCCCGATGATCGAGGGATAGACAAGATACGGTCGGACTCTGTCGAGGATGCCATTCATGAATGGCAGATAAGTTATGAAGGTGAACAATATCGGAATCCCCAGAGCCACCGACAACAGAACAAAGCTAGATAACGGAGGTCAGTCCTGGTACAGAATACTTTGATCGTGACTGTCATTTCCTTACATGTATCTCGATTGTAGTCCCTCGATGTGATCGAACAGGACCATAAATTTGCTTTGCATCTCATAGCTCGCCTCACTGACCAGCACCGTCTGCTCCAAGACATCTGGCGAGCTGGCATTATACACGACAGTGGGGGGCTCCTTGACCTCGGCGAGGGCTGTAGTATAGTCCCATTTAGGAAGCACCGACTCGTCACCGGTGACTCTGGTGGACCAGAATTTCTCTCTTCGCCATGTGGGTTCGCGCTCAGGGTCACAGTGAGTACTCATACAATATGCCAAGGTCGTCAGGTACGCTGTGTCGCTGGCATAGCAATCTGGAGACGTCGCCATTGACATGTGGTCATGCCCTCCTGAATGATCCATAGAGGTACACTCAAGTGTCGCGCCAGAAATGATGGCATTGCATGCGAATCCGCACACCAGATCATACCAGCTGAAGCCATATCCGGGGAGTTTGTATGACTCAAGATGCGCAGCTTGCGACCGATGCACGATAAGAGAAAAGATGATTGCCCTAGATAGCTTCATCTTGTCCTGATTTCGGCCTCACCGATAGAGCGATATTCTTGTCGCGTTCCCCAGTGATGTCCCGTGGTATAAGAGTGAACAAGGACAACACGGACACTTTTTTGGCCTGAACACGACCCAAGGCCAATTCTTAGGCATGCTTTCCATTATATCTTCGGTCAGCGTGATCTCTAGCTGATACGGTCTAGACCTAGTGTCGAGTTTTTTTTTCTGTGTAGTTGTGCTCGTGAGCATCGTGGGAAACTTGCTCATGTTCCCATGTGGCCTCGCTTCACATCCTTGGCGGAGTGACATTAATGCTAATGAGGAAGATGGCATTAGGAACAAACGCATATAAGTGGTTTAGAAACTTGCTCAAGCCAAGATGGTGGAACGGGTTTTCTCTGAGTCGAGGCTCCGACATGCATAACCGAAGTCCAGTAGCACATGGACTGGTGGGGTAAAGAGCCGCCAGTAAGTTAGTTAGGTTGAATCTTGATGAGTTGATCATTTTGGATCAATATTCTGAGTGGTTCTTGACCTTTATCCGTCGTTTATGATTATCTTCCGCAATGTATAGCGATTCTGACAAGTCTACTGAATCAGTCTAGGTGCGGTTTCGTATGGTTTGAACATGTCCCAAGCCGCCTCCATTCTCCTTGAGAGGGTTTCCTGTATCCAGATGGCACGCACCGCTATCTTTGCTGCTGGCAGCAGGTACAAGCCACCTCGTCTAACGCAGGTTGCCGTGAAGCTAACAGTAATAGATTTTCTCCCATTCGATATCGCATATGTGTAAACCCCATGCCGAGTGATACGTTGCTCAAGCTGAGCAAAGGACCCACTCATCAGTGATCAATCGATGTGCCTCTTGCTGAGAATCGATGTAGTGACTCGGATATTGTCCGTCTGGTCATCTTGATTGATCTTGAACTGCATGTAGACATTTAGTGCACCTAAACATCGAGCATGAGCGGAGTGGAGGCCAATAGCACTACTCCCGTTCGGATATTCAGCCTAGGAAGTTCGGATAGCAATCAGGTGCTCGCTTCGTCGTAATTGAGATCTCCCCCCTTGAGGGCATCTCAGAATGACCACGGGCAGCGTAGGGGTTTTCTGTGGCGTCCGGAGGCGTGGTGCTCGCGGATAACCCTTTGTGGTGCCATACCACGTGTGGGAGAAAGCACTTCTGCAACTCTGGAGTACCCCGTTTCAATCATCATTCGTTTCAGTTTTTCCTCTCAAGCACCCTCGAAGGCAAATCCACTGGCCCTCATATTATGTCTAAGATTCCCCAATGTCAATGTCAGTCCTAAAGACCAATCCAAAACTCACAGCCTTGCGAGCTCGAGACCATTCCATCTGCAAGCGTTGATCTAACAACATGTGCGGTCAAGTAATCGATACTCGCTCCATTCGAGATGCTCATGTCGTTGTGTGGACGTAACGAGATGGAACCAATAAACCTCCACATCACCATCGAAATCAGCTTCACCAAAAAGCTCGAATTATGCTGGCGGGTCGCTTGTCCAATGGTGATTGTCCCCTGAGTTTGATGGTCGCTCGCCAAACAACATCTTCCTGCCTTTACCAAGAGTGTCATCATAACTGGCCAATTTTGTGACGCGCCGTTTCTTTCGAGGCGTTCAACTTCAGAAACTGTGCCACCGTGCCGGGATACATGCGTTTAAATCGCCAAAAGAAGACGGAAATCAAGCAATAAAGCCAGACCGTATACAACAATTGCGACCAAGTGACCTTGGCAACCGGTTCTCGATCGTCGTCCCATCCGTCACATATCTCTTTGAAAGTCTTTGGATCATCTGTGATTACACCATCGACATCTTTTTGTATGCTCCACTTCATCAAATTGACGTCGTTGACGGTCCAGACAAACAAAGGGCGGTTTGCTTTCTTCACATCTTTGATGAAGCGGGCTCCGATGGGACCGAGCAGGGCCTTTTGTAAGATGTTGAAGGACACGTTCGGAACCTTCAGAAATTGCCTGGCATAGCATGTCGTGAATCCTATGTGTGAGACGGGATATCCTGGTAGGTAGTCGGTGCATAATGACAGAAACTTGGGGGTCCAAATGCCCAGCACAACCCGCTGGTTCCATGGTCGTTGTCCCGGGTCCACAGAAGCGAGCGTCTTCGCAATTAACCTCATTACGTCGTCGTGATTATTGTCGACTTTTATATCCAGTAAGATCCAAATGTGTTCCAGGCCAGGTTGAGCAATATATTCAAGCAAATCTTGGAGCCGTGGCATAGGCTCATGAGGCGCTTTCAGAGTCTTCAATGTTTTCAGATACTTCCAGTCACAGTCGATGATCTTTTCTGTTTTGCCAAAGCAGCGCTTGAGATCCGGGTCCTGTTCCATGGCAGTCAGGAATCTCGAATGATGAAACACGATGCGAAGATAGTTTGCTCGAGACATACATGAGATAACAGAACGACGCCATCTTTGGACAAATGGATATCGGTCTCGATGGCGTGAGATCCAACCTCGACAGCACCTTCAAATGCCTTCATTGTGTTCTCTGGATGCTCGGCCTTGTAGCCGCGGTGTGCTATGGTTTGGGGTAATACCCGACCTTTACTGTTGGGCTTTGCCCGAGTCCAGCTTGCTGAACGATCATCAGTGTTTGCGCAAACTTAGACCAGTGAAGGGTTTTTGCGCACGCATAGGAAACCAATCCACCGAAGCAGACTGCTTTATCGATTCCTGGACAGGCTTTTGACTCTGCCATGGGCGCTTCTCGCCGCCCAATAACGGCTGTCGCGCATCGGTATAGGAAGATTGTCCATGCATTGTATTGTTCTTGGTCTTGAGACGCAGCAAAGTTGAAGGAAAGGCGAGGGCGGATCGCTGAACGGACGCTTTATTATTTACTCTGGTCAATCGTGAGACCAGTCAAAATGGAAATGCCAGCGAGGACGACATGGACGGTGCAACCAAATAGTAATCAGTATGAAGTCGGACGAATATGCAAAGTACCGCTAGAGTATTACGGAGATAAATGTTTCACCAAGTAGGGGTAGTACATGGATTAAACGAGAGAAACATCTGGGAAGCGCCAGCTTCTTCTACTTCTAGAATGAAGGGATACGATAGTCCATGTTGAAAGAAAAATGAGCGAAGCTGACGAGCCCCCGGCGTAACCGAAGCGAAGAACACCCCGTTCCGTCACAGTAGTCGTGGAAGACGGACGGCACAGTGACAGTCGTAGGAAGTACTCGAGTTGATGGGTTGTTCAGAGACTTGGGTGTGTGCCTCACGGCCACGGTGCCGGAGGTAAGAGTGTGGCAGGGGAGGGTGCGTGTGCATCGAGCCTAGTTAAGCGAGGCCTGGAAATGGGCATGGGGATTGGATGCTTAGGGGTAGAGAAGCATGGCTCCCGGTGTGTCGAGGGAGGCTTGATCGTGATGCAACGACTCCATCGAACCCTGAATCGAGTCAGGTGTACCGTGTTTGTGACCTGCGGCCTTTCTTGGGTACTAGCTCACCGCCACGTTACCCTGAATTGGAAACCCATTGAACATTGTTAGGCGCCACCTTGAACCCCCTCCACCCACCTGCAGCCTACAGACCGCCCAGTGGACACTTAATCCGGAACGCCGAATATCCGTTCTTGTCGCGCCTTCGTTTCGGTGCCAACATGCCTGAACGGCTCGTGTGGCGTTTTCACTCTTGACCACGTGCGAATCTCACAAGAGGGGAGTTTCTTCATCGTTGGTGAAACGCAAGATCGTGATTCTGTTGCAGAGCCACTTCCTGCTCGAGTCACTGGTCAAACAAGGGAGAATTAGTGTCTTTGGATTGTGACTATGGAATCAGCTACCTCGTGCCCTCAACACGAATGGACAAGAGTAAATCGGTCAAATCGCTTGGACAGTGCGGTACCGAGTCTTCCGTAAGTCAGTTATCGACGATCCGTAGTTGCAAAATGCAAAAGTACGGCCACCACGCATTTTATGTTGGTCATTGTAAGACGCCATGATCTAGGTCCATCCAGACCATGCAAGAGCCACGATAATGAATATCCACTCGATCTGCACGCAGTCCAAACATCAAACACCGGAGCAGGAACACGTTCCCCGTCTGGTTACACACTTTTTGTTTACTCTGCGTGAACCATGTCCAGACTGCTAGACAATCTCAACTACATGACCACGCAGCCATGTCCAATACACGAGCTACGGTGACATCAAAATCTGGTGTGGAAAGAGTCATTATCTGAATTGTTGACGCTTCGTCATGGTCGACAGTCAGAGGGTCATAATCGTTTTACGAAGTGGTATAGGTACTTTTTCTCCCTGATCCATCCCTGTGCAAATGCTATCAAGGCAAATTTGACATCAGACCAAACCCATTTAAGCAACCCTCGAGAAGTGCTGGGCAACGCCGACTATCCTCCATCGATATGTTTCTTTTGTAGATTTTTTTTCTGGTTTCACAACTTTGAAGATATTTGGGGGCCCGAGCGTGGCTATTGGTGGCCTAGGTCGACGACGCAACGGATGCAGTCACCTGCGTGCATGTCGTGGAAAGCTTCGTTGATCTTGTCGAGGGGTTGTCTGTGGGTGATGAATTCGTCGACTAGAGAACTCAGTTAGGCTTCGAAGTCATATAAGAGAAGACACAAACCTTTGAGGTCTCCATTCAGATAATCCTCCACAAGGCCTGGTAGCTGGGTACGGCCCTTGACACCACCAAATGCGCAACCTCTCCATACACGGCCGGTAACAAGTTGGAACGGTCGGGTCGAGATTTCAGCACCAGCGGGGGCTAAGGAGGGAGTTAGTTCATGGATAGCTCTGATCAAAAGCACTGGAAGACTCACCAACGCCAATGACGATTGACTGACCCCAACCTTTATGGCATGCCTGTCGGAACAATTAGCAAGACTGTTCACCAAGTATGTCATATGATTGCTCACCTCGAGTGCAGCACGCATCACACCGACATTGCCAGTGCAGTCAAAAGTATAATCAAGACCTCCGTCAGTAATCTCGACTAGATGTTCTTGAATCGTCTTGCCTCCCAATTTGGTAGGGTTCACGAATTCAGTGGCACCAAACTTCTTGGACCACTCCTCCTTCTTGTCATTGACATCAACGACGATGATTCGACCGGCTTTGTTCTTGACTGCTCCTTGAATGACTGATAGGCCAACACATCCCGCACCAAAGATGGCGACATTGGAACCCTCCTCAACATTGGCAGTGATGGTGGCTGCACCATATCCGGTGGTAATACCGCAACCCAGTAAGCAAGCCCTATCAAAAGGTGCCTTATCTGTGATAGCCACAACCGAAATATCGGCAACCACGGTATATTGGATGAATGTTGAAGTGCCCATGAAGTGCAGAAGATCCTTTCCTTTGCACTTGAATCTGCCGGTGCCATCGGGGAGGACGCCTCTACCTTGGGTGGCTCGAATCTTGCCACACAAGTTGGTCTTGCCAGACTTGCAGAACTTACATTCCTTGCACTCGGGGGTACTTGCGCCTGTTAGTGAGAGCCCTTGCTGCTAGGATATGGACCTACTAAAGAGCCACAACATGGTCACCGGGCTTGACGTTGGTCACGCCCTCTCCGACGGATTCAACGATGCCAGCACCTTCGTGACCAAGGACAACAGGGAAAGCACCCTCAGGATCTTTTCCGGAGAGCGTGTAGGCATCTTTTCAATATTCAGCAGCCAGCTCTTTCTCGAGGGCACTGCATAACATACCAGTGTGGCACACACCAGTGTGCATGATCTGGATGCGGACTTCATGTGCCTTGGGAGGGGCAACTTCGATGTCTTCGATGGACAGGTCCTTGCCAGCTTCCCAGGCAACGGCACCCTAGAATCGACGTGAGATTGGTGAAGGACCGAGGAAAGGAGAAGGCTTTGTTTACCTTGCATGTAATGGTCTAAAAATGTTAGCTGCACTTGCTCGCTGAATCTCTGGGAGAACAGATAACTTACCTTTCCGACTGTGCTTGCAGACATGATGAACGAGATTTGCTACACTGGATTTTGAGATTTCACTGTGTCAAGACAACAAAGAGAAAGACAAGGAAGATTGAAAGGGAGAGCCAAAGTAATAGAAGCGGGAATAGTTTGTGACGAATATGCCGATAGTTAGAGGTGGGGTTGAGGACTTTGATTTTCCCTGGCCTGAGCCATTGGCAGCCGCAACGATCAGTGGTGGGGTGAAGGAGGAGTATGGACTGTGTCCGGATACTCAAGTAAGAATGACGACCCAGGTGAGGAGATGCTCGAGTGTCTTGCCGGGATCAGCTCGAATGAAATCCATCCTTTTCGAGTGGAGTTTCCCTCAGTCCAGTCTTGCATGTTGCTTTTCATTATCAGAGGCACCGAACCTACGAGTATCACTCCCGGACCTGGTATACTCGTACCTACGCCAAGTGTTTTGGGGGACCAGGGCCGACGGAAAAAAGTTCCCAAAAAGGACAAACAATAGCGAACTCGAACTTTCTCATTCCAGTCGGGTGCAACTTGCAAGTGCGAGCGCAATCTGTCGTCCAAACGGGAAATTCCATGGAACACTTTTCCTCAGCTTTCGAACTTTGTATGGAATACTCAGGTGTGGTGTCTGGCTGGATCTGCCTTCATTTTCTTTCTGATGAATTGAGAATAAAACCAAACCGCCTGCAGATTTAATGCATGCGGTCGATTATGTATATATGGAAACACGCCATGCAGTCCGAGCCTTCCTCGCATAGGCTAAGATCCACGAGTTCCCTACTCTTCTCCCAGAACCTTCCCTTAATGTACAGTGCATGATGAGAAAACAATAGCAATAGGTATCGTGTGAGCTGGACATTTGCGTCTGCCCGTGTTTTTCTCGTGTCTGCAGAAAGCCATCATCTGCCAGGTAACTGACCTGATTGCATCATGGCTGCGTTTTGTTCCTGGAATCGTTGGCCCAGTCGCTCAGAGCCCTTGAGGTACTTGTCGACGCATCGCAAGACACAATTTTCTTCTCTTGAAATCAAGGACTTTGTTGTGAAATCGTTGACACAGTCGTCGAAACACCGCTGGACAAGTTTGGAGTACATCTGTCGACAGAACGTATCGAGTTAGCTACATCGCCCCTAGTCCCGTATTTTGCTTCTGGGAGACGAGAGAACATACGGTCATGAATTCTTTCATCTGCTTCTTCTCCATCCGAGAGTTCAACTCTCTCTGCTCTGAGGCGCTGAGACTGTAGATGTAAATTAGCAGGATATCAAATGGGCAATGATGCTCAATCGTACCCGTCCATGATATCGGAGATTTGGAGATGTGCTTAGAGACGTCAAGTATGAATGAGGAGAGGATCAGTGATGCACTCGTCGGGAATAGAAATGGCTGCTCGATCTGGAATGAAGGCCGGACAGAGATGGTGTCTTTGTTGTTGCTTCGATGGTTGAGAGCCTGCGGACAACCCAAACTGACAGAAATCTGCATCACTAAGATTCCACTAATGCTACTAGCACAACTAGTACTCGTCAAACTTTCCCTACTGAGCTAGCTCACAAATATTTGATTATTCTTTTGAGTGCACTGTATTCCTAGGTACTTAACAAAACTTCCTAGATTGTTCATCCTAACAGTCTCCTGGTACTCCTATGGAGGTATTCCTGATTCGTCATGGAGAAACCGAGCACAATGTGGCTGGACTGCTAGCAGGAGTCACGGACTCTAGATTGACTAACCATGGCGTTCTTCAGGCTCAAAGGTTAGGCTCATACCTCATAACTCAACGCAGTCGGCGTTTTTCACACATATTCACCTCCGACCTCCAGCGAGCTTTCTTGACTGGAGAAGAGATCAGAAAAGCTCAAGCCCAAGCCCATGCCAAGCCCGACGAACGGTCATATGGTACCATGTCCCCTGCTCTTATAAGCACGCCGGCACTTCGAGAGAAAGATTTTGGTAGCCTCGAGCTTGTCCAGTGGTCGTCCAAACAAGCCCAAAGTGCGTTTGCATCCAAGTCTACAAGTCAGGAGAATCCAGACTACCGTCCTGAGGAGGAACACACAGTTATGGAGAGCCGAGCTGAGACCTTCCTGGCCCACTACCTTCTTCCCTTACTGAAAACCGAACCAGAGCAGGACATCATTAGGGCACCGGAATCTATTGCAATCGTCTCCCATGGTATATTTCTCTCTGTCTTGTGGCGTTCATTATTGAGTAAATTTTACCCTGAAACGGTGAGGCTAGGCCACGAGGTCGAACATACAGCGTATGACAAGCCACTTGCTCGTCTGCCTTCCTGGAGCAACACAGGCTTTTTACAGTTGACGATTAGCTACCCTGCCGAGCACGATGAAAGAACAATGGGCCCCATTGATACTTCGGGGCCCTCGCCACTATTCCCGGATCGGGGACTTACAATCAGTGCCATTAACAGCAAAGAGCACCTGAACAATCTGAAGCGTACCCGTGGAGGAGTTGGATCAGCGCCATTTGACACTCGTCAGAAGAACTTGGAAGCGTTTTTCAAGCGTGGCAGACATGAAAATGATCTGGCTTGAATCTGCTCTCCCCAGAACAGCCCCAATTGAGATTCATAACTCGCCAGTCGGCTTGGTCACGAAGCCTTCATACTAATCCCTAACCCGTGCAGCGATCGCAAATAACTTCATACGCCACCATCCCAGGTAAGATAACCTTCTTTGACACATTCCCGTCGCCTTATATGATGAATCACAATTCACACAGACCTGTTCTGAACCTTTTGTGAGGAAGCAAAAATTGTACCAACTGCTGTCTGAAACATCTCATCTCTACTCTTCACTTCACAGACCTCAGTGGCTCAGTTACTGACTTGACTGTCCAGTGTCCTATTTATAATCAACCATCATACCACCGACTGGGTAGGTATCTCGTACCCGACATCTTTGCACCACTCCACCAATTCAACTAGTAGTTCAAGTCATGCACAACACCGATCACAGTCACATCTGTGTTCTCTGTTCGGGAAGAAGTCTGGACGTGGTTGCCGCTCCGGCAACTGATTCGAGTCAGTCCGAAGGAGGGCGTAAGCAAACTTCTGTGGATGTTGTGGGTGTGGTCGGGTAAGGCAGCAGCCCAAGTCAGCAGACCGTCCTACTCGTCTAATTGGCTACAAGAAACGCGTGGAAAGTACAGGGGTAACACCCACCTTTTGTAACATAACTCCTGAACCCAAATCGTTCTCTTCATCTTCCCATCCTCTACATTGCTTGCTTCCAATATTTCAATCATCTAGACGCTGTAATTCATCACACAAATCCTACATCCTTTTCCCATTAATTGTCATTCTTGCCAAGGCAGTCTTGCTGCATTGTTCCATCACTACTGACACTAGTGGCCCCGAGGAGCACCCTTCAGAAGGCGCGTGTCCGCAAGGCAACCGTCTGCAGCAAGCTCAGGTCGGAACCAACTAATCACCTCATCACATCCGAGATGTAATACAGCAGCTCAGGTTCTTTCATATCAACTCCTTGATTTCTCATTCTGGCTACAACTATCTCATCATTCATAGAAGAAACGCCCAATGGTCGGAAACGTCAAAAACTTCGCATTCAAAGTGTGAAGCATTCGCTAAATTACACACATGATTGAAAGAATCCATCCGCTTCAACAAAAATGTCCGTAAACAGTCGTTCAGTTTTGCAACGTCACTCATTAGAAAGAATGCCCCAAACATGGTACGGTACAACCTGATGGCACAGAAACCGGGCACCCGTAAATTCAGTACTCGTCCAAAACCGATCCGTATCCCGTCGTTTTTGAAGCCTCAAGGTCATCATGACACTCGTCCAGTGTATGCACGAGGTCGAAAACTCCAAATACGCCATCGCATATGATCGAATAACGAAGTGCAAATCCAAGTACACGAGGTAGGTCGCGGCACAGAAGACATTTTGTTTGGGTTGCACGTTGGGACGAAGGTCCTTCAATCTGCACCGAGTATGTCAAGTGGCTTCATCCTCTGTGATCCTCAAATATAACTCCTTGCTCGTACCATCGTCCGCGTGGCGTCCAATCGACGACGCTCAGATCTTGGTCCGGCATGGACGGTATATGATTCATTTTGATAGCCGACCGAAGCAAAATGAGCTAGGACGGCAGGAGGGGTGGGTGCTGATGGAGCGCGAGGGACTTCCGATATATTTCTGATATCTCTCCGAAAATTGGATGCTCTTGGGAGCAGTATGGGAATAGGCATCATCTGTGTTCTCGAGAATTGATCCTCATTGATGATCCTTTTACTGAACATCCACCTCATCAGGCCGAAATCCGTCCTTACGGTGGCGAGATGTTGGCCTTGCCGGAAATGTTCATGTACCATGTGAGATAACATGGTGTTCCATGCAAGAGCACGGTCATCGTCTGGGTGCTGGACAAATTTGCTGTCGCACAGAAAACAGGCCGCAACAGCCGGCAACTCATGTCCTCTGAAGTGAGAGAAAACATGCATTTTGAAGGGAACAATCTCTGCGAAAACCCGATCACAGTCCAGTATCTGGAAAGGGCAGAGCAGGTCGGCATCCTCTTGGTATCGGAACGGGACTGTCAAAATTCCATCTTGTGACTCGAGAGTATAGCCATCTCCGAGTATGCTACTAGCCAAACCGGTATCGAGTGAAGATGCTGTTGAGGAGGCGGTTGAGGTACCACGAGTCAGTGGTGGCACTACATCCGTGATGGAGGGAGCCATGTCGTCGTCATCGTCATCTGAGACTATGTGCAAGGCAAGTGGATCCCTAATGCTGGAATTACTGAACATGATGGCAATATCGTTCATATCTTCGCTTTGGAACCACGAAATTCTCCGGATCAAACAGTGGTCCAAGTTGGCGACTCTTCCCTCAAAATACACCGAGCAACTCCACGGCCGAGGGGGCAAATGCTTCGTCAATCTCAACTACCAAACCCTACTTGCATTGTCAGATGCCGCGTCTCGACGACTCATACATGACGGAGAGTATCAACAAAGCCTTACCGCTTATAAAAGTCCAGAGTGGAAGTCGAGGTTGATCATGGCGCTATCGATAAGCCCCGGAATGGGCGAAGTGCGGGGTCAACGATGGTTCTGGTAGAGTTGACAGCCCTCTTCCAATTAACGGATACAAAAACACAATAACCAGGGAATTCAAGGCCGTTTGTTTTGGATTGCGGCTGTTGTTGGCAAAAATATCTTTTCTCACAAGTGGAACGCTCCAAGGTATGAAAGCAAATTCGACAAATGCAGATCTGGAGGTCCAGAGCCTAGCGGGCACATGAGATTGTGACTTGCATTCAGCGCTTCTCCGCCATGGCCCGAGGACCTGTCAGATGTTGCCAGCACATCAGCATGGTTTGCCGACGTCCGTGGTTGATTGGTTCCAAGTTGCATCGCAGACGAAAACCATCGAAATTTGAGTATGACATCTTCGTTCCTTGTGGCAAGCTAAGCCTGACCATGAACGCCTACGCGATGCAGAAGCGTGAGTCTGGTTGCAATGAAAAACGTGCAAATACTTACCCTACGCCTGGAAACAAGAAACTCGTTCTTTGCTCTTTTTCTCAATTTCCGAGCAAGGTGTCGGACTATCATCCGGCGACCGGTCCCCGAAAGCAGGATATCAGGTGACAATTTACTGATTGGTGGCCCTGCAAACAATTCTTCAGAGCCACTGGTGGGAAAATTTTTCGTCCAACGTTATGTGCATACAATCTACAGCTAAGCGAGCGCCTATCAATCATTTTTTGGGCATCTCTACCTTAGGTCCGCAGTATTGTGGAACGACTAAGGTGGGATCTGAACATATTAAATCCAAGCGCAACAGCGCGTGGCAAACTTGGGTATGTAAACTGCAACGAAACATGGAAAGTGATATTTAATCCCACTTCAAAAACACCGAAGGTGACCTAGTGGATTTAATTCTCCGGTAAGAAGGGCTTCGTGCTCGGGTCTGCCTTCAGTATGATCTGGCGAATATCTTTCCACATTTTCACCCCCATTGTTTTGCCCTCAGCCGTGGCATACAACCCAGCTGGCTGATTGATCTTGTCGTCCCTCCACATTTGCCCATGCACCTCTTCGCCTTGGATGAGTGCGCTGACTAATATGTTGGCACCTTGTTCCGTCTCACGAGCGAGGAGGGAGAACATGATCCATTTGACAATTCGAAACAGGAAACTATCGAATTGACGTCCAAGGTCACTTTTGGTCATTCCGGGACAAGTCGAATCAATAATTACCCTTGGATGACCGTCGGCGTCTCTCAGCGCGGGTGACGCTGCCAGCTGACGAATGGCATACTCCAATACCATTTTCGATCGTGAATATTTGGTTTGTGCACTCATTTGTCCCGGGGGCAGATTCTTCTGCGCGTTGACCCATTCTAGTGGGTTGTCGTCCTTGGCCCATGCTTTCTCCTTGTTTGCGTCCACCATGAACGCCAGTGCAGATGAGACGAATGTTAGATGAGGCTTATATCCGCCCTTGCTGCTATCTGCCCCCGCGAGGAGAAGAGGAACAAGAAGGACGCCAAGGAGGAAAGTACTCATGGTGTTGACCTGAAGAGTACTCTCCCAACCATCCTCACTTTGATTCCATTCGGTATAGATTGCCCCAGCATTGAGGATCGCACCGTCCAGTCGTGGGAAGTCCTTCTGCAGTTCCTGAACGAATGTCTTTACCGCCGCGAAAGAATCCATTTCAAGGGTACGCGTCACAATCTGTGCGCTCAGATCTTTCGCTTGGATCGAGCTCTGCGCCCGAACAAAGGTCTCGATCTCTTTCCTGGCGGCTTGAGCTTTCTGCTCATTCCTTGCAGTGATGATCACTTTGTCCGCGTGCAATACTGCCAATTTCTTGGCAGCTTCGAGCCCGATACCTGACGTTGCGCCTGTCACGAGGATTGTTCTGCCTTCAAAAGACTGGGTCACGGGTTTTGGTGGGTTGGCTTTCTCATGCCTCAGTTTGAAGAACGACATTTTGATTTGGATGTATGATACAGAGGAGCCTCGCACGATTGAGTCGATTGCGCTAGGAGTGGTGGGTTTCGATTTTGGCTTTGAGATTCAGTTTTGGAGTGGGCAAGTGTGTAGTAGATGAAGAGGTCGTGAGGTGCGGTCCACGAACTCCCCTATATATCGTAACTTGGAGGCTCCGGCCCTCTAGTCGTTCTCGCAATCTCAAATGACTAATTTACCAAATCCGGGTCAACTATCTACGTCTCCAATGCGAGGGAGGCCCTCCATCACGAAAACGGCATGCAAGATTTGATGTTGCCTGGCTTCTGTATTGCGTAGTCGCGAATGCGAAGCGACAGGGAGACCAAGCGGGCATTTAATCGTGAGCAATGATTGAACACTCGTTCGCAATTGGGCAGAGCACTGTTCGGAAGACCAGAATTCAAGGCTAGCGTGCGGGCGACCGACAATCCGGGGGCACTGTGTACGGATATTAACTATTCCCGTAACCGACTCCTAAGTAAACGAGCACCCCAGGCGGTGATTATCACCGCTACTTAGGGCCAAAGAAGCACCCCTGGGGTTGCTTCTGGCACCTGCGGCCGCCCAAGCAGGATCCGTCTTGCTGCTTTTAGTTATTACTTCTTCGAGAGTAGTTAGCCGCGCGTTTGGCGGCTGTGGCTTCTTTCCTTTCCCCACGGAAACAATAGTCCACCACCAACTTGCAATTGCACGGTTCATGAATACCAACCGAAGACAAACCATGAGCATGTCATTAGATCGGTCTGGCTGCGATGGTTGAAGTTCACCCGCATACAAACTGTCATCGCTCCGGATAGATAACCCTTTCAATCACTCATTTCTTTGGTGTCCCATAGCCAGCGACACAAGCCCACAGTCCTCGAACCAAAACGTCAGCCCAAGAAAAACACATCATGGAGAACCTGTCAATCGCTGATCCTCCAGGACCTCCTTCGCCTCAAAGACTGGGTCAAGGACAGCAGTCTGGTCAGAATGCTGTGTTTGGTGGTCCTACTCCGCAGGGAGCTCCCCAGTTACCACCGCAGATGTTCACCACTGCAGCGCAGTTGTTAGATCTCACAGACAGTACGTACGCCTAGACACCTGTAGCAAGAGGGCGATTTTACGATCACACTTCGCCTGACTCGAAGAAATCGAAAATTTCCCCACTAGCTCTGTATCCAAACTGACCAAATCTTTTTACAAAAAACAGAGAAACTCCTCCTTGTGCTACGCGATGGGCGCAAAATCTTCGGCGTCCTGCGCTCTTGGGATCAATTCGCCAACCTTGTGCTGACCGATACACGCGAGCGATACTTCGTCTCAGTCCCCTCCGAACTCACACCCCAAACGACGAGAAACCTCTACTGCGACATCCCGCGCGGTACATACCTCGTGCGGGGCGAGAACGTCCTTCTTCTAGGCGAAGTTGATCTCGACCGCGATGACGAGCCGCCGCAAGGATACGTCGAAGGCGATGTCGAGGAGGTGTTCCGGTTGCAGAAATTGATTGATGCGCAGAGGAAGAAGAGCGATAGAATCAAAGGCAAGAAATTGGCGCAGTTGCTTGGTGGTGAAATCGAGGCTAGTGGTGAGGTTTTGTTCTGAGGCTGCTTGCTGCTGCGGCTGCTGCTTTCTGCTGTAGCAGAGCGAAAGGGTCCATGTGGGACGCTGTGGTGGATGGTTACTAAATGGCCATACATTATCAGGGGAAGGGGAAAAGCAAAAAGTCATTGCATTTTTGCAAAAGTGACGCTTGACGAGCTACGAATGGAAGTTCCAACGAAATCTCATATGGCGACCAAGTTGATGATTGCATAGCTATGGGGATGTGCAGGATCGGTAGTTTTGGAGAAAAAGCGCCAAAACTGGGTGGCGGACGAGTAAGTGGTCCTGGAGCAGAATATTGTGAAATGCTCCTCGGATCACAGATTACACGAATCGGGAAGACGAATTGCTGGACTTCGCTGGTAGCAGTATTGTTACTTTTACTCCTATGGGAACACGAAGGAAGGGTGTATCCCGCAGTAACTAGAAGTTGAGGGGTGCAAGTGCCTCGAATATAAAATATCAGACCACCATATTATGGCCGGCTTTTTTTAATTATTATTTTGGAGCTCATCGCTGAAGGCTGAGTTCTTCCACCGTCTATCTGATCGTCTATTTGGCGCCCTTTTTGCGAGGGGCGCTGCTTCAATTTTTGTGATTCTGTCATGTGTAGAGCATGCCGCTGAAGGATATCATGCTTCTTTCTCTATCCTCCCATTATCATAAGAACGTTTTCCGCAGGATCTAATAAATATTAAAGTGAAGGAAAAACTTTTGGTCCCCATCTCCAGCTTTATGTCTGGAGAACATATCATGAAACTTTTCAGAAGACTGTTCGAGTCAGATGCTCAGCTCAGCTAGATTCGAGTCGACTGAGCCAGTTGACGAGCATCATGGCTTGGGTGATGGCAACCTTCTCTCCGAAGCGCATGCCGTCCCAGCTGTCGGCCTGGACGGTCATGTTCCACAGCTTCAGGACGTCGATGTCTCTGGCCTGAGCGGCCAGTTCCATGTGTTTGTCGAAATCCCAGATCTCTTGGTTGCCCTTCCGATGCTTGATTTCGAGATGGCCCGCGGCGGACGGTCCGATCCAGAGCATTGGGGTCTTGCGTCGTGAGCTCTCGGCCGCTTTGAGTAGGTCGAGGAGTGTGCTGGCCGCGGACTCCTGCGAGGTCGTGCTGGGTGATATCGAGTAGATGATCGGAACTGGCTTGTAGTTGGATTTGGGACCAGAGGGATCTTGTCTCTGAACGCTTTCAGGGTCTCTGATGAAGCCGGGGCTGATTCGAGAGACAGAAAACTGTGCGGTGTGCGGTTGCAGGCATAGTGGCTCTTTGTGTTGCTGTCGCCGCCCGTACTTCTGGAGATTTCGTCGCTGGAGGTCATCAGGTGTTGAATGCAAGTCTGTTTGACAAACTGGTTTTCACACTGGCATTCAGCCAGAATGTCTTCACTCAGACCCCGGCTGTTGAGTGCACCAGTGCTTAGATCTTGACGCAGTAGTATGTTGAATCCACTGTAGATTGTGTGGAGGTTGTGATCACCAACAAAGACTATGCTACCAAAGCGGTCCAAGATCATGCATATTTCGGCGACGGAGTACCATCGATAATGACAATCTGGAAGCAGATACGAATGTTAGTCCAGGTTTTCTGCTTTCAGAGATGATGCTGCAAGCTAGTACCTCTTGAAGTGTAAGGTGCTTCAAAGCCAATACGGCCGCCGTTGGACATGGCTTTGAGAAGCGACTTGCGGTTATGGCAATACGAGCTAGAGCCATCTTCGGTCAGAGATCGATGGGCAGGAGGTGTGTATAAATCGGTGGCGCGAATGTTGCACTTTGAGAAGCCGCGGAAATGGCCAAAGTAGCTACCAGAGGTCAGTCGCAGTTCCTCAACAAACTCTGGCTCGGAACAGACGCACTTTTCAAGACTTTGATAGACAACAGGAACCCTGTCGGATTGCTGAGGTGTGCTCCAGTTTGACTGAATTGGGAGAATGAATGTGATCAACCATAGGATGAACGCAAGATATGAGTAGGCAACTGCTTTGTATGCCCAGTGAAGCCAGTTTGATTCATCAACCAGATCTTCCAGCTTGTCCGTAAGTCGTGCCAAATAAGACCGATCGTCTTCCGCTCTGGCTTCTCTCACAGGATCTCTGCCGAGATTTCCTTTGAAGATTTGAGTCATCTCGGCACTGTAGGGCAACAAGGCCAGGTGATGAGTTTGGAGTATGAGCAGTAGTAGAAAATAATGTAACTTAACGCCGAGAGGGAGAACCCTTTGGTGAATCCGAACGTGGGTAAAACAGGGACCCGCGACTGCTCCAATGCGTCAATCAAGGCTTTGCGTGATATTGCTCCTGGTTTGATATCTTTCAATCACCAAACTTCCTGTCGTCTTTGTTCTGTCGTCAATGTTCATCCTGGAATCTTTACACATCAAGCAATTTGTACGTTCCAAGAACGAGCGGGCTCAAATGCAGCAGCCAGCAGTGGCAGTGTAGCTCAAACGACGTCGGTTTGCCCCATTGAACTGAACGACGACGATATCACCCACAAAACTAAAGACGAAAAGTGTGAGACCACATAGGTCGGAGCAAATTAATCAAGACGGTCATATCGGTACACCCTTGCAAGAAAAAAGACATGACTGCATGAAATATTGCATATCGAGCAAGCTTACTCCTTCCAATCATGGCTGCTGAGCTATGTCATATATATACAATACCTTTGGGTCCAAAAAGTCATACGAGCAGCATTACGGACCTGTGAATATACCGAAACATTCCGATTCGACTGCAAAGGAATCTTCAAGTGCTGGAGCCCCAGCCTTATCTGCAGCAACGAAGGTCTGAAAAGGGGGCTCCAAGAGCATTTGATAATCCTTTGGTTGCGAAGCTTCACACTTTCAGTAACAAAATCCAGCAAGCTTTTGTGGATGTGATGAAGTTTGGATAAAGGCGGGATCAACAGACTAACTAACTAAAGACGCGAACGGCGAAGGGAAATTTCGCACCATCGGAGCAAAGGGAAAAACACAGCAAGTTCGATGGGAGAAAGCCTCCAGGAAGTCCGGAGCACTCCTTCAGTCAGACCCTGGTCTGGTCCCTCCAAGCCGAGCACCAATTAGGGCTGCGGAGAGGGCTCCAAGCTTGCCCACTATCATGTGCTTTTGGCAGTTGAGGCACGCGGTCAGGTTAGGTTTAGGGAGAACCCCCCTCAGCTAGGAGGGAGTCATAGCCAAACTCGGAGGGGAAAGCAGAACCAGAACTCTGAGCGGGCAAGCCTGAACCTGAGCCTGAGCCTGAGGGCCTGCGCCTGAGCCATGTTTGTTAGAGCGGAGGCTGGCTTTGCTCCCCACAGCCGAGCTTCTGGTCCACCACCCCCAGCAGCAGCGGTCAGAAGCACTTGATACATGGCCCGCGGGTACTTGCTCCTCAGCAGTTGCTTGCTCGGGATTTGTCCCTCATCACGAGTCACCTGCATCTGGGTAGGAAGGAACATCGAAGCACACAACAACCTCGAAGCCTTTTCTTCTGGCAAGGCTTGACTCATCTTCATCGTACCTGAAGTTGTCGTGTAAACGCACAGCTCTTTGTTCTTGTATCCATCCAGCTTGCCCTTCCATCGTCTTTTCCGACATCATCTGCATCTTGTCCACATTGGCTGCCTCGGCACCCTCCCTCTCTCCATCATCATAGTCGGAGAACATCGGACTGCCCCGTCCACACTCACTCATACCTGCCGCAAACCTTCGAGTCACTGCATCCTCTGCTTCCCTCTTCCTCTTTCCTTCTACATCCAAGTTGTGTCGCCTCAAAGTAGCAGGCCGAAAGGCCTGATAGACCACCCTCATCATGTCGTGGAAGCCGTCAGAGAAGCTCCTCCAGACCATCGGTCACTATGCCAGCTTTCCACCCACGGGGGTTAGTCTCCGCCAGATGGTCCAGTTTGGTGAAAAGCCGTCGGTTGGTAAGTCTACATCCAACGACCTCGTCATCCAACAAGTGTTTTGACTCATGTATTGAAGGAACTCTATTTCGCGCTTCTCAATTCCTCTCGGAAGAGCTCCCAGTCCGGCTTGCACATCGGGTAGAGGAGCTAGGAAAACTCCCAGAGGGTTTGAATGAGATGGAGTCGATCAAGAAAGTCCGTGACTGGTACGCACAGTCATTCGAAGAGATCACCACTCTGCCTCGTCCAGATATCGACAAAGAGACGAGAGACCGCCTTCTTAATCCACCCAAGACAAGCTCCACCCGCTTGTCTTCCACGACCCGGAACCCAAGTTTGAAGAACGATAGCATGGGGAATGGGAAGAACGGTGCAAACAGTCGTCGCTATTTCGCCGCACTCGATGATGGCAAGGAGTGGCCGCCAGTTCTGGCAGATTACAATCGCAAATTCTCCCGTACCCTGGGTGCAATCAAGCGTCGACACGACCCTGTTGTGACGACTGTTGCCCAAGGAATAAACGAATGGAAGCGCAAGCTCCAAAGAATGCAAATCGACTCTTCTATTCAATCATTCCTCGACCGTTTCTACATGTCTCGAATTGGGATCCGAATGCTTATTGGGCAACACATCGCATTGACTGATCAAACCACAAACAAGCATCCACACTATGTCGGCATAATATGCACAAAGACAAACATCAAGGAGCTTGCCGAAGAAGCCATCGAGAACGCGCGATTCGTCTGCGAAGATCACTATGGTTTATTTGATGCACCAAAGGTACAACTATTCTGTGATCCAAATCTCAATTTCATGTATGTGCCTGGCCACTTGTCACACATGCTTTTCGAGACTCTCAAGAACTCCCTTCGAGCTGTCGTTGAAACCCATGGTGCAGATAAAGAAGCTTTCCCAGTCACCAAAGTCGTCATTGCTGAGGGTAAAGAAGACATTACAATCAAAATCAGTGACGAGGGTGGCGGCATCCCAAGATCCGCAATTCCCCTTGTCTGGACCTATATGTACACTACAGTTGATACAACACCGGAGTTGGATCCTGGATTTGACAAAAGTGATTTCAAGGCTCCCATGGCCGGGTTTGGCTATGGTTTGCCCATCTCGCGCTTATATGCCCGATATTTCGGAGGAGACTTGAAGTTGATTTCTATGGAAGGGTAAGTCCGAAGGGATGATTCGGTATTTACTCGCTAACTTGATCTTCTAGTTATGGCACCGATGTGTATCTCCATCTCAACCGACTCTCTTCTTCGTCGGAGCCTTTGCAATAACAATCAGCAGCCATGGTGAGTCCGAATATCTGGTTATTGTCATATACACTTGGCATAGAACCCCTCCAACTTCTAAGGTCCTGGTTCACTAACTACATGTCCAACAGAGGGATGACAGTATCAGCGGGCGGTCCCCGGGATTGGCGGTGAAAAAACAAACATTATTGGGTCTAAGCCCAGGGCGCATGGCCGCGATGCGTACACGAGCAAAAAGTGGTGAGATTACCGAACGAAAACAGGTGGGTGATCTGGACAGCATGATCAACTCTGAACCCAATGTCGTCAAGCCCGGCGGTGCAACTGAATGGTTAGAGTGAAAGAGGACGACAAGAAAGGTTAGGAAGAATCTTCGTCAAGGTTCACGAGTTCAAAACAACGAAAAACGAAGAAGAATGTAATGTGCAAATCACTCCGGGGGCGAGCTCGAGTCTATTGATATCCAACCGAAAGGGCGAAAGGAACTGAAAAACCCCTCCCAAACTACGGCCATGGCATGTTTATGGAGCTAAGGGAGAGAGAGACATGGAAGAAATCAAGAACCGGAACGGTATGTGTGTCTATCAAGGTCAAAGAGGGTAGAAAGACCATGAGTATGAGTAGTATCAGCATCAGCTTACAACGTTCGAGGTAGAAAAACATGTTTGTAAAACTACCATAACACTTGTCTTCCTCGACATCTCATGTGCGACCAGGTGCTGTACTAGACACTTGGGTAGTAAGCTCACCTGCCTTTATACCTCGTCATCGATGGTTGAAAATGAGGTGTGTAGAGCGTTGAGCCGGAGGGGGATTGTGCCCCGCATTTAGGGTTTCCGCTGAGACGCGCTCCAGTCTGCGTGTTTCTGACGCGTCAAACTCCGACATTCCCTTTCCCACCCTCGCAAAAGCCCACATATTGCACCAAGGACGAAGACTGCAACCATGCCTCGAGAAATCATAACCATTCAGGCAGGACAGTGTGGCAATGCGATAGGTTCGAAATTCTGGCAACAGTTGTGTATCGAACACGGCATCAGTGCAGATGGGAATCTTGAGGATTTCGCAACAGAAGGTGGGGATCGAAAAGATGTCTTCTTCTACCAGAGCGACGACACTCGCTACATTCCCCGTGCCATCCTGGTCGACCTTGAACCCCGAGTGATCCATGGTATCCAAACCAGCCCCTACAAGAACATCTACAACCCGGAGAATTTCTTTGTGGGGGAGAATGGCATGGGTGCAGGCAATAACTGGGCGGCCGGTTACGCGGCGGGTGAAAGAGTTCAAGAGGAGATTTTTGATATGATCGATCGAGAGGCCGATGGAAGTGATTCACTCGAAGGATTTATGTTGCTGCATTCAATTGCTGGCGGAACTGGATCTGGATTGGGTTCTTATTTGCTTGAACGTGCCAACGACCGCTTCCCCAAAAAGATCATACAGACATACTCGGTCTTTCCAGATACCGCCATCGGAGATGTGGTGGTCAACCCCTACAACAGCTTGCTGACCATGCGACGATTGACTCAGAATGCCGACTCTGTGGTGGTGCTAGACAATGGGGCTCTTTCGAGGATTGCCTCCGAAAGACTACATGTTCAGGAGCCGTCCTTCCAACAGACAAACCAATTGGTTTCAACGGTCATGTCAGCATCGACGACGACTCTGCGATATCCTGGTTATATGCATAATGACTTGGTTGGGATTATTGCCTCACTCATCCCCACTCCGCGATGCCATTTCCTGATGACGGCATATACCCCGTTCACGGGGGACAATGTTGAGGCGGCCAAAACAGTGCGCAAGACCACCGTCCTGGATGTGATGCGCCGGCTCCTGCAACCAAAGAACCGAATGGTCTCGATCACACCTTCCAAGTCATCCTGTTACATTTCTATTCTCAACATCATCCAAGGTGAAGATGTCTCCCCAACCGATGTCCACAAGTCACTGCTACGAATAAGAGAGCGTCGAATGGCAACATTCATCCCTTGGGGTCCTGCATCCATCCAAGTGGCATTGACGAAGAAATCTCCGTATTTGCAAAATACCAATCGGGTATCAGGACTCATGCTGGCCAACCATACAAGCGTCTCCACTTTGTTCAGGAGAATAGTTGTGCAATACGAGAAGATGCGAAAACGCAATGCGTATCTGGAACAGTATAAGAAGGAAGCACCATTCGCCGAAGGATTGGGCGAGTTTGATGAAGCCAAGGAGGTGGTGATGGGAATGATCAGCGAGTATGAAGCGGCCGAAAAGGACGACTACCTCGATCCCGATGCTGGAGAAAAGAAGCCAGATGGAACATGACGAGTATTACGACGGCCTTGACGACTTATATGACTCATGTTTATTCTAGCAGGCAGCTTCCGCGATCAGCATCCTTGGGTGCGGCTTATCTTTCACGCGCACGGAGAAAAGGTTATCTATGTACCATTATGATGACGAGAGGCATGTTCCAAAAAATGGGATTGAGTTTTGGACCATGTGTTACAAGTCTCACAAGCATGGCTCTGATGCTACCACTTGAGCCACGTTTTTCGTGATGGATGATTGCGATCGAGGTATGACAAATGACAAGACAGTGGGACAGTGCACCATGGATGGGGTGATTGTTTCGGGACAAAGACCGAGTGATGAAACCACCACAATTTTGACAAAGTTGCTTCTCCCAAGGGAGCCAACCGGGAAATTTGATTCACAACGGGAAGCCATGCATGATGCACATGCAGTCGACAACGTAAAGCACGATCGATCTCTGAATGGCCCCTTTGATTCTATGTTTTGCGAATGGCCATTCAGGCAGGTCAAGCGATTCGATGCATTCTTTTGAGAAGTGTCTCGTGCTACTGCATCACTGCCTAAAACTTGGGTGTCATTGGGATAAATATTGCAGACGCGAAGGAGAGTCCGCATCGAAGACGCTGGCCTCAGTCGAGTGATGTTGTCAGGATCAGAACGGTTGCAGTGCCAACAAGTGCATTGTTGTCAAGGCTCAAGAGCAGCTACCAAAACCACGGGTCTTTCACGATTTAGCGGATTGTCTGTGCACGATGCAGGCGGTCAGCGTGAGTATCGTACCATCAGTTGGTAGCTGCTGCGAGTACGAGGTTCCAGGCACCCACCAGGGCTACCGCACAGACAGAATGCTAAGCACAGACGGTCAATGTTGGGTCGATGCGGTGGTGGCTGGGCCCAGTGATTGGGAATCTGGACCTCTCATTTCGACATTGCTGGTTGAACCTGCACCAACTAGTCGGTCACGAACCGGGTCAGGTGTCTACAGGGTTGAGCGCTAAAAGGTCAAGGAAACGGTGAGGGATTGAGGGAGGTCATCCCGTAGCGTAGCGTAGCGAGAAGGAACTTGAAGAATCAATAATTGATCAGTATCGTGTGAGAAGGGCTATTGAACCGTACGTGAACAGCCTGCGTCGAGTTGAACACAGATTAGTTACATGTGATTATTATTGAAAGCATTGGGCCAACAAAAGAGCGCATTATCTTATCGAGGCCCGAGGGCAATGAAAGCTGCCTTTGGTGGGATGGGGGGTTCCCTGGTTCCGTCTCGTGGCTTCACCTCAACCAGACTTGCAGACCTCAGGCTTCAGGCTTTGGGCTTTGGTGTGCCTGCAGCTGGTGACTTGGATTACCCGTAACTTAATTGAGTGATGCGATTACGCCAGTTTCTCGGCCTGGGAAGACCCATCATCGGCGCCCTGCCTTGACTTCCAAAGATTGTCGTGTCTCGTCTCGCTATCCACTACTGCACCTGGGGCACTGGCACCTGCGTCGTCCGAGGTACAGGGTATCCGTTAAGTACCTAACTTATCCACTTCCACTTGGCTGGGAGACCCTTTACGATGGAGTAGCACTTTAGGCCTCACGTGCCAGGCCTGAGGATTGGGAACTCCGTCGCCTATGCACCCAACTCCGTCAAGTCCATCTCTTGCGCCGACCTTCCATCATCCATCCGTATTATTACACTTTTGCCGCCTCTGCCTCAACCAACAGCCACCCTGTCACTCCGACGCTGTCACAACTTGAACCACTACCACTACCACTACCACCGCCTCTGCCTCTGCCACTACCTTCCAGCTCATCCGCCTCATTACACATCTGCGCTGTTTCCCAACATCCGAATCTCTTCTCCTTTCCTTCCTTCTCACTCACATTCTACCATAACCACCATTCATCTCACCCATACCCAACAGTTACCTGCCCTTATAAGCACTCACCCACTTCAACGTCCGCCTTATCACCCGCAGAGCTACACACTATCGGACCCTCCACTACTGCGCCATTTGTTCATCATCTACATCCGACTTCGTCATCAGTCACTCAGTCACACGCCCAACTCACTACACCACTGTTGATCATCAACCACTTCAACTCTTCTTCCGCTCCATTACCCGTTGTTCCTCCTTCTCTACACATTCACCATGCGTTCCCGATCAGACTCCGCAACTTCCAATACCTCCAGTAAGGAGCTGTCCGCAGACAATATGGCCATCCAAGTCACTATCGGTGGCGGCAAAAGTATGTCAAGTCTACAGACCACTGTTTGCCATTGCAAAGTACTAACCAGGGCTCTTACAGCCATCAAATTGAATGTTCGTCCAGTCCATACAGTTTCGAACCTCCTCGAGTTCTTGTCAGCGTCGACCAACCTCCCTGCCGACGTTCGACTCATGCTAGACGGTCAACCACTCGATCCTTCCAGCACTGTTGGGGAACTTCAACTGGAAGAGTCATCAACATTACAACTTTCCTCCCCAAGCAGGAGCAGCACACCCGTCGAGCAAACAGCACCCTCACAAGAGGAATCTGTAACATCTCAACAGCCCGCTACTGTCAAGTCATCCACACCTTCTACATCCGGCACCGCCACACCCACGAAGCGAAAGTCCAACAAGCCCCGCTGTTCGAAGGAAGCTTGTAGAGCAGCTGCACAACCCATTGTCGGCGACTGTGGTTTCTGCCAGAAGCGCTTCTGTGGAAAGCACCGCATGTTGGAAAGCCACAACTGCGAGGGTCTTGAAGATGCTCGTCGTGCCGACAAGGAACGAAACACCGCCAAACTCGAGGGTGAAAGGACAGTCATGCTCCGGGGTTTGTAAAGTTCTGTTCTGCATGACGTGAGACATCCTTGCGCGGGATCCCTGCCCCTGGTGCAGTTGATAAGCACACACCTCACTATCGACGATCTCCACCATTTGCTTTTTAGAGTATCATGTCTGCTGCAGTTTGGCACACTTTGCTTTTTGCTTGGGAAGGGCGTTGATGGGACCTGCACAAAGCGGGTGGGGACATCGTCTTTACTGTTTATTATCGGAGGAGCTAAGCGCTCTTCCACTCACAGCAACCGAAGTCACGGGCTGCGAGAAGCGTAACAACTCATGGAGTACGGGGGATCTATGGACCAGGACTAGGACATCGGGGGATAAAGGGAATCACGTCGACCATTTCGCTGCTTAATCATCCTTTCGTGCGAGGCGTCAGATCTCAGGGTGTCTCATTCTTGCACCACGAATTCACGAAGTCTTCCTTAACTCGGAGCGTCGTTGACCGTCATGACGCCCACTGGGTCTGGGAATGAGTTGATGTGTGTGGCGTGGGACATGAATGGAGAAACACCACGGTTCATACGGGCACAGAAGGGCTTCTCGTTGCTTGCTTGCTCCACTTTTAAGTTCTCGCTCAGATTTCTCTCTGCAGCAATGAAATAGCAGACTCTCTAGTCCTTTTAGTTCAACACGGCTACATACCACTTCTGATACTCGCTCTTCGCTGATTGTTCCCCCATCATCCTCATTTACAGATTTGTTATTTTGGCTTTCATGATATCTCCATGCATACGTGCACTCATTGGTTGTAGAAGTCCCAATCCCCACCGTGAGAAAGCCGTCTTCGTCTTCTTGTATCTCATCCGATGGGAAGGGACAGCACATGTTCGCCAGTCCAAGAATGCCAGCCTTTTGGCCCCCCGTCCATCTCCCTCTTTTCAAAGGTACTCGACCTCGTTTATTCCGACATGAGAGAGAGGGAGGGAGGAATCCGACTCTTTTGGGTCGTGATCAGTGGGTCTTTCCTGTCCTCTGTACTCTATGACCATATCTGCTCTTTCATGTGGCCGATCCCCGGCCAAAGGATCTATGTCTACATAGCTGTGTACGCCGGTCGCCAGTCTCCGTCCATCCAAAGGTATTGACAATGCTGGGATCGTTCTTGCTGGGGGCGTTCTCGGATCAGATCGTCGCCGTCCATCATATAACCTAACCTCGCGTCGCCTCGCCTGTGCTGGACTCGGCGCCGTCAAGTGTTTGTTGAAATCGCCTCTTGGGCTTGGCCTCAGACACATGGATGGGATTTGTGGTCTGGATTCTGATGTCATACGGCTTCTTCGGTTGACATCTCACATACTTACAAGTACTGCAGTGGGGGCGCGAATGGACCTTCCGTTTTAGGGTCTTGATCGTTCCTGAATCCTGAGGGAGGTCCAAGCTACAATATCCATGGTGATGGGGATCGCGTGGTGGTCTGGCCCGGTAGCATTGCGTGCACGGGACAATTTTGAATCCATCAAGGCATGGGCTTGTTTTCATCACCATCACCATCATGCCACTGCGCAATATCCCGAATTTGTGTTCAACGTAGTAGCCTATCCGTTTTCAGACCCCCAGGGCCATCTCATCTTCATGCGTCGCAGGATGCCTGGGCGGATCTTGAAACTTCGCTTGAGTGAAACCATCTCTCAGCCTTGGGCAATCTCGGCCTGTAGATAAACTCTTGCCCGTGCACGGACAGGAACGAGTCGCAGCTTCCCCAAGTCAGATGATGGATCTCGTGGGTCTGACGAAAGTCGATGATAATGCTGACACACATTCGAGTACGAGCGGTGAAGACTTGGGTTGGTTGGTCGGTCGCCCGCATGGCTCCCCTCCCCAACCACTGAAGCATGATATCGAATCTCCAACGTCCTAACGATTGTTTGTCCGAGTTTCTCTCTTTTTCAGGGCGTTGTTTCTCGATTCTCCCAAAAATTGAAGGTGCTGATTTTGTCCATGTTCCACAAGCCGCGAGGAACCCGGTCTTCGGTCCAACGGCCAATGTCCCTCTTGCGCCTGCAGTATTTCCTCGCACAACTCTCGACGGCACCCCAGTCGTCTTCCTTTAGATAGCTCTTGAGCGACTTACCGTCTTGATGAAGTTTGACGAAGGCCTCGCGAACCCAGGTCAGACAGTTGAATGCCGTGTCGTCCTGTCGAATTGGAATGGATCGGAGGATGGATTGTAGACGTGCTTCGTCTGTGACCTTGGCCACGGTGACGCGGATCAGACCCGCTTGTAAGGCCGGGTTGGAGGCGACATCTTGGTCCTCGAATAGATACTTGCCGGCCTCTTGATCCAGATGGGCGACATGATAGCGCGTGCCTTGGTTGATCCTGATGGCCGTTTGCGGCCCTACAACTACAGACCAGTGATAGGCATCGCAATTCAGGTCGTTGCGGAATGAGGAGGTGGGTGACGAGCCTCCCCTTGGATAGAGGACAATATAGAGTCGAGGTTTGTCTTTGGAGGATGTAAGTAAGGATCTTGATGACAGTGAGCGTAGAAATGGAGTTCGAGCCGGAGGGGTCGTGGTGGAAGACATGGTTTTTGTGGGGTCGTCAAACTGTGTCACTCAAGTTTTCATGGCTGAGTAAGAAGATTTCTTGATGTCAAAGTCGATCAGGGTTTTGATGGTTGCTGCCTGAAGCCAACGGGTAGACGAGAAATCTGCAAAAGAAGCTACGAGTACAGTATTCACTTATGTTCAGAGATCCGAATGGAAAGGTGCCCGCCCGCCCCACGAAAGAAGTACCGTGATGCTTCAGGCAAAGAGCAAAAATCTGCTATTGGAGATGCTAACCCAAACGGTTAAATTGTGGCTAATAAATTGTGTGCGCTTTTATGGTCAATTGATACCCAAGTGTATTTGAACTCACTACTCAAGCTGGTCGAAATATCCAGTTACGAAGTCACAGTCAAAGTTATAGCCGTTAGTGTGGAATATATTATTACATTGTTAATGGAGTTGGTAGGTCACAAGACGTACAGTAGGAGGTGAGAATAAATGACGTAGCCTCCACCATCGGTGCAGAAACTTGACTTACGAGTAAGGGTAGGCTCATGATTATGCAAGCTGAGAATCCTCACTTCCTCAATTGTTGTGAGATCTGACATGGTCTGAGGTGGATGAAACAAGCTCCCTCGTATTGTCCGGTTGAAGCCTGAAGGATCTGGCATGACAGAAAGACCATGGTCCATGTGCTCTCGGAAATGTCCAAGAATTGAAGACTCCATACCAAGGCATCTACATGTGATGACTCGTAAGAGAGATGGTAGAAATGACGGAATCGGAACAAAAAGTTAGACGGAAGTGGCCACCAGATAACGTCGTCGACTGGTCCTTCTGTACGGCTCGACATGTTCAGCCTCACGGTTGAGTCCGAGTTTTCCGTTTCTGACGCATCAGCCACAGGCATGTTGCGCATGATGTGGCGGTGCAGGTGACGACGCGTGATTGCTTGTCTTTGAAGGAAACAACAGGATTCGACGAGGAGGAAGCAGGGAGGATCCCGCGATGATCCTGTGGCGTAACCTGAAGCAGATGATGACATGTTTTGGAAATTAGGATGGCCTGGAGAGACTAGAGAGTCCTTAGGGGCCAGAGATGCCCTTAGCCGGGACCCCATGACGTTGTTTCTTGGTCCCTCTTGGTCCTCTTTGCGGTTGCCCTGTCGTGCCCTGTGCTCGTAAGCCCGCCTAGAGGGCCACTAGTTGACTGAGGGATCCAGTCACCATCGTCCGGGGTGGACTTGGTTTGCCCATCGACTTCCCAGTTCACCTTCCAGCTGCCAGCCACTGCTCTGCCGGTTGTGCCTATATTATTGACGCCTCGTTGAATCTGCCTGTGCTTCCTCTTCTTCCCTTCTTCATCCTCGGTCCCCAAATCACAAACCATCTTCTCGTCGCCGTCAACTCTACACTTGACCCCCCAACCAACACCAACACCAACACCACACCAACCCATCACTCACCATGCCTTTCACAGCTTCGTAAGTCCACTTCCGCCGCTTCCGGCCTTCGACTCCTCTCGCTACCTTAGCTCAGAGCTGACCCCCGTGTTTCACTACAGAGACATCTGCAAAATCATCCTCGCCATTGTCCTCCCACCTCTTGGTGTTTTCCTCGAGCGCGGATGCAATGCTGATTTCTTCATCAACATCCTACTCACCATCTTGGGTTACATCCCCGGTATCATCCACGCGCTGTGAGTTTGCCTCTACCATCTCATCAATAAATTTAGCTGGCTGACCGAAATCCACAGTTACATCATTCTCAAGTATTAAGCGATCAACCATGAATGAATGACCATTCTCGAAACCACGCAAGATACTCTCCCACCCAGATGAGGATCGACCCCCCCTCGTCAACCATTGATATCCCAATACCCAGTCCTCTTTTCTTTTCCCGGAGCAGCAATGCCGATATATAGTCTATTGGATATCGAGTCGGGCTTCCCTGATACCTCATTGCGCCTAACCAAGGAAGTCCAACTCACATACATATGCGAATTGTGGGGGCATTGGTTGGATTGAACTGAAGTAACCGGGGGAACTTTGACTTGAGCAGGCAAGCATGCCATTATTGTCGGACGGATCAGAGCATTTCCGTCCAACATTGGCGCACGTGGTGCATGTGGTTCGGGTGTAAAGACCTTAATTCAGCATAATGAGACAAATTTACTACCTCCTTGGTCATTGTTGGAGTTTTTTTTACTTTCTTAGAGTTTTTCAGAACTGTTTCTATCTATATGAGTTCCCTGTCCGGATCGCCTGGCATCGAGTTCCGGGCAACTGAGTCCGAGCGTTGAGCTACAATGGTGAAACGCAACCGGAAAGCTGTCGACCCGAACCCCTAGTTCTCAACTTCTGACCGTTAGGGCTTCTACCACCGTTAGAGACTGCCTTAGATACCAGGCATCACCTTCTAAGCCTCTCGTAGCCATGTGGAATGAGGACCCCTCCTAATCTGGTGGGAGAGTGGTGAGGATCAAGTCCATGACAATTCACCGTTGGCGTGACAGACTCGGAAACTTGAATGACAAAAGCCGCGCGCAGGCACAAGGCTATGTATGATATCATACATGTTAACGAACTCGGCGTGCATCATTACCCAAGATTAAACAGGTGATAAATTATAATCGGTCTGATTATTGCATGAGCCTGAGCCTGAGCGCTTGCGAGGTTGGTGGTGATAGGCCTCCTCCTGCGAGTCTGACGTAGTCACGTAGCTAGCTGCAGCGTCGAGGCTGTCTTCCAGACTCAGCTCTGGGCTAAGATCGAGACGAGTGTTCCGTAGTACTACTCCAGACAAGAGGCCTCCAAGAGGATGGCTAGTAGTGGACATAAAGAGCCTTCTATGTGCGTGGTCACGTGAGTCTCCCAAGCGCCGACGAAACGGCGCGAACCACCTATGTCCATCAAGCTGAAACCGCCGACGACTCTTTGCCTCGCTTTCACCACATCCTCTTGCTCTACAAGTTTCATCTTCCTCCGTAGCCCTATCTTGCAGCCGCCATCGTCATCGCTACAATGCTTGTCTCTGCTCAGGGTTCCCATTTTTCATGCCACCCACCCTCGTCGAGGGGTTGGCCAACGTTAATCTGCCAAAAAGTTTGAGGGTGAGATCGTGTTTCCCCCCCTTCACGCTGTATATCTGCTGTAAGCCCCAGATTTCGTGCCTCGACTTATTCGTCCATGTCAAACCTCTTGTCCTGCACATCCCCTCCCCATCTTCACCGTTCACAGACATTCTTGCTGCAAACGGTCAAATCCACCTTACCATGATCTATCAACAATGACAAAGGCAGACCACTCGACATGCGTAATCGACCACGGTCCTCGCCCAGTCCGGCGCCTGCAATCGGCCATGGAGGTCTCATGGTTGCCCGTGCGGACCCGATCTGTCTTCCACCAGCCCTCATCAATGCAGTCCCCAACTGCGCTGTCTCCTGCCTTCAGGTCTTCACCAGTACAAAGTATCCTGGTAGTAATTGTCAAACCACAACCGACCTCAATTTCCTGTGTACCCAGAGCAATACATCAGGCCTGACGATAGGAGAAGCCGCGGTTCAGTGTGTGGTCTCCTTCTGCAGAGGTCAGGATCAATTGAATCTAGGAGGATACAACGTCTGTATTGGCGTCCAAGGAGCTCGCCCCAATACCGCTCAAACCATCACGGCAACATTGCTTGCCGCGACTACATCTGCCACAATGGACAATCTACCTCAAACCATCAGTAATCCAACCTCCACCATGTCCGTCAGCATGGTCGTCATGGATACAGGGGCTCCCGCCGTGCCTACAACCATGTTGACCACCACCTCTTCCGTCCCTTCTGCCCCAGAAAACACTTCGACATATACCACCGCTGGTGCCGTGGCCATGCCTGGCCAAGGTGGAAATCAAGGCGGTCTCGGCACTGCTCAAGTGGTGGGCATTGCTATTGGCGGAGCCGTCATGGCGATTGGTGTCTTGGCCTTCCTCACCTTCATCTTCTGCATCAGGAAGAGGCGACAGGAGAGAAGGAAAAGTCAACGGAAATCTCGCATCTTCGAAACCACTCCTCCAACCAATTTTGAGTCACCCCCTGAAGATGGCTCGGCAGTTTTGGCGGCCACTACCAAACCTGCTCCTGCACAAATCTCCAACGGTCGTTTCTACGCCTCTCAACCACCCATGGAAGACAAGCGGAGAAGTTTCTGGAGAAAGAGTATCAAGCCAGAAGAAATCGGTGTTGCTGTGTCTCCCAAAATGCCCGGTGACATCTCCCCCATCAGCGCCTCGTCACAGCATAGCATCTCACGACTCTTACCCGCATTACCTAATCGCACGCTTGTCCCGGCTCCTTTGGATATTGAAGCATCCCGAGAACGGCGCAGAAGACCCTCAAGTGATGGTACAATGTCCGATATTGAATCAACTCTCACATCTGCAAACCAACAAGCCATCTATATTGATAATCAGACCTTTGTCCTGGAGAAAGCACCTCCTGCGAAGAAGCTGCGTAGTGCGGCAGCTCCGATTACGCTCCCTTCGGTGCCTGAATATCCGGTTCAGAAGTCCAAGACCCAGCCTGCCTCCGCAGCAAGGATTCCACTTACTCCTACCTATGATAATGGCAACATTGATCTCATTTCACCTCCTTTCAGTGCCTCAACCGTTGCTGAGTCTGTGGTAACAGTCTCGCAATTTCCTCTGCCATCAAATTCAACGGAGCAAAAACCCACACCATCCTCCTCCTACGGCGTCAGGAGTGTTTTGAAAAAGCCGCCACCGTCAACACTTCCACTTCGCTCTTTGATCAGCCCGCCGATGGAGCCTCTAGAGCAGCCGCGAAACCCTCCACCACCCCCAATACCACGGCCGGCATCAAACCAACCTTTTCGCCCAGTGTCATTGAGTTCCGAATATACTGAGATTGAAGAAGATTCAACACCAGAAGAACTCAACAAACAGTTGGGGTTGTCCTCGAATCCTTCTGCACCACGAAATTCTCGTGTTGAGATTCGTGCTGATGATGCAGGACAAAGCAGTCCGATCAAGGACTTGAGATATCCGCAAATACCTCGATCAGCAGCAGTGTCTCGGCAAGCTGAAAGACCAGCTCAGCTTCGAGGATCTCTTCCTCAAGATCCTTTTGCACCATTACCATCCACCACTTTCACACCTCGAGATCCCGTCGCCAGAACAAGGGTGAGCTTCCTACAAGGCGAGACAAGCTCCTCCGATGGTTATATGTCAGATGAAACGATCGAATGGCCAGTACCGCCAATGTCAGAGAACAGCACACAAAGAGCACCACCAATAGCACAGAGCTCGCTTAAGCAGAAGATGGCTCGACTTCGAAACTCAAACGGCGCTGGAAATAGAGGCAGCCCTCTTGCTCCAATTTACAGTCCTTCATTGAACGAGATGATGACAGTCGATTCACGGATGAAGACGACTCAAACAACAGCCAACTTAATTCCCGAACGCTCCCCATCGACAAGAGCCAAATTGACACCCAACAAGGCGGAGAATGGGGATCTCTACCTCACGGTCCAAGACATCTAAGTCCAAATTGAGTGAGTCGACCAAAAAAGTGTACATATATATACCCCAACTTGAACTCGGTATTGAACTACCGACGCAACCATTTCCTTGCCATTATCTTTCACTTCTTCATGGCATGCCACACAGAGCAGAAAGCCACATGTATTTTTTCTCCCCCAGCAAGGCCTGGGTGCCTTTGCTTTTGGTTCGATTATTTGACGACGATAAAGCAATCAACATGGGGGGTTAGAGCCTCTTTGATTGGTAAACCAGTTTTATGACCACGGGTTTGTAACAACATTGTTACTGCCTGTACACTTATCTTGCCCGAGATTTCAAGGGAAGTAAGAAGAAGAGAAATGAAGAGATTAAGAACAAACAAGAATATCATGTTCCATGTAAAATGAAAACCCAGACCTCCAGACAGACGAGAGGTCGAGACAGGGAAAGAAGATCGAGGTGGCTAGATACGAGGTACACAGGTAGATATCCTACAATTTAAAGATAGCTTCCTATATCCAATATGTATACTTCCTAGTTACAGCGCAGTGGTTCGCGTGCCAACTCGATCCCACCGAGGATCAACTTTCAACTTGGAACATCCATCTTGTCTAAGCAAGCGCCAACGAGTCCTCCTAAATATGAGTAATGTCTGATCCACATCTCCTCACTCGCAGTACTGTCTTTCGGTGTTAAACGATATTATGCCACTTCCATCACCCACCTGCCTACCCAACGACATTGATCTCCCCAGTATCGAACAGCGACCAATCCGTGCTCAGAAACTCCTGAGGCAGACCCGTCCCAAACAAAAATTCGTTGGAATTGGGGAAATGGATATTTGGAAAAGTGAGCTCGGCCTCTAGACGGGAAGCCATCCCAACTTGTGGCATGACCACATGCGGCAAGATTGTTACACTTTGTTGCTGAAACGGGGTAGGAGAATCATTCGGAGAGCTGATACTCACATCGGAGCTGACTTGATTTGAAGGTTGTGTGCACACCGTCTCTCCTGGCGCACGCTGGTATTTCTCCAGAAGAGTCACATACCGCCTTGCCAGAACGCTATACTCACTCACGGATCGGAGGAAAGCCATGCCGATCGTCACCGCAGACGAATCGGGCGGTGCAACGTCAGAGAGTGTGCTCAATCCCAGTGACTGTGCGGTAAACAGCACGCCGAGAGATGAGAAGACATCTGGGTAATCATCAGTACTTCATGTTCTCGTGTTCCAACTCAAAGCAACCACATACAATGCAAAAGGTACCACACTGAGTTGAGGAACTGCTGATGGTACTGCGATGAGACAAGCCGGATGGTCTCATTCGCGAGACTTATGCATCGCTTTGCTGACGCCATCGCCACAGACCTCAGGTACGGGTCTTGAAATCCTGGCTGCGCCAATAACATCAACGAAGGTCGTTGGAGCAGAAGTCTCATTTGAAGGTATCGGAGGTATATGATATTTCGTTGCCGCTGTGCGTCAATACCATCAGGAATTTCTGGCACCACCCTGAGGTGCCCCGGCATCTTGTCCCACCACGTCTGCAATTGCCCGTCCAAAAGAATGATACTCCCTAATATGGCGTGATCGTTGTTGGTGATGGTGAGCTCCTCGGGCCCTCTCCTGCTTTTGTCATGTCTGAGGTACAACTCATTCAAGATGTTGTCAATTACAAATGATAGCTTGATTGTCTGGACAAACAGGCAAGTCCTCGAAGGTTTTCCGCCTGGCTGTCTCGGGATACGACCCGAGTCGACGATATATTGATCGTCAATCTCCAGGGGGAAGCCGACCTCCAATGCGTTGTGTAGAATTATGGAAGGTGGTCGACCGAATTTCATGCTCAGAGTCCGGTCCAGAACAAAGCATCCCCACCAGAGGCGCCTTCGGGACTCGGTCTCGATTGGTGCCGATCCATCTCTGTCCAAAGGATCAACGTGGAGACCGATGGCCACAGTACTCCTTACGGCCAGGCCAAAAAAATTCCAGCATTCGTGGAGTTCAAGTGCTCCCTGAAGATAGTGGCATAACAAGAGGAGTCCTTGGGCAAGCTCGAGATTGACGTCTTTGAAAACGTGAGCCAGGAGTATGCTCTTCGCACGGTCGACGAAGGCAGAGGCCAGCAATGATCGGTCAATGAGTTCTTGTTTACTCGTGATGAATTCGCATCCATACGCAAACACCATATTAGCCAGTGCCAGCCACGCGAGGCCACACGACTGCCGAGGATCCCACATGCACTCATACTGATCTCGAAAGGTCGGCTCATGAATGAAGGGGTATATGAGATGGACTCGCTCGAAATAGGCATCAACAAGCTCATTAGCATGGTCGCGGGATGGAAGAGAGTTGTGGAAATCTGCCGGCGCTGAAGACACAACTTGTACTGCCTTATTCAGGCCATCCTGGTTCTTTGCTGGATCATGAGTTTCTGGGGCATTGATATGGTTCAAGATCTACCTACTGTGGCCGTAGACCTGTTTCTGCTGGTTGTAGACTCATGGCCTTGCTCGACATGCAGCTCGGACACAAATTTGAAAGCGGACGAGTCACCAAAATATCCTGCCGGTTCACTAGCATGACTCCCCAAGGAACCAATGAAAGCCTCCGTGCTATGATGAGGGTCTTCATACCTTCGGACACGAACAGCTGAGTCTGACAAACCTCTGTCCTGGCCTTGATCTGCCGACAGGCCAGAAACGCCTATGCTTTCAAAAGCTGGGCCCACTTCAAAGCCCGAGTCTGCGAGCGGGCCTGCCTCAATATCTGCAAGGAGAATAGTTGTGTCCTCTTGATCGTAGTCTCTGCCAGCCTCGTCAGCATGTGAGCCAAGAGGTATTTCAACCGAGGGTAGCTGCCGTTGTGTTCCCACGAATCTGACCGGGTATCTACAATCCGAGTTGCGGCTTTGGCATGATGAGCATTGAGGTCTGCCGCCATCGCATCGATGTTTCTTCTTCCGACAGTTATTGCAAGCTTTACCGAAGCCTAGTCGTCTCGATTTGGAGGCTCGGCATATCTCATCAGGCATTACTGCGGCAGCGGATAGAAGAGTATTGAGGGGCATAGTATCCGGAGGATTCTTATGTCTATCAACCGGGGATTACAGCTTTAAACGCTCGAAATCAGTGATTCAGGCTAACCCACCAAGGAATACAATCCCGCACTCTCCGACCGAGCCTCAGAGGGGACTTTGGGGAGGTTTCAAAGCCTCCTCAATCGTTTTACTCACCGTAGAGGCATTCGGAACCCATTTGCCGGGCTCCACACACACTTGGCACCACCTCCTCCGGAATGTTTCCGATGGGTCCAAGTGCCATGCATATAGGTCAGGCGGCCAGATTTGGACGCAGTCATCTCTTGGACGTATTGCCTCTTGATACCGCGACCTTCAGGAATCATGGTGCTTCGATTGACACTAGCATGTTGGGACTATGACAGGGTGAAAGCGATAGAAGATGGCCGGGTCAAGCCTGAAGGCATTGAGCTTACCTTCCTGAACTATCGTGTTGAGGAAACGCACGTAGAGTCTGCCTCCATTCACATAGGTGTCCACTGACACTTTGTAGATTTTTCAGACAACTACGATTCCAGGAATTTGACATCTCGGAACTCTCGCTATCATCATACGTTCTGACCCTTAATCAAGATGAACCACCTTTTATTGCTCTGCCTATCTTCCCATCGAGGTTCTTCAGGCATCAATCGATGTACATCAACACTGAGTCCAACATAAAGAAGCCCTCAGATCTCCGGGGCAAGCGGATAGGAATACCAGAATACCAAAGTAAGAAAGATCACGGTGTAAGTTATTTTGCACACCCTAACGCTGGACCAGTGACAGCAGCAGTGTGGCAACGAGGTATCATGGCAGAAGAGTTTGGAGTTCCTATCGATGAAGTCCAATTCTTCACCGGTGCCATTGAACCATCCGAGACTGAGAGAAAGAGCAAGATCCCACACACCCTACCTCCAGGAGTGCAAGTAAAACAGATCCAAGCGGGACAGAATCTATCCCAGATGCTAGAAAGGGGCGAAATCGATGCCATTTTCAGTGCAACAAAGCCTTCTTGTGTAGAACGGTGTACACATTGCACTTATCTTTTCCCGGATTTCAAATCGGTCGAATCAGAATTCTACGTGAGGACCAAGATCTTTCCTATAATGCATGTGATAGCAATCAAAAGATCTGTATATGAGGCTAATCCATGGATCGCGCGGACCCTTCAGAAGGCTTTCGCCGAAGCTATAAAGATTGGATATGAAGCTCTTCGCGAGCGCGCTGCTCTTCGATACATGCTTCCATGGCTTGAGGAGCATGTTCGGGAAACCGAGGAGCTGATGGGCGGGACTGAATATTGGAAAGATGGTTTCCAGGAGAACAAACATGTCATTGACAAGTTCCTTGACTATTCTTACACACAGGGACTTGCAAAGAGACGTTTTCAGGCACACGAGCTGTTTGCCCCAAACACGCTGGAGTCATTTGTTGTCTAGAAATCACCAACTGGAGAATAATTCAATTGCCTAAGAACCTAAGTTCATCTAGTTTTCTCTCGCCGAGATTGTGAATCTTCCTTTGCAGCCCGAGTTTCAGATGCCAGGGCCCCCATAACCCTAGGTCTATCAGAGATACAGATGACCAATTGCTTTCTTGGCTCATCGACATGCCAGGTACACCAGAATCTCAGAGTAGAACCCAGTAGAGGGGCGTATCTGACCTCAGAGGGCCATAAGAACCGCGGCGTTTTGAACGGAGTCGGTCGGGCTCTACGCATTATCCCAAGCGCTAGGCATTCTTGCCGCATGGCTCTTTGTCTTTTGCCATAGTCCGATTGATAGGGCAATCCTGGTCTCGGTGAATCAAACGCCATGCCGTTCGGTACTTGTAATTCAGTAGACGGCTCCCTGGGTAAATAGTGTGCTCCTATAAGCCAGGATTGGGACCTCTGGTAGCATACCCAAGCTTTCCGAGCAACCTTGAAGAATCTCTTGGGGACCCTATACCTATTTGATCATGACACTACACTTCGGTTTCGTGGCAGCTGCCGTTGCAGCGGTGCTCATTTTTACTTGGATCAGACGGATCTATGATCAAGATAAAGTCGAACGGCTACTTGCCCACGTTCCTACTCATGTCTTCGCGGATGGGAACAACTCACGTGCACGATACATTTCCGACCTGAGAACTCTCCTCGAGTCTGGGTACCGGAAGTACAACAAAAGGGACCAAGCTTTCAAGATTTCTATCCCTATCGGAGGATATTCAGTCAAGTATCGGGTTGTTCTTCCCAAGAACCATCTGGAAGAAGTTAAGCATCTATCCAACAATGTCTTCAGCTGGCAGCTTGCCTCACGCGTCATCTTTGCCCAAGACTTCACTGGCGCTCCTGACCGCGGTGCCTGGTCTGGAAAAGCCCTCCGAGTCGGAATACACCAAAATTTGGACGGCATCACATCTCAACTCGATGCGAGGATCAACCGACACTACGAATTGAATCTCCCACAAAATAAAGGTCAATCTGCCACCATCAACATGATGGCTTTCTTCGTTCCGACGGTCACGTTCGTCACCAACGCGGTCTTGGTCGACTCAAGGTTGTCTTCCGACCCAGAGTGGCTTCAAAGGACTGCCGAGTTCGCTGTGAACCGGTACGGCGCGGCCGATGATGTCCGAAGTTGGCCTCCGTATCTTGCTGGCCTGGTTGCTCCTTTTATTCCTTCAGTGAGAAGACTACAAGAACAGAGGAAGTATGTCATGCGAACCTTGAAACCGGTATATGAGGAGCTGAATGCAAAATCCCAGTTGTCTGATAACGACAAGGCTGAACGCCGAAAAGGCATGTTTGGATACGAATGGCTCTGGAGTGGAAGCCCCAACGATGTCACACTTCTAGACTTTTCAGACACTATGATGAGAACCTTGATTGCAGCAATTCATACTACAGCGAAAACAATCAGCGTCGCCTTTGTTGACCTCCTAGCGCAGCCTGAGCTTCTCACGGACCTAGTACAGGAAGCCAAGGACGCGATCGACCCCGACGGTCAGAACATCGACTTGAATAAGCTGATCAAGCTGGACTGTTTCTTGAAAGAATCACAACGCCTTAGTCCTGTCTTTCTATGTGAGTAATCACCACGCGCACAGACACAGACGAAGCCATCATTACTAATGTTTGAGGAACTCTTAGTCACGATGAACCGGATACTGACTCAAGACTATACCTTCAAATGTTCCGGGCTGAAGTTGCCCAAAGGAGCGATGATAACCGCCCCAGCTGCTGCCATTGCCACTGATCCAGAGACATTTCCAGAACCAAACACGTTCGACGAACACCGGTATTTGCGACTTCGCGAGCAACACAAAGAATCTTCCAGGTCGCTGGTCCTGGGCATGTCCACGATCGACTCTCTAGGATTTGGTTTAGGAAATCAGGCATGCCCTGGTCGGTTTCTTGCTGTAAACAATCTGAAATTGATGATGGCGAAGTTGATGGCTGAATGGGACCTTAGCCTGGAGAGCAATGGGCAGAAGTTCCAAGGGCCTCGTCCAAGCATGGAGTACAATGACTTCTCGGTCGTCCCACCAAGTAAACTCAGCATTCGAGTGACGAAGAACTAGAGAAAGGACGACCTCCAAGAATAGGGAAGCATTTACACTGTCGAGAATTGTGGCGTAGTTCCAAGGTGGATAATATGAATGGTGCGAAGTATCTGCAGTTGCACTGAGGACTGGAATTACATCTTTCTCAACCATAGATTGTTTGGCGGTTACAAGCACTGAAAAGCAAGAAGAAATGAACAAGTGGATCAATCAACACGCTGTCCTTCAGACTTTCTGACCGTGTAAATAAGCTCTCCACTAAACGTATCTTAGCTTTGAGAACCCGATGATGAGAAGTGCACATCGCGAATTCGCCTCACAGCCAATAGTTGACTGGCTGTATACATACGGGAGCTCTAAGTATTATGGTTCACAAGTAGCCATTCTCCCGGTAATATCTCTCGGCACCTGGATGTAGAGGAATTGTTGTTTTGGCCATCTTTTTTGGATCCATCGGCCAGCCTACAGGGCTTCGATCGCCCGGGAAAGAATGAAACTGACGTTCGAGGACGATTTTGGTCTCGGTCATGATCCAAGCAAGTAGATGAGCCACGTCATCAGGAAGATCTTCTCGACAAAAGACAACGAAATCGGAGAAGTCGATTGCAGGGAGTTCATCAGGTTGATTCTTCCACCAGCCTGGTGGCAACGGCCTGGGAGAGATCCCACTCGGCGTCATCTTGTCCAAGGCTTCTGGTTCTCCCGGGATTGGGATGAATTTCCGCTCACCATCAACCAGTTCACCCCACCAGGGAGTTGTCAAGGCTTCTTGAAGCACAGCAGTGAAGCCTTGACTGATGTCGTGGCATGGAAGTAGACACTCTTCGGGCCGATTGGCGAAAACAACCTCACCTCCCCACTCGCGGATATCATTGACCGATATATCATGAGCCTCAAGATATCGATGTGCCAACCATCCAATCTGACTGTCTCCATCTGGTCCTATGGCAAATTTCATCTTTGGCTTTTTCGCTCGGATATCGGCGAAGGTCTTACATCCAAGACTTGGATCGAGACCAAGAACCAACCGATCGTTTTGAGGAATGACAGCAAGGCCACGTAGACCTGGCATGGGAGCTTGATCGGCGAAAAAACCTGTCCCATTCAATGCCGTGGCAAGAATCGCCGCCGGTGTCGTAATTGCGATCTGCGCCTCCCCTGAGTCGACCATAGTTATTGAGTCCATACCACCTCCGCGAACGCTCCAGATACATGTACGACTCTGAGGGCCGCATCTCTCACAGAACTCTTGCGTGATCCAAGACATGATCTTGTGCCAGTTCGCCTGACCCCAGTCGCCTACACAACTGAGTTGAACGCTTCTTGCGATTTTAGGACTGCCCTGGATCATAGTCCGCGTGGCCTGTCCCTTCGCCGTAAATGAGACGGATGTCATATTGCTGTTTCTGTCTCGTGATCTGCAACTCTTCGACCAAAGTCCGAAATTTTAAGCTAACAGAATATCATTTTGCTCAAACCTTGACCAATACCTAAACCATATATCAGAGACTTGCAGAAACATCTTTTCGTGCCGATGGCTCGGAAGGCTCCATGTAGATCCACATGTCAGAAGCAAGCAGTCGTGACCTGATCCAAGGCGAACAATGGACTGGAGACCGCAGAAAAGGAGACTTTCGGTAGAAATCCGCGGAATACTCCTCCATATTGGGACACTTCGGGATGGCGTATGAAAACACCCCACCGATTTACCAAGTCTGAGGCACTGTGTCCGGAGTCTGGGGTGTCCCACATTCCATCCGCCTGTTGGCTTCACGACGAGTCTTCCGCAATGTATTATCAACCGGTACGACTTCGATGGGTCTTGGCCCTAAGCGTTCAGTCAGATCCAGAGAAGAGACGGCTGCAATTTAAGGAGATCTAGTGGTAGACCCCCCAAGCGTGAGAGACTCCACCACTCCAATCATCAGGGCGAAAACCATCATGTCGGCTACAGTCACCGCAGTCCAAGTAAGGACAAGTCGACTTCCGACTCTATCATGACATTCGAAATTAAAGGCATTGCCGATCCATGACTTGTCGCAATTTCAAGATGACCGGTCGCAAACATTGAAGGAACTCCTGGAATAGGGACATATCACGGTTGTGCCTCTGCGTGAACCGAATCTGATTCTGCATAGTCATCTGCCTCATGTAAGTTCAAATGTATCATCGCAAGAGACCCCTTCCCCTTATGCTCTGGCCTCTACTTCCAAGAGATAGCTCACGAAGACGAATAGCTTCTCAGGTCCGCGTATGCCCTGGGCGCCGACAGCGAACAGTTGACCAAAACTTACGAGCATGAAATCACCACTTTGGTGAACATCGACGAGAGATTTGATCGAGGGAACAAGATCGATCGAAGTTCATGGAGGACTTTCTTGAACCAGAAACCGCGCTTGTGTCACTTAACACTACCGAGCGGTGTAGGCCGGAGGCGCTACCATGGATTGACAATAGCTGACGTTACTGGTTTGCGAGCAGGTATACCGTTGCTTTCGTCGACCTTTTCGACAGTGAGGTTGCACGGAACAATGGTGATTGGAAAATGATACTTGAAGAGTATTTATATTCTGGCTCAGAGCCGCTGATCAACGGTTATGTGGGTGGCCGTGCGTGTTCTCCCATATATGAGCGTTGTCGCTGAGGCCCATGAGTGATCGCTGACACATGAGATAGTGGGCCACCCCTTCATCCTTTTAGCTTACGCCTACAAGTCATGTAACGTAGAGTAAAAAGCGAGGATACTAAACGGAGTAATAAAAGCCTGACAAATGTTCCCCTATACACGAGCTTGGTAGAGATCCTACGCATTTCTAGTTCTGCAAAGTCCTGGGCAAGGACTTGAGAATTTTGAAACGAGGTTACGGACCACGAAGACTATGACTCTCCATTAGCTACTGATATGGCAGCCAGCGTGAAAAACGAACTTTATCATGTCATCATTCTAGTTTTCAATCTCCGCTTCAATGTTATGCGAGTCCCACGGCCCATATACCTTGCTTTTCGCGTGTTCGTCGTAATGTGGTCTCTGCGAAAGCTGTATCCGTTTTTGTGTCTCGTGTCTGATCAAAGATCGCCAACAGCCATAGCCAGTCTCGCGAAGGTTTGAGCTATACACTTCCCATAACCTCGGCAATAGCTCAACATACGTTCAATGCTATAGGTAGAATCATTACATCCCACTTCGACTTCACTGCAAATTCCGCTATCTGGACTGGTCGACCCTTACGAGCTCTAGCGACCGTCTACGTCCGACCCTGGGATATCTAGCGAGTACAGGAGATCAAAGATGTAACCTCACAGGGTAGCAACCTCTCTACCGTAAGTTCGAGAAGCTAGAAAAGTGGAATAGTCTCACCAGCGAGATCGAGGATCAGTCGACTTTAAGGTAAAGTTCTCCATTGAATTCTATTGCTTCTAAATAGTGCTCGAGGTGAGTTCATTACTAATGAATGGCATTCCAGACCTATAGTGATGCTGGTCGGTTCGTAACAATCCAGTAGTTCGCGAGTAGTATAGAGCCAGATTAATTTCTTCGATGCGCCGCAAAACGATCTTAGACAGCAATTTTGTTTAGCAAATTCCTCTATTGTCAATAGACCCCGCTTGCATGATATAGTAGCCATTCAAATAACGACGATGATGACATAGCACTACACAATTTATTGCGCCGCGAGATTACCATCGCTAACCATCAGACGACCTTAGCACCATCAAGGACTTTCCTCTCCACAAACGACTGCCATTGATTAGCCTAGACATTGCAAAGTAGAGCATCACATACCATTTGGAATGGTGCATTCCATGAGAGCATTAATGGTATAGCCTCCTTAAAGGAATCAGTGGCAACCGACTGATCAAAGCAAGCTTTACTCTCCCAGCCGGTGATAACAAGAAAGCACTTGGCTTTGTCGCCAAAAAGTTTGTCGTACTGATGCTGTTGCTCTTCTTGTATCCAACCAGATGCCACACTCACTCGTCCCTTCACTTCTCTACTGAAGATTTCATTGAACTTGTGGTAGTCTTCCTCAACCTTTTTCTGGAAGTCGGTTGTTACGCTTGAAACTGGAAAATAGGTCTGCACAAACTCAACCACTTTTGCTGTAGCAGGCCCATCTACCCCAAGTGCTGAACGACTGAGGACAACGTGGAAAACGTTGTGTGGCTCGCCACAGACTTTTCGCGAACACCTTCCGAAGTCTACATAGTCCTGAGCACCATCACCTTCGGACATGATCTGGAAAGCACCCATGTCCTGAATATCTGTGCCAAGGACGAAGTGCGGGAGGGCTTTCACTCCCTCGAATTCCTTGACAGCTCTTGTTATAGTTTCCTCAGGTGGCGCGGTTGTGGAAAATCGCATGATCTCCGTAACAACCATCGTGAAGGGGAGAATGTCTCTGTGGTGCCACTTTAGAAGAGTTCAGTACAAAGGAAACTTCGTGGTAAATTTCTCGCTGGATATGAACTGAAAAATGTAAAAACTCTGTGAGACATAGAAATGGACCGGGCTGCTAGATATAGTAATAGTAGTCATGTGAATCCCAGGAGGTTTCAACTGCGTGTAAGACCGAGCCGATTGTGATCGCGAGATCTTGCCACTTTGCCTCGAACTTGGTTGAACTACTATTACGGATGCTACTGAAGAATCCCTTCCGTTTCCGCCATTTCTCCTGATTTTCCCAGTCAGTGCTGTTTCGGTCCGAGCACGAACTTACCGCCTCCCGCTTCGCGCATGATGTAGTCCCAATTAGTGGCGCGCCAAATAGTAGTAGTATCCCTCCATAATCACCGTGGCAACCTTAATGCTGAGGTAGGTAATATGACAATTACAGTAACGCACGCCGCATCTGGCACAGAAGCTGTTATGCTAGCCAATGTTCTACGAGGATGGATGAATAGCAGAGATCTATGATTTGTCTGACGGGTGTATTTAGGCTTTGTATGTGCTCACATGGAGTGACCGTCTTCCATCTTTTGCACAAGTTGCAGTAGTTTTCTGCAATAGAACTCAGCTCCCCCAAACTTTTCTGTAGGAAGTACCATGCCTATCCTGGGAGGAGAGGTGACCTGCTGCATTTGGCACTGTGTATGCACTGGGGTCAACACGGGGATTGCGGGGCTCTTGTGGCGGGAAAAGAGTTTCTAGGATCACAACGATCTCGGATCCTCTGCCAAACCTTTACACTCAAGCTCGGAAGATATGCAAAGCTCCATGATGTACTGCTCGGAACTAATTCGAAACGCTCAGAGTTGCGCCCGGTCTGCTCGGTCTTAGTATTGCAGGTTGTATTCCGGCATGGGTCTGGAATCAGTGCGCACCCTTAACGTATAAGAGTTCAAGCTCCGGACCGCATTATTTATCCTTCGCAATTCCATGTTAGGACGCTTGTCAACCTCCAACGAAAACTCTTAATCTCGCTCAAACGCACCATATTCCCTCAACGTTAACTGGCACACCATGAAGGTCCTCTCTCACAGCCCAATCCTACTCATTCTTGTTGCGCTTATTCCCGCCGACGCTCTCGTTTCACCCAACCAAGTGGCTGGGGTGTGGAATATGACCTCTGCCGCCCAAACAGTCAATGGCACAAAGAACGATAATGCATACGGAGCAGGCTTCCACGGAACACTCATATTTACCAGGAGTGGATATTTTGCGGCACAAGTGAATCGAGGCGATATACAACATTTCCCGGGAGATACCGTGAGCAGTGGAACTTCTGAGGATTTCCTTGCAGTAGGGAGAGGAGTTTTCGGCAGTTCTGGGACGTACAAAGTAGATAGGGATGGGGCGTTTGCCGGCGAACATGTTCTGGGATGCACCTTTCCAAATTGGCAAGGGACTTATAAGGGTAATGACGAGCTGAGCTACACTGCTTCTGGAAACGCACAGATCTTACATGAACATGTTCAGGAGAATGAGTATAGCTCTGTCGATATTATGTGGGAACGACTTGCTTAGACGCAAAATGAGTCAAACTATAGTTGCATTGTTGCGAAGACAAGTACTAGTAATGTTGACGACTGATCGCACTAAGTCATTGAATGTACTACTTTTGATAAATTCTAAGGTTTTAAGATCTACTTATGAAGATACTAACTACGATAAAATAGTACGACGAAACCCAGTCGTCTTACTGACCGGATTCCAGCAAATACCAAAGGTGGTTTCCGTAGTCTGCTAGAGTCTCTCCGACACTATTCACCAGTGTATCAAGTGATGGCATGCAACGACAGACAGCGGTCCCACAACCATGCTCCCATCTCCAGCTACTTCTGCTGGTATACTATGGCAGCCTTCGGCTCCGAGTCGTCCATATTCACTAAGTTCAAGCTAGGCTATATTCTCCTAGCGCTAATCTCAGGGAACTAATCGGAAGCGAGTCCGTCACGTCATGAAGTCTATGGTGGACCGATCTTGTTCAAGCTTACGTAATTTAGCCGACACCCTAGTCGGATTGCCCGAGATATTCTGAGTCCACTTACAGGGAGAATTCCGCGGTGTTATACTAGACTAAGCCCGTTGTTACCCTTCCCAATACTGTAACATCAGCTTAATGAGGTAGATACAAACCCTAACTTAGTCTGAGGTTTTCGATTCTAACAAGAAATATAGACGCCTTAGAGGTATTGAGATACAACGTGTTATGATCTGGCCGCCTATCCCATGCGCGGCCGGCGTCAGCCATTTTTGTCTTGGCAACAATTCAAATGTTGAATTCTAAATTCCGAGTCTCAACAGCAAGCCTTCTATCCACTACTCAAACCTAGGTGGAATTGCTTGTAACAGTCTCCTCGGTTGCAGAGGTATACATTACAAGCTTTACAGCCCGAAAAACTCCTCCGCGGCAGTTTCATAGGTTGTGCACGCGCAACGCTACCCGAGACCTCCCCAAGTGGTACTCGAGGCAGTTCACGTTTGGTAAACGCCACCCCATAGTATTCCTTGCGCTGTAGGATACAATATTGACAGTAACCGCGTTGTCCTAATCACACAAATCTACGATTTTCTGATTCACGCGTCATTCGAGGCTGTGGAGGTGGTATACTAGGGGTGGGGGGTGCAAAAGGTGATAATCTGTTATATCAACCTATCGCGAAAGAACCTATGAGAATGATGAGTATTCAGACATCCTTACCCTGTTGCCAAGCCAGATAATAGACGAATGTCACAAGCAGCATTGCACTCAGCACGATTATCAAAGACGATTCGATATTTAATGCGCTCTTAAATATGTCCGCAAGAGGAAATGAACCGGTTGAATGATGCCTACCTCTCACTTAGCCTTCAAGGTGTCAGATGTGATTTATTTCCATGCTATACTATCAGTCCTGCACCGGGTGTTTTCAGCCTCACCTCGAAACGTACTTGACTTGCAAATGGGAGTGCAAAAATGGTCCAAGAGGTTTTCTTCCGACGCCTTTTCAGCCCCCATCCCCGACCCGCGGCGCAAAGCTCGCCAATCTAATGCTAGTGTGACACAAATGCAAATGCAGATGCAGTGTGGCTCGATTTTGTCGTATTAGCGAGCCTCAGGCTCAGCCTGAGGAATCAACATTTGAACTTTTTGTCCAAGTTTGATTACTCACGCCTCACGGAGACATGTGTGTGTGTGTGTGTGTGTGT